GAACACTGAAATCTGCTACTTGTCTTGTGTAGCATGAAAATAGTTGTCACCCAGGTAGACAAGAGGCTGTGGGCTGTGTGCGAACTTACCTTCATGCTCACATGAGCAGTGCATACTCATCATAACGCAGTACTTTCAGAGTACCTTCAGATGTGGATCACTTTGTCATTTATCTTGCTGTCTATGGTGTCGAAACCAAAATACTTGGACAACATTGCATTGACTGTTCACTCAAAACAGTTTTGAAGAAACTCATGACTGTAATTAACTCATTTGCTGAGGTTAAGAGTGCCATTCAATGGTCAGGTAACGATGAGAAAGCTACTGTAGACAGCCTGATGCACAGATAAACTGTATACTTGGAATATAAACTCTTCTTTCTAAGTTTGAACAAAGATTCAAATTTCAACTCCATCACTTTATGGCTTCATACTTCTTAAATCTTGAATTTATAGAGTAGGTAAGTTGCCGGGGGCAGTTTGCAGAGCATGGGCTCATCTTTCGCAGTTTCTTGTGGGAACTTTTGATGAAATTTTTTAGCATGTTTTGAAGGCATTGAGAATTTTAATATAGTGCTATTTTAGCAACTTATTATGAAAACTGAGTTTCCTTTTTCCAAATTGCCAAGTTGTTCAAAGTTGTGTTTTGCAGAAACTTAAATCCTGGCTAACCAATTTGTCAAATAATGAGGAAACAATGACAACGTAACACAGGAATCACAAAGACTGTGGCAGAGCCAACACCACCAGCTTTTGTTCTGCCTTTCAGGTTAAGGTCTACATCTGTGCTGATTATGTTTTACAGCAGAGGGCTGAATTAAAGCTAAATAGCAGGTTTAAAATGATAAAAATGTCAACCATGTTTTGGTACATTTACTGAAAGCGGAAAAGATAGAAGAAAAGAAACCCTGTGGACGTTGTCTAACTTGAAAAGACACATTTTAATTGGTAACATTTTGGTCTGAGACCTTTAAAAGTCTTTTAAAAGATATAAAAATAAAATTGCTCTAAACTTGGGGGTTCAAGGATTGATCATTGAGACTTTAGTGAATACATCTGAGGAAGTAAAAACTTGGAGATGATTCATTCATGAACTACCAGCCTGTTTCCTGTTATCTCTGCAGAGACAGAGAAAAAGCATCTCTGAATCAGAGAAGCTTTGTTAATGTAAGATAAAGTAAAAATCCATGTACTTATATAAGCTGAAGGATTCAGCAAGGAAGAGAATTTTTTGGTCTGACCCTGTATCATAACAAAAAAAAAAAACATCCAGAGCGTAATGAGTTCCAGGTTTGGTGGCAGGGAAAAGAGAGAGGTAATAACGCTCTAACTCTGTGACTTCAGGGTTATCGTGTAAGAGAGGAGACTTACTAAAGTGGATTTAAAAACAGCCGAGGGGAGAGAGAACTGGAGCCGAAACAGAGCAGAAGGGGTTGTTGCAGATGGGAAAGTTTGCACCTGCATGACTGTAACTTTTATGTTTCCAGAGAGTTTGCTCATCCTGTGGAGCACCCTGCAGGCTGTTTCTAATTCTTTCATCAGCTTATTTTCATGAGTACACCCACACAGCAAAAATGAGAGAGAGTCACAATACAGTACAAAGTTCAGTGAGAGCAAAGGGTAGAACTCTGGGCAAGTACACGAGCTCACAAAACAAAATCTCACTCTATCTGACTGTTTTCTGCACACAGAAAGAGTTTTTTATTTTTTTTTACCCTCAGCTGCTGACACTATTAATATTTTTCCGCCTCTGCAAGACAACATACAGCGCTAAATTTGCATAAAGGCATCCCAAAAACACATGCCTTTGCAACTTTCTCCCTTCTCCGCCCTCCCTACTATTGTTGTGTTTGCAAAACATGCACACAGAACGTATTTGAGGATTAAGTATATCTCCACTCTGCTTCTGTCTACTAATCTAGATGCTTATATCCTCTTTTAAATTATATTTATTGCCCTTTCACTTCTGTCACTGCATGTTTTCAAGCTCATCCCTCTCTGTTTGGTCTTTACTCCAGAACAAGAGGTTGTGTTTAAAAGTGTTTGTGTAGTTGATAGAAATGAAAAGTGTGATCCATGTCGTTTTGAGAATGTTAAAAAGTACAGAGCCCCTGAAGTCCCATTTCATTTATTCAAGTTATGTTCGATATGAGAAGAAGTAGTTATCTTGTGTGCGCAAATCCTGATGGTGAGGTTGTAATGTATTGTTAAAATTGAGCACCCTCTGATGGGGCCCTTCCACACTGTAAAGAAATATGTCTAATCTGAATCCTTCAGGTTTTGATTGAAAAGACTTGTGTTAACATTGATTAGCTATCATTGAAATTTGGCCGATCCTTTAATTTTCTTTGTTGGTTAATCCTAACTTTTTGCAAAAGTCAGTTCTGCCTCTTGTTTTCTTTGCAGAGACACAGCTCATAATGCATTTCACGTAGCATTTCATTAGAGCTAATAATTGATGTGTCAATTGAGCGCCAACATCAACAATGCTTCCCGCCTTGTGATGATATCTGCAAAAATAGATTTTTTCTCTTAGATTATTGATTATTAATTGATTAGCGTAAGTGTAATTTTGGCTAATCTGTTAAATTTTCGGTAACACTTTACTTGACACCTATCTCTATAAGGCATTATACATATATTAATAATGCAATATAATCATGTTATAGCACTTTATAACTATAGATATAAACACTAATAAATGTTCATAATGCTTTATAGCAATAATTATAACAAGCCTTTTATCATGACTTACAAGGTCAGGCATTATAATGTGTTATACTTATTGTTATAAAGCCTTATGATAATTAATGAGTGTTTATAATGATAGTTATACAAGTTTATAAGCAAATTATAACACATCATAAATATATGTATAATGCATTGTCTATGTGGGCATTGTGAGTGAGTTGTTAACAGTTATAACACATTATAAAACCTGACCTTGTAAGTTATGATAAAATGCTTTATAATGTGTTATGATTATTGCGGTATAACTTTAGTTATACAGTGCATTATACATATATTTATAATGCATTACTGTGATAGGCATCAAGTAAAGTGTTACCAAATGTTCAATTATGTTCATTGCTTATTTGAATTGACACCGTTTATAATGTATTCTACACAGCACTACATTAGGCCTGGTATTTTGAGTGTAAATTCAGTTCCCTCTGCTGGGGACCTTGCAGATTTTGTTGATACATCTTATGTCCTTTGTTTCTTTTACAAGACCTGGAAAAATATGCCAAATTAAATTGTTAGATTTTTTTCCAGGTAAAGTGCTAATCATCAGCATTGCATTAAAGAGGACCTCAAAGTTTCATTTAAATAGTGTTATGATGATATTGATAAGCTGGAGTGTTTTATTTGGCTGGTATTTTATGTTACAATCCAGCATCCTCTTTTGGGCCTGTCACTTTGAATGTGTGAGTACTTGAATGCTGTGTTGTCATCAGAAGAAATGGCTAAACCCAATGTAGGAGAGTACACCACCCCAACTGCACACAAGACAATTACAAGTTCTCATAATATAGTTTCTGTACCTCCTGATGGGACTTCAGCGGCTACAAAAGAAAATGAAGGTCATAAAAATTAAAACTGAAGTTATTTCTGCCACATTTGCAGAGCAGTCATTCCTCCAGCTGTATTGATTAGCATTGTGATATCAAAATGCTAACACAGCTGATTCCAAAGTCACCTTCCCCGCTGTAATGAGCTGCAGTTTGTGTTGCACCATTCAGCGTCTCACTTAGAGTCTCGGCATGTTTTGATCTTGTGTCTCTTCATCTTCTCTCATCCTTAGAAACCTGAAAACCTTTGAGCACCTCAGTCAAACCCTCTGATTGTGTTTCCTTCAGGTTCAGTTCTGAATGGAGATAAACGGGTGAGCTGCTCGATGGGCCAACCTGCCGAGGAACAAACACGCACTGCCAAGAAGCCCTGCTCTCCTCCCTGAACCCCTCCCCCCTTCCCTCCTTTTCCTCGCCCCCTAATGTGGGCACCAGGTGCCGGTGCTAAACTGTCCTGCAGGCCTCCCTGTTGTCACCGTTTATACCTTTTACATGTACAGTAACTTGTTGAAAAAAAAGCATAACGTACTGTGTAATTTCTTCTACAGGAGATGTGTAGGTTATCTGTACATAAATATGCCATTTTTTAATATATACACACATCTATGTATAAAAAGATATTCAGAGTTTGTGCAAAAAAATGTCCCTGCCACCTCATTTAGTGGACCATAGATTAATATATGCTGCTCTTTAAACTGTCTCCATATGACCCGCCCCTCTCTAGATCATTTTGTACATATGGTTTTATTTTTACATTGTGCTAATATGATAATAATGAACCACAGAGAGAGAAAGAGACGGATGCTGTGTGAAAACCTGCCCTCTAGTGGTGCACAAAGAGCCACTCTGAGCCCACAAACTCCACCATCCTTTCTCATGGACTCACTGGAGCATTTCAAGAGGACACGAGGAATGACGTGACAAGCACTTTGAAACAACCGCATCAACTCAACGGACTCTTCAGTAGCCAAGGACGAAAACAAGAGACGTCTGAAGTTGCACAAAACTTCTCAACGGAGAGAGCGACAGAAGCTGGTAGAAGCCGTCACCTGTTGTACTGTATGTTTGTCAGGTTAACACAAAAAAGAGCGACTTACACACTCAGCCGAGCTGGCCTTCTCCCTGAAAAACTCCTCCAACACCACGTTACTAGAAGAAGAAATAACTGAAAGACAGACCGCTTTAGCTCATAGTGTGTAGAGTGTATATGACCATGTTGAAGTGAGGTGACTTTTAAAGACAAAAACCTGTTGCTTGCTGTGACTTACACTGGTGTACCTGTTAACTCTTTAGTTTCTGTCGGAGTGTCCGGGGTCACGCCCTGTTATCTGTCTTTGAGTTATTTCTGATGGACGACTCAAACTAAGTCTTACGCTGTTCTTTTTGTTTGTTTGTTTTTACATCTTCAATTTGCACGAACAATGAATCATTTTATTTTGTGTCCATTTTTTTTATTTATTCTTGTACTTTGGTCAAAACTAAGTGGTGAGCAAGCAGATTTTCATTGTCAATAAAAAATACTGTCAGTGAACGAGCCTGGTCAGTGATTGTGAATGAGCGAACTCTGTTTCTTATTAATCTCCCGTATTTAAAATCAGAATATTCACCCGACTTAATGCCACAGTTCATGTTATGTAACAAGATGAAACTTCACATCATTAAAGGAATAATCACTGATTTAACTTCAGTTAATGTTTGTAGGTCCCGGTGCTACAATAGCTGCTTTTTCTGTCACTTTAACACCTAACAGGTGAGTTCAGGCTCCTTGGGGTCTCAGAGCTTTTTCCACCTGCTTCTCGATGTCTTTGAACACCTCGGGGTCCTCGATGGTTGGAGTGATCTGTGGAGGAAAAAACAGTATCAAAGTTATAAAAGTTTAAAAATTTAAATTAGTCTTTATTTGGATTTTCTTTAGGCTTTATGTTTTCAACTTTATTTTCAATTAGCTGCTATTTTAGTTTAGTTTTTAGCTTTTGGATGATGGGATACTTGTCTGGGACGAGTCCTAAAAAATCCAGAAAATAACAAACCCCAATTCCAGTCAAGTTGGACGTTGTGTAAAATGGGAATAAAACGTAAATGCTTTTCCAGCTATATTGAATTCAGGGTTCCTACATAGTTGGAATTTCCATACTTTTCCACACCCTACGTTTTAGAATTATTTTTGGAAATACTCACTTTTCTATTTTAGAAAAGAGTATTTTATAACCGTGGCAATATGGTCTGTTAACATGAATATTTTTCCATACTTTTTCATTTACCATACTTTTTAAGACCTGGAAATTAATCAAATTACTTCCATACTTTTCCATGCTTTCCATACTTTGGTAGGAACCCTGTAAACTGATTTAATGTTTTACTGATAAACTTGATTGTTTTTTGTTTGTTTGTTTTGTTTTTGCAAATATTCACTCATCTTGAATTTAATGTCTGCAAAAATGTTCCAAAAAAGTTGGGACAGGTTCAACAAATAACTGGGAAATTAAGGACTGCTTAAAAAAAAAACACCTGCATGAAACATTCCTCAGGTGAACTGGAAACAGGTGAGGGTGACAGCTGGGTATAAAGTTGAAAAGTGTGCTGTGGTCTGATGAGTCCATGATTTTAAACTGTTTTTGTAAATCACAGATGTGGTATTTTCTGGGCATAAGAGGAAAAGGACCATCGGGACTGTGAACAGGTCAAAGTTTAAAGCCAGCATCTTTGATGGTATGAGGGTGTGTTTGTGCCCATGACATGAGGAAATGTCACATCTGTGAAGACTCCACTAATGCTGAAAGGTACATACAGATTTTAGAGCAACATGCTGGCATTCAAGCAACATCTTTTTCAGGGACGTCCCTGTTTGTTTCAGGAAGTCAGTGCCAAGACACATTGTGCACGTGTTACAACATTGTGGCTTCACAGGAAAAGAGTGTGGGTCCCTCTCTACTTTGTAAAGGTGTTTTTAGGATTACAGTTATACTTTAATTCACAGCCCCTTTGCTGCTTCCTTGGGAATCCTCGGTTTATATCTGTAAACAAAGCCACTTCATTAAGCAGTCCTGTTTTCCTCAGTTCGTCATCTATTCTCTCTGGAATCTTTTTGCACCTGATCAGCAAAACTCTGAGTCAAAACCTAAAACAATGAGATCCTGAATGAGCTCTCAGCTGTGTTTATTAAATACAGAGCCCGCTAATGCGCAATCATTACTCAAACCCTGACTTGCAAAATGAGCTCTCCTCCTTCCTCTGCTGCTCCCTTTGCACAACGCAGGGAACAATGAAAACAAAACACCTACAGACGATATTTCCCTAAAGAAAGCAGACAGGCACGAGTTTGAAAAATTTAATGACTAAGGGAAAATGAAGAGTGTGTCATACTTTGTAGGGCTTTCTGTTGACCAGGTTGGCCAGAGAGGAGCGAGGGATCTTTCCGGAGCGGGTCTTCGGTAAACCTCGGACAAAAAGGACTTGTCTGAAGGCAGCTACGGGTCCGATTGTGTCTCTGACGAGCTTCACCATCTCCTTTATGATCTCTTCTTCTTTTTTTTGGACATCTGAGACACACAGCATGAAGCATCAAGAGCATCAAAGCATGAAAAAGAGAGAATATCTGCAACAAGAAGATCATATTTATGTTACTTCAAGCCTTTTTGTCCATCATCCCTCACCTTTTTTAAGTACACACAAGGCCAAAGGGACGACCCCCTTCAGAGTGTCCTCCAGACCCACCACAGCACAGTCCCCGACCGCAGGGTGCAGCAGCACTGCCTGTAAAAACACACATTTATATTATCACCAGTATTTGACAACTTCAGAGAGGAGAGTTTTGTCTTCTTTTAAGTCAAATTTAAAAACAAACTTTTACAGACTTGCTTTTATATGATGCCGTCTTTTCTCTTTTATCTCTTTTATCTTATTTTGACTTACTGTCCTTTTAGTCTTTGTTTTACTAATAATCTTTTCTTATTTAACCTTTTAGGCCTTTCATTGATTTTATTGTTTTTTTCCTGCTCATATTTTTTATTCCATTTTATCATTACTATTACCATCATTATTATTTTATTATGATTTTATGATCATTATTAATATCATCTTTTTATATTTACTATCCTGTTTCCTGCTTTCTACCTCCCTTATTACATTTCTTATTCTTACCTATTTGATGTTTTTATTTTGGTCCTCATGATCTAATTTTATGTTGTAGTTTTCTTGTATTGTCTGGGTTTCTTATGATAAATGAAACTGGCCTTGAATTGGAGGCCTTGTTTTTAAATGAGCTTTTGTTTTTTAACTGTTTTTATTTCCATGTGCTGATGTTCTGTGCTTTACGACTGTTTGTAAAAGCACTTTGTAAACTTCTGTTTTTAAAAGTGCTATAAAAATAAAGTTATTATATTATCATTGTTATTATTATTATTATTAACCCTCTCACCTCCTCCAGCGCTCCAGCAGACAGTCTGTGTCCTGCTACATTGATGACGTCATCAGACCGGGACATGATGTAAAGGAAACCCTCCTGATCAATGAAACCAGCGTCCATAGTGTCGTAGTAACCCTGATGGTGGAGCAAAAACCAGAGTGTCAGCAGTGCTTTTGTCACTCCAACCAGAATGATATCAAACTAAATCTCAGTTTAGGACTTCTCAAGCATCAACATGGTGTTACAGGGTTAATTCAAACCAACTGTTTGGATTAAACTGTTTCTAAGTGAGCAAAACAGCCAAAATATGTTTGAGTGTTGGCCATGATAAAGATGCACACTAGATGATCAGAGCTGGTGAATTTCCTCATTCAAACCCCCGTGGAAAAAGCCAAGTGGCCCTGTAATGAAGCATTTTAACACTAGAGGGCCACATACGACCATGTTATCACTACCCACTGCACCGTGTTCGACCTATCAACCATCCTAAAGACAAAACTGAGACATTCTTTGATCGAATCAGACAGCTGTAAAAAATTATTTAATCTCCATCAGAGGAGTCAGACTGTGAGGGAACGGTGACATGTCTTACGGGGAACTTGCTGAAGTAGAGCTCCTTGAACAGATCTTTATTCTTCCACAGAGACAACGCTGCACCAGGTGGGAGAGGCAGCCTGAGGGAGCAAAGATGCATAAAGTGAAGTTGAAATCCTTTTTCCATTAAATCTTTGCTCCTGGTATAAAAGCACAGAAAACAATACTGAGACTAGACGCCGCATGATTACATTTATGTGTTTTTCTGTGCTTTATTTATTCAGAAAATTCCTATTATGATGCAAGATTTCCTCTGCAGTAAAGCCCCGGAGTGGACAAGTGGATTAAAATGAAAAAATAGTTTTTCCATTTAAAGAGATAAAGGCAGGGACACCACTGCACACAGAGAATAACAAAGATGCTTGAAAAAGAAAGAAGATGGAGCAAAGAAAAAGGGAAAAATACATTAAGTTACATAGTCAGGGTTGTTGCTAACTTGTTTGAAGTTGATCTGCTGTAGCTGTTAGCCACACGGTCTGTCTTAGTACCACCTCTTTACCCACCTATAGGGTGGCGATAGGGTGACCATATTCTGACTTCCCCAAAAAAAAGAGGACACAACTACGCGGGGGCGGAGTCACAGAATCGCACAAAGTCAATTTTGAGAGTTTTTCGGGTCAGATCGAGTGTCTTGTACACGCTTCTAACTCAGAAAGTTCACATGACACAAACTCAGAACTTACAGACAAAACTGCAGACATTTGAAGGATCTTATAAACTACCCGGACAAAGCCAGACAAACCCGGTCAGCCCCCCAAAAAGAGGACATGTCCGGGTAAGAGAGGACATATGGCCACCCTAACCTATGATCAGACTGAATCCAAGTCAGGTTTAATCAGCATCTCCAAGATGGAGAGTGCCTTCTTTCAACTTCAAAATGTCTTTCATAGATCAATGAGTGATCAATGATCTCCAAGAAGTCTCAATAATGAGCTCTGCGACTACTGCAGTCAAGATCAAGTCAAAGGAAATGACGGGTGAACTTATTATTTTTAAATCCTCACCAATTTGACAGTTTTGAGGGGATTTTATAGAAAAAATGGGAGTTTCTGAAAAAATTGTGACACAGACTGACGTGAAACATGACAAGGTTTTGTTTAATTAGAAGTCTGTCAAAGGGCTGGTGACACACACACAAAAAAAAGACTTTTAACATCATTAGAAACTAATGACGACATATAAGAAAGTCAGTTTATAGGTGCTTACACACCAGGCGCGAATTCGCCAGGCAAATTATTTGCCTTTTTTAAAACAGTATAAAGTCAATGCAAGCTTCCACACCGGCGGCGATTTTTCCTCAGGGCGCAAAGCGTCTTTTATTTTTTTGCTCTTGTGTTGAATTTTTTTTGAGATTCGCAGGCAAATATCTGGACCTGCTAGACCTCTGGCCAATCAAAAGTCATGTTGTTGATGACATCACAGACCCATGCGGCTGCAGTTCACACGACACACACCACCACTGGCACCAAGAGCAACGATGGGAGAGAGTGTGTACCAGAGTGGTCGCCCGGTGTGTATAGGCGAAAGCGATTTTTCGGACCGGCGAATATTTTCGTCTCGCTTTTTCGCTTCGCTCCACAAATTCGCTGGTGTGTAAGGATCTTTTGAGTAAAGTTTATGAACCAACACTTCACCCTACCAACTGATTCCTACTGGCTCCTTGTTTTGGTCTCACTTTTGTACAATGGGAGGAGGCGGAGGCACACTGTCCATCTTTAAATTAATGGACATACTAGTCCTTGTTATCAATGAACAAAAGTTATTCTAGGAGCAAAAGCAAACACAGAAAAGCATTTACATTCCTGCTCTGTCTCAGAATCCATCTTAATACAAGAACCTCCGGCTCTGTAAATATGGGCTGTAATTTTCTGTGGCTGTAAATAAAGCTTTTCATCAAATAACAGGGCTGGCACTGACTTCAGGAGGAAGTGCAGCTGTTCCAATCTGTTCCCAGCTCTACCTGCTGTTATCCTTGGATGCAGTGCACATCCTGGATTCTTTGGAAATCCCCATTATTGGCTCTGGGTCAATTCCCGCAGTTTCACAGAACAGGGAAATGAAGCTGTAGAGCGATAACAGATTGGTAGCAGGCAGGGCTATGGAGCTGCTCAAAAGGCTATGGGCGTGATCGCTCCTGATGAGGTCCACTTTGCAAACTCATTCACTTCATCCTCAAATACAGAGAGTGAGGTTATTTAAGGTCCCGTTTAAGCCTCCTGACAGTGATTTTCAGATTTGATTAGAGGGTGAAAAGTGCTTCTATATCACACTGTAAATTAATGTGCATGTTGACAGGGACAAAAGAAAAGCAAGGCCATGACTGAGCTAACCTCTTAGCTTACCTCACCACAATATTTCCCAGGGTTCTTGGCTTCACCTCCTGCATGTCATCGTCGATCACTGTAACTAGAGGGGAGGGAAGAGCAGGCCATTTATATTCAGAGACACCCCAGCAAACTGGCGGAGCAAAGTTATCAAATACTCAGCAGGGGATTACACATTCTATTGATGCTTTAGTCCCTTTGTATCTACCAGCCCAAAGCCAAAAAACCTAGGGGGTAAAATGTTGATGAAAATACACTTCCCTGCTTCGCTAATTATCATAACCTTTATTCAATTTAAAAAAAACTGTGCAAATAGAACATATAAAATAATGAAGCTGAAATGTTTTACTGTTTCATGAACAAAAAAACATTTTGAATTTGAATCAACATGTTTAAAATCAGTCAGGACTCTTATTTTGAAGACCAGGAGGAACAGTTTCTGGAGATTTGATAGACAGAAATTGCCTAATGTTTGACTGATACAGAATTTCATGGTGTGTCAGATTCATCCATGGATTCCAAAAAAGGATGTCAACATCATCACGTATCATATTGTATCGTACTGTATCGTATCATATCGTACCTTATTGTATTGTATCATATAGAACCTTATTGTATTGTATCGTACCTTATTGTATCCTATCATATCGTACCTTATTATATTGTATCGTACCTTATTGTATCCTATCATATCGTATCTTATTATATTGTATCGTACCTTATTGTATCCTATCCTATCATATCGTACCTTATTGTATCATATCATATCGTACCTTATTGTATCCTATCATATTGTACCTTTTTGTATTGTATCGTACCTTATTGTACCGTATCGTACCTTATTGTTTCGTATCACAGCTTATACGACACAACGGCATTCCACATATGATATCGTATCATACCTTATTGTATCATATCATACCTCATTGTATTGTATCATATCGTACCTCATTGTATTGTATCATATCGTACCTTATTGTATAGTACCTTATTGTACCGTATTGTATCTTATTGTATCGTATCATACCTTATACGACACAGCAGCATTCTACATATGATATTGTATCATACCTTATTGTATCGTATCGTACCTTATTGTTTCGTATCGTACCTTATTGTATTGTATCATATTGTACCTTATTGTATCATATTGTGTTGTAATGTATTGTACCTTACTGTATCATACCTTACTGTATCATATCGTAGCTTTCGTAGGTAATCATATTGTATTGTATTATATCATATGTAGAATGCTGTTGTGTCATATTGAGGGTGGCTGTGGCTCAGTTGTAGAGTTGGTCACTTCTCATTCAGAAGGGTCAGGGTTTCATCCCAGTTCCCACTGTCTTCATGCAAAAGTGTTAAGACATTTGACCCTGACTGCCCTTGCTGGCTGTGTCCAGCAGTGCGCTGATGGTATTAGTTAGTACTGATGGGTCTTTTATAGCCTGTGTTAGCAGTGTGTTAATTGGTGAATGTGACATGTTATGTACAGAATACTTTGAGTGGTCGTAAAACTCGAGAAAGCGCTATGTAAACAAAGTCCAATAACCAGCTTTATGTGAATTTTTTTTCTTTGTATGTTGCCATTTTAACCTGCATTTGTGGGTGTGATAACGAAGCCCATGCAGAAATTTCCACAACAGAGCCATGTCAGATTCTGAGACAGTGTGGCAGAGTTGTGAATGACATCCCATTGTTTTCCACTTTTCCACTGTTGATTGATTATCAGTTACCTTTAGCATCTTGACTTTTTAAGATAAGATAAGATAAAGATAAGATACTTCTTTATTGGTCCCACAAGGAGAAATTCAGTGTCTGGGTTGTTCACTTTTGGTACACAGTTGAAGTTTCGATACATTGAACATGTCTCCTGCCAAGACAAAAGTGTTTGTTTGTGAGAGACAGTTTGATTCTTACCATTATAACCAGGCACAGGTTTTCCAGCCTGACCAGCAGGTGGGGTAAGCGAGTTTCCTAAACCGATGCATGAGGAGGTGATGGCTGAGCCGGTTTCTGTTGAGGGAGAGAGAAAGAACAAAAATTAAAAAAAGAAACATAAAGACTTACATCTGTGTGGGAGACCCATAACTCTTTAGTCTGCCCACAGGAGCTCTGGATGTGCGGCAGATTTGACACACATCAGAACTTTCAGCTTTAAATGCAAACGCTGGAGCTTGTGTTGGTGGGCTGTTTAAAAGAACCTGAGTGGGAATGCATCTGTGAGCATTAACCTACATTAAACAAAACCGTGACAGCTCCTATGGGCTCCTCTAGACTGTGCTCCACTTACAGCAAAGCTTTGCCTGTTTGTCACAGCCCACCCTGAGGATGCATAAAAGAATCGATGCAGCTCAGTAAGCACGATTACATCAGAAATCACAGGGCGGCAGAGTGGCCCAGCATCGGAATCTGTCTGCTGCTGCTGTATGTTCCTCTGAAATCTGAAAACACTGTCTAGAAAGAAACACACCCTCTCTGGATGTTGGTGAAAAGATACAGCTTAATGCATCTGCTTGTCTTAATTTTCATTCCCCAGGAGGAGCTTTTCACCACGTAGCTGATGTCTTAACTCATATACACACAACAGGTGATAGACAGCACCAAACAACCTTCAGCCATGTGATTTCCACCTACAATATGGCTGCATATTAGCGTAATCTAGCGGACATTCGGACTCTTTAATGAGAGGCACAAACAAAAGACCAGCTACAATACAACAGAGTTCACAAACATGATCATATCTGGGCCAGAGTCACAAAATTTTACCAATCTTATTAAACCCAAGCTTGGAGTCAGCAAACTCAAATAAGCAGGTATCAAACTGCATGATTAGCTAACAAGCAGGGACGTTTCTAGAAGAGTAGAAAGGAGTGGCATGAACCCCCAATGATCGCTAAATTGCATCTTTTGGTGCAACCTCAAAATCCCCCACAAGGTTGGCTATTTGCCTTGTCAAGACCAATGAGATTAATGGGACACTCACACTCCATATAAACACAGTAGACAGTACAGAGTCGTATTACGTTCATCTGTAGCATGAAATGTCTTTTTATGCCCAGTCTTGTCACTGAACTATTGCAAACTATTTTTATTAGCCGAGGGATGTGATTTTCTAGCATTACATAACTTTGTCAGTGATTTGTTTCCATCGTGTTCAAACTTCTTGAAACTTGTCCCATCTTTTTTTAGAATTGGGGTAATAGTTGAAGTAGGTATGAAAATAAGAGGAAAATATGATATATATAAACAAAATCTTTTCATTTCAGTATGTTTACATACTTTTTTTTACCAACCCAGCAAAAGTCAGCTGCCCTGTTTGGCCCCCCTTGACAAAGAGTCTAGACACAGCCCTGCTAAGAAGCTACTTGTTGAAAAGGTTAAGTACAAGGAAAAGAAACACTTAAAGGGATATTCCAGCATAAAATTAAGATAGGTTTAAAGACATGTAACACCGAGTTCGACATCTTGTCGAGAGATGAATGTTGCCAACTGCTTGCTTCTCTAGTTATACCAACTTTAGTAACGACCACAGACAGCAATACAGAGTGCCACATTTATGATCATTACTTCATGGAAATGCAACCAGACAGAGACGCTGAGGCAGAAGAACTACCGCGTCTACAGTGCAAAATACTTAATATGGTGATAATTACTTCAAGGAAATGATAAAGAAATGATCATAAATGTTCTTCCTTGAGCTGCGTCACCCCGCTGCAGTCTGTGATGGAGCTCAAGGAGGTCTCTGTACAAACAAGCAGATGCTGGAAGAGAGTGGGTGAGTTGTGTTTAGTCTCTTCGCTAAAGAAATCAGGCAAAGTTAAAAAGATGTTTGGTGGCTAGTGCTGTGGCTGGGACCCTATATGTACTGTTGATGAAGTTAGGTGCTGTTCTGAGTATTATTTGTGGCTATAGAGTGGTGTTCTGGTTGAGTGCGTGGCTCTGTGTATTGCTATCTGCAGTCATTACTAAAGTTGGTATAACTAGAGAAAGAGTGTCTAACTCGGTGTTATAGTGTGTTTGACCCTATCTTAATTTTACGCCGGAATATCCCTTTAATTTGGTGTAATGTCTTTTTTAACAAAAGGTAGAGTTTACTGCCTCATTATTTGTTGACTATCCTGTGTCATGGGGATATACCAGCTTTTGACAGCGCTTTCACAAGTCTTGGCATATTTTCTATTTTATTCACACCCCCAGAAATCACTCCCACTCTTGAGTCCCTGCGAGTTGATCACTTTTGGCATGAATAGAATAAATAGGACTCAGCTGAATGCTTCTACCTGTCTTTCTCAAGTCTCTTCTTCTGCCGCCGGGCAAAATCTCCCCTTTAGCCAAATGATATCTCAATATGCACACAGCAGCTGTCAGAGAGCTCAAACAACCTCCAACACAGGAGCTGTCAGCACTTTTGTACTGAATATGAACATAATCAGGTTTATTCTCTCGTCTTTTATCTATTCAGACAAAAGGGAGAGTTTAGCCCTTTGACTGACACTAAAACAGTTCACAAACAGGAAGATAAATAATCCCACAATCTGCTTTTTCTTGACTAAAATGCTAATTCATGCAAAGCTGCTTCAAAAGGTAATCAGATCATCTACCTTATGTGGAGCGTATTCAGAGTTAATTTGACGTTTCTGCCATGTATTGTTCTTGAGTAATTGTGGCCACAGGTGTCGTGACATTTTTCTCTGTTGCTATGGAAATTTATGCAGGGAGGTGCACTAAAACTGAATGTGATCAGTTGTTATTGCTCAGCAGGGAGAAAGTTTCAATCATGTATTGTGGTAAAATATGCACACAGTGGCAGCGCTGATGGCAGAAGTGGCTCGTCCTCTGAGAGGGCAAAGGCCAAAAGCAAAACATTCCAGCTTGCAGGCCGGCTATGCAAATGGCAGCTCAGTCAATACAGCAGTGATGAGCAGAAAGGCGTCATTAAACCTTGAGGGAGAAATACAGCAGTGGAGGAGTTCAATGGGGTCACACACTTGTCAGCTATGAACAGAAATGAGGAACAAGGCACCGTAATTATTTTGAAACAGAGAGATAAAGTTTAACATGTACTCTGCTCTGCTAATCCAGGGCAGGGGCAGGGGCAGGGGCTGCAACTGTCTGCAGAGCTGTCACTCAAGGTGCCATACCGCTTATTTTTAGCATGACATAACTCATGAAGACTGAACTTCTCAGACAAATACACACAGTGGAAAAAAGTTAGCATGATGAGATCAACTACAATGACAGTAAATTGATTTGTTTAGCTGCTTTTAAAGTTTGGCCCATGAGGGAGATCTCATGTGATTTCCAAACCAACCATTTTGAGCAGTTTACATCTATTTTCTAGGATCGTGACAACATATGTTTACCTATGGCTTTGAAAACTTGCATACATCCAGTATGGACTCCAAATATTGTAACTTTGCAAAATTTAAGCGTTGAGTCTTGTTAGAAAATTCATATTCAAACCAAAAGTGATTCAAAAACAGGCTCAGAAGTGCCACTTCACTGAGAAGTGTTGAGTTAAAAGTTGCATCTTTGAACCTCTTTATTACTAACAGCATGTCAATTGCATGACTCAGAGAGGAAGTAGAGCTGAATGAGGACCAAGGTCAGCACTGTCTTGCTTGAGACTTGCTCACCTTGTCCAATGTAAGCGATGATGGAAAAGTTCAATTTAGCGCTAAAACTAAACTAACAAAAAGGAAGGCGACAAATGTTCCTAACACGCCGGCAGATTTTCAAGAAGACCCTCCGACTGGCTCCAGTTCTGGATAGGGGGTGTCCCCATACAACTTGTTTACATTCGATACTGATATTGTGGCCTTCTTCAGTATTAGATGGTACAAATTTTGATCCGGTATTAGCACAAACTTGGCATGACGAGTTTTGCACTCAGCAGCAACATATTTTTTGGACTTTGCTAGTAACTAAGTACACACCGATATTTTTTTGCTGGTATCAGACCGATATCGGATATTGGGACATCCCTAGTTCTCGATCCATCTGATCCAGTTGTCCCTCCTGTCAGTGAACCCAGTTCCTCCTAATGTCCTGTTTGACATTTTCTGATGTAATCTTACGACTTCAGCCAGATAATACGTGAGTATAAGGGCCTAGTCAGACGCTAAAACTACACTCAACTTTTCGGTTTTAGTTTCATATTTGCTCATCCCAGAAGATGACTTATAAAGTATCTCTTTAAGTAGGATAAAAAGGTCCACGAGGTCAATTTGGATCAAGACAAAATCATCTCCTCCATCTCATTAAGACACCGGAACTATTGATTAATGTGCATTTAAACTCTTTAGACCCTCATTCCCTTCCCGCTAATCAAACGAGCCCAAACAGCCGCAGACTGCTCCAGACTCCAGCTCAGCGGGCTTCAAAGACTCCAGCAGAGGAGCAGGAGGTTTGCTGCTGCTTGAGGAGGGAGATTAAATTATCAAATGAAGAGAGGCAGGAGGGGAGGTTTGAGACTTGAGCGCATTACCCAACCACAGTGACCCCTGAACTGGCGAACCCATTCAGCTCATTCATCAATGCAAGGTTAGAGACTCACTAAAGGGTTCAAAGGCTGTGGCAATCAGTAGAGGCAGCAAACTGGAGCAGTGATAGAACATGGGCTTTTTATGGCTACATGATGGGAGCGTTTGGCCTCTCTCACCTGGTCAGAATGAAGGGTCAATGTTGAGTGATTACAGCCCCCCTCTTCTAATCCTGTAACATTTATGACCATTATGTGATACAGAGGAACTGGAGCAAAGGCCAAATGCAGTAACCTGTACTGTATAGAATAAATGCATTGTAAAAAAAGATTAATGGTTTAGTGGGAATGGTGCTTTATATCAGACAACCTCAACTATTATTACCCAACAAACACGACGGACTCAACAAAACATGGAAGTAGATTGAGAGATGTTGCTCACTGGTTCTTTAAGAGGGGTTCTGTAGCCAAAATATGGTGGTTGGTTGCCATGTTTAAAATGCCAATTCCAACTAATCTAGAAACTGGCACATTGGTAGAGCTAGCATTTTGTTATTTCTGAGGACAAAGATTAGAAACAAAAAGAAACAACTTGTTAGGATCTGTTTGTGCTGCCTCAACCAAGGATTAAAGGCACAGTGTGAAGAAATAAGGATATTTTGCCATATCTAGCTGAAATGCTCCCTTGTTAACCACTAAGCCACAGTGGCCTTCAAGAACAAGAGGCTCCTGTGATACACAGTGAATATGATCCTTCATTTTTCAGCATTTGTTACGATCAAAAATATCCACCAATGCAAAAACAAACCAACACATTTTTCTTCTTCATCTTCAAACGTATATGTTTCTAGTTTTTCTATGTGCCACCATAGAAAAATAGCAGTGCAAGATGGCAGCCTCTGTGGTAGGTGACAGAAAAAGGTAAATATCCATATTTAAACATACTTATGGATAATATATTCTATTTGTACTCTGTCTATACAATGACTTAAAGCAAAATTTTACAAACCACAACTTAAAGCATACAACATTAATTGTAACTGTATTTACAATTAGCCAGAGAAGACTTTACTAAATATCAAAGACTTTATAAGCCTGTTTAAAATACTTGTTTGTGATTGGTTAATACTCCATAGCAACGGTTTGTTATTTCTTGATTGCACACTTTTGATACAGAAGCAGCTGTAGACACAAATTTGGGCAGCCTAAATGTAATCATATCTATCCAAATATATCAGTACTGTTCTAACGGGTTTGTTAGATATTTAACAAGTTACATATAACTTCAAAATAAACTACATTGAGGCATTAAGAGAAAATATATGAATACTTTTTTTTGTACTCAAAAATGAACTTTACATTTTTAACTCATCAAAACTCCCCCACATGTTTTCCTGTTTTCACAGATCCATGTGATGCTTTATTTTTTTTGGATGAACCTTTTCACTCCTAAGTTCATACCAGTTCTCTCAAATTTCAAACAGCTTTTGAATAAACAGAAATATGACGAGCATTGAAAGTTTTAATGAATGAATGATCAATGATTTTCAGCAGTCAAGGTTGTTTTTGCACAAATTCTTTAAGAAATTGAACATATTTGAAGGATTTTTCAAAGGACCATGACAAAAAAAGGATCAAATGGCATCAAAAGTGACCCAATAGACATCATCTGTTCCTCTTTAAGTACCAACTCACTATTGGCAGAACAATATCTTCCTCTGACCCTGAAGGACGCTATCAAGAGTCCTTTAAAAGCTCCTCTGAATTGCACGTCGATTAGGGCTCGACAAGCCTGCTGAACCGTGTCAGAGTGAATGGAGTGTTTAAACTCGGCTGTTTACAGCAGGGGCTGGCGGCGATTCAGACCCAGCGAATAAAGATTCAAAACCCAAATGAAAAAAGACAATATAATTGGACCTTGACATTTTACAAGGCAACCAGGAAGAAAGTGAAAGTGGCTGAGCGGCTTTCAGGCATGAAATCAAACCTTTACAAAGCCAGGCAAAGATTTCCCAGTGATAATTAATTGCTTTGATAAAACATTTCGTCCCCACATTTGCATGAAAGATGGAGTACTGAACTCTAAACGCTGACTCAAGAAAGGTTCCTGTTCGCTCCACACACACACACTGTGGGGGCGTAATAAATCATTACAGCAGTATTCGGCTGTCTATTATTACTTCATACCAGAGCTCAGAGAAAACAGATACAAAAATATTCAACCCTTTGGCTTACCTTGAAACTTTTCTGACATTTCCAAAGGCTTTTAAACATGTAACAAAAATCTGCACCAGATTAAAGAATTTAAAGCTCCTGTGTTCAGATTTCTAATCATCTGTGAAACATACTTAACATACATAAAGCAGTTTTTCTTCTGATATAAATGTTGACAGAGCTTGTGGGTGTTATTTTTTACACCAGCTTTGCAGTCAAATGTTATGCCTTGAAATTATCCAACTGAGCAATAGACGGCTGTTGGATGTCTAGTTTTTTTAGACCTAATTTCAACCGTCTAGATTCTGTATTATTCTTAGACGGAATCTAGATGTTGCACTTTAACCCATTATTTGATAACTATGTATGTCAAAAAGAAACTGCGAGTTGCATAACTGATCTCCAAGTACTTAACCAAAATAATTATAATAGCTATTGAGCAATATACAGTGTAGTATAGATATAGCCCAGATTTAGACTTGGTCTAAATTTAGACGTCTAAAAAGTTTTCATCTTAGGCCTGTGGTAGCCTAATTTCAGACCAGTCGTCTAGGCTACATTTAGACGTCTATTAGACCTCTTTTAGACCAAAAAATGGCCTCCAGCAAAAGTCTGAGGCTAGCTTTTATCACCTCCCTCACAGCACAAAGTCTTCCCTGTCAGATCATGTTGGTAAGAGGCAGGTAGAAGAGTCTCAGGGGGAAAGACATGACATTTAGAGCATGCTGCAAAAAGCTTTTGCATAATGTTCACAACATGATGGCACATGAAGCACCAGAGACCACACTTTGATAACAGTTGTAGATTTGTATTATTGGTGCTATACATAAATTGATGGATGTGCAGAAATCTTTGCTGTTCCTGTCATCCAACATCAGAAATTTTTAATAATTTAGTTTCAAGTTGCTCTTTTTGATTCATATCAGTCACATGATCTCAACTTCATCACCTTCATCTACTTCATTGTGGTAAATCTTCCACAATATTCCCAGCTGGGCTGTCAAATCAAATCAACATTGGCTTCTTGTAAAAATTTCAGTCGGTGTCTAGTGAGATAAACTCCACAGGTATTTGAGGTGTAAATCTTGACTGTTCGTGTTCACACATGCTGAAAATTTTGGGATAGTTTTAGGAGTTCAGTAAATGTGTGAATATGACTGAAAACAGTTTAGTATTTTGAAAGGATTGCAAACATATAGGTCCACAACAAATCAAGAAATCTCACTAGGGACAAGCGTATCCTTATTTTCTAAATATACTGAATTCTTTGTCTTATCTCTGTAGATTCTTATAATTTTGTAGGATTTTTAGGAAACTTTAAAAATGCAATGAATCAAGACAAAACATTTAAGAGACTTTAGCTCTCTTAAATAGTTTCTTAAGGAAAATCCGATCCAATTAAGTTGTCTGTCAAAAGTTATCCAACTTTCCTTTAGGTGTAAAAGACAAACTACTTTGACTTTCCTCCTGGTCACACTGAGCAGAGGAGATTGAATATGCTCTGAAAAGAGGCAGACAGCACAGGCTGAGACAGGTGAGTGAATGCTGGAGGGAAGTGAAAAAGGAGTGAAAATAGTGCAGTCTGCGAGCTGGAGTCGATCACACACTTGCTCTCACACTGTGTTGTCGTCTATCTGCTCGTCTGAGTGACTGCTGTGAGTCTTTGGCAAACGTACAAACACGGAGCAGTCCTCGCTATCCTCTACTCCCACCTCTGTCTTTTCCTCTTTCTTGTGCTCCCTTTCGCTCCCTTTGCCTCTGTACACAAACAAATCAATCTTCCTTCGACCTGCAGGAGATGAGCGCGGCCAGTGAGAGGCATGTTGAGTGTGATGAATGGGTTCAGGCGAGGGGAGGGCTGTTCGAGGATACGTTGGAGGAGCAAGCTAGGCGATACGAGGGTGCTTTTTCAGCTGAGAAGGTGCTATCGAACAGCCGCGCTCATTACTAGTAGCTGAAGGGGGATGAGGGGCTGCAACTGAAAAACAGACTCTTTTTTTTCCTTCTGCAGCTTCTGAAGCACTACGATACACAAGACATGAAAAAAACAGTCTGTCCCCACAGACACTGTAGGCCTGCTCCTTTACTGCAGGGCCTGTACACTCAGACACTAAAGTTGAGAGAGTTGAACACAAGGTCAACAAAGGTTTCTCTCCACAAAGTTAGAATATCATAACCATCTGGAAGTCCTTGGCACGATGGCCTCACTGCTGATTCACAGATGAACAATCACAAGATCACATTACAGAACTGATTTTAACTCACTATCTTTCTATTTTATGGGTGTTTACATGCTGACACCCCTTTCAGCTAATAATCAGCGAAGCTTCCCCGCAGGTCTTTGAGATCTGGAGAGAGGCAATGATGGTGTGTTAGAGGCTGTCTGCAAAGTAGCTGGCTGTAAACCCTGGATAACCCTGGTGTTTCCTGCCCAAACACACTCTGCACAAACGCTTTGTGGAGAGAAGGTCTTCACACACCAGGCAATAGGCAAAGCAACGCGAATAGGCGACGCGAAATGGCGAATGTTTCGCCTGTGAATTTTTTCTGTACACACCAGGCGCAACGTGGTTATGCGAATGAAATCTGCTAAGCGAATAAAGTTTGGCGCATTTTCTTTTTCTTCTCTTCATATACAAACATTTACTGGACTTTGAAAAAGTTGCCCCGCGCTGGTTAGTTAGCTTGCTTAGCTTCATATTATGCTGGCTACATTACACGTCTATGTTTGAGGATTGATATAACATCAATATTCTCACCAGGTAAATTGAGGTCTTCTTCTATTTCCTGCCATATATTTTCTTCGAGGAGAGTGTCGTGGAATATTTTAAGGGACTTGTCCCATAAAGCAGGACGCTCCTGCACACTAATGATAAAGCGCTCAGTCATGATGAATGAGTGCAGACTGGGGCTGATGCTGCCTGTAAAGTTTGGATGTGGCGTCATTGACATACCAACATCATTTTATTTGGCCAGAGGTCTGGCCATTCACCTTTTTCGCCTCCACAAAATTTGACACAAGAGCAAATAAAAAACATAATAATTATGGCGAATTTTCACTGCCGGTGTGTAAGGTCACGTTGACTTCAATAGGTTTTAAAAAAAGCGAATTATTCGTCTCGCGAATTCGCTCCTGGTGTGTAAGGACCTAAAGGGTTTGTGCACCAAGACTACCTGCATCAACACATTCTGCAAGGCAGCTTTCTACACAAGCACTCTTTACACCAAGACTGACGCTGACTGCACCAACAAAGTTCCTGCACTAATGCTCTGTGCACTAAGACCTCCATTACAGCACATTCTGCACCAACGCTCTGAGCTGGCACTCCCTGGGCCAAGACAACTTGCACAGGCACTCCATGCAAAGAAACTTCCAGCACTACCCGGATGACCTGCACCCACCAACACTCTCTGCAACAACACTTTCAGAGCTGGGACTTTCTTCACTACTGCTCTCTACACCACTACTTGAAGTATCAAGCCTTTATTCACTACTGCTTACTGCACAAAAACTCCCAGCACCAGTGGGCCCTAAAGAAAAGTGTTGAGCACCAAAACTCTCTCTTTGCGATCCTTCTCTAACACTCTATGCACAAACACCCTCCATACCACGACTTCCAAAACTAATGCTCTCTGTATCAGGTCTCCTCGTACCAGTGCTTTCTGTTTTGACAATCTATACATCAAAGCTATCCGGGTTTATGCTATTTGCACCACCACTCTCATGCACTAATGTTCTCTGCACCAAGGCTCTTTAGATCGATTTATTAGTGCACCGACACTCTACTCTGACGGTCCCTGCACTGATACTCACTGCACAAATTCTCTTTGTACCAACAAGCTCTTCGTCAACATGCCTTAGAACAATGCAATGCTCTATTTTGAGGTTTTCTGCGCCTACACTTTTGCCACCAACACGCTTAACCAACAATTCCTACACTAATGCTCCTTTCACCACGCTCCTGCTCTGATGGCCTTAGCGTCTTTACCACAAAAACACTCTTGGAAAAGTCTATCTGTGCACCAAGGCTGTTTGCACTGATTTAACACAGCACTGATATTTTCTGCACAAACTGCAACCATCAGTGAAGTCGGCTTAATCACTTCTCTAACAGATGGCTGTTGATTTCCTCCTGTAACTTTTTCCAACATTGCTTCCACAGATTACAGTGTTTTTAACTTCTGTTATTACCCAGTAAGAAATAGAGATGCCAGCAAGCGACGCTCTGTGGTATGTGGGGACCAAACTCTTTTTTTTTTTACCAGACTGTGAGAAAATTGGATGTTTTCACAGGACAGAGGACAGAAAGAAACAAATCAACTTCAGTCAGGGAAAGAAAAAAAAAAGAGTCACAAGCTGATGAAGGTGCGTAGTGTGTTGCCTAACAAGACAAAATCATGGTATGGATGAATAGATTGGGAGACAGGGTGGTAAGGATGGACAGAGGTATTGGGTGTTTGCATCCTAAAGTGTAAAGTTCAGGCTTGCTTTTATAGTATTCAAAAGATCACTGAAATAGATCATTAAAAACAGTTTCAGCCAGTGCTTAATGGGTCTACGCTCATAATTTTTTTTTCTTTTGCCAAATCAGACTTCTCTCCTTGTCCACGTACACATGCAGCTGAGAAAATCCAATTATTGATGTGAACGTTTCCTCCTCCCTAAAACTAGGGGGTGATATGGGTCTTTTCAGCAGCACTGTTTCCGAACCCATACAACTGTCAACAACAACAGCAAGTCCATGCCAGACGTCAGAAGTGGCGAGAGCTGCTGCTGGGCATTTTCAAGCAGGAAGATGGAGCTTCATACAGTACGCGCTACTTTTTCTGCAGATGAGGTGCACACTACTCCTCTTCTCTGGTGTTTTTGTTCCAGGGGTTACAGGGGAGTGGCGCACTTGCACATGTATTGTCCAATCATACTCTAACTACGCTGGTTACATGGTAGAGAAAATTGAATTCCAACCACATTATCTGGGTGTCTTAATCGGATCTCCGACTCCAATCAGAGTTCTCAAACTATAGCAATAATTCGGTTTTCTTGAGTGTCATGTAAACATACTGACTGCCAAACTACTGGGATGCCAAAAGGCTGGGTGGAAATTCAGGGTTTTGCCTGTGAAAGTTGGAAGCCAGGTTTTGTACGCAGTGCAGTTGAGTCGCTGCAGGACGGTGGTAAGACAGGGTCAAGCTTGTGAAAAGTTCTGAGGGAGCAAGAAAAAGAGGCTTTAGCTCCAGAGTAAGGGAATCCATTGAAGGCGAACACCCCTATTAAAGGACACTCCAGGGGGTGTCTGGGAGATGTCCTCAATACTCTATTGGCCCTTCCTGCAGTGAAGAGTCATCAGTTGAAATCTACTTTCGAGCAGCTCAGTCTGTGTAAATAGAGATGAAAATCTCAGCAGTGCTGTCAGCTGCAGACACCAAACTTGGAAAAAAGAGCACTGGTCTACCTGATTACTGCAGCCCACATCTCTTTCAATGTAGATGCTGACACCTGGTCTAAAGCTGTGTTTGTACTTCTGCATCTCTTCTGGTTCTAAACCATACCTATCCCACAGTGGCTGCTACTCTCAAAAGCACAACCTACTTTTGCCCTTTCATGTCATTGTAACAGATTCCCAGTGTGATATGTTTGAGCTGATATATGTTGTGCAGCAGTTGATAGTGCTGCAATTTTTTTCAAAATAATACAGACAGAAAGAAGTTGGAGGAAACATAAACTACTCTGTTGAGGAGGTGCATGTAGGCTGCTGCGTAGGTACAGGGCTACAGAGTAGGCCTGGTGCAGAGGTCTTATCCAGGCTTAAATCTCTTCATAATGAGTCCGTAAAGAAAACAAAATGTGTGTTTACAACAGTGATGGCGATATTATAAAATCCATTTGTGTCAGACTATGACAACAGTGATGGTTTTAAGACCGGTACACCACCCACTACTGGCAGAGTGTGACGTCTAAGGCAGTGTCTGTTATCCTTAATCTTCACAACAGACCTGTGGCTGTTTCCACAAGGTTACACCTAAAAATCTGCACTTCAAATCCTATGTCCTCGACTATAAGCCAGAGAACATTGAAAAAATGCTGCTTTCCAAATTTAGAAGTCTATGAATAATTGTGAAAGGAGCTTTGAAAGCAGCCACTTAACTTGCCCCCTTTTAAATGCAACCGCTCCATTGAAACATTTAAATGAGGTGTCAGGTGTGCAGTGTTGCTTGCACCTGCTACCTGATGGCAGGTTTGAGTGTCCTTCTCTAATTGGGCTTGGAGATGAATGTTCCTGCAGCACAAATGCAAACAACAGTTGACAAAATGGCAGTGAAGCTATCTCCGGGATAACACGCAAACCAATAGCAGTTGTCGCTGTCTGTGTAAGCAGCCCCATCAAAAATAGCCTGGGGGGTGATTTCCTGCTCATCTTACATATGCACAGCGGTGCTCCTGGTCGTCCTGGTGATGGGTGGTTGCTGGGGTAACTAAACAAGATGGTCCAGCCAAGGTTACTTGAAAAGACGGAGTGAAATAGGAGTATGAGATAATAAGGGCAGAGCAGATGGAGGGGACAGATTGTAGGCTGCTTTGTTTTTTTTTTTTTTTTACTTTTTTTACATCGTTCTCTTTAATATAACATGTTCAACTGTGCTACTCATAGACACTTTCATATAGAGTGAGAAAGGAGAAGCCTAAGATTAGTCAAAGTTGAGAGTCATTAATAATTCAAACTGCAATGAATGGGCCTTTACATCTTGCACGCTAGGGCCTGTAGCAGCTGCAGGATGTCTGTGCTGAAGCTATGGCTTTGCAGGAGGAAATGGTACAACCATCATGAGCTTAGTAGTCCTGGTATATCCATTCAAACTGAGATTGCTAGCATGCATGTTTGAGTTTCAGCAAACAGAACAGTGTAAAAGTAAACCTATGGCGTTGATAATCTTTGGGAACCTTTATGACAGTATCAAAACATTTGTAAAGGCATGTATGTGAGTTAATTCTGCTTTTTTAAAAGGTGCTGCTGTAACTACAACAAAAATGTATGTATAGAGATTTATATAGAGATGTATATATTCAATCAAAACTGATCAGAGAATGTACGTGAACACTAGCACCTTGTACCTTAACAGGATGTAAAAATGGGAGCATAGTTGTATTCAGAGGTACATCTTTACCTTCAAATGAGATATCAATCAGATTAATCGCTGTGTGAAGAAGTTTATTGAACTTCCTGTTTAGCACCAACTCATTAAAGACACTTGATCATGTCAATGAAATATCAATGAGATTGAAAGCTGTATGAAGGCATTTGAAGGACTTCCCGTTTAATTGATATCTATCAAAGTTTTACAAGCTGCCAAGACCACACCCTTTTATGCACAATCAATGCTTTGACAACTTTTAATTTCAGCATGCGTACAAAACACACAATGCTTTTAAATAAACTCAAATAAACTATCTGTAAATTTGAGGAAGAGAAATTTAAAGCAAAGTGGTGAATATCCTGTTGGGTTTTTGGTATGGTAGCAAGAGGATTATTTCGTAGGTCTCGGCGTGATACATTTACCCAGAAAAAAACTCTGCTTGTGAAATCAACTGAGTAGGAGGGCTAAATGTTTGAAAACTCAAAATAGAAGGGGGCGCTGTGGAGCCATTTTTGAGAATCCTTTTCGGAAAACCATTTAAATATTTATGTAAAAACATGTGAAATATACTTCAGTTGGCAGGTCTAATGTTTGTGCCAGAAAGTTGGGTTTGGGGGCATGCCAAGGCTTTTAAGAAAGAAAGGAAAAAAGAAAAGAAAGAAAGAAAGTAAGAAAGAAAGTAAGAAAGAACGAAAGAAAGAACGAAAGAAAGAAAGAAAGAAAGAAAGAAAGAAAGAAAGAAAGAAAGAAAGAAAGAAAGAAAGAAAGAAAGAAAGAAAGAAAGAAAGAAAGAAAGAAACTCACTCTGTTAGGTGCTCTAGCTTTCATTACAGCTGAATCCTACACAAATACACATGTGATATACAACAGAAAGAAGAGCACAGTGTATTTCTTTCTGCCTTTTCTCTCCTGGAATGACTGACAACCAAATATTACTTCAAACCTGTGGGATTAGTTCTGCTAGGAGTCTTTGCTGAACAATAAAACTTTAACAATTTAGACCGTGTGGCAGTCTCCTGAGGGGCCAAACACAAGATGAAAGACAAAAGTTTTTAAAGCCAAACTCTTCTGATTGGGCTGAATGTTAAAATGAAGAAGAATAACAACGCGCTAAAAAAGGTAAGAGAGAAAAATGAGGGTAAAGTGTGTGGGAGTGGGTGAATTAGGGCAGGTAACAGCAGCTGCATGAGGATGGGTGTGCCGCCCACCAAAGTTAGACTTAAAAACTGAGATAACTTGCACACGCGCACACATTCATGCGTATCTATTGTGCTTGCCCATTTACAACTCTGACTCTTGGAGGGATAATTTCATTCCATCAGCTAAAACACTGCCTCCCTTATCGCTTTGCAGACAGCCCGGCTCATCTGCTCGGAGCCAAGTTTATGCATACAAATCCACTACTTAACTTGCTAATGAAAGACCCCCATCCTCTGCCTCCAAACCTCAGCAGACGAATGCAACAATGGGCCTGGAATGAGTGCCAGAAGTATTCCCAGGTTAGAGAGCCGAGGACAGCAGCCCGCAGTAAACAACGAGGTAACGCAAACCTGGCACCTCGCCTCTCTGAGATGTAATTACAAGAGCCGAGACATCTGCGCCACTGTCTTTGCAGCCACGTAATGAGACCCAGGAAGCAACAGGAGCTTATTTTCATGCATGGTGTTGAATGACATGAGGTAGAAAGCCTCAGCTCCCACGCATCTCTCCAAGGTGGGAAACAGTGTCAGCCGTCAGGGTGACACGATTCAGGAACTATTTTAAAGAAAAATAATGTTTTTCTGATTTGTTTCTTAAAAAGGGGGAAGCCGAGGGACCAGTCAATGTAGAGAAGACAGACAGCAAAGAATACTGATAAGGTAAGGGTAAAAGTTAGTGGCCTCTTTGCTATTTTTATTTTATACAGTTGGAAACAGCAAATGTTCACTTTGGGTGTTGAGTTGAATGTTCTTTGAAATGTAGTTTTTCACTGACGGGAAATGAAACCGTGGGGGTGTTGATCTTGTCGCAAACCTTAAACACTGTAGAAATCTTTATTATCAAAAGTGAGAAAGAAGTGTGAATTAAGGGGGCGAGCAACTCTTATCATCTTGAAATAAAAACTTTCCACTTTGTGTCACAAACGTACAAATTTCAAAGACTCAAAAAATAATGTAGCTGTCAGAAATAATGCTATGGGAGTGCTTAGAACGAAAAGTGTTATTTAAATCAAAAACAGGAGAAATAAATCACTGAAAGAGGGATTTTAGGCTATAGCAAAGAGGTGTAACAAACAATACTGATGTGTGAAAACCCTACATGATGTATCAGAGACTGTGGTATGCCATTGTTGTCAAACCAAAGTCCAGTCTCATGTCTGTGTGAGGTGAATTCAAGTCAAGGCTCATATTTTAAATGAACAGTGAAAGGAAATTCTTTGTAGTCATAAAATGAAGGGGCTGGGTCAATTAAAAAGGTACTACCACATTTATTTCATATCAGACTAAATGTAAACATGAGGTCAGTTAAAGTGTAAACATTTGAGTTACATTTCCTCAGCTTAAATATTTAGAGTCTTATACAGATATTTATAATAAAAAGACATTATATTATTGTAATTTATATTATGTATTATAATTTTTAATAATATTTTTAATATTATAAAGATATATGCCCAAAGTCAGTATTTTAAGTGCTAACAGGAAAAGTGCTGCACTGAAATCTACACACCACACTTAAGAGGTTCATTTTAATCTGAGTAGATTTTGATTTTTTAATAATTTAACATCAAGTCTAGGCAAACAGCCTATCAAAGTTCAGTATTTTGAGGTGTCAAAGTCGTGATATATATCATTCAGTGGACTCAGCTTAGGCAACTTTAATCATGAAATCTTAGTCTTTATACCCTCATGCACATAAACTATCTGATAAGTTATCGGCCCAAGAAATTCCTGAGCACGCATCTCAAATCAGGGAAAAGTTGTGTTTTCTAACAGTATGGGTTTGTGTTAAAACTTTTTCAGGACATATACATATATATATATATTTTTTTTACTGTCAAAGTAGCGGCACAGACTCAGGCATGAAAGGGTTAATATTTTCACTATGAAGCTTCTTGTGAAACAAAAACCCAGCAGGTGAAGGGATATTCAGATTTAATCTAATACGTAATATCCCTGCTGTGTTTTTTGGCTCCAGGTTAGGATTCTTTATTAACCCCTGCTCTCATATATCTCTGCCTGTGTGCTGAGTTTGTGAACGCTGCGATTTAAAAGCTTCTGTTATCCTCCAGTGGGAGGATGAAGTTTTCAGGGGAGCCTGTAAAACTGTCATTCACAGACCGTCTGACTTTAACTCCCGGAGGAGAGGGGAAGATGCGTGAAAAACAATCTTGTGCCTGCGCTGTCTGTACTCAGCAAAGGCCAGCAGGGGAAAAAGTCTATTCTGCAATTTATTTGACGAGACAGGTGCTTTGAGGAGGTCCAGTTCACTTTTTTAAGTTAATTTGATCCGTGCGCAGCTGCTGTCTGTCTGAGAGAGTCAGAGGAACAAAGACTAACAAAGAGAGACACGAAAATCACTACTGTATGTCCGTATGCTGGCGCTCGCTCGTGAGCCAGCCAAACCCTGCTGACTGGAAACACACATTTGTTGCCTGGCAACACCAGTGACATCAGCAACCTTCATCATCACCCTCCTCCGCCCCCTGCCAGTGGCACTTAGGTCTTAAAATAGCGCAGAGATTATTATCAGGCCTCAAAATGGCAGACTTCTCTCTCATATGCACATGATCTGAGCTGTCTGTGGCTTCAGGGGGTTTGAGAGGGGTTTGGATATGAAGGTATATTGATTATTCAGGGGGGGTTATGGTTAGCAGGTGGTTTTTAATGGATGAGAAAGAAGAAAGAAGCAGGAACTCATGAACAATAAAGAGATAATAAAGGTAAGAAGGGAGATGCATAGGAGGAAATCAGGTAATGAAGAAAGCTGTGTGGGGTCCTGTGAGCTTGATAGGACAGGATGAATCAGCGATTTCGACGACAGCAGGAGCCTGAAAAATGATTGAGCCCACTGCGCATGGGAGTAACAAGCACACCTAACACTTCCTTTCCATGTTAGGAAACTAATCCCGCCTGCATGAGCCAAACACTGCGGAGTAAAAACTCATCAAGGAGCCAAATTGGGCAAATCAGTCAAAGTCCCGTCAGTAAGCTTGTTAGTGCAATTAAATATTTCAGGAAAGACTCGGCTTTACGTATAATCACCAACTCACAATGTATGTTCAACAAATACTGAGTCTGCTGTTGGGATGTAAACACTCAAACCTTAGAATTAATGGAAAACATGACAAGAATAGAAACAAATACACACATAAACACGTCTGTGTTATTTCAAAGGTGCCATGTAAGGGTGCTGGTAATAACAGTGAAAATGAAACAGCAGCTGTAATGTGGCTGTATTTAACTGTAACAGTGTGCAGTCAATAGGCAGTCCTAAATAACGAATGTAAATTCCATTATGTGGCAATATCTAGTATAATGAATAAAGAACAAATGATACAGTTTTAACTTGAATTTCTATTTCAACTTTCAACTTTCAACTTTATTTTATTTATATGGCACTTTTCATACAAAGTTGTAACACAAAGTGCCTTACAAAGCATAAAAACAAAATGAAACATTAAAATCCCCAAGAAAATCCCAAACCTCCCACCCGCACAATTATACCCATACACACACCCGTGAACATAGACATACAATTCCACCCACACAACTTCACATACATACGCATCTACACAGTTAGCAGCTGATGGTGAGGAGACATGACTGGGCACTGAGATCTGAGGTGAGGAAGACGCTACCTTTGGGGGCCACGTCGACCGGGAGGCATCCCGGCCCATTGCTGCTGCAGGGGGCGCCGTCACAGGGACCACCAGCCCGGGCAGACAGGAGGCTCCGCACCAAGGTGTAGAGCTCTCTGGTTCCACCCGGGCCAGAGCTGTCCCCAGAACGGCGCCCCCACCAACAGACCAGAACCCGCTCCCGGTGAAGCAGCCCCCAGGAGGAAACACTGGAAAAACTGAGGGACTAAAAGAATAAAATAAGACATAAAAGTATAGAAACTAAAACTGTAATCGCTAAGACAGACCCAGTAAATAATGTAAGATAAAATGATTCTGTGCACTGTAAAACACGCTAGACTAAAAATAATGATAATAAAATTGATAGATTAAAGAATAAAATAGAACGGTAATAAAAAGTGTTAATTAGTAAAACAATAAAAGTGAGCATAAAAGAGATTAAAAGAGTTAAACTAGTCAATTAAAAGCCTGATTAAAAAGATGAGTCTTTATTATGAGTCTTTATTATTATTTGCATTCACACACATACACATCATCTGTATATCTATATTTACATTATATCTATATATACTATACATATATATTTATACTATAATAATATTCAAACTTGATATTTTTATCAATTTTATATAATATATAATGTAAATGTTATCCTAATGTTACAGCACTTTGTCCTTGTTGCATTATTCCTATGTTGTGAATTTTCGTTATTTAGTATTTGTCTGCTGAAAGCTCGCTTTGAGATGAACTTCATTTAAAGGTGGGGTAGGCAGGATCTGAGGAAGTGCCAGTTTTTGGGAGAAATCTTAAATGTAAACTCTACCCCTCTCAACCAGTTTTCCCCTCAGCTCCTCCTCTCCCCTCCGTCTCTGCTCCAGCAAGCCCCGCCCACAAACAGACGCTCCTGCTCGCTCGTATCTTTCCAATTAAATTCAGATATAATGCAGATAAATACTTAAGAGAATTACAAATGGGGCCCAGTCAACATGAAAGTAAAAAGCATTGGTGCTACTGTAGATGCCAACAGACTGTTACAGACACTTGGCTTACTTTGTCAAAGCCTCCCCCATAGATGCCAGAGTCCCTGGTATTTACTTCGTGCTATTGCTTGTGTTGGCGGTCGTGGCCAAAGGAGGATTCAGACAATATTTCGTAGTTTCTGGTTGGTTTCTACTGTCTGATATTGTTGCACGCTAACTTTGTTTGGGCTTGTGAACGTTAGTGGAGCGTGCCTCACAACATGGGGGAGCAGCATCTGCCTTACAACCAATCAGGTTGGGGGAGGCAGAGAATGGCTTTGTCTACAGTTAGAAAGAGCGGGCCGCTCAAGAATTTTAAAATGTTGACTACTCAGACATAACAAAACACAGCGATATTGTTATATTACCAAATTTCATCAATGACTAATAGCTATTGACTGATATTAAAAGCTTTTTTTGTATATACACCACAAAAAAAGATGCTTCTTTAACGGATTCCTGCCTACCCCACCTTTTAGAAGAATATCTAATTGTATAGAAACATCATCCAATCAGAGGATATCTTCATCAGTGCTGTATTATTCTACATAACAGGACCTCTGATGCTGCTTTCGATCAGACCACCAGTATGGAAAAGTGTCTGTTTTGTGTCAGCTGACTCTCTTTCAGGGCCTCCTGTTACTCCAAGGAGAACTCTGTTAGCATTGCCGCTAGCTGTTTGTGTGACGCTGCTGTTTACCAATCAGTGACGATACGCAGTTGGCAGCGAGGCAAGGAATGCCTCATGGATTTGGATGGGAGAACAATACAAAACAAAACCTGACCTTTTTTCTTTTTTTTTAATCTTTTCAGAGCTATGTGTCTGGCACGGCTGATCAAGTTTTCCCAGTGTAGGGAGATGATATTGAAGATAATGAAATACATGATGCTTCCGTTAGGAGCAGGAAAACACAAACATAAACACAGACACACACGCACAGACACACTCTCTGTTGATAAATAAAGGAGTCTATAGTGATGATAAAGCAGCTTTACACTGAGGAGCTGGAGAAAACACTCAAAGCTTTGTCTGAGACAGCTGGGTGGAGGTAGAGGTTCAAAAGTATTTTAAACACAAAGCAAATCCAGTGACAAACATTTTTCTTTATTTATTATTAATTCAGCTGGGAAACTTTAAACTCAAAAGGAATTTTGAATAAATGTTGTGTTTTTTTTCAGCTGTCAGTGACAGACACAGGCTCCCTCAATGAGTCAGACGTCTGATATGCTCCACCACATCTCCAAGGACATATTTTATAAACGTTCCCAGCAGATTTAAAAAATGACCTTGTGTAAACTTGTCGGCTTATTCAAGGATTTGTAATATCAGTTGGATTTTGTCGTTTCCTAAAGGTATTCTGGGTCAAAGTCATAGCAAAGTTTTAATAATTTACCAAAGATACTTAAACCTGGTATGAATCTAAAAGGTGTAGCTACTCTGTTGAGGTGTTGTTGCCGTATCAACGTGTCAATAGTGCAGTACGGTTATCAATTCTGTCTACAAACAGTCAAACCTGCTTCTTAAAAGACGTACATCACGGCTGATTATTTTCCCATCAAGAGGTTCAAAACCATGATGAGTCCAATTTTGATGATGGAAAACCATATGAGATCTCAGAGTGAATGAAGGATCTAGGGAGTGTAGATCTGATTAAAGTGGAAATTGGTCCAGTATTGAGAGAGAGCAGAGCAGCCCACAGCTGTGAAACAAGCTAATACATAGCTGACCAGGCAATTCTACGTCTTCAAACTGCACTATTTCATCGCTGACAGACTCAGATTGTTATTACAAGTCCAGAACAGAAGAGCAAGGGTTTCCCCTAACCTTCCACTTGTCCTGGTCTGTGATCAACCAAAACTTGTTGGTTAGGAAGAGTAGGTCTAACGTCTAATGAGATCTCAATTGTTGCAGGAGGACAATGAAAATCTTAAACTAAAGTTTTAGACCTCTTATTAAAATTTAAAATTTTTAAGAAATTTAAGTCTTAAATTTCAGAAAGAAAAGTTATCTTGAGTGAGCATTTCCTATTTGGTAACCTTCAGGGTTGTGATTACGTTAGGTTAGGTTAGGTTAGGTTAGGTTTGGTTAGGTTAGGTTAGGTTAGGTTAGGTTAAATTAGGTTAGGATTAGGTTAGGTTAGGTTAGGTTAGGTTAGGCTAGGCTAGGTTAGGTCAGGTTAAATTAGGTTAGGATTAGGTTAGGTTAGGTTAGGTTAGGATTAGGTTAGGTTAGGTTAGGTTAGGTTAGGTTAGGTTAGGTTAGGTTAGGATTAGGTTAGGTTAGGTTAGGTTAGGATTAGGTTAGGTTGGGTTAGGGACTCAAAAGTCTGCTTAATGTTGTGTTTCCACCAAATAAATAAATGATTGTGACTTAATTCATGTATATTTGGTCTCCTGGATGTTGTGTGTTTTCTCAGTTAAATCACATGAAGAACTCGCTACATTTGCATGTATGTATGCTGTCTTGATATTAGGAACAAATTGTACTTTAAGGATTGGTTTATGCTCCATTTTCCCAATGATTAAACCTTCACTGATTTGTCATTGACATACAACACCAGGAAATCTCCCTGCTGATTGGCTATCGTATCGCAATCTATTCACCCAAGTTCTGATTGTTTAACTCTCGTACATAAGTTAATGAAATGAGGCACTTTGAACACATTTGCGAATTTGCATCAATTGCACATACAATCTGCTCAAATCGCGCTATTCACTCCACCTCATTTACATTATTTGCAAGTTTGTCAAGAACTCGCATTTAATTGTATCCTTACATTGACTTTAAGTGTAATCCGCATTTGGTGTAAAAGCATTTGTATTACATTATCAAGCCTTTATGTTTTTATGGCTTGTTTTATTTTGATGATACTCCCTAAACTGGCAACACAATCAAATCATCCACTGAGAGATGTTGATATTGTTGTGAAGATGTTTTTGTCACATCACTAAGCCCCATGGTAGCTTTCTAATCTGTAAGCCAAACCCTAGAAAACTAATAATACTTTCATTTAAACTTTCTGTGTCCCATTTTATTTTCCACCTCCACCCATCATTACTCATGGTGCACCTTTTCCAACCATCGATTACAACTTTCAGCTGCTCAATATTACACTCCAGGATTACAAGCACACAGCTCAAAGGATTTATGAGCAGCCACACCAGTGATTGATCCTCTTCTGTTTCTTTCTATTCTGCAGGTGACTAGAACAAGCAAAGCTCTGAACAAGTAGCGAGGCAGGTATATCAATATTTATAGATGAAAACCAATTTTGTAAGAGAGGGACTAAAAGACTGTCACAAGTTTGAAAAATGAGTTGATTTTGTGTTAGAGGCCAGCAGATGCGGACTAGCTTTGCTTTTCAGGTGTGTGATGATAATGAGTTTCTCAAGTAGGAGCCTGCCTCTCATTTCTGTGACGGCTAAACGAGCCTTGAATCCTAAACTGCTCGCTATTGAACAAGTTGTTTCCCCCGCCGTTGCTGAAGGAGAGTTGTCAAGGGGGAGACATTGTTAAGAGTTGCTTGATGGATGTCCTGTCTCCAGAGAGACGGTCGAACAGAGCAGCGTGACGCTCCAAACAGGGTGACTCATGAACTCGGCACAGACAGAGGGAAACTGTAAACACACTGCTTGTTATGCCTCTCTGACATCAGCGAGTCAATGTAAAAAGCTGGTATTTCTAACTACCCAGAACACATCATTATAGACCCCTTTAACACTTTTTCTTACAGCTATTACAGTCATTCAACTCCAATAGATTTCCTTCACACCTTTTGCTTTCATGTGTTTGAGGTGCTGCATCCAGTCCCAGTTGTTCCACACTACATGGTGATACAGAAATAGATTTACTGATTCTCAGTGCATGTGTGTCAAATACAAAGTGTAAGAAATACCAAAAATGTGTGCAATATTTAGTCACAGCCTCCTGTAAGTCATTCCTATTTGGCTATTCTGACCCACAAGCCTGTGTGCAGCGGGGAATTTCTCAGCAGAAAATTCAGCCTCAGAGCTGCCACATGTCTCTCTGGTGAGCTTAGCAATGGGAGCTTGGTATTTCTGGAGCAACAATTTTTCTAGCAACACTAGTAGCAATCTCATGGGCTTAAGATTGCAACCGTCCAATGAGCAAAGAGCCCAGAGCTTGTGCAATGCAATGATGAAGAAATACTTTCTTTGGTCAGCTGTGGTACATGTTAAAGGGATATTCCAGAATAAAATGAAGTTAGGGTCAAACACACCGAGTTAGACACCCCGTTGAGAGATGAATGTTGCTGACCGCTTGCTTTTCTAGTTATACCAACTTTAGTGACGACCTCGCAATAGCAATACACAGCGGTCCCAGGAGCCACGCAATCAACCAAAACGCCACTCTATAGACACAAATAATGCTCAGAACAGCACCTAACTTCATCAAGAGTACATATAGGGTCCCAACCACAGCACTAGCCACCAAACATTTTTTTAGCTTTGCCTGATTTCTTTAGCAAAGAGACTAAACACAACTCACCTACACTCTTCCAACAGCCGCCCGCCTGTACAGAGATCTCAGGCGAGTCCATTACCGCAGCAGGGGGTCGCAGCTCAAGGAAGAACATTTATGATCATTTCTTGGTGAAAATGCAATCAGATCAAGACACTAAGACAGAAGAACCACCGCTGCATCACCCCGCTTCGGTAATGGACTTGCCAGAGGTCTCCGTAGAAACAAGCGGCTGCTGGAAGAGAGTAGGTGAGTTCTGTTTAGTCTCTTTTCTAAAGAAATTTGGCAAAATTAAAAAGATGTTTGGTGGCTAGTACTATGGCTGGGACCCTATATGTACTGTTGATGATGTTAGGTGCTGTTCTGAGCATTATTTGAGGCTATAGAGTGGCTTTTTGGTTGAGCATGTGGCTCTCTGTAGCTATCGAGCTATTGTTATTAAAGTTGGTATAACTAGAGAAGCAAGCGGTCGGCAACATTTATCTCTCGATGGGGTGTCTAAATCTGTGTTACGGTGTGTTTGACCCTAACTTAATGTTACGCCAGAATATCCCTTTAATATGTACCACAGCTGACCATAGAAAGTATTTCATCATCATTACCTTTAAGGACAGTTAACCTACTGTTCAACATGCACCTGGGTTTTGATCACAGTTGGGCAGTCCCACTTAGTGCTTTCACTCAACATGACAATCATGAACAGCATGCCTTTAAGTCGAACAATGGTTATCGCTCAATTAGGCAAATCACTGGACTGCTGCCCTTGTCCATCTACAGAGGAACCAGGTGACAACCAGGTTAAGTATGTCCGCCTCCACAACCACTTTACCATTGAGCCACAGCCACTTCCAAAGATATCTTGACAACTTCATCACAATGCATCTCATTAGTGTCTCAAGTTTTATTTGAACAAACAGTGGACTGATAATATTTCCATGATCAACAACTCCAGTGAGGAATCTGAACCCTATAAATGATTCAACTTCAAAATGAGACAGTTGTTTCCCCTCGGCAGCTTCAGACAAATGAACTGTTCCTGCTCTTCCTCTGTAACTTTAGAAAGAAATGTCAAACTAACAATGTTTTAATGAATATGTATAAGAGGGCAGAGTTTCTGTCACCCACACATTTCAAGTCAGACTGCCTCACAAAGAGAGAGAGTGTGAAAGCAAGTAGGAGCGGGAGTGACCTGCTGTAGCGTGAAAAAGCGGGGAACACATTTGGATTGCAGCGCTGGCCGCCAGCTGCCAGTTATTGAGTTTAGCAGGGGGTGAAGAATCCAATGGGATTTACACATGGAGACAGAAATCAAGAGGGCGCCAGAGGTTTTTTTTTCTCCAACTCAATAAATCACCTGGCTGGGGGAGCCACACAGTGTGACGGGATTTTTGTTAGGAATCGTGTGTGTGTGTGTGTGTGTGTGTGTGTGTGTGTGTGTGTGTGTGTGTGTGTGTGTGTGAACATGAGAGGAAGTGAGATTCAAAGTCCACTGTGAAACAAACACCGCTGTGTTAAAGTAGAGGGGTGGGAATCAACATCTCAGGCTAGTGAAAGTTTAGCCAAGTCCAACCGTGTGTGCCTTCAGTCAGACTCGATCTTAAAAGGAGGCGCACGTAGAAAGGACAGGGATTTTTTAGAGTAAACAGCTAAATCACAAAGCACCTAAAGGCTTGCAAATGTCAAAATCCTGTTTGCCTGTGTGCATTACTGCCTACATTTATCCCCACACTCCCCCGCTCTGCTCAAATAAGGCTCATCCTACGCCCTACATAATTAAAGATTAGTGTATGGATATTTAAACTGAGCGTAAGAACCCCACAGGGAGGGGGACTCTCTGCTGTTATTGCTGCTTGTGAATCATGATTGATTTTAACTCTACGTGAACCTGCTGCTGGATAAGGATGCGTGGATGTCAATGCTTATGGCAGCATTTCCTCAACAGACCTTTGTGTGCCCCCTCTATGAATGAGAAAACATTAGTAAACACGTCTAATAATAGCCCTGAACCCTGCTGATTTATAATACTGTAGCTCAGTGGTAAGCCTTAACACCTCCAACTACCTCTGAATCTACGAAAAGACCAAAATTCAGAGCAAAATATTCCACAAAAATACAACACATCATGCATCCCTGAGTCATTTTGTGTCTATTACTAACTAGACTGATCACGGTTGCTTTTATTTCTGAGGCAATCTTTTTTGGGATTTGTGGATTTTAGGTTTATTTGTTGGTCAATTTTGCCTTTCTTGAGAGTTGAGAGCAGGGGAAAACATTCAGCAGAGTCATGGCTGGTATATGATGCATGCACTTAAATGGCTGGTTTTGTGTATTTAAAGCTGCTGTATGGGACTTTTGATATGTGCTGATATTGGCGCCCTCTGTTGGCAAAGAGATATAGTATATATACTTCCTGACCACATGAAAGTGTCCTGTTATCTTGTAATGATGAACTGTATCACTCGCTCTTGTTTCTTGCTGTATAAATAAAAAGAAAAGGATATTTATTTTCAGCCTACTGTCAATCATTTGGTCTGACCCCCTCACAGTGTTTTTACTTATTAAAAATTACTACAGAGAAAGTATAAGCCTTGTTACTGATGGCCTCATATACTTTTGAGAGTTATAAAGGGGCATTGCTAACAGTTGTTTGTCAGCCAGTTAAAGGTATAGTACAGCGTAAAATTAAGTAAGGGTAAACCACACTGTAACACCGAGTTAGACACCCCTTTGAGAGATGAATGTTGCCGACCGCTTACTTCTCTAGTTACACCAACTTTAGTAACAACCACATGATAGCGATACACAGTGGTCTAAGGAGCCAAGCGAACACCTCGACTGAAACGCCACTCTATAGCCACAAATAATGCTCAGAACAGCACCTAACTTCAGCGGGGTGACGCAGCTCAAGGAAGAACATTTATGATTGTTTCTTCATGGAAATACAAACAGATCGAGATGCTAAGGCAGAAGAACTACCGCGTCTGCAGTGCAAAATGATTAATATGATGATTCTTACTTCAAGGAAATGATAAACTAATGATCATAAATGTTCTTCCTTGAGCTGCGTCACCCCGCTGCAGTCAGTGATGGCCTCGTCCAAGGTCTCCCTACAAACAAGCGGCTGCTGGAAGAGAGTAGGTGAGTTTTGTTTAGTCTCTTTGCTAAAGAAATCAGGCAAAGTTAAAAGATGTTTGGTGGCTAGTACTATGGCTGGACCCTATATGTACTGTTGATGAAGTTAGGTGTTGTTCTGAGCATTATTTGTGGCTATAGAGTGGCTCCTGGGACCGCTGTGTTTTGCTATCGTGCAGTCTTTACTAAAGTTGGTATAACTAGAGAAGCAGGCAGTCGGCAACATTCATCTCTCAAGGGGGTGTCAAATTCAGTGTTACGGTGTGTTTGACCCTAACTTAATTTTACACCGGAATATCCCTTTAAAAATCCCTTCAAGTGCCTTAAAAACCTGCTATAAGGTATTCAGTTTAAAATATGGACCCTACAGGATGAAGCTTTCAGACAGAATTCAATATATACACATGAATATCATAGAGTAAGGTTAGAGCTCATGAACTTAAGATCCTGGATAGATGGTTTGTATTTTTCCGATACTGGAGTATCGAGTTTCTCACGCTCTCATTGGACTACACACCAATCAGCTGAGGGGGCTAATCTACAATCAGATCAGAGAGTGCTGCAAACAAACTCAAGGTCGATTGCTCTCCAGCGGCCCGACAACAGTATTGACTCCAGATTTACCACAGAGATGTCGTCTTGTCCCGCATTGATCCGCCACTTCGCTCAGGCAGGATATTACCAAACAAAGTGACGCCCAATTGTTCTTTTTCGTGGGTGCTGACACATTAATCATAGTTCACTGATACTCTGAGAGGACTTTACGGGATTAAGAGGAGAGGCAAAGCATTGGCATTGTGGTACTTGATGCAGAAGAAAAGAGGGGCTAAATACCTTTTAGAAAATTGTAAACTTATCCTAATGTGTTTAATCTACAGCAAGTCAAGAGGCATGCCCCGGCAAGTCTTTCAAATTAATACTGAACAACCTCTATGAGCAACCCATAAATCAGGAGTGCACTGGAGCAAAATACCAACAGGTGGGCTGTGTTGATTGAATCTAAAGAGGAAAAGGAAAAAGGCAGATTAACTTCACATTTCTCTAATAATGATTCAGTGGAAATCTACAGAGTGCTATACTAATATTATTCTGGAGGTCAGGATTAAAAGACTCAAGTGAAGTCATTGTTTCTACTGTGCACAGGAATAGTTTCAGTGTTAAAGCATCAGTATATAAAACTCAAACAATGATCTGTTTGTGTTTTTCCTTTCCTTTGTAAAAACAATTGCTGGAGAGAAGTTTAATGTGCCAACTGGAGCCCAATGTTTTTAGTTAGAGAAGCTGAAATCTGCTGTGTGAAGAGCAACCTCACCTGGCACTTCAGGGAATGAGAGCAAACACACTGATTGTGTTGTAATCTGCGCCTCACTTAGCACCCATGGTGTGCACTGTTTAACTAGCAAAATGCCTCCATGCAGGCCCCAGTTCACTTTGCACCATATGCTTTAGACTATGCGTTTTAGATCGTTCAAATAGGGCCACAGGTTTCACATACTGCTGCGACTTATATTTCACATTTTACCATATGTAAAGGAGTAAACTCCAAGAAGGCTTCAGAAGGGAAGCAATTTCACCTCCTGAAATGATGGACAAGGTGTACACTGAGGTGCCAGTAATTGTTATTTTCCTTTATCTTGTTGCCAAGCGTACAAGTCTTTACATCCTGGCCAGTCACTCAGCCTCTCAGATGGATGCAAAATCAATTAAATGTTCGTGAACTTGTTAGAAGGCAATGCCAATCAAACTTGTTTGAATGCTCCCTGGGAGTTTTTCTCCGCTGGCAGACTTTAGAGTGAGTGTATCTACTATACTGCTGCTGTGATATGGATAATGAATGTTTTAAGCGTGTTTGTACGCAAGGAAAAAGTCAAGATATTAGATTATTGTCATGGTTACTGGAGTCTCTCTATTTTCTTTTTTAGCACTGTCCCTTGTAGTCATGACTCTCATTTTGAGTTCCTTATACTGGTGAGTTATCCACACACCCCCATGTAATTAAGATCCAAACATCTGGTGAGAACATGACACTTCATTTTTGTGTGATGATCTATTCCCAGAGACAATTAGTTGGAAATTAAAACTGAGTGGTCTTTAACGTCAAAACTACTCCAGTCGAAGGGAGCCAATCCCATGGTCTATGAAACTAAACTAGAAGTGATTAATCAGTAATGTAGGATAAAAAGTGCTTCATAATGACAAAAGGCTTCAGGGAAGAACTGATTTTCTGATGTTCTGCCTCTTCACAAGGTTAAATCACGCTCATTGTACTAAATTTACCACTTCTATAGTCTTCCCACACTGATAAGCCGAAGCAGAGACTGAGTCTGAAAGATCAAGTTAAATTAAAACATCATATACAGTTCGCGCTAATAAGCACTTGAGGTCCTTGAAAAGCTTTGCCAGTATCCGTATCATAAGAACTTAATCCCTGAAGTTTGAGGATAAAGTACTTAACTACTAAAGTGAGATAATTAAAAGTGCAAAAGGCAATTTCTCAAGTAGCATATGTTAGGGGATACATTTTTGTGCATTCTCCACCACAAATCCTGCAACACTGGGGAACATGCACTTCTCAGGCTGTATGCTGGGTTCTGCTGTTCAGTCATGCTCCAAAACACACAGAGAAAAATAACAATTGAACAAAACACACTGCTGTTCCAATTTGGTGCTTCTTGTCAAATATTGCTGCAGTTGGGCAGAAACCTTGTATCTCTAAAACCACCTATTTTTCACAACACTCTACACTGTATGAGATTTAGCCACAAGTTTTTCAGAGTCACTTTTCACCTGACTGCCAAGGACGGTTGGTAACTGTTGGCAAAAACTAATGTCATTCAGAATCTGATCAGACAAATAAATCCTAGATTTACTTCAATATCCTGCCAAGCTGGGCATGATCAAAGAAAATAATGTTTCAGATTCAGATTTCTCTGATCCATGTCATCAAAAACCTGTGGCGTTCCACAAGGGTCTATTCTGGGGCTTTCTATATTTGTTACCTATATCTGTATTCATGATTCGTTCAACGCTTCAGGTTTTTTTTCACCTCGAACATTTTGCAGATGACACAAGTTTTGTTTCTCTCATTCAAATTCTAGTTTATTGATGAAGGGTGCTAATGTTTATCCAACAACTCATGTAAAACGACTCAGATTGAATGAGACAAATCTTTTTATCTTTAGTGGAAAGAAAACCTACAAGGATTTGTCTAAAACTTTAATTTAATCTGTTGAGATGCCCAAGGTATCAAGCACAAGATTCCTGTGAATTTGTTGATGAGAAGTTGATTTAAAAAGAGCACACTGATTAGGTTAGCATAAAAACATAAAATTCAAACAAAAAAGATGGTCGATGTGGTTTAGAGGCACCAATCTTAAGAATACTACTTTTTATCTATTTGTCTGTGAAATATTCTTTTTTGTGTATTTTTGTTATTTGTACAAATTAAATAATACTTAACAAGCAAAGTAAACCTACCTGTTTGCCACCAGTGATCCAGGATAGGAACCCCAAAGCTCCTCTTTGCCCATTCTAGCGTCTCCACATCACAACGCTCACCTGCCAAGAACATTGACCGCAATCTGCAAGATCAAAAAATACTTCAGTCAATTTAAGAAAACTAACATGTCTACTTTCTCTGAAATCGTCAGACCAAACCTGTATGCAACACTAAACCCACTTTCTGTGGCGGTGTTTATTCAGAACTGATGTGTGCACCAGCTCTTTTAAGATATGTACATCCATAAACTATAGCCTGGAACTTCTTTTTGATTCTCTTAAAAGTGACTTTGAGCTCATGCAATATTTCTTTCAAGAAAATGCTTTTGCCTTGAAGGCAGCACCCTCCTTTATTTTCCCTGTGATCTTAGCTGTGACTGAGGCATCCTTTAAATTACCTTCGACAATGTCAAGCAGATAGTTTCTGCCACCTTTGCTGACTAAGGGATCTCTGTGTCCTGCCCATGATGGTTTGCACCCCACAGATAGACTGATTAGGACAGCAGAGGTGAGTACTTATTGGCTTTGAACCTCATCTCCTCTTAGTTCTGGTTTAGTCCTTCTCCCCTTCCTTTAAGTGATGGAAGAGAAGTGAGGAAACCTGCATGCTTATGATTCATCTCAAAGGCAGGAGAAGTCGGCTGTTTCTCTCCCTGTGAACTAAGTCTTTCTGAGAATAAGCCGCTCTTCCTCCCCAAGAGACCTCTACTCCCAAAACAGCCTCTCAGGCACTTATTAACAATGAAGCGCCTTGGGGCAACACTTGAAATTTTGGAGTCTATTGGTTTAGTCATGAGGCATCCCCCCTCGAAAAACAAAACAAAGAAAAATCCAGGTCAAGACTTCCTATGTAACCGGTCACTGTTGAAGGTTCATTATATAACTTCAGATGCAAACATGGACCTTAAATTCACAGACATCATCTACAAATCCACTGATAGTTATATTCATGTGTAAATATCAATCATAGAGATGAGTATAAAGCTGGTTGGCTCTTCAGTTTTCTCAAACTATCTTGTGACTGAAGTGCTATTTAGTGGGATACAATACAGTGTGATATAGTATATTTAGGTATAGTGGAATACAGTAGTTACAATACCAGTCAGTACAGTTCAGTATATTATGTTAAAACTAGTTACAAAATGATATGACACATTATGATACTATGGTACAATGCAATATTTTACAATATGGTGCTTTGCCATATGATACAATAAGAGTTGGCGCATTAAATGTTATATGATACAATACAATAAGAGTTGGCGCAATAAAATGTTATATGATACAATACGAGGTGATTTGATACCTGTGATACATATGATGTATGTGTGATATGACATGATCAAGGCGATATAAAGTATTTAACATGATAAAAGCTGATGAGTAATCATATGATATGGCCAATTAATGTAGAATATGATTCAAAACATTGAGCTATGATAAGATATATAACAGAACACAATACAATACCATATAAAACAATCAACACAAATCGATGCAAAATGATGCAACACAACACGCCAAGATATAATACCACACAAAAGCATACGATATGCTTGTCCCTATGGACATTTTTTCTTGGATTTGACACATTTAGCCGTATAAGAACAGAAGTAAAGAATAACAAATTACATATTTTGGTTAAAACTCCTATTGCACACATTGATATTGCAGCCACAGTGCCGATCTATAAGGGATAGAAACGCAATAAAGTCCCTACAGCTGCAAGATTTAAAGTTAAAGTTTGATCAAGAGGGCGCACAAGTTCATTAAACTGGTAGAGCTCTGACCCATGGAGACTGAACTCTTGCAAAACATCTGAATAAGTCAGCTGGCCCTCCCTTACATGTCTCTCCCTTCACAGCCTTACTCAAGTTTGGAAAACAGCTCCGGACAGACGTCATGTAACCCTCCCTCCATGCCCTACAAGTGACCCTAAACACTCCTGTTTCTATCTTCAGCCTCCCTGATTTCTCCCACATCAGTTTCTTCCAAACTCCCTCTGATGGCTGCCCATGGCTGCTCATATCTAATTCACAGCACTGCCGGTTGCTTACTGAAGAGATCTGTAAGCTCCTATATGCCCAGGCCACAGAGCAGTCATACATGATAGTCCTTCAGCTACTTTTCTACCCCACAAATGACTGCTGGTCATCACTCATCGGTTTCAACCTTCCACGATGATGAAATGACCTTCCAACTGTAATCAAAAGTTAAAGTCAGAGTCTATCTTCTGTGATAGGGAGAAGAATTTTTATCATGTCACTTTCTCTCCACTGAATCGTATCTTTGCTCCTTCTGCGTCTTTTTCTCTGGGTAATATTTCATTCTCTTTTCATTCTCGTTTCAAGTACAGCTCTCCAACTTGCTGTTCTTTGCTCTTGGGAGTAATATGCCATCGAGTTCCTCTGGTTTTTAGAAGTAGCTGTTTCTTGACATGAGCGGCAGTGCCAAAGTAAAAAGGAGCCAACGAAATGAGTAGAAAATAGTATTCTACCACTGTTGATCAAGGCTTGGTTTACCCCCCTACAATTGACAACTTAATTGATCAGCCTGGGAACACACAATCAACTCAATTTTCAATGGTATCCCTGCATTTTGCCTTTTTCTACTAAAATAACTGCAGAATAATACTGTCTGTAAGATGATAAGAAGGGGTCTTGGGGTCTCCAAGCCGAGCTGCCACTTAGTGAAGGTACTAACTGCTCTGAAACCCTTTATCTAGTTAAAAATATTGTAAAACTGGTGCAAAAGGAATTAAAACACGATGAAATGCGTTGGATACACATCCTACATAATGCAGCATTCTCAGCCTTAACATAAACACAATGAAAATCTCAGCCTCCATAAAGTTGGTAAGAATAATGAAATGAGTCATCAGATCAAAACCATTTTTTTATCAGGCAGTAAAAAGCTCTGAACCCTCTATAGCTGCAAATATTTTGAAATAGATGTTAGGTTTTCTTTGGCTTCTGGGGACAACCCTTAAGTAGAAATTCAAGGAGCAGCAGTTTTCGCTCTTCCCAATTGGCTTCATTTATAAATGCTGAGGGCTGTGGCTTAGTCGAGAGTTTGGCTGTGATGGAAATACCGAATGAAAAGGTGTGTTTGTTGCAGTTTAAAGGATTGATAAAAATCCAAGTCACACAAAGCCCAAACTTATCAATCCTCCAGTCAGATTGGATGCAACTAAAAGTCCCTCCATCCCCCCTCAAATTATGTTGAACTTTTTGATCATGAACCGGCACTTTTGTTTCAAATCTGATCAAATTATTCACAGAGGCATTCCGAAAAAGGGAAACTATAGTTACTGCTTTTTCCGTAATGGAGCTCTAACCTTGTGTTTTGTGTGGATCAAGGTTGTTTCACTCATTATAAAGGCTTTATGGATAAAAAGCTTTCAGTAAATGCCTTGAGTGTATGAAATTTGAAAGAAGTACATCATAGAGCATAATAAAGTTTCAGGATTACAATGTCCCATCATTCAGCTGTCAGATTGACTTAGCCTTGCAGGGATTGAGCTAAATAATATGTGGAATAAATGACTGATTTACTCACCGCTCAGGCAGTGACCTTATGTTCGAGCTAAACTTCATTACTCTCCCACCTCTGTGCTTCAAGGACAATCCCTATTCACTGTGGTTTGCGAGTTTTCTACATTACAAGTTCGCTATGAGTTCATGTTCGGAGATTTTACGTAGAAACTGTGACCACAGGAAGGGTGGTGGGAGAGTGGAGGTTTGGCTGATGCTCAAGCAAAAGGACTAAGTACTGAGTCAGTAGATGGGGAGTGTGTTTTCTTCACTTTCTCAGGTGATTAAAGAAATTATATGTAACTTTAATATCATGGGCAGATCTAAGGGGTGGCCAGGGGTGATCATGCCCACCTTGAAATAGGAGTGGCCACTCCAAGGATGATGCCAAAATAATAATAGTCACAATATCAGATTTTCACTTTATTATCAAGGCCAAAAATGATCATGATACCAATATTAATGCAATATCTATGGTAAACTTACTATGAAACAAAACAAAACAAACCACACATGATCAAGTATCAGTGTTTTTGCTGATTCAGGGTCCAAAATCCTCTTGATACTTAAATGTTTTTGGTTAAAGTGTGAATAATGAAGATATAAGGGTAAGTATCATCAACTGACTGCACATGTACTGTATTAAGCATCAAGCTGTAAAAGCCATTCCCTGAATTTGGCCACCCATTTCAAGGGAGTGTGGCCGCACCCCTGCTCGATGATGTGATGTGCAAATTGATTTAGATTACTCCTTTGAGCAGTGAAGAAGTCAATGTCCTCTTTATGTTCCACAAAATTCTACGTCTTGTTTCAATAAAAATGCTTCACCTTCAAAGTTGTTTCAGTGCTAAAGTCAAGAAACATCTGTTCCAAGATAAACCTCTTGAGAGTATGCAGAAGGAGAACAAATACCGGCTGCCATTTACTCTGGGTAACTTTGAACTTTTCTGAAGCAATTCTTTAAAGGAAACCAAAAAAATGTTCCTGGTGGTCATCAACTGTTTCTTTACGTTTGGTAAAGGCAAGGCCACGCTTATCTGTACAGTGAGACCTTGAGGGAGGCAAATAAAGCAGAAAACTGCATTCATGTAAGTAAAGGTTATCTCTGTGATGGCCTTTTGTCTGGAAGGACATTGTGACAAAGTTGAAGTAAGAATAAATAAGGGGCACAGGTTCAGCTCCGTCGGTCGAGCAGGTGTCGTATTTGCAGAGGCTACTGTCCTCGTCCACAGCTGGTCCCCACCCTTTGATGCATGTCTACCCCACCCCCCATGTCTTTTCTGCCTCATCTCATGTCTTCCTTCAGCTGTCAAACAGAGGCAAAAAGTGATACAACACAACAATGATTTAAGCCAAGATGATGGTGGCAGTCATCTGTTTCATACAGACTGACATTTTATTGTTGAGATGTGCAGTAATGTAACTGTGTTTTCTTCTTTTCCAGTCATCTGCATTGAGGTCATTTGCACTTTTTTAAAATGTGTTAATCTGTTTATATTTAATTTGTTTTAACGTTCAATTTTTCTATTATTACCACCATTCATTTTCAATTGATATTACTAAGGAGGTAGCTAAGTCAAAGAAGTACCAGTTGACCATTAATTGTAATGTATTGTACCTTACCAGAACCAGATCATATCATATGGTATCATACAATGTAGTATTGTATAATTTGGCATCATATTGTTTCGTATTGTGTTAAACTGTATCTCATTGTATCATATTGTATTATATTGTATTAAATTGTAGCATAAGATATTGTATTGGATCGTTTCACATCATTATATGATATATTGGTTATTATACCAACTTTAGTAATGACCGCACAATAGCAATACACAGCGGTCTGAGGAGCTGAAAACAAACCTCAACCAAAACGCAACTCAAATAATGCTCAGTACAGCACCTAACTTTATCAACATTGCATGTAGGGTCCTAACCACAGCACCAGCCACCAAACATCTTTTTAACTTTGCCTGATGTTTTTTTAGCAAAGAGACTAAACACAACTCACCTACTCTCTTCCAGCAGCCACTTGTTTGCAGCAAGACCTTGGACCAGTCCATTATGGACTACTGCGGGGTTACACAGCTCAAGGAAGAACATTTATGATCATTTCTTTATGTAAATACAATCAGACCGAGACGCTAAGGCAAAAGAACTACTGTGTCTGCAGTACAAAATGATAAATATAGTGATTATTACTTCAAGGAAAATATAAAGAAACTATCTTCCTTTACGCTGGAATATCTCTTTAAACAAAATGCTATCACATCTTATTGTAACAAATGGTATGGTACGGTATGGTGTATAACAAAACTCAGTCATGTTTGGACCTCAAGGATCCCTGGAAGTGCACACAGCTTAGCTTTTATTAGCTTCTTGGAAAATTTGCATGACTTACTGCTTTTTCCACTTCAGTGGAATATCTGCCGATTTTGGCAACCTGTGCACCAGGTCTGGATCTGCCTACTGCCAGGTTTTACTGTATTATACCCCTGCCCATCTGTGTCCCATGGCAGGCAATTTTATTCCGACATCATTGCCGTCTGGTTCACCACTTCAGAGTACACCCAGAAAGAAAACACTTTTTTTGTCATTTCATAAACATGCTGAAAAGCAGAAATAATTGGCATTATTTTTTTCCATTTCATTTTTTTCTTTCATCATTTGTTGTTTTGACGGCTGTAACTTCAATGTTCTGGAGAGGAGGGCAGTGGGGGCAGAAGATTTGAAAGCACTCATGATTGTTGGGGCTGCGAGACAAGACATGCAATCAACTGTGAAAACGCTTGTTTTTTTGAATGGCGTCTGCGTAGGTGGTATTTCGTTCAAGCTCAGGACACCATAGAAATCTCAAAGCTGATGAGTTCTGCGCTCAGGTCCTGCTTGAGTCAAAGAATTTACTTAATAACAATGTCCAGGATGATTTGTCACATATTCTTTTATATAAATAGATGTTAGGAGTAATCTCACGGCATGAAATCCACTCCACTTTTGATCTGGGCACATCTAAGACATTAATAGCATAGCATTTACTACTTCGGACAGGCAGACTGCAAACTACCCTGATATTTTTCCTGGGGTTTATTTGAAGAAAAGGCAACCGAGCCGTAAACATCAGCACCTCTAACAGCTTTCATCGTGCACCAAAAAGCTCCAACCACTGAAGTCATGGCTTCTGTCACTTGTTTATGGAGGTAAAGCTCAGCATTGAGTTAGTCCTCCCGTCTTCAAAACACCGCTGACAGAGTGTCTGCCCTCTTTGTCATGCTACATTTATGCAGAGCACTGCAGCCATCACAGCTTCTGACAGGCCTGCAGCCAGACTCTCAATGTAGCAGTTTTCACATCCTCGCTGACAAGTAATATGGCCAATGCACATTGATAAGGGTCCAGGGCTATTACAGCTGAGTGAGTAAATGTCTCACGGTGTCAATAAACTGCAGACGGAACATTTGAGGCCTCTCTAGCATGAAATTATGTGTTTGATAATAAAGCCTACAGAGTTTTCTGAAAGGTTAAACCACTTCCATCAACACACTTTTAATTAACACCAACGCTGTTTTCATTGACGTAGCCATAAATGATTGGACTGAACTGCTTAAATGCATACTAGATGTACTCTGGTACTGGTATTTTCACCAACACAATGCTTTGATGAATTTTTCATGAGCATCCTCACCAAACAGCCTGGAAAAATCAGTCTGGCCTGATGGCTAAGAAGCAACCCTGGGTGTAAGAAGCAGAAACTCCAAAAAAGAGAAATTTGACTATCCTATGACTTATGTTTAATTCTTTCCACGAATCCTAGCTTCAAAAAAATAGACTTCCAGACAGACCATTATGTTCCCCTCCACAGTTATTAATGAAAGCCTTTTTTAAATCTATGACATTAAACATTCAAGAGAGAGCCACTCAATAAATTGCGATTTAATCACTGGAAAATTGCAAAACACAAATCACTAAAGTCTGAATATATCACACTGAACAAGAATTTACTTTTTAATGAAAGCAAGTAATGCTTTGCCACTCAGCAAGCATACCTATTACCCACCAGACTGAAGCCGGGTATTTTGATCCAGTCAGATAAAACTAGCTACCAGCTAACCTCAGACTCATTAGTGTCAATGTAGCTGCAAAAAAACCACTTATTGGGTTTCTTTAGGGTTTAGGTGGGCGACATGTCACACACAGGTATGATCTACTAAAGGTTTGCGTGTACAAACTTGATAGCGCACGCAAACCCGATCTACTAACCGGGTGCACCAAGGATTGCGTCTGTCAAATGAGCAAAACAGCGTGCGCAATCGATTTGGTGTGTTGGTCTTCATGAATGTACAGAATGTATGTAGATCATCCGAACACGCAAAATTCTGGGAGGAGCAGATGCAAATGGAATCATTTAGCACCCACGATGTGATCTATCAAACCCGCAAACCGATTGAGGTTTTGCTTCTATATTTACCCATTTAAAAGGCACCTGCAAACTGACGCAGCATTACGCACGGTCATTGTGGAGAGAAGGAGGCGGGAGTGCCACGATACACGCCACGATCCTTGTCCAATAGCTTGTGATTTATTTCATTTTCTAGAAAATGACGATTTTCATAAATAATCAGGTCAAACACGGAACAGACGAAAAAAAACACTTGTTTGTCTTATTGATTCTAGATCGTTTGAATCCCTTTTTTGATTTCTAGTATATCTCCTTGCATCTGTAAAGCACTTGAATTGTCTTGTGTATGAACTGTGCTATACAAATAAACTTGCCTTGCCTTTTATGCAGTTCCCCAATACGATATGTGCAACTCCATGGCTCTAAACTCTCTGCTCTCACAAACTCTCCATGGTGACGGCCGATAGTGCACACAAAATCCTCCTTTAAAGAGGGCGGTCCGCATCGCTTTTGCACCAGTTATCAACTGCGAACAAAATGATAGTAGATCAACTGCAACACGCCCACTAATAGCACGTGCAATTTTTTAGTTTGCACATGCAATTTAGCGCTCGCCCCTAATAGGCCCCTAATATTTAACTTCCAATATTTGGCAGTATCAAACAATTTCATTGCACAACGTATGTTTTCCCAACTATGTGCCCGTTTAATTAAAAAAAAAAGTAACACATGTTTTCCAACAAGTAAGACCCATTTTTTCCTCACTGTAAATATAAAGTAAATAAAAATACATGAAGGGCACAACCAGACTGCTTTAAAATGAATCCATGTTTCATTGCTTTGGTTGTATTTCCTGCTCTGTGTCATGATGAAATGTTGTGCTCAGCATCGTAAAGAAACGCAGTAATCCTTCACCCGCCTGCCTTCCCCCTCCTCTTCCAAGGGGAAACAACACATTAAGAACAAGAAAGCTTACAGAGAAACAGCATGTAGCCTAAGTGACTGATTGTGTCGAGGTCGACACTCAGAGGACAAATGCTGCCTACGTTCCATTCAAACATTTCCTACATAAGACCATAACTGCATTTTAAGGAGGTGTTACGCATTCACTTCCTCTAACAAGCTCAGATCGGCAAATTCAGCACACAATACTGAATGATTCACCGGGGCCAAAGGTCATCCTCGCTCAGAATTGCTTTATGATTGTGTGGTTAGAGGCATTTGCAGACTGCAGAGCTACAATGAAAGTAGTGAATTGACATCTCAACCCCGAAGGTCTCTCCGCACTGCACCAAATAATTAATAACTCTGATAATCTCAGCAGGTATTTGACTCTCCGAGCCAAAGTAATACCATGAAAAATGTTTGTTTCTAACTCTAAGCTACAAACGACCTTTACCTGAATGGCTGGACTGTGGCAGCAAAACAAGTTCATGTGGTATGATTTCATACAGGTGGGCTACAGCGACCTGCTGTTATTTGGTATGAATCCTGATTAACAGCCGAGCGGGAAGGGCTGAGGGTGCAGACAGGGAGCAGTGGAGGTGATAGAGGACTGTGCATCAACAGATGGTCGGAGACTAATGTGAGGCAGGGCCAGCTGCACAGAACACCTTCAGCCATGAGGCGCTTTAGCACATCACTCCTGAGGTTTCAAAGACCTACAAACAAAACGCACTTTCTCTCTCACTTTATTTATGCTGGCTGCACCACCGGTGTAATATATCTGCTGACCATTTTAGTGTTTTTCTTTTTCAGCCTCACGAGAATAACCATTTTAAAACTGAACTACATACAGGACAGTCTCTCTTTCCCTCTTCTCATGTTGTATTTGTCTGACTTGCTCTGCAGCCACTGATGAGCTTTCTTGTGTTGTTTTTTAGCAATATTAATGAAAAACCTAACCTGATGTAAAGAGTAATTTATTCCACTAAATATATTTGTTAAAGCTCTCTCTGTTGCCACCACCATGTGTACAGCATCATCCTTTCTTGCAGTCAGTTCTCTTTTTTTCATGTTCCTCCCCCAAGTTCAGCAGAAGCGCTGAGTAATGACAGATTAGCTCTGTGTATTAGTCAACTGTCAGGAAACAAGGATGATTCAGTCTAATGGCCTGAAGACATAAAACTTGTCTTTGTTTTGTGCCTTTCATGATGCCAGATATGAAGCATTAAAAAGATTACATCAATTTTTAAAGGAATATATATACGGCATATGCAAATTTCAGCTTTCAGAAATATTCTTCATGTCATCTGTCTTTGTTATCGAATCTCCTGAAAGATTTATGAGCAGGAGCTTAATTTTCATTTTAATTCCTTACTTTTAGCAGAAACTGACTATTTGTCTATTGTTGACTAGGGCTGCAGGCAGCATTAAAAAGGCCTCGCATCTTTAGGCATGATGGGGAGTATTGTAGCATTTGTTGCAAGTCATGATGTGGTGCAACTGCAGTTAGTTGCTGCTTCACGTGGGAACATTACAGGGAACAGTTTGTATCTTAAAGTTTTTGTAACTTCATGTTATCTGGCTAGATGTCAAACCACACCTTTTGGCCAGAGAGACTTCTGTCTTCAAGTGTCTTCTGGCAGTACAAATTATTTCAAGTTGATTAAATTTATCCTGTAGGAGAAAAGAATCGAACTGTGACCCCAGAAATTTGCTTTAAAAAAAGTTTTTCAAGTGTCAAACTCTGACAAGCCCCCGAGGCCTTGGTCGGCAAGTTTTGTCAAGAAACCACAAGACTTTTTTTCTAAGATCTCTTGTAGTCCTTCACTAAATTTTCGGGTAGATCATAAAATCTTTCTTACTCCGACCACTCCAGAGTACATACTCTTTCTCCCAACTTGTTTATAGTTCTATCCAAAAATCAAGGACTGCAGTCTTTTCTATGATATGTGATGTGATCTGCTGTCCAAATCCCCCAAAATAAACAATAAAAAAAAGATTATATCTTCCCACAGATAATAGAGGGGCCCCCTTAAAAAGGCTAAAAATCAATCTGTTTATACCAAAATATCAAAATGGCAGAATTCCCATTGGAGTTGCAATGAGGGCTGTTTTTGTACATCCAGGCATGATACTTCAGTTTACTAGCTCTCATAACTCTAGGTCAAATGTGTTACATGGGCTATATATTTAGAAATTCATATTTGAGCCATTTCACCACACCTGTGCACAAATAAACCCAGACCAAACTTTCTTGTTCTTCGCTGTGCTAATGTCTACCAAGTTTGGTGTCTCTAAATGCATTTAAAGCCCCTAAAAAATCCACTTCCTGTTTCTGGCAACTATACCCTGTCAAGACTACACGATCAGGCACACACTTGCACTTTGTGGATCAGTTGGCGTAGGGTCTTTGGCTGCCCCTGAGAACTAAAACTGGGTTGCCAACCTCCACAAAGTCACTGAAACCACAAGCAAAAAAAAAGGAAAAGCTGACCAAGGACAGATACTTTATCATAAAAAAATCCTGCAGTCGTCCAGTTCCCCCTTTGTGACTGAATTGAGAATTGAAATGTTCAGTTTTAATTTGTACCACTCCTGGCTCGCCTCTTGTGGTGCTCGAGGCTAAGAAGAATACAATTTATGAAAATGTTTTCAGCTAAAGGGACTTTATTTTTCTGTATAAAAGGATGAATTTAAAAGTAATAGTTAGATCTAGATCTACAGTAAACTGGTGGTTGTGCAAATTGTAACTGACACAACCATCTCGCTCACCCTGTCTGGATTCTAATTTGCTTACTACCTGTTCACTTTATATTATCCCCACATAAATGTTGCACATACTTGGACAGGGGATAATTTTTCCCAATTGCTGCATCGTGGTCTTGCTGGCGAATGGCTCGGATGGCAGTTGGTGCAGTAAACATGGACGAGGCTCCGTGCTCAGACATGACACGGAAGAAGGCCCCGGCGTCTGGAGTCCCAACAGGCTTCCCCTGTAAACAGATCGAGAAGCAACAGCTGCTTAGTTTAAAAACTCCAACACCAAGGACAACATATAAATTACACAAACTGACTGTCTATGGAGCAAATAGCATTGCAGTCATATTTCAACATTGTTCCACAGTACATGTTTATTATTGACTATAAACCATTAATATTCATGTAGCAGCTGTTGAAACAAAGGCACACTGGAAGGCTGCCTTCCAGACAGATGGGCCCAAAAAAATCAGCGGATTAGTAAACACAGTTGCACTATGGGAGAAGTGTTTGTCTTGTGGAAAAGATATAGACAAAAGAGGCCTGCAGGCATTTGCCTCCAACATCGACTTCCAAAGCGTTTCTGGGATTCAATGAGCCTGTTTCTACAGTGAGAAGACAACTGCAGATGAATGAATAATGGCAAACTTCAGCGGTGAGTTCAGGCTGTCAGTTGTACTCTGGATAAATATTTGTGCTTGTGTATTGGCCAGAGGAAACACAAAAAGGTTGGCAGCTACACGCCTGAAGATAGACGTGGCTCTTAGTACAAAAGCCACCTGAGACGAGCAGTGTGTATCTGCAGCCAAACATTGATTTAAGGGATGGCAGATTAATTTATCACCCAGCTGTGCTGCTCCTAGAGTTATCAGAGTGCTAATGTACTGTGTGGCCTTAATGTAAAGTCAGCAAAAATGCTGTAAGACACACACAGATCGATAGAGGAGCATTTATCATCACAGTCCAGCTCTACATACTAATAACGATCTATACGTTAAACCTAAAAAAACAAACTACTCACACGTAATATCTAAAAATTTTTAACCTCAGCTGGGTCGTTTATGAATTTGTGACAGCCGGGGTGTAGTAACCGCATCTGCACTTGTTTGTCCTACAACCCAAACGATCCACATCAAGTTTATGACTCCATTCATTAAAGTCTGGGACTCTGTTCAGGATGTGCTGAAGTGTTTGGTTTGGTTTCCATGTTTGACTGAGTCTGTTACATTTCATTGTAAAGAGACAGGTTGCAGCTCTGCCTGTACCAGTACTTCTCTGCTTTTCTCCTGTCTTTACTAATAACACTCAGTGTGTCACCTGCACACATTCACTCTGTGCTTCTTTCTCCTCCTGGCCTTTAAAAGAAATTCCACGTGGAGGATAAACAAGGTGGAATATTGGAAAGTTTTAAGAGCAGCTGTGCTGAATTTAGTGTTTTAAAGTATTTCAGAAATCATTGTTATATTAGATAATGACAGTATGTACATAATTATATACAGTAATTTAGAAGCAATCTATTGAACAGCCATCACTCTGGCATGAGCACACGAATTAAAAGAAGATATAATAGTGAACAGTAGTGAAACCCTTACCATTAACAAAAGATTCAAGTTTCTAGAGATTAAATTTTTTTTAAAACAAACTTTCATGGGATGTTTTTTTTTTCAGAAAGAATTTTTAGAAATTTTGTTCAAAACTTTGGAAAACTTTTTTTTAAAAAACTTTCAGAAACTTTTAAACATATAGAAACTTTCAGAAACTAGTAGTTAGTTTTCACAAGATATACTTTTTTAGCAAAGTCTTATAAGCAAAAAAAACCATCGGCCATTCAATCTGTCCGAAATTTTGCAGAAAATCCTGGCAGCTTGAATCTTTGAGTCCTTGCTGACATTTTTAAAAATATTTTTTTCAAGAAATTCTGAAACTTCTATATAAAATGTATGAAACTTTTCAGCAAATTTTGAATTTTTTATAACACTTTCAGCAAATATCAAGAAAATGTGTCAAAGTCATAAAATGGAAATCAGCAGGAAATTTCTTCTGAATTTTTGGGAAATTTCAAGAATATGCTGAAATTTGTTCGAGATATACAAAAAAGATTTCAAGATTGGTATACTTATATAAACCCAAATTGAATTGTTCACAAACTTTTATTGAACAACTTTATTTTAAACAATTTCTGAAATTTTGTGAGAAGTTTGGCTAAAACTTTCATTAGAATTTTTAAATATCTGTTAAAAATTTCAGATTTTTTTTTAATCAAGAATAAGCAGAAACTGTAGTTTTTTCCATCAGGAACATACCTCATAGAGAATTGTGCTGTTACCATGAAGCAGAGGAGCATAGCAGATATATGAGTGACCAACCACCCACCCGAGGTCTGAAGCAGCCCACCAAACCTGCAACAGGTAAAAAAAGAATCACAACTTTATTGATTCTTGTACAAACACAGAGCGCACTGAGTGTTGAGAAAATGGTAATAACAGTGTCTTCAGTTCAATCAAAAACACTCTGGCTGTAAATATAAAAACCTTAATGCTCTATAAAAGATGGATGAAAATAAATATATAAAGAAAGATACCACTTCAAACCCTATTACTGTTCAGTTACCATAAATATTACATGGTGCACAAGTCTTCTTTTCAAGTACAGCACAATCTATCTCTCTGCATGCTCTTTGTTTTAAAGCACAGCTCTGACTGAAAAGATGCTGCTTTATTGCCTTACATCTCCAGGACTGAGTCCATAAATATTTGACATGGTCCATTTCAGCATCACGGCGTAGCCTGCAGTGTCTCGCTCGACACCCTGAGGGACAAGATAAGAAAACATCAGACAAGTGACAGGTGCTGCCAAAGAGAAAGAGGCAGGGGTTTAATATCAGCCTGAACACAGCAGCTCTGCTTTGCTTTACTGAAGATAAAAGTAGTTTGTTTGCAAATGATTGCCTCTCTAAAGTAGTTCCAATATCCAACTTTTAATAGCCGACGCAGTTGTGAAGACATTTCCCAGATAAACACTTTGTCCTCGACTCCTCTAGTCTACAGTTTTAGAGTTTCTTTTTAAGTTATTGTCTCCGTAGCTCAATAACTTCAAACGACACGGAGATAAAAACCGCAATAACCGCTCTATTAGGCTCAGGAGGCAGCCAGAAGGTGGATATTTTTTATCGTTCATTGGACATCGGGATGCTATTTGAAAGAACTGGATCTTTTCCCAATTCAAAGCTGCCTGAAGGCAACTCCTCCCGCATGAGCCGCGTCTCCTGCTGTGGAAGTGCTCCGTCTTATTTATGTCAAGAATATGGTGTTTAGACTCAGTCTTGGTTGTTGTTGCAGAGTCAAAGAGCAGATGAGTCACACAGGAGCTCCGACTGAAGGCCTCTAGACAAACAGAGCCAGCAGTAAATCCTGTTACTCCTCTGTGTTTACATGGTATACACAGGGACTAAGAGTCAGGTGTTTCTATCGTTTCTCCTGCTTTTGGATCACAACCCTGCGATTTCAGTACCTTTGGAGTCCCAGTGGTCCCAGATGTGTAGAGGACGTAAAGAGGGTGGTTAGAGGGAACAGGAACACAGTCATGAGGTCGAGCAGTGGCCATTTCTTCATCCCAGTCCAGACTCAAATCTGGTCTCAAGGATACTTTCTCCTAAAGTACAAAGCAAACAAGGAGCAGTCATTAATTTCAGGCACAATGATGGTACAACTTGAATTAAGGTGGTTAAAAACTGGGTGAATCTAGGTCTCACATTCTGAGCTAATTTCACCCCATTTCCAGTCAAATTTCAACACTTTAATCCCAGGTCAGGTTTACTTGGGTGTATTTCTTTCTTCTCAAACAAGTTTTTCCAACTGAGATTTCACATCTTTCCTTAATCCAGAGCACAAACAGCCAATGAAAACTCCAGCTTTTATTTTCCAAAAAAACGCATCACTTTTCACTCTGAGCCAAACCAGAGGAAACTGCAGCTGACTGAACGAGCCTTTCATGTCAGAGGCCGTGTTCACAGAACCACAGACTCTTCCTTGCTGAATGCGGTAATTGATTAGGCAGCAGCTACACCGTTAAAGTGGTGCTTCACATGAATTTAAACAGGAAGAGTTTGCTGTGAAGACTATTTCACTGCCTCATGTCCACTCAGTATCCTCTGAAATCTCTTAATTCAGTGGATCGTTCGCTGATACTGCAGATAACACCGGAGCATCAGAACCAGATATAAAAAGATTGCCTCATGATAATTTAGAAACACTTCTTTTTTAGATTGAAACTCATTTTTTTAACTGAGACATCAGAGAACAAAGTCTTCTCTTTTTCTTTGAGTCGGTGTGAAAGTAGAGTCAACCTCTCTTTGCTGTCAGCATTAAAAAGCCTGTTTTTGTGCCATTCATAGCCATGTTTGCTCCCTCTCGGCTGAATCTGTGCCAGGCTGCTCCACCTCTCATCTGTAAATATACCATACATGTTATTTTCACCCTGTTATTTACCTCGAAACAGACATGCGTAGCTTCTGCTTCTGATCTCATAACAGGATTCTGCTCAAATGCCAGCTACCAGGTCACATTTGTTATCTTTTGGCATTACACACATAAAAATTCATTGCCTTCAGGTCTGCTGTTCACACACAATTCAACACCTTTCGTAGCTCATATGATGTGCCGCTCTGACTCTTTGCTTTGAACTTAATTCATCAGCAGTGAGTCAGTCATACACAGTCATCGAAACACACAGCTCCCGTTTCAAATACAGGAGAATCATCTGTGCAGGAGTCCCGTTGTTAATAATGACTCAGCGTTTGTCATGCAGAGCACAATGTTCAGATGAATTTTCAGTATCTAATAAAGGTGTCTTCAGGTTTGTGTAAGGGTCAGAGAAGAGTAGGAAAACATTCAGTGTGTTTACACGCACGATTTCATCGAGCTAACGCTGGTGCAGTTTAATTGGACTGCTGTCCTTGTCCCAGGATACAAGCATTAATATGAGCATCAATTTATTGATTAAAGTTTGTCAGATGTGTTCCCCTTTTACTAATGGACCTTTCTCTAATTAAGCTATTGCATCATATACCATAACAATCGATAAACACATTAGCAAGATGCTAGTTGTTGTAGGTCAAATGGTGAATCATAGACAACTACCTCCACAGTTTACTTTTGGATTTAGTTTTTAGCATAGACTGTATATAGAATGGACGCCGTCTGCCTCCTCGCTGGGTGGCGCCACTCTGTGAACAGCACCCTCTGTTGACGGGCTGCAGTATAGGTCATAAATCCCACCTATGCCAGCAGAGCTTATAGAGCTGTGGACAAACTTTAGAAACGTATTACTCAGAATGTAATGTTTTTTCCCCCCTGCTTGCGATGTTGACATGTAGTTATTGTAAGATTGGTTTGTGCTCATTTCCTCTTTTTTCTGTACAGCTCCATTTTTAAAAGTTATTGGGGGGTTCATGTTTTCTATGATTGACACTTGATACAGCCTATGGGCATACAAAGATTACGCAGCTCACCCGGGAGATACACTGTTTGAGCCAAGTGTCATCACAGCGACTCTTGGCGACTCTCCCACCGAATGTGCACAATGCCGCTGCGCAAGTGGTGGAGTGCGTACAACACTACTGCGCAATGTTGAGTTTAGGAAATAGAGAAAAATGCGGAATTATCGAGAGCTTTTTGGCTTCAAATCTGTATACTGGTGGAAGGCGGAACCAAGTTGTCCATAGTATATGCAGTCTATGGTTTTTAGTAGCTTTGTCCACTACCAGGCTTCCCTTTCCCTTTACACACTTGTGTGGTTTGACTTCTGAGTCAAAGCCCTGCCTGCAAACTGTGGAGCATGTGCAGAACACCTATGCTACTTTGGGACTGATTGAGTTGTATGCATGCAAGACAAAATCAGCCTCTTACTGCATTATCCAGGTGTGTTGGTCCAACTTTGAGAAATTTGACTAGATGCTGTTTCATTCGGACCACAAGCCTAACTTTGAGCGACTAGTACGGTTTGAATTTCCATTTGCACATCCCTCAGAATGTGCAGAAAAACAACAGCTGAAACCAGCTGAACGAAATCACTAAAACAGAACAAAACAGTCAATTCTAACAACATAAAGCTTAGCATCTCTGTGCATTAAAGAAGAACATGCCAAAGGATGCCTTTCCCTACATGAGGTCACCAACAGAGCATGCCAACATGGATGCAATAACCTCCCTGAGAAAGGTCTGAATGTGGAGAACACTGAGCTGGAATACTGCAGATGCATTTACATACTGTCAAATAAGCAGCAGGTTTACTGTTTACATTTAAATACATTTACATCAAACAGGCGTTTAATCCGGCAGTATTAGACTGAGGCTGGTTAGATTGTTAAGGATCCCAATCAACTGAAAAACATCCTTTTCTCTCTGCAGCAGCTCAGAAAGGTACCAGATCCACCAGGATGAAGATGCTGCCTATAAACTGTGCTCTGATTTTCATTCTTTTCTTAATTTAATACTTTTTTGACAAAACAAAAGAAGGTTGAAGACTTTTTAATGCCCGTTATTATATAGTGTGTGCTGAATACTTGAACAAAATGAGGTTTTGTGCTCCTTACCATGTTGGGCCTGTTGTAGATGAGGACTTTGGAGGGCCTATGAGAGCTCAGCTCCAAGGCCTTCTCCACCAGAGGGATGTACTCCACTTTTCTTCCCGGCTCGATGCCAAATGAGGCAGTAACCATCAGCTTGGGCTGAGAAACACAGAGATGGAGAGAGAGTTTAGCTGTGTTATGACATGTAGAGCTTACAGGATCACTCCATGTTTCTAAAGCTGTAATTTAACAGGAGTGAGATGCCATTGTGCTACAATTAAAGTGTGTGCTGCACTGACACAGGGTTTCAGGGTTATCGGTGCGTGCCTTTGGCCGCACTTAAGTGTGAAGCCAAATCCAGTCAACATAAGCCTTACTGACATGTATGTGAAAAAGGACTTCATAGTAAATCACTGGCTTTAAAAAACTGACACTGTAGCTGTCGAGCAACAGGCGCTTGCTGCCCACACTGCATCCATCATGTACTATATATGTCTATTATTCCATGTTTAAGGACGTTACTATATCTAAACATGATACACAGAAAAACAGATGGACCCTGGTGTTCACACAAGTTAAAGGGATATTCCAGCGTAAAATTAAGTTAGGGTCAAGTTAGACACCCCCTTGAGAGATGCATGTTGCAGACCGCTTGCTTCTTTAGTTATACTAACTTTAGTAACGACCACAGAGAGCAGTACAGAGAGCCACACGCTCAACCTAAAAGCCACTCTATAGCAACAAATAATGCTCAGAACAGCACCTAACTTCACCAAGAGTACATATAGGGTCCCAGCCACAGCACTAGCCACCTCAGATGAGTCCATCACAGACTGCGGCGGGGTTACACAGCTCAAGGAGGAACATTTATGATCATTTCTTCAGTCGGTGATGGACTTGTCTGAGGTCTCCCTACAAACAAGCAGCTGCTGGAAGAGAGTAGGTGAGTTGTATTTAGCCTCTTTCCTATAGAAATTAGGCAAAGCTAAAAAGATGTTTAGTGACTAGTGCTATGACTAGGACCCTATATGTACTGTTGATGAAGTTAGGTGCTGTTCTGAGCATTACTTGTGGCTACAGAGTGTCGTTTTGTTTGAGGTGTGCGTATGGCTCTGGGACCACTGTGTATTGCTATCGTACGGTCATTGCTATAGTTGGTATAACTAGAGAAGCAAGCAGTCAGCAACATTCATCTTTCGAGGGGGTGTCTAACTCGGTGTAACAGTGTGTTTGACCCTAACTTAATTTACACTGGAATATCCCTTTAAGTCACAGAATTTCATTAGGATTACATTGATATCTCTAAACCTAACCCAAACAGCCTGAAATTTAAGGATTCCATGCTCAACCCACAGTATATTGGCGAGTTTCTTTGTCACTGATGTCTGCTCAGGTCTTTTTCATTCTGTATTTTCTCAGATCTAATTCTTTTCTTATTGTTGTTAATACAATTCATTCAGCCAAACTCAAACAGAATCATTAACTTGCCTTTTGCCTTAGTGCCAAATTACAAAGGAAAAATCAATTTCTATGTTTTCCTAAGAGCTCACACCAAATGAAGAATTCATCTGAAAATAACACTTCTCCTCAAATGAACCTCGACAAAAGGAGTTTAAACACTTGATCAAGCATCTGCTGGCAGCTCAATAATTCAGCATTTCTTCAGATTTATTTTCACGTCAATCAACAGGGGTCATATTTTTATAAATAGTCTTTTTACCCTCTTAACAATCTTTGTGCAGATGGCATTGACATCATATTTGAGTGTGTGGCTGCAGCAGGAAAAAGAAAGAAAAAAGTGCTTTCTACTGTGAATGATTCATTTGAAGCTTAACGAAACAAAGATGCCTCGGGCGCCCCTGGAACGCAGCGTTGCACATATTATGCAGGATGAATGGTGCACATTACTAACACCACATGAAAATTAGGATCAGAAAATTATTATTTGCAGGCACATTATTGCCTGACTTCATATCAGCTCATGAAAAGAACAAAGAGTCATCACTTCAGCCTGTCCTCAGGTGGCCAGGGTCCTGACGAGTAACTCTGATTTAATTAAGATCATGTTGTCTTGTTGTCACGGCTCAAGAAGAGATAAATCGCAACCGCAAGGTGAATAAAAAGACGTTTTTTTTTTTTTTTTGTCTAACCTTGGCGTGATTGATGCGGACAGAAAGCTCTTTGGAAGCAAAACCACCAAAGATGAGGCTGTGTGGGGCACCGATCCGTGCACAGGCCAGCATGGTGAACATGGCCTGAGGCACCATGGGCATGTAGATGACGACCAAATCCCCTTTCTGGACGCCGTTCTTCACCAAGACTCCTGCCAACCTGGACACCTGGACCAAAATATAGGGGAGTCATGTAGCATACCACATAAATGAGTTCACATGTTAAATTATTTTTAATCTGCTTTCTATCAACGTCTTACTCAACAAGTTTATGGAGTTGGGGCTAAATGGACGAGATCCAGCATGCCTACATGCCGCATTAAAAGACAAATTGGATGTTTTTGGTCATTTGCATCACAAAAGGAGGCTCATATTTCTGTGACTCCATTACTGGCTGTATTAAATTGGATATGATCTTACACATGAATGGATTCCACTTATTTTTGTCAACTAAATGAAATTAAATTTGTTCTTTGGGTTAAAAAAAAATAACAAATAATGAAACGCTGAAGCTGAACTCATGTCCAATTGGAACTCATTTAAAAACAATGCATGTAATGGAGGATTGTTCAAACTCAAGCATCTGCCCAAATTTCACTCACATTAATTACTTTTTCATTCTTGCTCCCTTTCATTCTGTCTGTTGTTTTCTTGTCCTCTTTATTAATTTTTGGCTCGATCCAGCTGTCACGGCAGACTAAAACTTGGCCAACTATCTCAGCAGAAGGATGAAAATGTATCTACTGTCATGGCAACACTGACAAGTCTTAATTTCAGTGCACAAAATCCAACAGCAGTTCTTTTGTGTGTCTTAGATGTTTTGTTTATTTTACTCCACATCCTGGGAGTTAGGATCAAGCGTAAAGAGCCTACGCTTTATCCTTTCAGTTCTGTCACTGTAGCCTCGAATAATACCATTTACCTGCGCCTGAAGCTCCCTGAAAGTGATGATCTGCTTGGTTCCAGTCACCGGGCTGTCATAGATGATGGCAGGTTGCTCTCCACGGCCGTTCTCCACATGACGATCCACAGCATTGTAGCACATGTTCAACTTCCCTCCAACAAACCTGAGGGAAACGCACAAATTTAATCAACCAACAAACATGTAAAACACATTTAACATAAACAGTACTTTTTTTTTTTTTTACATCTAAGCCTATACTGTAGTTGAAGGGTGAGAAATATGCTTCATGTTATGAAGTGTCCTGTTTGGCTTGTAGTTGGAAACTGGGACACAATCTGATAAAAATGAACTCCAAAAAACATACGCATTTGTGTCTGCCAGCAGCAGCGCAATAAATCAATACACTTGATAAAGCGACAGTTTCATCTCTTTCTGCTGCTGTGCATATGGATGAAAAGCAGCGAGCAGGTTGAGCAGATGGTGTCTGGGAAACTGCTGTTCAGGAAGCCAGACAGAGAGAAACATGCAGGCTGTCTACCTTCATTTTGAGAGAACAAGATATAGGGAGCTCTGGCTTCTGCAACCTCAGAGCCTCAGTCACCCTGAGAAGAAATATAAAATTTACATCATTCTCAGGCAGGGTGAGGAGTTTAGACTTATGTCTGTTGCTATGAATCTGTGTGCTGTTACCTTGGGTTGGAAAGAATACAAAAGTATAATTCTCATTATCAGAATTATGTAAAAAGATTTGTTTCATAACCAACAACATCACGTGAAGTAACTATGACTCCACTTTCCAGTGAATTTCAACAAACTGGATTTAAAGTAGATCCTTGCACCCTCAAATCACGGCTGGTTATGCACACGGGCATGTTATTGCAAGCCAAAAGTAAGGACTCTTTTAATTTTAATGCATAGAAAAGGTTGCCAAAGTTTGAACATAACATCATAAAATATTCTGACAAGAAGTTATGTTTAATTAGTTCGCTAGTGTGTTCCTCTCCAAATGCAAGGGGTGTGGTATTAGCTAGCACTACCCCATTAACAAACATTATTAGTAGTTGTTTTTCACAAATTTAAGGGAAATTTTAGAAATGAGAAACAGAAAATCTTTCCTTATCAGATTTGAGAAAATTATACACAACTTTTCAAGACTTTCACACTAATTTGCAGTGAAATAGAGTATTAATTTATGGTAAAAACACAGGTGTAAAATTCTCTTTTCATTTGGCTAAGCAGGCAAATTAAAGATGGCCACTGGGAATCACAATCATTTTCTCATTGATATGCAATTTGTGCTTGTTTTCAAACTGATTTTTTTAGCATTTTTAACCAACAGGTTCATGTCTACCTCCCATTTCTAAAGAACAAAATTCAAACAAAAGATAATTATTGTAACAAGACAGTATGTTGGATGTAGGCATGTTGGATCTCGTCCAACATGCCGACATATGCATTAAAAGACAAATTGAAATTTTTTTAATACAATGTTTTTTTGTCCGTTAGTATCACAAAAGGAGGTTCATATTTTTGTGACTCCATCACTGGCTGTATTAAATTAGATATGATCTTACACATGAATGGATTCCACTAGCAGGAGATGCAAAGTTTTAAGGGTTTTTTTCTCAGTAACTGTTGTTTTGCAAATGTAACTAATTGTTTTTGAATTGATTGTGATTTTAACATTTTTAACCAACAGGTTCTTGTCCACCTCCCATTTCTGAAGAGCAAAATTCAAACAAAAGTTAATTTATTATGAGCTAGTGGATGTTTTATCGAAAAACAGTTAACTAGCACAACTTGTCATTACTCAGCTTTGAACATGGTGGATCATGTGTTGGAGTTCATTGGGTTGTTGGTACTTTAATGATTAATTTGCTGGCATGTAAGGGTCATTATTGTAGATCGAAATACTCCTTGATATTTCCCTCTCAAAGTCCAAGTATTAGGTACACTAGATAGGTTGCAGACAGGTTGTACGTGGCAGTAAATCGTTGATTTCCACACACACTCAGGACGGCCCACGTTATCTCAAGTGAAGTGCCACTTGTAAAAAGCGTCTGGTTGTGCGAACTGAAACCTACCAGTTTGGAAACACTGGATCTTCAACGTGCAAAGTTTTACTCCACGGCTCAAACCAGTCAACACCCAGTCCCATCTCACTCCAGTAAGTCTCGGGGTGATCCCTCGCTGAGGCGAAGGCTCGACTATACGCGGAGTCAGATGCATAGTTTCTGCAGCTCTGCGAGGCGTAATACTTCTTTAAATCTGCAGATGTATGCGGTCCTGCTGCTCTGACGGCTTGTTGTTGTTGTTTTTGTGCAGCTGAAACAGTCCACAGCTTCCTCCAGAGGGGCTTCCTACGCTGAAGGGTGGCGCAGTGATTCAGGCGCAGTATGTGTCTCACTTGAAAGTGCATTGCTGCGGTTGTTTTTTTTTAACACAAACTTTCTCGAGTCGCCACTTCTTCCGGTGTTTCCCTGCAGGTGACGGCTTACGAGCACTACTATACGACTCTGAGCAACGTCACCGGTCAATGGGGCCACCCATAGGGAGACTCCAGCAGAAAGAAAAACCTCCTCAACAATCTCTCCAAGGAAAGCGAACTATGAACTGGATGTAGAAAGTGCAGGAGGAGCTTTGAGGCAAAATCAAAACTGTTGCGCAACACAGAAACTGGTCCAACTGCAAGAGAGAGATCCAATGTGAGAAAATGTAAGGAACGCCTCTGTCTACAGGGAACTTAGTTTTTTTATGTGAATGAAAAGTGCATGACAAAACGAAACAGCGTGAGGCAAATGTATGGAGGCCCAAAGTGGACATTCATTCATATGTCATGTGCTCGGTTTTTCATGATATTTAATAAATTTAAGTTTTCTTGAGATTTCAGCTTGTTCTTGTCAGTGTTTAAGAGATAATAGTCAGTTTTCCTGTGATAACTGAACACATTCAAGGACTTTTATTTTGGTGGTCTGGTCTCACAACAAACCTAGCTTACAATCTGTTCTGTATTGCCAGCAGAGCCGACCCAAGCCTCAATGGGGCCTTAAGCAAAATCTGATTTTTGGGGCCTCTTTATTTCTGCCAATAATATCGATTGTTGATCATTCACACACCGTCACAAATCTCTGTAACATTCCATGACATGAAAACATAACCTTTATCTTGGCATTTTTTCTCTTCTTCCTCTTTCTTTTCTCTGCTCCTGAAGAATATGTCCTTATTTGCAACATTGTTTTGCCCCACATCTACCTGTGCTTTGGATGCTCAGTGCACATTGCAAAGCAGAAGGCACATAATGGAGCTTTAAAATATCTGCAATAAGAACCATAGGCCTACATCAGCAGCAGCACTAAAATATTTTTTCTTTATTTTATTTTTACAATAATATCTATTTGATCATACAGAAAGCATCACTCATACATGCAAAAATATATATGTATATATATATATATATATAATACGCCCACCCTGGGGCTTTAATGCAATAATTGAAAAATATGCAGCACACATTCAACATTTTAATACTCTTATTTTAGTGGTCTGCTACGTAGTGAGTCACCATTTCTGACCCTAAATGACTTCCTGGACATTATTTCTGGAATATAGCCTTCAGTAAATAAATAAAAAAATGAACCAGTCCAAGGTGCTTGTTGAAAAAACACAAGGCATATTTGACACTGAGAACTTCAACTTTGGTGGACTGCTAGACTCTAAATCTCAGCTTTTAGCCCAAGTGACCCTGTCGACATTAATAGGGAGTTTTGCCTTCAGCAAGTCTTTTATTATGCAAAACATGAAGAAATCATTAATACTCCTTTATGAGACTCTCCAAATTTCTTTTCATCACAAATCTCTGTTTACTTGCAGCAACATTAAATTTTCAGGCTCCTCGGGTGGCATCAATAACCCTCCTCCTGCTACGAATGTAAATGTCTCTGCCTTAACTGATCGGGGAGTGTATTTAGAGGGGTTGTTTCAAGTTATTTACAATCATGATTGTGTGTGCTGCACGGAGTCGAGATAAATTCTCAAAATGTCTCTCGTTAGGCTGAGTCACTCATTCTGCTCTCATGACAGCAGCAGCTTGTGCAATCCTGGCACGCCACACTGAGCGGCAACAGCTCCATGTGCTCTCAGATTGGGGCAGCGTTCATCTCTTTCGCCATCATAAATACTCATAATCTCCCAGCTCCCTTTGAAGTGACCCCTACACACTGGTGCCCCTGGTTGAGTAACTCATCCATCTGATATTTCAGGTCATCTGTTTCTATTTTTACGCACAGGGCAGTGATTTCCATTGGACAGATCCTGGGGCACTTTCCTAGAAACACTTTGTGTTGCCTTGTAACTGGGTACATCACAATCACACCAAACGTGTTGGTTCAGATGGGACAAGCAAACAACTTCAGAGCGTTTACAGAGCAGTTAAATCAAATCAAGTAAATGTCTCAGGTTGTGAATGATTGGGACTTAATTTTGATCAATTTAGCAAAGAAGAACTTGGTGTTCAGCTTCCCATCTGAATTTAATCCATGGTAAAATAGAAACATGAATATTTCTACTTGATGTTATTTGAATGGAGAAATGGTCGTTTCCAACTTTTGTTAAAGCTACTGTAAAGATCTTTCATTTTTGGAGATTTTGGCGCCGCCCTGTGGACTAAACAGGTCTTTGTTATATTTATTTTGTACATCTGTGTGAAGTTTTGCTTTCCAAAAATGTCATCATTCCTCCTGTCAAATTTTTCCCTTGACTTTCAATCTTTGTCGTTGGCGTAAGTAAACAAAAATTAAATTGACACCCACTGATGGCAGCACTATTACGTATATAAAGAAATGATTAAAGCAAAATAGTTAAACTAGTATCAGACAATGTTATTTGCTTCTGTAGTAAGAAGCTACAGTGTTTGTTTGAATCTGTTTTGTAAGCATGAAAAAACTCCTTACTGAAGCTTTAATTTACCAGCATAAACAACAACAACTCCCTTTTTACCAACAAAATATTGTGTTGGATTGCCATAAACTGGAAAGCAGACAAATCCATCAAACCCCAGTGTTATCCTTTTTTTATCTTTCATTTTTATTACCTTATATTGATTAGAATTTCATCACATTTCAACAGAGCCCAAGTCCCGATCTATATTCATGTTTTACTTTGACTTTTGACAGAAAAAGGATCCCTTCCCTCTCCTCCTTGTTGTAATTTGTCTGACCAGAGGGTCTCTCTAAATCCCCACTCCCCTGAACGCTCCAGTAATTCTTTTTATCCCAGTATTGGCAGAATTTCTCTCATTCTTACTCTTGCTGGAACCGGACGTGCTCAGAAAGAGGGCGCTGACTAATAGCTGCACGCAAAGGCCAATCAGACCTAAACGGGGGTCCAAACTGGCTCATTACGGCCCTTCTCTCTCTGATTGGACGTGATGAGTGAGAAGCATTTGAAACAGAATCAAGTCAGCTGCCCTTCAGAAACATTTAGAGGCAAATTACCAGACTTTCTCTTGAAATGATTCAATATTTCAGCTGTGTTTTTCTGCCTTAATTGTGTCAGAATATGGGTGTATAATCAAATTAGCTGGGAGATAATGACTGCCATTTAACATTTGGGATTGGGTTTAGTTGTGGCATTTGGCAGGGAGGCTTGTTAAAGATCTCAGACCTAATTATTCACAGTTAAGAAAAATGAACCCCATTATAAATTTGTTTTAAGAATGGCAGGGAATCATAAAATACTAATTTATTGGTGATGTTGTCAAAACAAAAGCAACTTTTGGTGTTAATTACCCCACTTAGTCAAAACCAGACAAGAAAATGAGGAAAGCCGTCTAGCACAAGATTAAATTTCTAATAATTTATCATGAGACGTGTGTGAGGAAGACTTCTGCTTCACAGAAATAGATGTCTTTGTATCTTTCACTGTCAGTCAATGGGCAAATAAAATGCCAAACAGAAGCAGAGCATCGATAAATTTTCCCGTTTTATGCTCGGTAATAATGTGACAAGTCAGCCATAAAGCCCCATTTGCTTGGTTCTCAAATACAATGAGAGGAAATCAATCAGGTGCTGTAACAATGTCAAGCAATATTTTCATTTTGATAATGTGAATTATTGCCCTGAAGGGGGCATTAGTCGCTTAATTGTTGGAAGACTGTTGTGTAAAGAGGCCCAAGTCCGACAGCATGGAAACAGTAGCTCCTCTTTCTTCCGCCTTAAAATGCCTCAAAGCGAGACACTTAATCTTAAAGTTCACCCCTGCACAATAAATAGAAGTTTATAACTATGGCTGGCAGCCCTGAGAAGTTAGAAAAATACAGTTATGGATAGACTTCCTCAAGTTTGTTTGGCAACTTGCCTCATTAAAAGTCTAAGAAACTATTTTTGAGACGTCTATCAGTTTCCCTCCCACATGTTTACGTGATGATCTCCCTTCATTATCTGACAGCAGCTGCCTGATGGAGCTCACTGATAAACAACCCAGCAGCTGTGGGAAAGCGGCCCTTCACTTTAAGCAGGAAATATAGATTGTACTTGAGAGTTTTATCTGGAAATGTTTATGTATCGGCTCCTGGTGTTTATCTAGCAAATTATGCCTTTTAGCGTTGGGTTGATGACAGAAAACAAAAGTCCCGAATGATTCAAAGCTGATGTGGATTCAGAGAGAATATAAAATCTACAGGTTTTGGACAGTGCAAAGTAAGTTAAGCGAAACTGAGAGCTTTAACTGCGCTTAAAAACAGGGCAAGGTTAGGCTGATTGGTGCTTGGCTGGGTCTCCATACGGGTCAATGTAATGAAAGTGACTATATATGTACTGTAAAGACCTGAAATGGGTGTAAATACTCTTAAAATAATTGAACTATTTTGGTAATAACAATCTAATTTGAATTATTTTGCATAAATAAACAAGCTTTTGCATAAATTCTGGAGGATTGCCTCCTACAAATAGTTCTATCCTTAACCCAAAGATAAACAAACTTCAGCCCATTCATCTATATTTGGTCTGACCACATCTTGCATCTCCCTCTGTGTGAAGGCAGACCTTTCAGAAATCAATTCCCTTGCAGTTAAAGGGCTTTAAGAGCAATGCAGTGTAATCCCACCTCTTAAAAAAGCAAAACTGTATTCCAGCCCATATGGATGGGAGCCTGTAATCTCTCCCTGCCCTCTTTTCGTGCGCTCTCTAAGCCCTTGCTCTGTCTATCCTTGCGCTTCCTGTCCACCACTTACCACCAGTTTACATCTGCATGCAGCTGGGTGGGACCGTGGGTGGCTGGAATTCAGCAGCACATATGGACCGAGTGATTAGATTAAGAAGCAGTTTCAAAATGATGAAATTGAATCTGAGTGAAATGCACAGTCACATCGATTTTACATTTTAAAATTTCCTTCCTGAATTACTCCATTGCAGCCTATTTCAAAGTGAAGTGGGGTTAGAGGGGAGATAACTGCTTCTCAAATAGATTTCTGCTTTTTTTTTTTTTTTTTTCAGCGCGAGGATAGTAAATCAGATTCAAGCGATTTTACTGTCTATATGATACTGCTGATTTAGCTCTGAAAGATGTGCAAATCGAAACCTAAATACTGGTTACAGCCTTAGGTGTGCAAATGTGTGCACAGCTTACATTTGCTTTGACGGAGGCATGTTTTTTCAGCGTACTTGCCTCTCTTGGGCTGTGCTTCTGTCAAGTGTTATGACTCACCACTTATGAGATATGCTAAAGCAGCAGCGGGCATCATTAAGCAGCAGATCTACAGTAAATGAGGAGAGTCGGTGCTTCAGCTTCGTCCTGCGGTCACACATAAACATGAGGATTAATCCTTAAGCCCTTCAACAAAGGTTCACCACCATCATTCAGTTCTTATCAGGCTACATGCAGCACGTGAAGCCAGGAGAGTGTACAACAGGCAGCATGGCTCAGCGCTTCACAATAAACTTCGATAGCAAAGGCTGCAATTAAGTGATCTCTGAGGTGCAGGGGATGAATGGATCACATGGCTGAGCATTTACGCACGCAGGCATTTAGAGCACGGTTCACAAATTCAGTATGCAAACAGAAGCCACTGTTGCCTTCTGGGTAAGCTGAGGCCACGTTTTGTAGGAATGATTGTAACAGGGACACAAGACAGACTTTGGGATAGTTTTTGTTCAGTATTGGACCTGCAGTAGGATACAATAATGTGTCAGGATGTGGATTACTGTGAAAATAAAGTGTGCAGTGACATAAAAGTTAATGATATGAGGCTTCCCTGACAAGCTTCTTTGCCCTTGTCCTATTTCTTACATCTCTTTACGCACACTTCATATTTTTATCTCTTGCTATCTCTCTTATTCAACCAGGTTAGTTCAATTGGAATTTCAAGAATTATTTTTCAAATGGACAACGACAAACTATAGGGAACTAGGGAACTATAATGCAAGCATTAAAATTAAACAAAAAAAAAAGAAACTACCTCAGAGTAAGCTGTGCATCCATTGAAAGAAATTTTTAAAAGATTGCAAGGAAACACCTGTTCAATGTGTATGTAGTTTGTTAAAAGTACAGTGCGCAGTATCTACTACTACACTTCAGAAACTAATGGGTTACATCACTGGATATGTTTATATAATATGTTATCAAAAAAAATCAATTTATTGCCTTAGTCGGACTGAAATTGGACTTTTAATTCATGTAGTTCACGCATTAGTCCAGCTCAAATTGCACCAAACAAATTCCTGTAGTTGAACTAACAAGCTTAGTTCATGCAGTTGACTGTACATATTTTCTGTCATGTATGCCCCTCTGTTGGACCCAAACTGGCCTTGGTGTTCTGTGCATGCTCCCCAGTTTGCCCATCAGGCGTTGACCACAAGTTGAACAGCAGAAATCTGTTGTAGGAGGCCTGGTAGTAAACAAAACCTTTACAGAAGAAAAAAGGAGAATGCTGCCCTGTCGCATTGTGCCGAGTCATGTTGCGTCCTTTTATTTTGTGTCATGCCGTGCTGTCCCGTATCGTGCATACAGCAAGTACAAAGCTGTCAATAGTTTTCATTGTCCAACTTTTAATCTGTTAACCTCTTGCTACTGTGTTCATTGATTCTTTTGATACATGATGTAATAGGTCAACCAGGATGTGGCCAAATATCTGAAACAAGGCATGTTGCCACTACCAGAATGGAGGCGTATGTATTTTTGTCAACAAATTGAACAAATTAGGCAACTTGGTTCCACCTTCCACCAGTACATGAATTTGAAGCAAAAAAGCTCTCTGTAATTCCGCGTTTTCTCTCCATTTCCTGAAACCAACATTGCGCAGTAGCGTTGTACGTGCTCCACCACTTGTGCACAACACATCCTGACTGAAAGTATGTCCATGTTTTACAATCTATGGCAGGGATAGTTTGCTTGGCTACGACATTCACATTCCTTAAGATCAGTGAAGGTCAGTTTGAGAAAATGTATTACCGTCATGTGTTCAATTTTTGATTCAGTGTGTCGCCAAAGGCCATCTTGACTCAACAACTGTGGGATCAAAGCTTTCGTGAGGGTGGACACCACCAGTATGCTAATAAGAGGATAACATACTGTACTTCTAAGCCACTACAGTCTCTTATATCTTCATCTTTTATTCTGGTGTATACATACTTTTGGCCGTGTAGCTATAAATCTCTCTCCTCGCAGATCTGCCATTGTTCATTCAGCTAAGTGACTGTAAGAAATGTACTTATTTTCTTTTCTTTACTCGTTTCCATGGCAAACCAGCTTTAACTTTGAAAAAAAAAGACAAAATGTCATCTTTCATGGTGATGAAGTATAAAATCTCCTTTGTAGAATGGATGCCAGGTGATGAGATATGATGATGAGACTGGAGGTAGATTAATCCCCCTCCCAACCACTCCCAATCGCTCCCCCACCTCTCTCTCCTCTCTCTCTCTCTCTCTCTCTCTCTCTCTCTCTCTCTCTCTCTCTCTCTCTCTGTGATGCTGCAGCTCCTGTAGTCTCTTCAGTCTCCAGTAAACAGCAGACATGGCGACAGTGGTCCAACCGCTCTCTCTGGATAGAGGTAAGGCGCTCGTGGTTTTTACGTTTTTTCCCGCATCATTTCAAGCTTTTCCCGTTTTGCTTTCTTCCTGCTTTAAAAACTTCGTCAAGGAAGCGGGTGCCGAGGCTTGCTCCAGATGTTTTTGAGCTGCTCGACACGGATTATCTTTACGGGCTGTTATCACAGGCAATAAGAGCTCGCGCTATTCTGAATAAAAAAAATCCTTCCCGTTCTGAGCGCGTGTAACAGAAAGGAGCGCGTGCTACTTTCTCTGAAATCGTCGCGTGCATATTCATTTTCACTCGTTTTTTCATCTCAATAAAGGACATTTACCCTAACCCCGCTTACTGTGCGTTTATCCTATCTATATTATGTAACCTCCTCGGTTTTTATTATCCATTTACAGCTCGGCCACTTCTCTTCTAGCGATGAACTGAGGCTCTACTTCGCTTTCTTTGAAACAACTTTTGTATTTGAACTCTGCAGGTGCAAGCTAGGCAGGTCTGTGCCTCTTGTAGGAAAGAAAACACGAACACTTGCTGCCGTTTTCTGCTATTTGATAACCTGAAGCGTGCGAGAAAGCTCCACATTTAAGCCTAATGATACGTATTGTGGTGTATTTACCCAGCCGCTTTTCCAATGCACCACAGGTTGTGTTTACTATGACTCTGTTAGGACGTAATGGTGGACCACGTGACTTAAACACATTCTTGCACCCCCGACCTCATTCATATAGTAGTAGTAACAGTAATGCCTCCAGGAGGGAATTGTGCATTGCTAGTGTTAATGTTAATCTGCAACACACAGAATGGAAGTGCAAATGTTAATGTCTCCTTGTATTGCTAAAGGAGACCCATTATATTCATTTTCACCTCTCATTTTCTCAGACCAGGACAGCTTACTCATACTCATAACTTACTCATACTGGCCCCTATAAAAATACTTAGTCGAGTGATGGTTATTGCGCGATTATGTGATTTAAATGCACTGTAGCGACTCCAAAGACCAACCTTGTTGCTCGAAAGGAAAGTTGAGGGTCCAGTATTTGTCCTTTCTCCATAGACAAGCAAGAGGCTTATGATGCACTTAACAGCGTTTTTAATGAAACATCTGCTAGTGGTCACACACACACAGGACTCCTTTTGATACACAGCAGGAACAAACAAAAGGCAAACCAAAGCGAAGCAGTGCTATGCTATACTCTGAAGCGATGCGAAGCGAGGCGAGGCGTAGTGGTCAACAAAAATTACGGCTACCCTGCTCCCCTCTCTCCACCTGACCGCAGATAAGCCACGTCTTTTCATAACCAACCGGCATTCACCTCGTGCCCCACGTGACCCAAGCTGCCGTACGTTACCATAGTAACCACAAACACCACGTGGGACATACGGACAAACTACCTTCCGGCTCCTACATGCACTACTGTCCTTATCTCACTTTACGTGCACTGGGCAAAAATCTGATTATCGACAGAAGCATGTCCGCCTCCACTACAGTAGGTGGCAACATGCCCTCTTTTAGCTCAATACTTTTGGGTGGTCCCTGAGACGCGTTTGCAAGAGGCTAACAGGATGTACGTTGAATGATGAAAACAATTTCACTTGTATCTGTTCAGTGGAAGTTTCATCCTTTTTTTTTACGTCCTTTCTTTATGTGTCCAGGTTTTGTTTCTATCCCGCTTCTTCACACCAGATTCACAATATTCAACTTCTGACACGTAAACACTGTAGCATACACAGAATGCTTAGATCAGTTTCAGTTTGATTTAACTGTATATAAGGGAGTGAAAATTGACTGCCAACTGCATTAACTTGATTTGTTAGTCTGACTCTGAGAACTTGATTGTTGGACTATTCAGCTTCTACTTGAAAGAATTTGTTTTTGCTGCTTTTCCAATTGTGTAAAGTTAAACTGAGCTTCTGGATGCTACTTTTTACACAGCTTCATGCATTTACCAAACAAGTCTGAGGCTCTGCACTACCAACCATGCTAGTTCCCTGTTGTAAGTAATTATTTCATCTCCTGCTGTTATCAACTTCCATCTTGTGGTTGGAAAGTGGTGTAACAAGCTTCCAAGTAGGCTTGGGTATCAAAAACTAGTTCCAACTTGGATTCGGTTTCAAATTTCAGAGATTCTTGAATTTGTAAAGCATGTGATATCTGCATCCGCTTTTTGATTCCTGACTGCAAGATAAATCCATCAGGATTTTCAATAAAATTACCCAACCCTACTGCCAAGTGGGCAGTCCTTCAACATTTCCTATTGAAATGCAGAACCTGACATCAGGTTGAGGCCAAGTCTTGCAAAGTTCTCAAAACAAGGTGTTCAGTGATGGTGAACACCAGGAAACACCTACAGGGATTACATCAACTCTCATGTATCTCATGTTCTGAAGCTTTGCTGAGTTTAGCGTAGACCTCCAACATTGTAGCATTATGTGCATATATTTGAATGCAGATCAGCATAATAAGCCTCTTTCAATATCAATGAGGGAATTTTATGAGCAGAAAGGGCCTTACATCTGTCTTTGAAGCACAGACTCACTTTAGAGTCCTGTGCTTTCTTCTTAGGAGTATACTACAAAGTTTAAACTGCAAACGTCTAAGTCCAACATTTAGGCCATATATTTTCCTCTGGTAAACTGCAATATTGCACAAGCATTGCATAGGAAGCGGATGCTGTCAAATATAGAGAAATAAGACACCTATTCCTCTGTGCCAACTAAAGCTAGCATCAGCTCCCAAGCTACTTTTCATGCCACAGGAGAGGACTATAAATACCCTCGATTTGGCAGGAGTGTATATTTTTATGTGGGGATTAATCCCAACTGGTGTCACTTGTACTGTAGGATCCGAGCAATTAGCCAGAATTGATCATTTCAAGCTAAATGAAGATTCAATTTCTTCTCTGTGTGTTCAGCTGCGGTTTGTTCTTGAACAAAGAGTGTAGGCAGTCAAGCTGTATAGACAATCAGCTGGGTCTAAAAGTGCCACAGCATTCAGAGTAAATGAGATAAAGGTACGCATGCACCAGGAAAAATAGATAAACAATTCAGCCCACGCTTTTCCAACCCACCACTCATCATATGGATTATAAAAAGAGGACTAAGCTGATCTGATAAACAGGCTTTTTATCACAGGAGCAAAGGGAAATGTCTTCCATCTTAGTTAAATGTCAGCATTCAGCCTTATCTGATCTCAGTCATTTGCAGGGCAGTTATTCAGACGTGACCTCAGAAAGGGGGGCAGAACCGTGTTCACATGCTGGGGCATGAATAGGAGCAGTCAGCGGCTGGCAGCTGTAGAGGCATGAAAAGCAGTAATGATAGTTTCACACAGGAGCCGTCAGAGAGAGAGAGAGAGAGAAGGAGGCAACATTACAGGCTCTGGTTTTGCCACTTTGGTAAAAACACTATAATTGCTAATAAAAAGAGTGTCTCATCTTACATTTAGAGTGGAGACTTTTGCACACAAGTGTCTAACTGTGAGAGTAAAACGGACGGAGACATTCATTACCAAAGCTCCCACATGGCCTGTTGGGTCACAGCAGGATGAGGGGAGCTTACATCACTGGCCTTCCTGTTATTGTTGGAGGAAATGACTGAAAAGCAAGCACCAGTATCCCATCAGCAACAATGAATTTGCACCTCAATGAATGATTTAGAAAAAACCTTGTGTATTCTGTGTAGAGCTGGCATTTAACAGCAAATAGGCAAGTCCCAGAGAAAGAAACCTTTCTGATGTGTGACAGTGAGAGCAGAGGTCACTGTGGGTCTATCTCAGCTTCTGTTGCCAAAGGACCTCTGTCAGAAACTTGCCTGAAATGAGTGACACTCGTTACTTCATGGGTTGCTTTGCTAAAAGAGACCATTTAGGTGAAGAAGTTTCAAGTTAGGTCAACATAATCTGAAAATATTGCTGTCTCTGTAGTGTGGTCTGGTTTGCCTAATCAGAACCTAAAACAAGGTGAGCTGATGGATTAAGACCCCTCCTAAGAGACCCCCTCTCCACCAGAAAGTTTAAACAACCCTGGTTTTTCACTTGAAAGGTTAGTTTCCGTATTGATAAAGTTGTTTCTGAGCAGCATAGTCCTCCATGTGATGCCCTTTAAAGCTCATTCATGTAAGACTCGATGTCAGCTTTCTTAAACAATTGCTGTCCAGTATGAACTCTTCCTTTTTAATAGACTGAAGGAAGTAAGAGCAGCACTCTACTGCCCCGGCCCTTGTTTTTCCTCCGAGAGATCATGGCAGGTTCAGTAATTCAAGGCCAGACCTTATTCCCATCACATGCTCTCAGTCACTCCAGAGATTTGCGGGATTAAAGGACTGCTGACAAGCTGACGTCACTTGTAGCTGGTTACGTCTAACTCGACCCCTTTTAACACAGTAAAAAAAATGGTTCTTAGAGAGTAACTGTCCTAAAGGGACATTGTCCAGTATTTAGAGAGAATGGAGAAGACAATAAGTGCTGTGTTTTCTCTTTATGCTTTCACCACAGGCCGTTGAAAGAGCCATTAGCCCTCAAGGAGTGATTTATTTGTTGTTGCTTCAAGGGGATCGTCACTATAGGGCAAATTAGTGCTAATTCTCTCAGCATGGGGACTGGACTTGTTTGGTAGGGCCCTGCGTCGTATTTTACTTATTTGAAGTGTGATTATTAGTGTTGTTATTGTTTGGTTTGGCAGCAGGGTTGCCAGAGTAACAAGGACAGCCAGGTCAAAGTGGTTGTGGCAGATGGCAAAGCCTTTTTTGGATGATTTTTTTTTTTTCTCTGGCATGGATGCAGACCAGCGACTTTCGGATTCTCATTTCCTTCCAGGCACCTACTCCTATCACTGGATTTGAGTATTAGCTGAAAACCATTATCCCTCTAATACGACTGTATTAAAAATGTTCTTCCGGCTAAAATATGAGCCTGGTATTGATCTGATGCGATTGATGTCTTTATTTGGCCTTGGGTGGAGTTATAGAGGGTATAAAACAGAGACATCAATGACATCAGAAGTGTGTTGAAGCCCAATGAGCAGTCGCAATATCGGAAATGATGACTCAACCTAATTTTTGATCAACCTAAAATGGACAAAGAGGTGGCGCTAGTGTCTTTGCAAAGGAATACAGTGCACCAAACTAATCCATGCCCCTAAGACGAATTTATGTACAACTCCTGGTCTTTATACTACAAATGCACTGAAATTTACTGTATTGTGTGTATGAATAAAGAATTGATCTACTCTGACCTGAACTGCACACAAGGTAGTACAAAGTTTTGTATTTGTGTGTTAGCTTCATATTTAAATACTGGAGATTGGTGCTTGGTTAACGCACCAAAAATGCCCAGTCATTAATTATTTGTTTGCAGTAGTTAGCAGAAGGCTAGTCAGCCAGCTAGTAGGCTAGTAATCCCTCCAGACAGCCTGTTTGGTAAAAAGCTATCATGACAAAGTTTTTGTCACTATTACATGACATGCCAGCTGTCTTAAAACAGAAGTTGCTATATTGTTCTCCAGGCTATTGTTTTGTCCATATAGTGACCCATTGGCTATTGTCTACAGTCAGCTTTTTGAGCCCTCCATAGTTGCTGATCATCAATGTTGGATCTCCACTTCCTCGTCTGTGTTCTTGTCAACTTTTACCACCCCATGAGCAACTCTAGACACATTATTTTAGTTTGAGTAGACTGACGATGTACAACTGGGTTTTAAAGTACAGTTATTTGCAGATGACAGATTAGTTTGAGGCAGAATATTGTCAAATGACAGCCTATTAGTTCAGTGATTGTTCAACAACTACTATATTTGCTCTCAACTACGTGTGTTTCAAAGGTTACCTTTATTTTGGGGGTCTGGATCCAGATGGTCTCTGAAAACTGATCTCACCCATGGCGTAGCGAAGCACCTGGATATAACAGAAACACAAAGTAAATCACTTGAAAGCTGCCGGTCTCACAAAGCAAGTGGATTTTACAATGAGTTGGTGCGTCATACATCGTGATTGTAGAGAACATTATTAGCTTGACTGTATCAGGGTTTTGGACCACTCCTGTTGTCTGACCACCATGATTAGATTACTTTCTTGGTTGTCATTTGTGGGTTTGGTTTTCGGGTTTAATCATGTTATTGTTCCTCCAAGGCACACAGAACCAAGTGGAAGGCATCGACGAGGGCTCTGTTAAGCATTTCAATGGCTGGATCTAGGTAGAACCAATTTTTGATTTCTATCCCCAGTCTCACTGATACCGGATATTGGCCCGTACTCAAGTCTTTACAAGCACAGGTTCCATTTTTGGGGCTGTATTAGAAAACTTCTCAGGGATGACGTTAGATAAAGGTCATTCAAGCTTCTTTTGTAATCACTGATGCTGAAAGTGGCATTTACATCAATAATCAAAGTCAGATTCTGAATTGAGGATCTTCAGGTTTTAGAGATGTTATCATGCCTGCCTGCTTTAATGAGCCCAGACTCTGATGTGGACGTATTTATTTACATGGCTGCAGTTTTGTAGAAATGACACTTTTAAACACTGAGAATGATTTACCTTCAGCTCTGCCACAATTATAAATGGACTAATTATCGCAGAAACTGGAGCGCTGCCCAGCGGCCCAACACACCCCACCAACAATGTTGTGCAGCTTTTGTGGAGCATTGAAGCCTTCATTATGTGTCACTGTGGCTTTGTTCAGCTCTCTGCCTTTTCTCTAATCAGCAAATGATGAGGATGACCTTTTTTAGTCACGGCCTGATGTTGGAAAGCGCTCAGGGAGATGAGTTTACAGAGGATGTTGCCGCAGAGACAATGTCATACACATTTACAAATACATGTTTTTGACTGAGCAATCCTCCAGCTGAAGCTTTTACACTGTTCTAATCCATCTATGATTTCAGGAACCTTCTGGGAATTATTATATTTCGTACATCTTGTCCTTGTTCTTTTCTTTTCTCGTTTTTTACCTTTGCTGTTAGCAGAGCCTTTTACAACCTTTGGAGAGAGAGGAAGACACAGGGTTACTTGTTGCGGTAAATACATGCAGCCTCATTTCTGTAACAGCCTAGAGAGTGTTCTTCCTCAGAAGCAGAAAAAACTTAAAGGATATCCTTCAGTCTGAACACATTTCCTGTACATCCATTATGAGTTGGTGTGTTATTATTCACCCCTTACTGTGAATGTTCTTTTTCTTTTTCTCAGAGTTGTTGAACTAAAAGGATTTAGACATGGTTGAGGTTTTTCCGTACCAGTTTCAACCACGTAATCCTGTTGTGAAAAAAAGATTGTGGGTTTTACACTTTGAAGTGTCTTGATTCGAGCCAGTTAATACAAAACAGCTCAATAATCTGGGAGATTTCCAGTTTTCTGTTTGAAGTAGGTAGAGGGGAAACTGGTAGTTTCCCAGTTTGGAAAGGCTCAAGAGATGCAATAGGTAGGTCTGGGAAATTATTGGCCAATAGTAGTCATGTTATTTTGTAGTTTTTGATCTGACAGTACAGCTTCATTGAATTAGAGTTAACATAAAAAGCTTTCATTCACTAATAAGCCCACAAATTTTGGCAGAGGGTGATGATATTTAAACTATCATTTCATACAGAGAAGGAACAAATGCAGCCACAGCAAGCTGGCAAGAGTGTAAAAATGGTGCCATTGATGTGAATGTTAATCACATAGATTCAGGATTGCACAATTGCAGCTTGCAAGATGGATGCCGCAAGCTCTCCCAGAGAAGGTTTTAAGTGTTTCTTTGCTAGCATGACACTAAAGGGCGCATCTTTCATGTAAAGGTTTTGATGTTGGCTCTGTAGAAAAAGAAGTCGCATAGGAGACTCTGGTAGCCAGTCCTGGAGCTAAAATTTCAGAAGATGACTCACTGCAGTCATAGATAGTGGACAAGTTGAGGCAGAGGCATTGCTTTTCTCTCTGTCAATCGAAGCAAAGGCTCACGCTATATAAAAGACGTAGGCGCACATCTCCTTGAGCATTGACAGTGTAATATATCTGAAGATGCTTTTAACAACAGTTCACCTCCTCAGTCTGGAAAATGCTGTTATCTCTGAGCCACACTGAACCATTGCAATTGACGACAGAATCACTTACTTTGCAGAGCTTGATGACCTGATGGCCTCTAATGAAGAGAGTGTTTTTTAAGTTGCAGTTTTTCCGTCTCAAAATCTCCTAATGAAAAGGGTTATTCAGGTCCACTTAAACTGGTAGTTTCTACTTATTTCGTCTGTGCTTTAAAACTTTTCTTGAGAAATCAAGGTTAAATGTAAAATTCAAGTGATCGAAGAGCAATGTCAGTTGGCTGACGACAACAGCAACAACAACAACAGTGCACTCAGGAGATTGAGGATGAATAAGACAACTTGTGTTAACACAATTAAAAAGTGTATCATTTACTTCTTGAATTGACATTAAAAACAATCCTCTCGCTCGTCTTGCTCCCATTCAAGATCATTCAGTTTGATGTGAAAAAGAAAAGGAATATTGCATCAAACTTCTTTGAAAGTCTAAGAGCCTCTTTAGAGACTGCAATTTAGTAATTTTAATTCCGTTTGAAGCACCGAAAAACCCCTTAAATTTTAAGCATGAGCTTATGAAAGTGGAGCGAAAACTGGAAGCTATTTTTTAAGAAAGCAGTTATGGTGACTTTTATTCCACATCTAATGTAAGTTTTTGCAAACTCAGTAATGAACCTCCATAAATATGTGATTCCTTTATGAACACACAATGAAAACTGTGATAGGAGACCGTTTTAATGAAGCCATGACAGCGTGGTAATTAAAGAACTTGCATCAAACTTTGCTAATTTAACTGAGTATCCCTAATGAGGATGCTCTCAGCCTGAGTAAAGTAGAGGGAAATTAAGAGCTGACAGGACCTCTGTTGGTGTCATTACTTTGGTTAATGTGACGGCAGCGCACTAAACTGTTAGTGTACAGTGATTGAACATAAATTTAAGTTATTTTGACTGCTGCTTCAACTCCTTAAAGATACTCTAATTACAGATCCTCATTGCCTTTTTGCAGATAATGAAAGGGTGTAACTTTGGTCTCATGTCACCATTTTTTTAGAAAGTGCTCAATCATCTGCTGCAATATCAGCCTCCTCTCCTTTCAGTCACGATATTCAGCCAAACTACTCTGAGAATGACCTGATTGCCTCCAGCGTGTTTGCGTCAGACTCAAGCTAAATTTGGCAGACATGAATGTTGAGTGTATATTTTTTCAGATGCAAGAACTTGCACAGATGTTGCACACATCTGGACCCTCTGAATCCCCCAGAGCTGAAAAGACTGGGTCTCTGGGTAGAAATAGAGTCAGAGTCAAAACAGTGCCAAAAAAAGCCCTTAAGGGTGATTTCCCTCCACTGCCTGTTCAGTCAAACAGGATTTCAATGGCATCTAGAGGTGGCAGAAATATTTTACTTGTGTCGCGGCTCAGTCGGATGGATAAAAGAAAGAAAAAATAAATGCTGGGAAGCAAAAAGGCCAAAAGCAAGGTTTACTGTGTCAGTGGTTAGAAATCGGCAGGAGTCAGGGCAGAGCACGCAGGGAGAAAGCAGAAAAGGCAAGAAAGGAGACATAACAAGACAGACAGGCAGGGACATGAAAAATGGAGTGTTAGGATTGAGATGTGCAGTGATCCAGATTTTCTAGTGAGAGATGTACAGTATAATGATGGGTTAATGAGAGTGTTTTGAACAGCTGTTCAGCTGGATGCGGTGGTAGTGATGAGAGGAGCATGCAGGGTGAGGAATGAATGGCAGTCAAGGTCTAAATAATACAAGAAAAAGGAGTAAGAAAAAAAAACGATGAGACATTCATGTCGTTCCAGTGAGTGTGTTTTCATGGGCATGAGTATCCTAGTTTTTAACAGGACTGTTTTTGTGTTTGGACCTGTTTAAACTTGATTTTAGAATCCAAGATAAGCCTCTATTCAGCTTTGCTACCTTGAGAACATCAAGAGAGAACAGGATGCTGTGGCATGTATCCACCTAACCCTGGTTTCTGACAACTACCTACAACCTGCACAAAAGGAGTATCAGCCAAACAAACTCAGCAAAACAACCTTCATATCCTTAATGTGATCAAAACCAGGATAGGGCTAATAACTGTGATACTTGAGCCCATAGTAACACACTCACTCATGTCAGTTCTTGGTTTCCAGAGAGGCATTATTAAGCCCAAAGGTGCCCTCATTTGATATAATGACTCTGTCTTCTGGTTAATTCAATCAAGTCAAGCGTTTGTATCAAAGACATTGCCTAGCAACCAACAGCTGTTACTAATACTGTGTTCCAGTTGTACTCGGAAGTTGGAGTTTCCGAGCTCCGAGTCGGATATTCACCTGGAACACCCCCTTGAAGTCGGATTTCTGACTCGGAAATCAGACGATCCTCGCCAACAACGTCATAATCCAAAATGGCAGCACAGTGCATCAACAGTAAAGAGTAACAGTGAAAGATCTCGTAATGTATTATTTGTTAGCACTCCTGTTTTGATTTTGTGAAATAAAACAAGTGGTATGTGTTGTACTGCCCAACGTCTAACTGTGAACACAGTGCTATGGTGTTTGTAAGAGTAAAATACTGTGTTATACGTTGTTTACAACTGCTATAGCAAACAACAACCAACAACCGAGGACAACGGCTAACAACAGCTGACAACTGCTAACGACAGCTGACAATTGTAAACAACAGCTAACAATGGGTAACTATAGGCGTCCATCTTGGTTTTCCGACTTGTTAACTGGAACGCCGTCAACTCGGGTATAACGTCATTCCCAGCTCCGACATTCGACTTCTGAGGTAACTGGAATGCAACATAATTGTGTCTAGTATCCTATAATAATGAGTCTTTGCACAACCCAGATTTTTAAAAGTTTGTCATAAGGTATTGAAAAAACATCACGATACTGTAGCGAGAAACAATGGCAAGAGGTATGGATAGCCACACCGTCGTAATAGGCAGGTTTGATTCAGCTAGTCACAGATACAGCTTCTAATTAATCAACAAGAAAACAAAGATGGCAGCCTCCGTCTAGCATAGTAAGCTAACAACAGATATGATACTCTATCACTGACTGACTCGTGCAGTGTGTCCTGCTGTTGTTTTTGTAAGGAACATGAAATTAAGTAGGAGTCATTGTTTAATAACTGACAGAAACAAATGATGTTGATGGTTTGAACTAGTTTGAAACCAGTTCTCAACTCCTGCTCCTATTTGCAAACAAATCCTGTTGGTGGAAGTTCATGGTAATGCATGGCTGAAGTTGTTCATCATTTTTTGAAGACATATAATGAAAGTGTCAGAACAAGCAGAGTTGATGCATGTTGTTATTACAGAGCAGGGTTGGTCAGTCATGAGTGGGCTCATGTTTCATATCACCCTCAGGCAGAAGTTATTCAGAGGCTGTACATATAAAAGGCGCTCCATGTGGGTGTTCAGCACATACATGGTGTTGTCTTCATCTCTGCTCCATTTGTTTTGTCAGCCTCTGCTCAGCTGAAGGTACAACATAGGGTCTAAGTCTTGGTATCACCTTGGTTAAAAATCCATTATCAGAGTGCATCCAGGCCCTCCTTTTCCCTTTTACCCTCTTGTTTCCAGGTAGTGTTTTGATGTATTACTTCATTCTCGCTACATATGTGATTCATTTCATTCATTTCTGCTTAATGTGACGTAACGGTGATCCCCTGCAGGCATTTTCAGCTCCTTTGCTAAGAAACACAGTCATCCTTGAGTGCCTCAGCTCCTGTGTTTTTTACACTCCTGTGATCAGTCACACAGCTCATCGGATGTCCTACTTTTGCTGAGCTTTGGGTATTGAAGTGCACTCACGGGACATTTTTGGCTTAAATCTGTGTGCTTCATTTGAGTTTTAGGGTCAAACTGAAGACATAAACAGCAGGGAGGTAATGTATTTCTCGAGATGTATTATGTACTTGAAATAATCTAGAAACCATGTGCCAGTTTATCAGTTTTTATGGAGTCTTACCTTGATTTGTTTACACATTTCCAAAAAACAGTATCTCCTCTGTGGTGTGACAGCCAAGCAGAAAATCTCTGCAGACATATTTGCTGTATGAGATTAGTTATCACGGGAAGCAGTGAAGGGGAAACGTGCAAAGCAGTGCTGTGCAGGCAGACGTTTCATCACCCCTGAGCTGCTCAGTGTGAACCACAGAACCGTTTGTTAACCTATTACACCACTCATTTTACTGTGGACACCTGCAATTACACCACCCCTAAATCCTGCTTTGTTTGTGTCTGTGCTGACTCAACATATTCAAACCCCTACAGCTGTTTATTCCTCAGCTTAGAAATACAACCGTCTACGGCACATGCAGGGCTCTACTGTCAAGGAAGGGTTGAAATATCATCCGATGCGATGGATGTTTGTCTATCCAGTGACCCTGATCACCACTAAATGTGCACTTTTCCTAGACTGAATCAAGTGTCAAGAAATAGCTCTTTAAGGGAACCAACAACTTGGTATTTCTACACTCGGGGTCACTAATTACTCCGTCATATTTGACAGCTTGGATGAAAACAGTTGGCTGTTACATTGAGATAAAACTGCAAAAGGACATGGCATGGATTTACATGATTACAGTACTACAAGTATTGGAAAAGCTGCCACTGAGGCTTACATTTAAACATTTAATTGGTGTAAACCGCAGAGCTCCTCTGTTTGATGCTCAGCTTCAGAAATTTTAAATAACCCGGATCCAAGCTCGAAAGATTATATCAGGAAATTGGCAGAAATCACTTCTTGTCAGTGTGATGAAAGCACCGCCAAAAATGTCTGCAAGATCGATCTTTGAAGTTAAGATCCAAACGCCAAGTCAAAGGCATTGATGTGGATGAAGAAAATGGTGCTAATGAGGATGGGAAGTCAAATAAAGTCAGAGAGAGAGAGAAAAAAACTATCCTTGATGATCCTTGACCTCTGTTTAATGAGAAAGAAATGCTCATAAACCACGTAGACGGGTGCCCTTGCTTCTTGGAAGTGTACCAGCTCATTATAAGTCATTATAGAAGTAGTGTTTTTTGTATTTAAGTAAATGGAAGTAAAACTGACCCTTTCACCCTGATAAAAATCAAAATTGGGTTTTATTAGAGGAATAGAAGTTCCTTCACACCTCATATGGTCACTTTCTCTCTCATAAGAAAATTGCGAAAGCTCTTTTAGCACAAACAGTGAAAAAAATTGAACATTTAGAACATTTTCTGTTCTTGAATTTAACCATTTGAATTCACTACAACTGTTTTCATATTGTCATTTCTTAACCCAATAAAACACCAAAGATGGAAAACTTTAAAGATGGAAGATATTGAATCTTTTTTTAGTCAACAAAAATAGTTATTCTGAAAAATCTTAAATGCTGGTTTGTTGAGTTTCACATATTTTTACCATTGTTTGCTTTTTGTTTACCCAGAAATTGAGCTCCTACCAAAATTTCTGCCTCTATCTCTGAACTTTATTTGAGCTGCTTACTGCATTGAAACTACATCTAACTGCAACAGAAATCCTACAGCTACTCTTGATAGACCTCAGACAGCACTGTGCAAAGTGAACTGTCTGAAGAAATAGCCCATGTAATAAGTGTTGACAGCAAGGTCTGTGAATCATCCAGATGATCTGGGACACTGTTTTGGAAAGGAGGATATTGCAAGTTTTTATTTTTTTTGTAAGTCTGTGTGTCATATTTTGGTGTTAGATGAGCCCAAATGATGTTTCATTTTCTGCCACTGGCAAACAGCTGAGAACTCGGACAAATAAAACCAAAAACAATGCGCACAGTGGACATATAAGTTAATGCGACACCTCCGAAAATGCAAGGTGAATTCAAAGTGAAGTTTATGCGAGCAAAGGTCAATAATGAATGAGCAGTCAAAACAAAGGGCCTGAAGAGAATACGTAATGTGATAAAGCCAGAAATATTACATGATTCCGTTAAAGAAGCATCTTTTTTTGTGGTATGTATACAAATTTTTTTTTTTTGTCGATAGCTATTAGTTATTGATGGCATTTGATAATATAACTAGTCGTCAACATTTAAATTTTTTTGAGTGGCCCGCTCTTTCTGACTGTAAACAAAGCCATTCTCTGCCTCCCCCAACCTGATTGGTTGTGAGGCAGACGCTGCTCCCTCTTGTTCTGAGGCACGCTCCACATCCTCCAATAAGGTTCACGAGCCCAAACAAAGTCAGCGTGCTACATTATCGGACAGTAGAAACCAACCAGAAAGTACGGAAAACACAAGCAATAAAACAAAGTAAATACCGGAGACTCTGGCGCAATAACGACTTGCTGGAGCAGAGAGGGAGAGGAGGAGCTGAGGGGAAAATTGGTTGGGAGGGGTAGTGTTTACATTCAAGATTTCTCCCAAAAACTGGCACTTCCTCAAATCCTGCCTACCCCACTTTTAACCCAAGAGATGTGTTTATCACTTTTTAGCTATAGAGCGAACAGGTCTTGGATTACATCACATTTTATATCACTCGTACTCTCTGCCAGTTAGCTTGAAATACGGTTTACAACAGAAAATTAAACCTGCTAGTGACAGTTGCCATTTAAGCCAGCATAATCCAAACTCTCTAGCTTGAAATGACAACACTGCTTCTTTCGTCACTGACTGAAATACACCAATACCAGTTAATTAGAAGTGGTAAAGAATGGTGCGTGGTATATCTATCAGTACTAATATGTGTCATTGTTAGTGTTATTGTCTTCGGTCTGTATTATTAGCTATGCAAGACCATAAAGCTAACCAGGCGTAGCAACAGTTTTAAAAAAAAGGGTTCAGAGCTTCAATAGTGGTCGATTGTGAGGGGGTGCCAAGCAGATGCTGGTTTCAGGTGGCTGGAACTGGCAGCATTACGCTAAGAGGAAGAGCTTGTTTGGAGACAGCAGTTAGGAAAGGTATGCTAAAATTAGCCTTGGCATCTATAATCAATATTAATGAAATTTCATTCACCCAAACCTGTAACCGTCTTTACGCGCCACTCTGAGTAGGCCTGTTTGATTAATGGCTGATTAGCACTTTCCTGATGACTCGCCCTGTTGCTGACTCCCATCTGCCGATACAACTCTCAGCGGACCAGTTCTCGCGAGCCGTACCCGGCCTCGATGGGAACTGAATGTGCAATTTTGAGCGGATCGATGTAATCCTCAGTGCTTTGTTGCAGAGTGCTGAAAATAGAAGCAGGCATTGGATTTCTATGAAGCATACTCATTGTCTCCATGTGTAGTATAAAGGTGAAATACAATAAAGGGTAAGATCTTGGTGTGTTTCACATTTCCCTTTAAAAGCTGAACAAAGTATTCACACAAGCAGCGCAGGAGATTACCTCTTTTCATGTCTCCCACAGGTCTGCAAACAGTAAAAGCTTGTCTGCTCGCCGTCTGCTTTATTGAGTACTCTGTATTCCCAGCATTCAATATCAGCCCATGTGTGTGTGTCATGCCTCCACACACAGATTGTGCTTATCACTGTGTACAGGGAAGGAAATACTGGTGCAGCCTGGCAGTAAGATGACAGTGTGGAAAAAACTGATTAGTCATTTCGCGTGCTTGTAATGATGATACTTGATTGCGATGATTGTAGAGATAAGGCCCTTGGGTCAACTGTGCCGGGGGCTGCACCCAGCATTTATCATGAGATTAATCTGCCAGTGTCTCATGCCCAAGGTCAAGTCTGTATTTTTGGCCTTTTTGCTTGATTACTGACCGAAACAATCAATTATCTAAGTTGCTGTAGATAGCAGTAAAGTAAGAAAACAAATCAAGTCTAGCTCTCGTCTTGTCTTGTGTTATGCATAAATTTGACTCAGGCTTGTGTGTCTGATGTTGAACACACGCACAGTAATCCAGGCTATTTGTATATGCCTGATCTGTATTGATCAATCCATGCTCCACACACATCTGGTCAGAGCTGTGGAAGGTCTTTAAGAACATTGCTTTTGTTGTGTTGTGCAGTGCTGTGAATCTAAACCAGCGGCTGAGCTCTAAGTCAAATAAAGCGTGGGCCCTTTTGTTTGTGTTAGGAAAACAAAGATCTATGAAAAACCGTAGGATTGATGCAAGGGAAATATTTTCAAGAAGGTGATATCCTGTAAGTCAACATTTTGTTTGCAGCAGACTTAATGGAAAAGGGTCTCTGGTTTAGCTCTGGTTAAATCTCTGCCCTGCCTACAGTTTATAGCCCTCAAAGTGGTGGCCCCTAGCTATACTCTCATACTAGATTCCAAATCCCAGCTGTTTTATCCATGTAGTACAGAAAAAGTGAGTGAGTACTGTAATTCTGCCGACAGGGGTGGATTCCACCAGTCGCAGAATGATAAGGGCCTGTGTCCACTACTCGCATTTTTTGTGCCAGCGGTGCCAAAAAATGAGCGAGTGCTTTTGTTTTGAAGACCGCATCCGGAATGGCGCCGATCCAGAATGGCGGCGATTTTTGCTGTACGCCGGTTCCTACTGGATTCATTTGTAAGATAGATTTCGTTGCAGATTACGGATGGCAGTATTTGTGAGAATTCACAAGAACCCGCAGATTCATGTGCAATCGCGTGATAACAAGTTGTCTCTTGGCCACAGAGGCTAACCATAAAAGCAGTAGATTGTTTCCTTCCAGAGAAGGAAATCTACTTCTAGACTTCTAGAATCAGCATCTCCTCATCACTGGTGTTATCAGGGTTAAATTCTGTCTATAAACCTTTCTCTTGTTCGTCCCCGCTCGTTGGCATGGTGTGAAATACGATACGCCTGAAACAGGGAGTGTTTTATTTTGAAAGGAAGCCGGATGTTTTATTTTGTGTCTGTGCCCAACTTCCTTTCCAGCACAGGTTAATCTGTGCTGAATTTATCCGGCACGCTCTGGCATCAGGAAAAAATAGAACTCTTGTGATCAACTGCGGAGTCCAGCGATCCGCAGCAGAACAAAAAGAAGCCGATGGAAATTGACACATTAACTTGAATGGTTAAGATCAGCTACAAACGGCTGATACAGCCTTTTCGTAGCCGTTCCGGATGCGGTGGAAATTGGGGGTTAAGCCTCACAGTGAAAAAATGCTAATTAATGCTAAGGCAGATTTAAGATGTACTTGCCATGTTGATCCAAGACAAAGTCGGTCATGTTGGTTGGTGAACTGAACGTCTTTAAGATCTAAAAGATATTGGAAATGAAGCATGTGATAGATTAATAAAAATAGGTAATAAAGCAAACATTAGTTACAGACATTAACTGCAAAAGGACACAAAAGAAATTATACTTGGGGGTGAAATTGTAATGCATCTCCACTGTAAAACTGCACCAACTGCACAACATACGTGTGGTCGCATGTCTCCTGACTCACAAGCTGAATAAAACATGATATTGACCCAGTAGTCCAAGTCGAGTGATGGAGTACCAAATAACTTCCCTCTGCTTCCATTATCTCTATTTGGCCTGCCAGTTTCAGAGGGCATGAAATTAATCAGCCGAACTCATTCAGCTCAAGCTAATTATAGGCGCAGAGCTCAGTAAACCCCAGAGTCACAGCGTCTAACTTAAGGCTTTTCGGTTTAGTGTAAATGCTCTGTAATGCCCGCCGGTGTCTCCTCTTACCAGGAGGTGTTACCTTTGAACAAATGAGTGCTTGACTTATTCCCTTAAGTCTTTATTCTCATGCAAAAAGCCAGGCCAAAGCAAACGATCCATGGATTGGACTGCTATTCTATCTTTCTTGCCGCAGCTGGCCTTGACTAAGTCTATTTCCATTATCCTACCCATTGATTCGCTCAAGCGCCTTTCTCGCAGCGGTACTGTTAATGTAATTGAGCGGAGCTTCTTTTTTTTCTTCTATCTGTCCTCTTGGCATGAGTTCGCTCACACCCTCTCTTTCTCTCTCCCTCCCTCTCTCCCTGCCAGATGTTGCCAGAGCTATCGAGCTGCTGGAGAAGCTGCAGGAGTCCGGTGACGTGCCCGGTCACAAGCTCCAGTCTCTGAAGAAGGTGCTTCAGAGTGAGTTCTGCACAGCCATCAGAGAGGTGAGCCAATGTCATGGGCAAAAGCTAGGCTGTAAACAAAACATGACTCATTTCTTATTTTTGTTTTTTTTCTTATACTTTTATTTTTTTTAGTTGTTGATCCAGCATTTTCACTCGTTTAGATGACCTTATTTGACCCAGCACTTCGAGCTCTGGTGTTTTTCAGCGCTTTAGCGTTTCTACATCGTGCTCCTGTTCGTGAAGTTGTTGCTCTTTCACCTGTTCAGTCAGGTTTGCTGTGTTATCTGACTTCAGAACTTTGGTTGTTTCTTCATGAAAAAAAGGAAAGTGTTGCTCACTTCTCCCTGCAAAAAAGTTTCTGTGACATCTAACAGAAATAACAATGGAGGTTACTGTCAGGTTCTTCTCTATCTATTGATTCTATATAAAACTGCTGCAGCTGTTGATGGATTTTAGTATGGAAAAGTACTCCAAATACTGTAATATTGACCAATCACATAGCAGTACCTTACCTCTGTGTTGCAAAAGTCAATGAGCATCTATGTACCAGATTCAAATTGACCCTGCCCCCATTAAAAACAAAGGCTAGCTGCCGTTTAGCCTCTAGTGTTAGCATTTCTAGGTAATACAAGGCAATAGCAACACATTAAAGGAGAACCCGGGCCTGAACTTAAATACAGCTGTTGCTGTGTTTGATGTAATCACACTTAACCAAGCTTATTTGCTAATAAAAAGTTCACAGTCAGAAAGAGTAGGCAAAACACAGTGATATCGTTATATTACCAAATGTCATCAATAACTAATAGCTATTGACTGATGTTAAAAGCTTTTTTGTATATACACCACAAAAAAAGATGCTTGTTTAACAGAATCCTGCCTACCCCACCTCTAAGATGTTCTTATTTCAGCAAAAAAATACTATTTCCTTTTTTCGGTTCATATGTAAGACTGAGTGAATCCTCTGTTTCTGTTATCAGTGGAACTGAGACTCTGGGGAGTGAAATGAACTAAAATGTTGTCTGTTGCTAAGGGAACTGAGTGCTATTGGTCACCATTACTTTAGGTAAATATTGTCATCAGATAATAACCCCATGGTTTCCAATATTATTGTCACTTAAGCATAGCTTAGCTTGACCTTCTTCTAGGGGTCACACAAAAGCGTTGACAGTACTTAGCAGAAGTGCAGATTGTTCTATGTGAAGTAGGAGTTCAACTACTATACTTGAGTTGGCATGGACGATATAGGCTCCAAACTGTGCTCATGTTTTTCATCAGCTTTCTACGTTCTGCTTTTGCCAAAAATACGATACAGACTGATGACTCCAAAGTTGAAGTATGAAACTTTTTTATTGTCTTTGTAGTTTTGGAGCTGCTTTGTTTTGCAGAAATTAAACAGGTTTTCAGTTTCACATCTGACCGACAGTTCGTCAGTACAGCCTGAGCTTACTCGCTCCAAACAACCAGTGTTCCCACTGTTCAGATATTAGCTGTAGGCTAGCTCGATGTCAGCTTTGAACTATCATGCAATGTTCCCAATATGTGTGTAAGACTGGGCTTTGAGCGTGCTGGTTTGTGCTCCTCCCAGACTCTAAATGAACCCAGAACTCAGCAGGAAATCTATTTTTTTTTCCCTCAGCCTTTTCCCCCCTGGTCTTTTTTTTTCTCACACTTTTTCTCTTTTTCTCTGTACAGTATGAAGTAGATTTATACCATTGAGAGACACAGAGTACAAGGATTAGCACAGATTTTCACTCAGGTTGCGGCTGTTTTCAAGTTGTTAGATTTAACTTTGTTCTGCAGCCCCATTATTTAGTCAAAATAATACAAAACTATCCATTGAATTCAAGGACTAGGCCATGTCTAGTGTTTAAATGGATGACGTCTTACCTGTGTTATACTATATCTCAAAGTTGTAGGTTCTTTGAAAGTATGTAAATGTCTCCTAAATTATTTGCTAGTTAGTTTTAATTTGAATAAATCTGTGAAAAAAAAAAATGAATTAATTAATGAAAAAAAAGAAATAAGAAAGAGAACAGAGAAGATAGAGCCAACGTAAGTAGCCCGTCTGGGTTCTGTACACTATACCTCCCCTTTCTTTCCCATTTTAATAAAGAGAGACAGAATAAAATGGATGAAAAAGAAATGTAAGAAAGAGGACAGGGTGGGCAGAGCCAGGATGACAAGCCTGTTTGGACTACAGTTTTCCCCAGCAGGGTGAGCATGTACGCTCTGCCTCCCCTTACTCCCTAACCTTCATACCAGGAGGAGGAAGGGAAAGAGGGAAAAGGAGATATAAGAAAGAGGACAGAGAAGAATGAGCAAGTACAAGTAACTTGTTCAGCTGCTGTACGCTTGACCCCTCCTTTTACCTCCAGTTTGATAAGTGAAGATGGAAAGGAAAGAGAGAGAAATGAATATAAGAGAGAAGAAAGAGGGGTCAAAGCCAAGGTGAGAAGCTGGTCGAGGCTACAGCTCACCCCTGCTGCTTAAGGCTGTACACTCTGTCTCCCCTTATTTAAGACTTCTCTCTCCCTGTAAGAATGAAGGAAAAAGAGAATCAAGACAGAGGACAGGAGATTAAGAATCAGGGTTAGAAACCTCACCCTAACAGGCTAGACTGTGCACTTTACCACCCCTTATTTTTGTTTTGACAGTACTTGACTTTATCCTTGAAATGAGAGATAATTCTCCCTGATTTGAATGTCAAACATTGAGTTACACTGAACTACACTTTTACCTAAAAAAAAAAATAAAAAATCAGGGCATGTACCTCTAAGCTACTGCTGTGTTACATCAATCAAAAATGACTGCTACATAATGAAAACGTCAGATTATTGCTCTTCCTTATCACTGCTGTAGCTGAACTGAAGGACTCAGAGGTACAGAGAGTTTTTGACTGCATGAGAAATGTATACTGAATACAGAGATGACCCGGACATTACAGGCTTTACAAACTTAACATCCTATTTACCTGGTTATAGAGAAATTAATGAAGCAAACGGCTGTTAAATATTGGTTTTAATTTAACTTTACACAGCCTGACTACAGTGTGAATTAAAGACACGAGTTCTTGTTTTTCTCCCTCCTGCGAAAATGATTTTCGTTTACACATACACAAACAGCCGCCCACTGATCCATCATCTTAACACCGTTTATCAAGAGGACTGAGTACAAAGCAAACAAGAGCAGTCACTCCACCTGACACCACTACACAGCCTGATAACCATACAGCTTGTATATTTAGTGTCCTGTCTGTTGTGATATAGCCCACCGAAGCATTACACGCTGGCATGTGTTTGTTAAGCAAACAGGAGTTCCAAGAGCTGATAAACAAAAGACAGGTGCCACAATGGCCCCCATGTTTGGAGCTGAATAAACCAAACATGTTAATTGTCCTGGAATTAAAGGAAGGTAATTACCAGCCTTTATTAATATGTCAGGGAGAAGCTGGGCTGCTTTTTTACCTCCTAGTTGTGTCATAAATGAAGAAGCTTTAAATATGATTTAACTGCTTCAAAGTAAAAAAGCTGAACAGAAAAAGGAGCATCACTAACTCAAGGATGTCTGGGTCATATCCAGTTTACCAAACTTACTTTTAAAGCCATTCAAGTTTGTGTTGCTTTCTGTTTGTAGCTGAAAACTTTAGAGAGAAATTATGGAAATAACATTTTAAAAAGTGATGCAAATGCAAGTACTACAAGAAAAACACCACAGAAGTTAAAATGTGTTTATCGCAGAGGAATCTGTGTTTGTAGACAACATAATAACAGCATAGCCTGTCAAGTATTGGCCATCGCACCACTCCTGATTATACATGAATTTAAAACACCAAGTGTCTAATTAGGAATATTCAGTCATATCCATAAACTTTATATAGAATGGACAGCATCTGCCTCCTCGCTGGGTGAAGCCACCCCAAGAACAGAGCCCTCTGGTGACGGCTGCAGTATAGGTCATACATCCCGCCTCCGCCATCAATCCTTATGGGACTGTGGACAAACTTTAGAAATTTATTACACAGAATATAATGGTTACGATGTTGACATTTAGTTTCTGTAAGACTGGTTTGTGCTCAAGTCATCCTTTTTTCGTACAGCTCCGTTTTTAGGAGTTATTAGGGGGTTCATGTTTTCTATGATTGACACTTGATACAGCCTATGGGCGAATGAAGATTACGTAGCTCACCCGGGGTATACACAAGTGGTGGAGTGCGTACAATGCCACTGTGCAATGGCTTCAGGAAGTGGAGAAAAAGTGCGGAATTACCGAGAGCTTTTTGGCTTCAAATCCGTATACTGACAGAGGGCGGAACCAAGTTGTCCATAGTACATACAGTCTATGGTCATATCTAGTGATCAGGTTCTTCAAATACTCTCCTACTCACCCCTTTCATGAGTAAAGTGACGGTGGACAGTGATCACCTGGGATGCATAGGAAGTCTCAGCCTCTGTTCGTCACCAAGTGGTGACCCCTGGTGTTGACAAATGTAGCCAATACAGAAAACAGCAGTTCATTGAGAGTCCACTACAGGATCCAAGGATTAGGTCCTACATTAAAATGATCATTTTGTCAGCAGAAAATGATGATCAGGTGCATGGTCTGGTATTATCTGGATGTCTTAATCGGAGTTCTCCAACTCCAGTTGGAGTTCTCTAACTCCGAATGTAGTCGGACTTAGGTGTTCACATGCAGTTCAGTTGTCCGGTCTTAATCGGAGTAAGACAATAATTCGGTTTTCTTGAGTGTCATGTAAACATACTGAGTGTGTCAGGCAAGACCAAAAGCTTTTCTTTTCTTACCCGATCTAAGTGCTCCTGGTTGCTTAAACCCGGCAATAACAATCAGTGTATTTACATGTTTAAAATAATCATTGACTGACTGAAATCGAGCTGCTCATAGCTGGACATACATACCTGGAAAATACAATGAGGGATCAATTTTCTTTGTCATGTAAACAGCCCGATTGCACTGAAACTGGCCTAAGCGCTCTGTGCATGCTCCATTAAAGAAATAGATTATTTCCGTGTTTTCTTTTACTTATGATAGTCTTTATTTAGCGAAAGTAGAAGTAGAGGTTAATTCACTTTTTCTACAAGTCCACCAACACTGGCAATGACACCAATTAGCAGAAAAACAGAACATCACATAAACTCCCCTGACATCGTGTGGAAAAGCAGAGAGGAAGAAAGCTCCACTCTGCTCCTTTTACACAGTCCAGCTCTGCTCTGGCACATCCTGACACCAACTGCAATGTCTGGCAACTGGCTGGCTGGTCTCCGTGCCAGCCACTGGAGAGCAATGACAATGATTCCCCCCAAAACCTCGCAAAAGAGGCAGCGCATAAAGGTGCAGACCACTTCACTTACAAAGAGCTGGCTAAACACAGATGCAGGTGGACCACCAGGGCAAACGATGAGACAACAGCGTCTTACACAGACAGCTGAAGAGCAGGCCAAGGCAAACTGTATATTATAACACTTATTATGGAGGGCAGTAAAGGAGCTCTTGAGGTGGAATATTACAGCCCTCAACAGCTGTGTCCCCGGATGCCACGATCAAATCGGAAACAATTAGAAGAGACAGACTCAGCATGGAGGGGGATCTCAGTGGGAAAACAGCAGTTAGCCTGGATTTAATGGCCCTGATATGCAAGAGTCATTCTGAATGTGTTTGTTTGTGACAAGAAGAAGGAGCGTTTACTAGCTACGGGTTCATTTACCACATGGCATCGCTCTATTTCAGACGCAAAAAGACTTGTTTTAAAATCAGCACCATTTTGAAGAACTTAACCCTTTAATGCCTTTTGTATCATATGCCTTTGATACGTATTTTTATGATACTTCTATCAAATCAATATGATCAACAAATTACTAAAGAACACCTGAATACAGTCCGATAAATGATAAAAATGTCCTCTTGTGGTTTTTCAGTTTCCAAAAACATCCAATGTATCAAACAAGAGAAATAAATATATATTTGTTAAATTTAAAGGACATTTTGATTTTTTTGTTTTTTAGTAGTAAGTGAAATAAACATTTCAGCTCCAAAAAAAGTGTTAATTTTTTGGCCATAATTTGTGGTTTCAGGCATCAAATGGCTAAGTTGCATGTTTTTAGTTTTTTTTGCCACTTTTGAGAGGACAGTCACCACTCACTACTCCACCGGCACCATCATTTGTAGATGCATTATTCAAAAGGAGGAATTAGAGTTCATTTTTCTACATCTCCAGACCGCAGTTAATAACTTTTTATTTGCAGACTTGAACATTTCTCGAGAAGTTGCTGGTCATAATTTACCAAAACATCTGTGGAGTCTATTTTTATTAGCAGCCCTTCAGCTAACTTGTTCAGGCAATGCAAGATATAAAAAAATATTAAAATAAAAGCATGTAAAACAGGTGTTATATGAGGCGGCGCCCTTCCACAAATGAATATGGATATTATTAGAAATGGATGATGACATGTTGGATAACTGTGTTCATTACTCAAAGGTACTGTGAAGGGTTTTCAACTGGTTAAGAAATGATATTATCAGGATGTGACGTTTGTTGTGATTGGTACATCCCAACATTCCTGGTTACTTAATGTAAATTCTCAGCCTGCTTTCTTTTAACAGCCAAAAATGTGCCACTTATTTTTTCTTAGGCGTGGGGTAAGTAATCTGGTGTGACAACAAAGGCCACTGCAGCAGCTTCAGCCATCAAAAATAAGACTAGAATATGTAATTCTTGTTGCTGGTGGACTCAGAAGTGTTATCATCAATTTCCGTGAGGTTCAGAATCAGTTAAAAACTCCTCAGAGGGACTTTAGAAGCAAAATCACTTAAATGTGAAAAGTTTCCACTCATTACTCTTCTCTTTTTTTTTTTGCTCCTTGGTATGAAATAAAATTCTGATTTATTTCAAACTTCACCCACTCCCCACTGCTGTATGTCATTCATTAGTTTTAACTATCAGGATTTAAAAGGCGATAAAACACTCAGGTTAAACAGTAAGACCGGCCCTCCTGTTGTTAATTTCCATTGCACACACCTTTGTGACATTTCATTAATATGGATGACCTTTCTCTCCGGTCTTGGCTTTGCGCAGTGTGTGATGTGATTTTTTTTTCCTCCACTCATTTATGAAGGTGATGAAGCGTATTTGACGGTGTTATCGCCTAAAAAGATTTGAAGTATTAAGGAAAAACTTACAGGTAGTCTGCCTCCATATCCTGATCCTGTATGTCAATAGTTCTTCTGAACATGGATCCGCCTTGTTGGAGCTGACAGGAAAAAAAAGAGTGGATTCAGCAAATGATAAAAGAGATGGAGTTTGATGAGCTGGTTGTCTTTTTTTCGGGCACATTTATCAATGACGGAAAGAGGAGGGTGTGGGGCTGTTTCTGTGCGTAAGTCTCCCCGCATCAGCCTGAATGAGTTGTCAGGGTCAATCAGCCTTGCAAATAGGAAAGGAAGGACACAAGACGAAATGACTGGAGGAGCTAACCAGCTGGAAATGATGGAGAGCGGGAATTTAGAGTATATTGGGTTAGAGAGTCCCACTTGACGCACACTGGAAAAGCGGGCCGGGGCGATGGCGTCTTTCATCAGCGTTAACATCGCGGCTGATTTTCCACTTCAGCAGGGATTTTCAATCAACATTATTGACTGTGTTCTCTTTCGCAAATCGAGGGCGGAGGATTTAAAGTTGACTCTGCTCTGACGCCGCTGACACCCACATCACATTAAGCCAAAGGATGAAAGGTACATTAAGTCAGTGCATGCAAGTTCAATATTTCCCTTCCGTGTCATAGTCTTCTCCGCCCAGGGGAAGTGTATTGTTAAAGCCCTGTGCTGGTTTTCAGCCCTTTCTGAAAACAACATCACCGAGGCTAAAACCTCCCTCTTGACCTCCCTTTTACCCATCCCCCTCCCTCTTCTTCATCCCTCTGACTCAGTAAAGGAAGCAGGAAGCCATGGTTACAAGCAGCGTTGTAACATCACTTTGCCCTGCAGGCTTCTGCTTTTATTCTCTGGTTTGCTAGTATCCTCGCAGTTGGTGGCATCCCAAAGGAATGGTGTGTTTATGAACATTTCTCGCCAAAAATCACCTTGATAGGGAACCAGGACATGTCAGCAAACATGGTCTGGAAATGTCAGTATTTCCAGTGATGGAAAGAAGTGAAAGTTAAGAGTGAAGATTTCAGGAAAAGGAGAGGAAAATGCCCGCAAGACAAATGGCCTCTTTAGAGCAAAGTGCAGCCCCAGTAACTGTGAACAGGCACGTAAAAGCACACAGCTCTTTATTCTGCAGCACAATATTTAGGCAAAATATGTAGAGAGATAATAATGGGCCTTTCCCATTTTAGAACAAAAAATACTTTGCTATTTTTAGTATTTTCTAAAAAGTAAAAGACTAAATAACGCCATATTTAACAGTCCTGTTAGGTTCAAAACTGCATATTTGATACGACACAATGATACTTAAAGGTGGGGTAGGCAGGATCTGAGTTAGTGTCAGTTTTTGGGAGAAATCTTGAATGTAAACACGACCCCTGCCAACCAGTTTTCCCCTCAGCTCCTCCTCTCCCCTCCCTCTCTGCCCCAGCAAGCCCCGCCTACAAACAGACGCTCCTGCTCACTCGTATTGTTCTAATTCATTTCAGATATAATGCAGATAAATACTTCAGATAATTACAAACGTGAAAGTAAAAAGCATTGGTGCTACTGTAGATGCCAACAGACTACCAGCAAACACAATGTTTGCAGGACTTCAACAACTAGGATAAAGTGACATAGTCCAGGACCCAAGGTAAACAGTTTAGCGGTGCTACAACACGCAGACAAGAAACACTTCTATTGCAGACACTTGGCTTACTTTGTTAAAGCGGTTTACCTGTCCAGCAGAAAGGTTACAGGGTCCGTAACATCCTGAAGCGTCCCCCTGTGTTGGTTTAACTGGTGTTAAGACCCCCATCGTTTATGCTGCATTTATGTTGACCCGGCTTTTTAGCTCTTGTCCGGTCTACCTCCTTTTTTAGCGCCCGTTGTTCCACCAGAGTCTCCGGTATTTACTTCGTTTTCTTGCTTGTGTTGACAGTCGTGGCCAAAGGAGGATTCAGAACATTTTCCGTACTTTCTGGTTGGTTTCTGCTGTCCGATATTGTAGCACGCTGACTTTGTTTGGGCTCGTGCACATTATTCGAGGATGTGAAGCGTGCTTCGCAACACGAGGGGGCAGCATCTGCCTCACAACCAATCAGATGGGGGAGGTGGAGAACGACTTTGTTTACAATCAGAATGAGAGGGACGCTTAAAAATGTTAAAATGTTGACTACACAGACATAACAAAACACAGCGATATCGTGATATTCCTAAATGTCGTTAATAACTAATAGCTATTGACTTGTATATACGCCACAAAAAAGATGGCTCGTTAACGGGTTCCTACATACCCCACCTTTAAAAGGGGTTTATCAGTGCGAATTAGCTTCACCTTTTTTTCTGAAACTTTTGTTTTGTTCTCTGATCTTACAAATGCCTTTTTTCAACAACTAACAGAATATGTTTCACCTAAAAAAGCTCTTTAAACAGCCAGTACACATCTGTCCCCTGCCATAGTTGCAAAGTTAGCTGCTAGCTTGTAAACAGCCGAGTCATCAGAGGCTAAAGATCTTAACCGTGTCCCTAAAGTACAAGGATCCTTGAGTTGCTCTCTAGTCATCATCCCTCCTACATATTTAAACATTTTCTGCATAGATATCCAGCAAAATCCTTGAAACATAGTAACCGAGCACACAAGGCTTCAATATGAGACAACCCAGTTTCCTGTTATTTTTAACTATGCTTTGGCACAGTCAGTGTGCAAAAAAACAGGAAGAAAATCTGAAATTTTGTCTAATTAATGAGGAAAGAGTGCTGAAATGTTTTGCTACTTTGACAGGCAGCTTCCCCTGTGCTCAATTAAGCCTTCAACTGCAAAATAAGTTTTAAAATCAAGCTCTGGCGCACCCGTGGAGTGAGCTCACAACACTCCTCTTCAACTTACCCCCCTCAGATAGATGCCAAAATCATATAAGGACTAATGCTTTATCTGAAAGCCATTACTAAACTTTCATGTGACGGAGACAAATGTTCGAGAGCTAAAAGCACTTAAAGCCGGTAATTAAACGGATTTCATGTCTGCAAAGTGCCAAGAATAAGAGACAGTAGAATAAATGGGTGCAATTAACAGCTGGGGTGCTGTTTGGAAAAATTCGGAAAAAAAGGGAAAGAGGGGGCTTTCTGCAGGCAGGTAGTAGCAAGGCAAACCTTTCAAGGCATTTATAAAGCTGTGCTCAGCCTCGGAAAGAGCAAAAGGTGGAAGAAGTCCTCGGGAAAGGTGTCATTTGGGAGTTGAGAGTGTGTGTTTGGACTGCAGGCTCCTTTCCTCCGAAAGCTTCAGCGATAGAAATCTGTGTTTCGATTTGAAATGAGAAGCTGCACTCTCACAAACCTCTCTCTTTGTCTGTCTTTGAGATTCATGAGCAAACAAGAGAACAGAAGCTCATGGTTATTTTCCCCAACTCCTCTGAAATCTCTCCATACAAATATCTCTGTGTTTGTACCCTATAAGTATACATCCTTTTGATGATTTCAGAGCAGTGGGGGCTTTGTAATGTTGTTCCACGGTACGTCAAAGCTACCAGGCGTGTTCGCTCCCAGGCAAGCTGCCATGCTTTGATGAGAGACATCATCTAGAGAGCAGAAACAGATGATTAAAATTCAGTTCAAAGCCACTGCATCTGATCCGCTGTAGACAATGGTTTCGAGTTCATTTTGCTCTCAGAAAATCTTGGGTTTATTATTACACTGATTAAAATGGGATTGCTTATTTGCTCACTTACTGCTACCTAACATAAATACAAATGGATGTCTATGTACTGGGAAAACTTGACTGAGTTGTTTTTTATCGAGCGAACCGCACCAAAGCATCAAACGTATATCCTCTGAGACTTTTTCAATCATCCCACGCATTCTTTTTTTTTTTTCCATCATCTCCATTCCCCTATCATCACTGATGGGAAATTTCACACTGATTTGCAAAATCTGAAAGTAACACGAAAGATTGATTGAGTTGAAATAAGGTAAGAAAGACATATTTGAATGAGTCTTGGCAAAAACAGCCCAAAAGATTGCCTGGTGGAGGAATGGGCCGCAAATTCAGGAAGAAAGCCAATCCCAAAACGGAAATAGAAGATCTAAATCAAAGAATGGTGGTTGTGTTCAGTGGCAAGCCAAAAACAATTTATAAAAACAAGTGGCATTAAAAAAGTCACTATATCCTGTATACAACATGCACCTAGTTTCAGTGACTTCACTTGTTGACGTCACCGTTCGCCACATCAACAGCACTGACACAACCCAACTTTAACCACCTTTCTATAAGCAAAAGTGGATCTGAGGCGCTCCCTTCTTGTTCCCAGATAACACTTACAATGTGCTCACCAGTCAACTAGCCCTGCTTGCACTCTTGCAAATTTAGCATAAAGAAAATTTATAAGAAAATTCACCCCTGTCCGATGTATGGGTCAGTCATTAGGTCTGCAGTTTTTTTGCACCTCTTGTTTGCTTTGTTTTTAAACTCCAGAGGTTGGTTTTCATTTGACCTGACTACTGTAAACACAAAGGGCTCTACTTTTGTGCCTGCCGGCGGGCGGTGGCACACCTTGCGCAGCGGTATTTTCGTCTGGCGAAGCTTGGCGCAGAGCCAGTTTGGTATTTTTGTAGACTGGGGTGCACCGAGGTCCACTAAGCTGGGCATGTTTTTTTCGTGTTCGCCAGCAGCGTATAAAGTGCGCTGAAAGCTTTCGATTCAAACCTTGTCAGCTTTCAGCTTTCATACTTAAGCCATGCCTGTGCCATGCTGCCGGCGAGGCACGAAACTAGAGCCCAAAGTGTCCTTTTTGATTAGCTGGTATGCTGTCACTGTACAGAGTCAAAACAACTCAAAAATATGAGAAAGACTTCTGTTTGTAATTTTATGGTGTGATACAGCCAGTAACAATAAGATATGGTAATGTCGCTTAACATTACGTTGTGTTTACATTAGGTTGTGTTAAATACGTTTTGTTACATTATGTTTGGTGCATTGTGTTACGTTACGTTATGTTACATGTAATGTTGTGTAATGTTATGTGTTATGTTACATTACAATATTACATCATGGTGTGTTATATTATGTTATGATACATCATGTTTTGTTATGTTACATAGCACTTTATTATAGTACATAATGTTGTGTTACATCACGTCACATAATATGATCTTACAAAATGTTATCAGACTACATCGTGTTACTTCACGTTACATGACATCATGTTATATGTTATATGTAAGGTTATGTTGGCATAACATTACATCATATTACATACATCACATCACATCTGTTCATTAGTAGATCACTAAGTAATGATAAAGCATGATTCAATGAAGTCTAGCATTAAAAAGTACATCTCATGTTATATGTCATGTTATTTAATGTTACGATAGGTAATGATGAAATATGTTACTGAAAGTTGAGTGTTATGTATTATGTACTCTCGTCACGTATGTCACATAATGTTTGGTTATGATTATATGATTATGATATGGAATTAAAGGCTACATATATGTCAGAAGCTAATCACATGCTTCACAAATTTAACTGCCTCCTCAGTCGATTTGATGAAAAGATTGATTAAAAATTAAAGGCACCCTGTCTCCATCATCTACACCATTAATACATTACATATTAATTTAATTATACGTATGTGATATTCTCTTATGAAGCATGTTCTGATAAATGCTGCCAAATTTCACACTCTGTACTCGTAAATAACTGACTTAAAGGTCCCCTGGATTACCAAGTACTACACTTTATTTCTGTTGGGAGGGCTGTGAGCGCAAGAACAGAAAACACCTGACTAGAGCGCTTACATATGGAAATGCCGAACTGAATTGGTTTTGACAAAATGGACACGACTTGCAAATGTTTTACCTTTGTAATACACTGCACTAACTCAACAGACTCATTCAGCACAACCTCTGTCTTGTTCTTTGTTTCTCTCTTTGAACAAGCTCAGTTGTAAAATGTCTCCTAAAGACACAGAAAGGTCGACTCCGTATTGATTCTGTCTGACTCAGCAAATAGGCGGGAAACCTTGTTTTTCACCCAACTGGACATGCAGAAACCTTAGCCTTGGCAACAATTCAGGCCCAGCAGTGATACATAACTTCTTGCCCTTTTTTTTTTTATTGTTATTGTTCTTCGGAAGAAAAAGATACACATCTCAAAGTTGGCGAATTGCCCTTTTCAGCTGAATTAGATCACAAATATTGTCTTAAAGGCTGACAACTTTGCTTCCTTCCATACAAATTTTCACGGTGTATAAAACACTTAAGCTGCCTCTTTAAAGAAGAACTTTTTAAAAGGTACACGGGGGACAAAAACTCTGAGTGCCAGGTGTTATACATCACTCAGCATCTTATTGCAGTCCATGCCTGAACAGCCAGCTGTAATGGAACGCCGTTATTTCACTATGAAAATGAAGAGCCTGAGCTGGGGATTTCACTTTCCAATCGTGTGAATCATCATTATAATGGCCGTCTCCCTTCATTTCTTGCAGGTGTACCAGTACATGCACGAAACAATTACAGTGAATGGCTGTCCAGAGTACCAGGCGAGAGCTACGGCTAAGGTAAAAACTGCTGTGGGGATCTGAATCTAAGCTCTTCTTCTCTCATTATAAGCAATAAAAACACTATGACTGTGGCTAATGAGTGATGGACTGTCTGTTAATCACATTACAGAGTGATGCTATTCTCCTTTTTTATCTGGTCAAAGCAAAACTAAATTGGCCAAGTATGGTCTACACTGCTAATGGCCCTCATTAAGAGTGTGTACGTGTGTAATTAAGCTATAACACACACACACACGAGCGCCTGTTGTGTAGGACAAAGGCTGAATGCCAGTTTTACATACTGATGTGCTATCAAAGTGTAATACAGCTGCTATACCATAGTTTCATGCTGCTCTTTATTTTGAGCTGAGACAGAAGAAATAACACTTTAATGAACTCCACTTTCACAAGAAAGATTCAACAGTCACTCCTGATGTTATCTTATCATTTAAATGGACCGTTAATAGTTGTTATCATACTATAATGAGACCATTTTTCTCATAATTAGGCCAGAAGGTGCCAAATATTTGGCGCGATAAACCCAACTGTTAAGGCAATCTGTCATCAGACTTTTGTCTCATACAGACGATGATAAATCCGACATAAAATCTCCAATCCAAACTCTCAGATACAGCACTTTAAGGTATGAGACATTAGGTCAAACTACTTTAAATAAGACTTCTAGTTTCAAACAGACACAGTCTTAGCTCTTGGTTGAATGTCATGTGTTTGTATAAATCTATTTTCATTTGCAACCACCTCCTGACTTTACCCATTACACTACATGATCTGACCTCTATGCTTTTGTACTGTTACTGCTCCAATGTAAATACGGATTATTTCATCTTGCCAATCCAAGATAGCTGTTCACACAGGCACCTCAATGCAACCTCTTAGTATAACCCACCAATAATGGCTGTTTACTGATAACTGATTGATAAACTTTTGATTCAAACGGCTCATCCATGGATTGTCTATTTGCTGTCCCTGTTCTAAACTTCCTTGACGGTATTTTATATTTTCTACAGGATACACTTCAAAATGATTTTAAAAAAAGCGATATGATGCAGAATTACAGTAAAATACCCTAGAATACAATGGTATCATGACAAAAACACAAGCAACAATACAAAATAACAGGATTAGGGGTGTGTCAATAAGATGTTGATATCGGATATCTGTCCAATATCAGCAAAAATCTGAATATCGGATTATATCGGCCTGCATCTAAAATCTCTGATACATTCAGTCCATTCCAGACTCTGTTCCACTCTGATCACAACAACAGTGTGTACCAAAGTACCAAGGAGTAGGAGTGATGTCGGCCCTGTGGCAGTATTTTTCATTTCAGTCCGAAAAGACGAGGTAGTCTAATATCCGATCAATGATGGTATCGGACAATACTGAAGGCTACAATATCGGTATCTGATCAGAGGTAAAAAAGGTGTAGCGGGACACACCTAAACAGGATGGTAAGATATATGATACAATATATATAAGACCAATTTAAACAATATAATATAGTCTAACACTGTGCAACTGATTTGTTATGATACTATGCAACATAAATTCAATCAAGTGAAACAGTATGGCATGGAGTTAGCCAACGCAACTTGATTCAATACAATATATGATAAGGTACGATATACTGTACATCACCTCACACCCGTCCCCACGGTAACAGATAAACAATAGAAAACAAATGACCGCATAAATCACTCTGTCATGACCTCAAATGAGCACTAAAGGCTACTGGATAACTAAGTAATTCATGTCTTTTGTGTAGCAATCCTAGACAACAAAAATGAACATTTTCTTGAGTTCCTCGGGAGTATATATACCAGGCTCAAACTCCACAACATACCAGTTAGCATACCAGTAAGTACAGATGAATAGACATCCATGGACTGAAAAAGAAACCCCTATCCAAATTCAGCTAATCCAGGAGTCTGTTCACTCCCAGAAAAAGCAAACGTTTAGTTCGTTTCTTGCTCTAAGAAAGGCTCTCAGCAAATCACAAAACGTGCTTTCAAAATCTTAAAGGCCCTTTTCCCTCTAAAGTGAACCCACCATGATTTCCAGCTCTTTATCCTTGTTTCAATAATCTTCAGTTGCTAAATGCCTTTTCATTTGAGCTGCAAATCTTTCTGTTATTCCACATAATGTTCTTTCAGAGTCATCAGATTAGCAGCCACTAGATTTTCCTTTTTTTTTCTGCTGTGTTCCTGCAAACACACATTTTGTATGCTAACAACGCTGATGTCATTCTGTATCCTGTTACACAACCTGGGTGAAAAATGACTTTGTAAAACAATATGATAATAGAAGCGTATTTGTTTGTTATGACAGACGGGCTGGATAAGATTGATTTCTTCATTTTGTTCCTTAAGAAAGTCTTCAGTATGAATTCAAACCATGACAAATAATCTCTATTTTCACTTTGCAGGCTTTGATATTTACTTATGATTCATTGCCTTTGTCAGTTTTCAGGACGGCAGCTCATATTTTTCCATTGATTTACTTTATATTAGATGTCAATCATTGAAAAAGCTTCTTTGCTTCTAGCATTGGCTGATTTTTTTGTGTTTTTTTGTCAAGAGGACACCGTAGGTTGAGGACAAAATCATGAGGAGCGCACTTTCAGGTGCAGCATGAATTCAATAACCTAATTTTGCTATACAAAAGAGATGAGCTTGACCTACTCACTCCAGCAGGATTTGTAATCAGCACATCGCTTGCAAGAGACACAGGCTTTTATGAAGGAAAACAAAGAGGGCAGGCTTGTCTGATTTCATGTGGAGGAGGAAGATGATTAGATACGGGGAGAAGAAAAAAAAAAAGGGATGAGAGCGTCTCTCTGTCCTTCAGAGGTTCAGTGTCCAGCTGGGTCCACTCCTCTTCAGTGGGCTACTTCACAGGGAGTAGGAGGAGGATGTGAATCAAAGAGGACGATGAAAACAGAGGGAAAGAAGCTCTGTTTGTATGAAGAGAGATTGTACCGAGCTTCAAATGCAGGGAGCTGATTTTGTTGGCTCCTCTAACCAATGCGTTTTACTCCGAGCGCTGTGGCGAATTGCAATCGACCACAAGGTCCAAGAAATGGCTCAACATGCTGATGCACGCACTGATTTACTGCTTCACTGACAGTTATATGTTTAGATTTATACCTCTCATGCCTGCAGTCAGGTGGTGATAAGCATAAATTTAGACACCTCTAGAGCTGTAAACCCTGATTACGAGGCATAACGTCTAATACTTACTGATGACAAGTCGTATCATTTCACTTGTCTTTCAGGTAGCTCGCTTTAAAAGGTCTAACTGATGAGAAAAGCTGCTACCATGAGTTGACAAGCCTATCTTCAACAGATGCCAGAAAAAGTACAACACTTGTGCAGCGTTTGAGTTACTTCGAAAGTCAGATGTCCGAGCTGGGAATGACGTCACACCTGAGTTACCAAGTCACAAAAAGCAAAATCTGAGTCGGAAACAAGATGGCTACATCCACAAAAGTTATTTTGGCGCTTGCCTTGTCCTTGCTTATATTCAGACAAGGCAAGCGCTAAAATAACTTTTGTAGATAAAGCCATCTTGTTTCCGCCTCCGATTTTGCTTTCTTCCAATTAAAGGTCCTTACACACCGGGAACAACACAAATATACGACATATCAAGCGCAATGCGATTTTGCGACTTTCTGAGGGGAAAAAAAGAAGTGTCTCGGGTGGAAGCGAGCAGACTGACACAACAGCAGACTGAGTGTTTTTCAGTTCTGATTAGACTCTAGTGTTGAGATGTCTGTCTGTCATGATAGCATGTACTGAGTCGGGGCCAGTACCGGATAAGCACATTAAACTATAATCCATAAATGTAAGGTAACAACTGAGACCTAATGGTGCTGTGACAGCAACGCGATTGAGTTTGAGACAGTGAAAATACATATGCTATGTTGTATCTGAACAGGTTAACTTACGAGCTAAAGTTACTTAGCACAGATGAAAGTTAAAGCAAAGACGTTTAGCAAACTGTTAAAGCACACAAACCATCGTCATATGAGAAATCCGACGCTATGACTCTCCACAAGTTGTCCTTTAGGTCTTTATCTTTGTAATATTTGTGTTTTTTATCAAAGCGCACTCTGTTCTCCAACACGTAATCAATCAGCCGGTTGGCCATGTTGGATGTACTGGTGAATCTGATGTCGCAACAACACGCAATCTCATTGGTCAGGAGTGGACACACAGTATGCAAAACTTCAGAAAATTCAACCGTGATACAAAAAAATAAATGCTGCAGTATTGCAGGACAGGAAAACGTTGCTGATGTGAACGCTTGTATTGACAGGGTATGGGTTCGGAAAAAAATCCGAAATAATCGCACGAAAAAAACACTCCCGGTGTGTAAGGACCTTCACGCTGGTAACTCCGTGTGACGTCATTCCCAGCCTGGACATCTGACTCCTGAGGTAACTCGAATGCAGCATTAGTTATCCAGATGTCAAGTGTTTTGATGAACTCCATTTAACTTCAGATGAAGCCATTTACCTCACATTGACCCGTTTCAAGTCTTCCTTCTAAGCTATGCTAATACCTGGATGCTCTATACTTGACATGCAGACATGAGAAAAGGATCCATATTTTAGTTTCCCTCAAGAAAAAATAAGATTATCTCCTCCTGTGTCAGACTGTTCCCTCCGTATAAAAGGATTCTCTGTATATGGCAGTGAGAAAAGGCCAGATCTGCTGTCAACAACACTTTTATTAATTTCTTCCAATGCTGCATTTGGAAATATCCTGTCATTTGTCAAGTGGGCACGATCGTCTGATCTTGTGAAATAACATCTTACGACTCGGGCAGAGTAATTTCACTTCACAAAGGAACTGCGACAGTGAAGCTAGAGGGAGAAAAGAAGTGTCTGTCTCTTTTTTTATAAGCCTGAAGCTACCATGAAGACATGATTTAAGCGGCTTTAAAACTTCCTCCTACTTTTTCTCTTCGCCCGAAACTTTTAAGAAGTTACTGCTCCTAAAAAAAGAATTAAAACTGCATATCCCCTGTGCAATTAAGCACACAGCTGATGGCCTGAGCTGGCTTTGCTGTGGGACACTTAAAAACTGGAAGCAATGAATGTGTTAATAACTTTTTCAACTCTCTCTGGAGATTATCTCTAAACTAGGCCGCTGTGCCAATTGGATCCAATCAGTATCATATAGTCTGGGGGAAAAAAAAGAAGTTTAAAGTTGCAACATTATCGGAAAAGAAGTCTATAAGCTGCTGTGGCAACACTGACGAAATGTGTGAAATCTACCTTTTTCTGCTCCAGTGCCTCAGGTGTATTAGTTAGCGATATGGGCAAATCTCCCGACGTTTTGGATTTGTGTTTCACCTGAACGACACAATCCTCCATGATTGCTACGGTAATTAAATCAATCTAGCGTCTAATTCCTGGCTCAAGGTCCTGATCGAAAAGGAGACAGGGACTTTGAAGGCTCCAGGGTAAAACGATGGACGCCCGGCGATCACTACAGATCATCACAGAGACTACAGATGTGTAAAGCTGTGGTTACTGAATGAGTATCCTATAGCAGCCTTTTCATTTAAAATGCCTCCAGTGTGGCCGGCCATCTGCCAGATTGTTTTTTTTTTTCGTTTCCACAAAGCAAGATAAAGTTGTGAAGGTCGATGTGCCGTGAGGCCCCGCGAGGCGACGGTATGCATGCTGAGGAGCTGCCTTTTAGCTCCACAATGGGACTGAAGGGGAGGAAGGAGAGGAAGAAAAGAAGAAGGACAGAGAGAGGAAAGAAAAGAATAGAGATGGGAAGTTGGCAGAACACAATCACCAGATTAAAACAGGCAGCAGGAGAGAAAAAGAGAGGGATCGTTTGAGCCGAAGCGATGCGGGTATGAAGATGCATATGCATATGCAAAAGAGAGCGGAGATGGGGATGCTGCCTGGAGCGGGCGTCAAAGACCTCCAAGTGCCAAGCAACTTGCAAGCTGCAGGGGAATGTGGATATACCTCAGCGAAAGCTTCTGACAGATTTTCCCCTCCTTTACTTTTAATCCTACTTTCCCCGATCGACCTCACACATTATAGATGATGCCGGCTTGACAGGGAGACACCTGTGGCAGCACATCTGTGGATGAGTGGGCATGAGGTTTCTGGCTCTCTGTTCGCCTGCCATTAGCTTTCCCGGGCTCGGCTAACAAGCTCCTGGGTGCTTTGTTCTCATGGTACAAGGCGCAAGGAGCTTGGCTTGGGCTTCAAAGAAACCCCACAGACAGCAGGCAACATCAACCAGCTGGTGGAGTTATGGAGGGGGAAAGTTGTCCGGCTGCTCCTCCACTGTGAACTGGGATGTGTTAATCCTCGTGCACAGAGAGCCAGAGAGCTTTTCACGCGGAGACTAAATCCAGGGACCAAACTGTTTGTAATTGGCGTCCACTGTTAGGATCATTATGTAAAACATTTTGAATTTTCACCCTAACATCTATTTTGAGGGAAATCAAGATGAATCTGACGCTCTGATCACTTCATTTTTCAAGGTTTTCAGTTTCTTTATCAAACAAGATCAGTTTTGTTTTGTTTTTTTTTTAGATCAATTTGAACTTAAACTCTCCTTTTGCTTTGTTTTCACACCAGTTTAGATTCACGCAGGGCGCAGTTCTGCTGCAAACAACTCATTATCAGAGAAAAACAGGTATATTTCAAGGTGTTGGGGTTGACAGTCGGTGATTTTTTAATTAAGCTTCGTCTTGCTTCTTTTCCTTCAGGCTACAGTCGCAGCCTTTGCAGCCAGCGAAGGTCATTCCCACCCACGAGTGGTGGAGCTACCTAAGACGGAAGAAGGGCTTGGCTTCAACGTGATGGGTGGAAAGGAGCAGAACTCGCCGATCTACATCTCTCGCATCATCCCCGGAGGAGTGGCTGAGAGGCACGGCGGCCTGAAGCGAGGGGATCAGCTCCTGTCTGTCAACGGAGTGGTAGGTCTAACATGGCTTACTATTTACCAGCTCCTCAAATATGGCAGCTTGGGTTTTGGCCTTAAAGGGATATTAGGCGTAAAATTAAGTAAGGGTCAAACACAGCGTAACAGAAAGTTACATACCCCTTCAAGAGATGAATGTTGCGGATCACTTGCTTCTCTAGTTATACCAACTTAAGTAACAACCGCACGATAGCAATACACAGCTGTCTGAGGAACCACACACAAACCTCAACCAAAACGCCACTCTATAGCCACAAATAATGCTCAGAACAGCACCTAACTTCATCAACAGTACATAAAGGGTCCCACAGCACAAGCCACCAAACATCTTTTTAACTTTGCCTAAGAGACTAAACACAACTCACCTATTCTCTTCCAGCAGCCGCTTATTTGTATGGAGACTTCGAGAAGTCCATCACAGATTGTAGCGGGGTTACGCAGCTCAAGGAAGAACATTTATTATCATTACTTCATCATTTCCTTGAAATAATAATCATCATTTAATCATTTTGCACTGCAGACGCAGTAGTTCTCCTGTCTTAGTGTCTCGGTCTGATTGTACTTCCATGAAGAAATGATCATAAATGTTCTTCATTGAGCTGCGTCACCCCACTGCAGTCCGTAATGGCCTCGTCAGAGGTCTTCCTACAAACAAGCAGCTGCTGGAAGAGAGTAGGTGAGTTGTATTTAGTCTCTTTGCTAAAGAAATTAGGCAAAGTTAAAAAGATGTTTGGTGGCTATTGCTATAGCTGGGACCCTATTTGTACTGTTGATGAAGTTAGTTTCTGTTCTGAGCATTATTTGTGGCTATAGAGTAGCATTTCGGTTGAGGTGTGCGTGTGGCCACATAGACCGCTGTGTATTGCTATTGTGCGATCGTTACTAAAGTTGGTATAACTAGAGAAGCAAGCAGTCGGTGACATTCATCTCTCGAGGGGGTGTCTAACTCGGTCCTCCCGTGCATTTGGCCCTAACTTAATTTTACACCGGAATACCCCTTTAAAGCCCCAGAAGGAAAAACCTGCACTTGTTAAATATTACAATCCTCCAGGACCATATTCAAACAGATAATGTTGCTTGTCGTATAACTAAAGCTAAAGTAAAAAAAAACAGTATAGCATCTAGAAACGATTCTATCAGTCCACCTCCAGCTTCATATATTTAAGCATTAGACACTGAAGAAGTGAAACCAGACTGTCCAAGGAGAGAGGCTGAATATTTTAAATTAGAGGAAATGTTAAAGCTTTCTGCACTCATCTATTATTCATGCCTGCTTCTCTTAATTGAAATATTTTCACCACTTCTCACAAACTTTAAGTGTGCTTGATTCAAAGTTTGTTACATGAGTCAACAATCAGGGGAGTAATTGAGATCAGAGTGCTGCAGATGTCTGGAGGAAGGAGTGAAACTGATTTTCCAGCAGCTCGTCTGCATGTAATATCACAGGTTATGAAAAATTGAGGTTTTTTTTCTTCCTGTTGAAGAGCTGTTACTATCTTTAAATATGGAGAAATGAGCTTCTTCCTTTAAGACTCAACTGTCTCTCTGCAGAGCGTAGAAGGCGAGCACCACGAGAAAGCGGTGGAGCTCCTGAAGGCGGCCAAAGACAGCGTGAAGCTGGTGGTTCGCTACACCCCCAAAGTGCTGGAGGAGATGGAGGCCCGCTTCGAGAAGCTCCGTACGGCCCGGCGGCGCCAGCAGCAGCAGATCCTCATGCAGCAGCAGCAACAGCAGAACCTGACCTCTCAGCAGAATCACATGTCGTAGGTGAGGCGCTTCATTGCTTTAAGGGTTAGGGAGGAGGTGGACGCCACAAGCAAGAGGTAAAACACCACAGAAGAAGAAGAAGGTGACAGCATAAATAGTAAGCCAGGAGTGAGTAGAAGGAAACTGATGTGAAGCAGTTTGGAAAATATGCTTCATGCATGTTCTTACTGTCCAAACATGTACTCAGGAAGTATGAGTTGTGAAGCCTGCCTCCTCCATGTTAACAGATGGCTCATGGGTCAGATTGGAGAATCAAAGTGCACATCAGAGATTTTTTAAACATGTTTTTCTGCCATTATACATCGCATTTATCACACTAATTTGTTTCCCAAAGTTGATGTTCCTGAATTTATATATATTTGAATGAGTTATGTGATTCTGAAAAAGGAGGTACAGCCTCTTAATGCAGATTATCAGATAAGGCATCTAGGCTGGAGGACGGATTATTGATGGAGCTAGAACTGGAGACATTTAGCTGCTGATTACAGTCAGACGTGACATAATGTGAGACGCATCAGTGGTTCCAGATTTTAATGGGACAAAGAGCTGAGTGTCATCTGCATAGCAATGAAAGTCTAAGAGGGTTGTCTACACTAATCGCATCGACTTAGTATAAAAAAAATCCCAAAAAGTTGTATTCTTGTTTATCATTTTTGGCTTTAAAGGCAACTCAACTGAGTGGCAAGTTTTACATCTGCTAAACGTTACCCTTTAAGGACTCAAACAGATAATATTTGAGTCTAAAATCCACATTTACAGCATCATTCCTGTAAAATGTCTGAACCTGCACCATGATGAATGGCTTTTAAGTTGATTATTTTGCTACCTTTTGAAACAATAACACATTTAATCTCACCAGGCACTCACTTGTTTTATTTCTGAGCTTCATCATGGCTTTGTTTTGGTCTGAATTGTCTGCCACACGTAAATGTGCATGTGAAAATGCATAAAACAGACATTAGGCATCAATAAATGGTGTTTTCGCTTTTAGTACTTTCTTTTTCCAATTTGCAAAATTTCCCACTACAACGAAACATCCAACCCTTAGTTCATGGTTTAATGAGCTCAATCTTCAGCGGTTCAACTTTAATCATTTTATTTTCTCTCCTTAGGTCGTTCTTTTAATGTAGAGCCCCTTGACACATTTTCATCAAACACAGGTGCCAATAAAAGCCAAATTTCTACTGCTGATGGCATGAAGAGTGAAGTTTTTTTTAAGCTGACATCAAAGGGTGGTGGATAAAGAGAGGCTAAGTGAAAGTAAGCTTAAGTCTCCTTTTGAGATTTATTTGCAATGCTCTGCCTTGCAGTGCAACTCCTTTTATATTGGCTTGTGTGCAGGCTGCAGTATTCGCGCCCCAGCATGAAGTCTTAAAAATCTTAGTGGTATCATTTGCAAACCTCGTGGCTTGTGTCCTCTGCAAGCCGTACTACTTCTGCTTCTGTATCCGCGGTACAGGCTGTAAATTATTCAGGCTTAAACCGATTACATCTGAGGCTCTTACTCTGCAGGTATGCGGTTAACTAGATACAGTCTGCCATGATGCTTCTTGCCGGAGGCTCTACGCACCTCTGCTTGAGACAATATTTTTGCAGTCCAAATTTAGAACAAAGCTGTGCACTTTCCTTCGCACTAGAGCAAACTTTCTCCGAGTAAAAACAGCAAACTTTAAAGCAAGGAGAAACTTTTCAGACACTAATCAGACAAGTTGAATCATATCACACTACGGTTAATCCCACCCAGACTTCTCCGGTTATTGAAGCGTTTCCCTGACGTATATGAGGCAGGCATGTGTCCAAGATCTCAGTGGCACTGCCTGTTTGAAGCTAAATCCCCCAAGCGTATCTCTTGTCTTGCACTTGGCACAGAGCAGCTTGGGAAGGTATTTAGGAGCTTGTAACAGTGTGTTGCAGCCACAGACAGGGAAGAGAGCAGGGATCATGTTTTAGTGAAGCCGCCTCGCTGACCGCGGAGATTTGCTTTGGCGACCAAGAGGCAGCTGACCGAGTGAAACACACAAGTGGGCAAGAATGAAACATAAGCCAGTGGTTTGCCTGAGATTCAGCCCACTCTGTGTCCCATCTCTCTCACTGTGTGTCTCTGAGTAACCCGGCCTGCCACACAGGAACAGAGAAGGAGCAGAAAACAATCAATACGATACGATTTAGTACGATACAAAACATTTCGATTCATTTCCATCTCAGTTTCTAACCTCACTCTCCATGCAGTGACTTGATTGGACAGGGATACAGTGAACCAGTACAGATGAATGTAGAGGCGGAAAAACACCAAATTAAACTTGGCGAGCTCTCCAGAAGAACTCCTGCCAGTACACTACACCTACAAACAAGAATTGCACCCAAATGAGGAGGCAACTGTGGAAATGTTGCATGTTTCTAAGTGGTTTTTAAGACTTTTAGCCTTATTGTTATTTTCTTGCCATTCCCACGTTGGCAGGCTTCAGGATGACTTAAAGGGATATTACAGCATAAAATTTATTTAGTGTCGAACACACCGTAATACAGAGTTAGACACCCCCACAAGAGATTAATGTTGCCAACCACTTGCTTCTCTTGATATACCAACTTTAGTAACAACCGCACGATAGCAATACACAGCGGTCTGAGGAGCCATAACCAAACCTCAACCAAAACGCCACTCTGTAGCCACAAATAATGCTCAGAACAGCACCTAACTTCATCAACAGTACATATAGGGTCCCAGCCATAGTACTAGCCACCAAACATCTTTTTTTAGCTTTGCCTGATGAGGAAACTCAAAAATACTTTCTCTCTTTATTTGTCCAGTGGGTTTTGTGTCTCTTAAATTGAAAATTTGCTATATTTTTGGAGATTGGTATGCACTTTGAGGTCTATTTTAACTTAAATGGAGCTATTTCCACGATGTAAAACTACAGAAAAATGATCCGAACAATTTGTGAACTGAAGTATAAGGTTTTTTATTTATTCAAAACTGCATATTAATTAAATTTAAATCAAATCACAAGCTGTTTTTGTTCAGCATGAATGTCTAGATTACCTCCTCTTACAGTCAATGCTGGTTTTAAAAGAGTTTTTCTTTTCTAATGGGGGGACTTTTGCAGGAAAACACCTCAGCCAACTTTATATTCCGCTGCATGTAAACAAATTTTCATTTTTCATTTGATTTCACACACTATCAAAAGTTTCCTGACTGGCTTAGCGAATATATAACCCCTCTATTTACGGCCTGTGTATCCTGGTGGAACTCTGCACTGTGCAGTGTTGTGGTCTCAAGGGTTGTCTGACTGAAATTTACACCCAGGTACCAGCATGGGATCAATATAACCTCCCAATATTTGTAGCCCAAACAAAGCACACACAGAGCCTGTCTGGTTTGAATTCTCTGCGTGACTGAGTAAAACACCGACTGAACAGACTAAGTGCTCCACACTGGCCTCCTCTGACTCTGCAAATCCAGCCCCTCAGCAGCCCCTCTAACAATAATCCAGATAAACTTCTCTCCCACTGAGCAGATTTATGCAGATTGATGAAAATGAGGAGAAGAACTTCATGAATGTTACTATAAACTTTCTAAAAGTGATTATATGTCTCATTAAAAGCACAAACATCAGAGTAAACACAGCTGAGGAAGTGCTTACCTTCAGAGGTGGCAGTGAAGACCTGATACAGGAAGTAAAGTTGAGGAAAGGGGGCAGACACACACTTTACTAAATAAGTAAGATAAGATACTTCCTGTCTAAAAACACAACCCTTTCAAAATAAAGGTCAGTTTTTCCTCAGAAACTGTGTCATTGGGCTTTCAAAACACAGGAATTTTCAATACTATGTTTGATCCTTCAAATTAAGAGTCCCCGCTGAATCTACACAGACTTGAAAATAAACTACCATGCCCTGTTTGGACATTTTAAATACAAAATACTGCCAAATAAACAGGTCATTGACTTGTTTTCTTAAGACTGTCTGTCCCTAGTAAACTAAAAAGTCTTTTCAGAATTTGTACTTCCTTTTCGGGCCTCTATTCTGATTTGATACTATGCACAGTGTTTGGTACTGCCCTGCTCAAAACTTATTAAGTATGAGTTCTTCTTACCTGCAAAACCCACTTCTGCTTTTTTTAGGAAATGCAATGTCTTTTATGACCTTCAAAATAAAAGTCTTTATACCCTTGAGTATTAGCTTTACATTCACAAGCTTTTATATGGCAATAAACTTTGTTAATGCCCTTCGAATTAAAAGTCTTATTAGTTCGGGTTAGACAGGGTCAACATATCAATGTCATATTCATGCTCTTCAAAGTTTAAGTGTTGGTGATAACCAGAGAATTTTACAGGAAATCAAAATGCTGTGTAAATCCCTTTCAAATTAAAAGTCTTTGAAGTTAGGGTTGGAAGGGGTTGACATATAAATGTCATATTCATGCTTTTCAAAGTGTTGGTAATAACCAGAGAATTCTACAGGAAATCAAAATGCTGTGTAAATCCCTTTCAAATTAAGAGTCTTTTGTAACAGAAGCCAGGATTTTCCAGGAATTTGTAATACCCTGTTGGTTCCCTTGAAATGCTGTCTAGTTAGCCGAGGACTGATTTGCGATTGATGCAGAGAGATACCCCTCTCACTGTTTTTTAGATCAAGTGTTAAAACCTCTTTTTATAAGGAAGATAACTTAATTGTAGTCACAGTTACTTCAAAGACAAAGAAAGAATAAGAGTCTGAAGACAAATACTTGAAGATAATGTGAGAAAACCTTGTAGCGGAGAAGGGAGAGGAAGAAGAGAGTAGAGAGGAAAAATATAAATGACAGCGGGCGAGAAGAGAACAGAAATTGATAATAATCAAAACAAACATGGAGTGACAAAATAACATCCATCACGGTTATCTCAGCGCTCAAAGTTCCTGAGAGAAACTTTCAGTCTGGAGATAAAAACTTTGTAAAATCCTGGCGAACAGAATTGACGTGATAATACTGGAATAAATCAGTGTTACTCGTAGGCATTGCTCTCAGTATTTGTCTCCACTTTTCTGATCTTCAGGATGTTCCAAAAGAAGAAGAAGTGAAGACAAGAGAGGTAAAGGTGGATCTCAAAGACCATCTGTGTGCATCGAGGATCCCCCCCAAAGGAATCTCTTTGTCTGCCGCGGAGGAAAAAAAAAACAACAAGTAGAAGACTCTTTGACTCACTCTCTCCCTTCCAGTGTACCACCGATGACTGAGCAAAAACACAGAGAGCCGTTTGTCCTGAAACCGGTGCTTTGAAGAACAAGAAGGAGGGAGCTAAGCACTGAACGCTGTCCATTTGAACTTCCCTTTGATAAGTTGTTCTCCTGGTTGTGACTCTTACTGAAGCTCCTTTTTTGTGTTGGTTGTTTCGTTTACAGGTCCATTTTCGATTGCCATTTTTTGCCATAGATATCATTTGTACAGTGGTGTTTCTATTGATTCCTCAACTGGTGCTTGTGTCTCTGTATGAATGACCATTAATTTCTCTTTTTTGTGTGTTAAACTCGTCCTGTTTTGGATAAACGTGAACTCTTTTTTACCTTCTATATTGTAGCAGGAGAGATTTTGTATCTTGTAGGTTTAGCAATAACACACATCGTTCTGTTTCTTCATTTCACCCGCTAAAATTCATGATTGGAAACATCTTACACAAACAGAGTTTATTACGGCACCAGATGTAAATCGCTGTAAAGAAAATTGGGTTTTATGTACCGTGAGGCAGCTTCTGTGTCCGAATCCTCTGTGCCGTTTTAAGAGTTTATTGATTTACAGGTGGCGCCAACAATTAATGTGCAATAACTGTGATTATTTACAGAGTTTTTAAGCTAATTCCCAACTGAGATTCATTTAGAAAGTATATGTTAAGAAGAGATTTTAGCAAATAAACACTAAGAGGAGTCCTGACACAAACAGAATGTCAGTTTTCATTTGAACAGATTTTAACCCAAATATACCAGAATTATTTATATTCCAGATGAATCTATTTTATAGTTTATGAAACTAGAGTTTAACATAAAGTTTTATTGTTCCTTTTAAATATTATGTATGCTTTTTATTGTCATTATTGTTTCAAATCTATCCAAATCTATGTACCACAGCAGATCCGTTCCTTCTGTTTCAAGTAATTTAACTCGCGCCTCTTTATCTTTTATTTACAAACCCAGTAGCAGAGTTTAAAAGCTAATCCACCAAGTTTGTGTTTTCCTCTCAAACACCTCCAGTTTTGGCGCCAGGTGCTCCTTGTTTGGTTTTAATTGGGGGTTTTTTGCACTTACTCTAGATGGCGCTATTTTCTTGTATTTCTTTTTTTCTTCTTCTGTTTTACCCCAGAAAAACAAAAATATAAAACACATCACTTACTGAATGCTGACGAAGCTGCATGTCAAGAATGAAAAGCTGTCATGAAGTTATAAATTTGCATTTTCATGAAAATGTTGCAAACTGTTCCTTTAAAAACTGCATCATGGATATATTGGTAAAAATTAAAAATGTCCTCTCTGTATTACATTTGATTGCACAAGACCAGCAGAGCTAATTCTTTTCCATTCATAACACATTGAAAAAATGTTCCTTACTGACTTGTTCGCACAGAGGTGAAGTGATTTTAAGCCTCTGTGCTAAAGCTACAGGATATTTGAAATTTGTGTCCTTCACAAGCAGAACATCTCAACACAACAAATCCCTTTTTGTATCTTTAAACCACAGGTACTCTTTCTTAATTGACATTTTTGAAGCTGATGGTCCCGTACTTACCGTAAAGATTTAAAAAAAGAAAACAAACTGTTGATATGCAATTGTTATACATACTATATTTGTATAAATAAATCTATGTGCTTGTGTACAGTGAATGCTTGGTCGACCTTTTTTTCACATCTTAAATATCTCAATCTTTTTTTTTATATGGCACCAAATCACAACAGTCTTTATCCCAAGATGCTTTCCAAAAAGAGCAGGTCCAGACCACACTCATTATTCAATGTATTACAAAGACCCAAGCTTAAAGGGATATTCCGGCGTAAAATTAAGTTAGGGTCAAACACACCATGACACTGAGTTAGACACCCCGTCGAGAGATGAATGTTGTTGACCGCTTGCTTCTCTAGTCATACCAACTTTAGTAACGACCGCATGATAGCAATACACAGCGGTCTCAGGAGCCACACGCACACCTCAACCAAAACGCCACTCTATAGCCACAAATAATTATAATAATCAAAACTAACTTAACCTAACACCTAACTTCCTCAACAGTACATATAGGGTCCTAGCAACAGCACTAGCCACCAAACATCTTTTTAACTTTGCCGAATTTCTTTAGCAAAGAGACTAAACACAACTCACCTACTCTCCTCCAGCAGCCGCTTGTTTGTACGGAGACCTCAAACGAGTCCATTACTGACTGCTGCAGGGTGACGCAGCTCAAGGAAGAACATTTATGATCTTTTCTTAATGGAAATACAATCAGACCGAGACGATAAGGCAGAAGAACTACCGTGTCTGCAGTGCAAAATGATTAATATGATTATTACTTCAACGAAATGATACAGAAATGATCATAAATGTTCTTCCTTGAGCTGCGCCAGAAAGATTTGACCCATCCCATCCCAGTGGTGAGGAAAAACTTCAAAAATCAAAAATATTTTATTTTTATTTTATTTATTTATTTATTTATTTTTTGCTCTTGGGGGCCCCCTATTGGCTGCGGGGCCCTAAACATGCACTTAGTTTGCTTACGCCTTGGGCCGGCTCTGGTAATAAACATTTTTGCTTTCATGCCATCAAGATTCAAATCTAAAGCAGTGTACTCAGCAAACAGAGTAAATACGGCTTCAGGAGTAGTGTGAGGAAGCATTTATATTCACTGCACACCCTGTGTTGGATTTGAACCCAGGACCTAACGAATGTGGCCTTGAGTCTGTAAATAAATATATCACAGGCCTGCCTGGTTGTGCTTGCCTATGAAGGTCATTTTATCTCATCACTTTTTATGGCTGTTCCAAAGAAAAGCTTACGCTGCAATGTGCAGGAAGCATTTCATATCCACCAAACATGTAAACCTCCTGTGTTGGATGTAAATCCACTTCACACAGAGGTGGACGTCCTGACAAATGTGCTTCAGGCCAGGCTTGTTGTGATTTCTAATTAAGGTCAATCTGTTTTACAATACTGCGAGGGTTGTTCAAAACCACTGCTCAGGCAGCAGTGTCAGGATGATATTTCAGATGCACTTCACCCAGGACTATTTCATTTTTGAAGCAGAAGTCTTAACAAACGCTAAACAGAGAATCTGCAGCTAAACCTCACTCCCATATTTGTCTTTTCTTTCAACCTCTTGTAGTGTTTGTCCAAAATCACAGTTTATTCTCTATTTTTAATCATGTTTAGTGCACAGTCACTTAACCTTACATTATGGTGAGGGACGCATCTTATATACACCTCATGTGTTTCTGTTTGGGATTTGAACCCTGAACCTTTTCACTCAAAGTGGCAGTCCTTAGAAAATACCCTTGTTTTACAGTTAGTGATAAATATGCTATATAGTGATAAAATTTGTGACAGAAAATATACATTACACTGTATATATGTTTGAAGCTGCAAAGGCATGCACAAGCAGGCTAAAAGTAAGTTACAGGTGGAAAACAGTGGGTATATTTCACACATGTAGGCAGGCGAAAATAGACAGTGGCAAGTGAAAATGAGCGATGAGCTATAATTATATGATGCAAACTGGATGCAGGTTTAAAGCAACAAAAGAAATATTCAACACATCATTCATTACTTGCAAGTTTTTGATTGTGCAATATAAGCCTCCACCCTGTTGATCTAAAACTGCAGTCAGCCTTGTTTGTTAATAATTACTGTCTGTTTTAATTACTGTGCGGGCATTATTGTAGCAGGTAGAATAGTTTCAAATGAAGAACAGGCTGTCAGTGATTGTGTCTTAATTGATCTGGAGCCGCTGCTGAAGGTGAAGTGATTAAACCTGGAGTACAGAAATGTCCCTCTGATGGCTCATCCTGGTTTTAAGACCCGGAACAGAGAGTCAAAGGCCTTTTGTCAGCTTAATACAAAGAGCGGAAACTGAAGCTAAGAGACTCTTGTTAGAAGAAGGTATTAAACTCAAATGGTGACAGTAAAAGCAATAAGAAGTAGTGTTACTTCAACGTGCTGTACAAGGTGTTTTGTGCTATAAAAATCCTGTCAGAGCTGTTCTCTCTACTGATAACCATCCCTTCAGAGAAATAACCAAAACCTAAAGTGACAAAAGTCAACAGAGCAGGTGACGGGCGACAAATCCCTCACCTGATTCTGTCGCCATTATAAAGTCTGAAAGTAACACCCTCTCTGGATGTCATACAGTAACTGTGTTTGAAAGTAAAACACGGATGATAAAACCATACTGACACTATACAGTCTCCAGCTAACACATCCTGCTATGTTTAAGGTGTGAAAAAGCTCATCCTCTATTAACACGTCTGAGCCCTGAAATAGAAATTGTTGAAAACACCCGGGTTTTTCTTCCTCCAACAGTGAATCAGCCAAGCAGCTCACAGTATCTGTAATTTTGTCTGGATCAGGATCAACCTTTGACACCTCATAAAACTCATTGAGATCCTTTTGTGTAATTTTTTTACTAAAGACTCTGGCCATTTTTATACAGTGAAATGCAAAAATTCCCAAATTTGCCCTATCTCACAATGATAAAGAATCCTTCAAAAAATTCCTGGATCCAGAAGGCGAACCCGGATCACCACCAAAATGTAATGGGATCCTCCTGGGGCTGAGACGCACCTCTGGTGAAAATTTTAGGTCAACCCGTCTGTTACTTTCTCCGTAAAGTTGCTAACAGACAAACAAACAAACAAACCAACAAACAAACCAACGCTACCGAAAAAAATAACCTCCTTGGCGGAGGTAAAAAGCAGCTGGTGTCTCTGGATCTTGTTCAGTTTTTGCATCTGTTTCACACACCAAACAAACTGTGTTTAATTCAGCCTATGCAGTGTTTTTTACTACAGAGCCCTGTCTGTTTGGATACAGAGACTGACAATCACAGCCACCCAGTACTGTTTTTAACTCTGGAGTCTGGGGTATAATTGGCCGTTTTTTAACTACTTTTAATTTTACCTTCATATCTCACCTTAAAAACAGTTTACCTCGCCTTGCTTGGTATCATTTTGTTTTTTCAGCACAACCTCAGCTGTGTGAATTTACAGTTATTTTATCATTGTGACATGCTGTATTAACACTGAGGACCTAAATTCACACACAAAACGCAAAATCGGAGTAGAGAAAAGTAATATTTTTTACTGTAAAAACCACAAATATGTTTAACAAACAATTTTCATAACTTAGACTGCACATATAAATTGTAAACTTCAAAACATACATACAATTTTAGCAAAAAACAAAGAAATTTACCACTATTTACATTAAAATGAACTACATTAAACTATTTACAAAACAATGTTAGTCTCACAAATGTCACATTTTATTTATGCCACTACAAAAAAAACATGATGTAAGAAACTTATGTAGATCCTCCTTCTCTATGTCAGTCCACTTGTAATTTTTCCATAATTCTTTGTTTTTTGCTGCATTTTTGTTTGTGTTGCTGTAAAAACAAAAGAAAAGGGTCTTCTGGACTGTGGGGGGAAAGTGTCTCAACCTGGATTTATCATAACTCTGGTTTTGTTTGGTTTATCAACACAATTTCCTCACTTTCGAGACAAGTTGAAACGGAGACTCAGCGAGGCTTTGTCTTGCAGCTACAGCCTCTTAAATATGTCGCGTGATTTTGACGTTCAGGAGCATCAATCAACTCCAGATGGTTCAGCCTTGTCACTTTTGTACATAGATTTTTCCTGATTTTCTGAATCTTTTAACATGTAGTGTAGTTGATGCAACCCTCAAATTTGTTGCATTGCTCATGCAGTCCCTCACAGGGTGTTGAACCGTGGTGTTTCTGTATCTTATTGAGCGTACAACCGTCAGAAATGCATGAAACATTACAAGTGTTACCATCAGTTAAGACATTATATCATTTTCAAGTCTTCCTTTGCAGCTCCTCAGTGAGAAGACTGCGCTACATGACAGGTTTTGCTGGAGGGCACATTTAACTCTCCACAGACCTCAGTTAAACATTCATTATGAGATCTTCTGAAATGTGGGGAAATGCATTCAAGAGACCCTCTGTTGGGCGATTTTCTAAAGAGCATAAAAAGTCCCCTCAGGGATTACACCTGCTCATTTATATTGATCATTAAAACCACACACAGCCACTAAATATGACATGTCAGAATGGGATTTTGAGAAACACCACCCTCCTGTGGTAAGAGTGGGTACTGCAGCAATGGCTGCCTATAAGTTAGGCCACTTAGGAGTTAATTTATTAGCTACATCCACTCTGTAAAGGGTCAAAATCAAATAAAATATTCAGGATAGTTTCGATTATAATAAATCTTTGTGCTTTTGTTTTTAGTTCTGGTTCAGTTCATGATAAAGCCAAACAACCTTGAAGTGAACTTGTAGTTTCGTGTTGACGCTCCAGGCTCAGAGAGTGAGCCGTTCATGAATCACAAACCAGAAAATGACATCAGTGACATTCAGGCTGTCTTATGCAGAGGTGGAGTTTAGTGAAATGTAAGCTGCTCATGGTATGCTCACAATGTTTCACAGAGTTTAACAGGGATGGAGTACACAGACACAACAACTGACGAAGTACATAAACTGAGAGCTTTGCTCAGAGGTGAAATGAAACGACAGATGGGAGATGTCAGATATTTTTGACATCTTATTTAGTGTAATACAGACTTATTCAAGTTGATTTATTTATTTATTCAGGCTGTTTTACACAACAGCACAACAAAAGGGAACAAGACACACAAAGAAAATACAAAATACAAACTCCAAACAACCTAAAACTCAGAGTTTACATTTGAAATCAAAGGAATTCTGGATTTGTAATTCACATTTCAGAGCAAACCATATCCAGGTTTAACTAAATTAACAATTTGTCCTTAAAGACAACTCCCCAATTTGGCCCAGTACAAAACGTCATTAGAATTTTAAACATTTCAAATATTCAAACAGCAAAAAGGAGACTTCATACATTGCTAATAACTTTTATCGAGTCCCTTTAATGATGCAGTCAGTGTTATTTCACAGTTTTTCTTTTCAGAGCAGACTCGGTCAAAAAGAAGTGGAATATTCATAAGTTTGTTTCAATCACCTACAGATGTAAAAGTTTCCATTTCTTTTTTATTTTGATGGTGAAGCCTTGACAAATGGAGGACCAAATGGAGGACTATTATTTCGTTGAAAAAGGGGGTGAGCAAGGGAGCTTTTCAATCTAGAATCTGGCAGCCTACCTTTCAATACTCTATTTCCATTATGTGTTAATTTCTGCTTAAACTACTAAAGAACAATACACAGCAGAGAGACTTAACTTCTTATCTAAAGAGAATTAACAGTCAGATCTTCTGGTCTTTAAGAAATAGTTGGCAACTACATTTTGACCACCTTCAATTGGATAAAAATCACATTACAGCCCATGTGAGAAACTCTCTGTGTTTTGTAGATTTCTGCACCCACTGTTAATGAAGCGGTCTTTACTTTGCTTGTCATCAACTTTTTTTTATTTGTGTCTCCTGATAAAGATCTCATCCTGCTGACTTTTTAATATGAATGTCAGTCCATGTAACTAATGTCAAAAAAATTCTCTCTTCATAGCGCTTATAAGGAGTTTTGACAAGTTGTGCAACAGATTGAATTAAATGTTGAGACATCTATGTATAAATTCAAACAAAAGGAAAACAACTCATCAGTGACAAGATTCAATATTTCTATCTTATTATTGTTATTAAAGCCTAAAAATGCAGCCAGTGGTTGATGTCTGATGCAAAACTTTTGTTTACTTTTTGCCAATCAACATTTCTTGATGAGATTTGTCTCTTAAAAAAAGAAGGATGAGTTTTATGATGGTTAGAAAGTATCTCTTGCACATGTCCAAGATAGAATTATCAATAAGAAAAGCTTTGTCCACAAAGGTTTGGCCACCAAAACTGACATGAACCAAAAGTACCCTATATACATCACAACATTTGATGCAATAGTAGACAAATGAGTGACTATTAGCATTTGCAATACTTTTATTTTTCATTTTATTCTCTAAAAGCATTTTACTCAAAGTTTCTCATTTTTTACATTTCATTTAACAGCAAGATATTTCCTCAGATTGCCATGTTGCTGCATTCATTCAGGCAGAATATACCAAAATATTTCCTCCATGACAAAGGACACTTAAGCTTTGAGCAATACCCTTTAAAAAGCAGAAATACCACCTCTTGGTGTTTTACTTACAGCTCCTGTTAGTGGTTTTTATCATGTCATGTAACAGACTGGAATCAATATTAATGTCTCTTCTTGACCTAAAAAGTGTAAACCAATCATCCACAAGCTGAGTGGCTATTTCCATATGATACAGGGTGTTACACTAAGAGATAAGACTCCAGATAAGTATTGCATTTGGCTGTTAAAAGATAGTAAGATGACATTTCTTGGGAGGTTGAAATCAGCTAAGACCTACACAGAGGTTGCCAACATCAGTGGAAGGAAAAAGCCCCTTACAGGAGTTCCAGGAACAGGAAAATGACTTTTTTCACATTTTCATGCAACAATGAGGCACAAAATGTCTGAGCGAGCAGTGAAATGATTACATGTGGAGTCTCTATAAAAGGAAACCGTAGGCACAAAGAGGGAAAAGATTAGTATCTGAATTCTTTACCTGGGCTTAATAGCGCACAAATGAGGGCGCAAAAGAGAGCAGTGATTCAAGGAGGTGATAATGTCATAGCGAGGACAGAAAAGACACAGTGAATGAAGATCTTCAGACAAATAATGTGATTTAAAAACAATATAGTAGTAGCCCTGCTTACTTACAGCATCCAACTCAAGGCACTATAACTTGATTTAACCCCTCCCCCCTCGGTCACTGAGTACAAATTAAAGGCCATTTGTTCTGCACTCTGGTGTTGATAGTGTAATCAAAGGTGTTAATGATGCCTCACATTTGGAGAGGGGAGAACAAACAGGTACACACACACACCTCTGCCTGCTCCTAAACACACTTCATCCAGGCACAACAAAAACGCAAACACTAAAAACGTGACAAAACGCCAGCTTCTCATTTCTAAACCCTGCTCTTTCATTCCCTCTTATCTACTGTTGTGGTTTTTGTGTCAGTTTTTAATTAACTCCTCGCTATGATGCAGGAAAAACAGACATTTTAGAGGGATTAAAGCGTCTTCCTCGCCGCTGTAATGACTTGTACACAGGCGGCTACATGAGTGATTACAGCAGCGAGATGATTAATGGTATCAGCTGACCTCTATAAGGTTTCTAAATGTGAGCTCCACACCTTGTTAGCTGCAGACAGTCGCCGCTCTTCGTATTGGCCCCCGTGTGGGACAGTTTTGTCACATAATAAATAACTTGCCCTTTAATTATAATAAAACTGGCTTTTTGGAGACTCATTATCATGCAAATACACAAGATTCTACAAACTTAATGATAATTTAGCAGCTTTATTTACAGAAGATGAAACATTTTTACAATTGTTATCTTACAAAAGTTTTTTAAAACTCTCAAATGGTCGAGTCAGTGGTTTATTTTTGGTACATGTAAATTTTTTTAGAAATGTACATCTAAAGCTACAGTAAGGAGTTTTTAGTATATTTCAAAACTGACTGGAATTGATGCTGATGCTTCTATATAAACTAGAAAAGCAGATGAAACCATCAGCATAGAGATGATTGTATCTTTTTTAATTTCTGAATATTCTGGCAGGGGGGTAGGTGTCACACTAAGTGATAATCTGCAGGGTACAACCCAAAAATGTAACAGCTTTAAGACAGGAGAACAAACAATTCACTGAGATGATGGCCAAAACTTACCGAAAGTTACTTAGAGGAGCTTTAAAGATCCCTTTGACATTTGTAGAAATGGACTGAAATTCAAAATGATATCTTTTTATAATTTTAAACAACAAAAAAGACCATCGGCTACAAGATTGACAACTTTAATTTTGTCATTTCTAAGACCTGAAACTAGCTAGGAGGGTAAGTGTCAGCCAAGAGTATTCCGCATAGAGTATTCATTATAAAAAATTAATTATTTCTCATAAGTCAGCATGATATGATGTTTGTCAGAAGACACCGCTTAAGCATGCCAAAAGTTCTTTAAAGATTTTTAAAAAACTACAATTATGAGGAAATCTCTGCCTTTTTCATTTTTGTTTCCTCCTTCAGTACCTTTTAAAAATGTCTTTTCATATTCGATAAAGTAAAAGTTTGTGACTGTTAAATATCATTTTAAGAGATGAACTTAGTGATTGTTTTTTTAAGTTGGATTTTTATGTTCTGGATGAAGAAGAGAAAGAAAATACAAGATCTCAAACTTTTGTACAAAACAGTAGAAGATTTAATATTCACCACAGAATAAAAAGAAAGTAATGAAAAACACTTAAATACAACTTCATGTTTGAATAATGCAATATTACATTAACTGTCAGAATTAAATATGTCTCACTGGGTATAATAGCATGTTGTATAGAATAAATGGGTATTTACATTACATATTTACAATCTCATTTACAAAATAAAAGCTGCTCCCCCTTCACAGCTGAGTTTTTGTTTTCGTTCTTGTCTTGTTGTAAACGCAGCTGCTGTTCAGTGGCAACGTATCCACTCCAAAGCTTCCAAATTGTCCCTCACAGGACGTGGTAGACGGGCCTGGATCCGGGGCTTTCCGGCGTGCTCGGCTGTGAGTCAGAGCTGCCGGGGGAGAAAGTGGATGGCATGTCTCTTATAGCCGCCGGGCCGCAGCTGGACTCGACTGAAGACAGGCGATCTACGATGCTGGAGAGGCACTGGAGGCTGGAGGCCCCGGCTGATTTATCGCCTAAACTGTCTGAAAATGGGAAGAAAATTTGGGGGATTAGACTGGATTTTATAAAAGTCTCCAGATAGAAAGTATTTAATTTGTATTTATTTTCTTCTTTGAGATATAAGTGGAAAAAATAATGTAAAATATCCTATTATCCCATTTTTGAGAGTGCTGTTATTTTCATATCAATCTGTAGAAGTTTCTTACCATTCTTTGCATACGAATAACTGTTGCTGTAATTCGCATTCAGCTGTTGCCACACTGGACTGTTGCTGTCAGCCTGGAAAAGAACAGAAAAATCAAATTTAACCTTGAGTTTCTACAAAAAGTGCACTGTAAAAACCCTCCTGCTAATAGACATTAACTGTAATGTGTTTAGAAGTTTCTAACAGAGAAGCAGAAGCAAAAAAAAAAAAAGAGCAAAAACAACCCTGCGCCCTTCATGATTTTCTAGACAGACCAATAAATCCTGAATTCCAAAGTTATGGGCCTTCTTTATTTCACATGCACCTTAAAGACGGAGCGGCAGTGAGTGTGTGCGCTGCCCTGCCCGCTTTGCTCCGAGCGTGGCCAATCGATTGTATCAGTGGAAGCAACACCAGTTTGTGCAAGATGACACTTTCTCTGAGTAAATCTGCAGAAAATCCTGGCAGCGGTGCAGAACATGCAGGCAGGATGGAATGCAGAAACGCGCCCCGGTTTTTCCTGCCAGACTTCAGCAAGGTGGATTTAGTTCGGTTTATTAGGGGGGCTATAAAGTGTCCGATGGTGGGAAAGCAATTACTGCATCCAGCATTATGAGCTCTTTTATATTAACGGACACGCTGTCACCTTCAACTGTTGTCAAAAGCAACTAATTCATCCTGACTGGTAATAACAAGTGTTGCACAGGGAGGGCAGGGATACATGTTAGGCTGCTGAATAGATGTTTGCATTAAAGAATTACAGCAGGGTATGACATGCATGGGGAAGCAGGGTAATTGAGGTCTTGAGGCAAGACAAGCTCTCTGACGAAGAACTTTTTCAAATTGGAAATCCAGGCTCTATTTTGCGAGGAAATAATGAGAAATCAGAGCTGTTTTGGGCAGATCGGAATGATTCTGGAGGTCAACAGGTGATGATCTGACAAGATGAAGTCCTGTCTTACATGCATTTGTAGTTCTTCCCCTACAAGAAACCTAAAGGTGCATAAAACACACGTTCAAATCTACAGATGTGGGTCTTACCATGCCATCCGAACAGTTGGACAGTGGACTCCCCGGCTCGGAGCTGCTCTCTCCAGGCAGGCCGTAGTAGTTCTCCACCTGCTCTCGAAGCAGGTCCTGCAGGCTCTCGATGTACTGGATGGCGTTGCGGAGGATCTCCACCTTTGGAAGTCGTTGGCTGGGGTTGGCTGAGGTGCAGCGCCTCAAAGCTTCAAACGCGTGGTTCACCTTCTTCAGCCGCCGACGCTCGCGCATTGTGGCGGCTCGTCTCCGGTCCACAAAGTTGGACTTGCGTTTGCAGGCTTTGCAGGCCCACTGGAGGCAGTGTCCCGGCTGGTGAGGGGCTCCAGGGACCCTGACATGCTCATCCTCCTCAGAGCCCGCGAGCTCCATGCCGGGGCCAAACTCTAGGCTGTCTGGGGACGAGGTGCACGCTCGGTCGTAGTAGACCTGAGATGGTGAAAAGACATCCATGGCTGGTTAGGGTTGGAGTGGATGTAGAAATGGGCGCAGAGGAAGGAAGGAAGGAAGGAAGGAGTGGTGATAGAGAGGAGACCTCTGAGTGATATGAGGGGTCTGTTGCCCTGGGCCCCCCTTTTATGCCCCCAGGCCAGAGCCCAGGGCCCACATTGGCCAGATCTAATTACCATGGCCCATTGGCCCAGCCAGAAGGCAGGCTGGGGTTAGCTCAGCTCCCTCCCTGCCCCATCTCACCCCCCAGTACCCTGCAGAGTTTCCCACATCTGCACTTACTGGTGTTTTCCTACTCATCACCACCAATCACTCCGTCCAAAACCTTCCTCCTGCAAGGCCGTGATGAATACAATGTTTGGGAATGTTTCAGGAGAGTGGGTGAACATTTGCAGCTCTACCCACCACATTCGCCAGTTTTCAAGTCGACACAAGGGACCTTCTTTTTGTTTGATTTATCTCCAGGCAGCCTTGAGCTGTCCTTTTAGATCTGACAATGACAGTGCCACTTCAATATGAAGACATAAATATAAAAGAGTTTACTTTTGTTTGGTCAAACTGTGCAGAAAAGAGGTTGACCACTTTCAGGAGTATGCAGGCCAATTTTTACGCTGCAGACAGCAGCGTTGCAGATGCAGCCCAGCTGCAAAGGAAGGTGTAACATTTCAAGCCCTGCAAATTCGCATTACGGCGGTAAGCCCCTTCTAAACACCTCAAGATCATCACTGAAGGTGCTGCGAGTGAGGAGATCTCTGTTTGCCACAGCTCATTAAAAGACTAATTACACAACTGACACCGCCGGGTGATTCCCTGCACCATTCTGCCTCAGAGGGCCAAATTTTGACCATTAAAGTTATTGACACAAGACAAGTACTCCAACTCAGCACAGAACAGATGGTCACCATGGTGCAGGAGTTTTATTCAAGTGGCCAGAAGCAATAAGGAAGAGTGCTGAGGTGTTTGCAGAGGAGAAATCACAGCTTGACTTTTATTTGTTCCATTTAACCAAGTGACTGTAAGGTTTTTAGATGGTTAGCTTTGTAGGCTGCAAAGTAATAGTTTGCAAAACACACAGAGCAAAAATCAAGGCTGAGATTTAAAAAAAACTAAATCAATAAAAGTATTTTTACAGTGCAAACTGTCTTTAATTAACAGGTTTTTCTCCATCCTGTTTTAAGTTATATGACACTTTTGTTTTTTATTATGCAAATAAAACAATCCAGAAATTTCCTTGAAACATTTCCTAAATATTACCTTTTCCCATTAGTATCCTACATGGTGCAGTGTTTTGTTTCCTTTTTACATAGTTTATAGGGTTGAAATCTAATGATAATTTCCTTTTTAAAGTTTTTATGAACTTCAATAATGTAGATTTTCTTTATTTAGCAAAGACATGATGCCTCACAAGAGTACTTTAAACTGAACTTTAAGTTTCTTAAAACGGAGTACATTGGACATTTGACGATATATCAACTTTATGCTATTTCAGATGTTTTATAAAGCATTATTGAAAAGAGCTGTCCTACAAAACTGGTTGAATTTGATTAATTTCTTGCAGATTTTTAAGGGCATCATCTCAACAAGCGTTGGCCCTTTTAAGTACTTTTATTGATTTAGATGAGAGATTTGGCCTGCAGCAAATGGTCATTATAGGGGAGCAGTTTCAGTACAAGTAGACTCCAGTTAGGCTGCAGAAAACACATATTTAATTTTATCATTTGCTACTTTAAAATAAAAAGATAATTTAATTTTGAAGGACAACTTTCTTTTTACTTTTTTAAGAGTGCAAATCAGACTGCCTTGATTTTTTTAAACAGCTTTTTAATGAGAGCTTTGGTAAGTACTTTTACTGGGTGAATTAAATAAAACAAAAATGAGCATAAACAAACTTATGTAAATCAAATTTTAGGTAATTATTTCACTTCTAATGAGGAGATGCTGCAGTTTATATTGGATCACCAGTAAGCAATGTAACCATGTGTAACAGCTGAATTTAAAGGTGAAATCAAGTGTCATGTTGTTTGATTATAAGCCACTTTCTACATCTTTAACCCCTTAATGCCCGAAACTACAAATTATGGCCGGAAAATTCATTTTTTTGGAGCTGAAATGTTTATTTCACTTACTACTGAAAACCAAAAACATCAAAATGTCCTTAAAATTAAACAAATATATTTATTGATCTCCTTTGACACATTAGATGTTTTTGAAAACTGATAAACCACAAGAGGACATTTTTTATCATTTATCAGACTGTATTCAGGTGTATTTTTAGTGATTTGTTGATCATATTGATTGATAGAAGTATCATAAAAGCATGTATCAAATATGATACAAATGTGAAATCTTAATAGAGTGAAGTTAAAACGTCCCTCCTTAGAAGACACACATTGTCAGACTGAAACGAGGTGTTTTGCTGTCCCCTGCTCTCAACTGCTTCAGGTAATTAAGTTGTTGACAGCTTCCACGGATACAATGCGGATATTTCTCACAACGTGTCAAAGCGTTTGGTGAGCCCTGCTCTCTGGGAACAGCTCGCAGCTAAGAAAACAGGCGGTCGGACCTGCAGCCTCTGAACGGCGGGCAGAGTTTGGATTAGCACAGCTGAAGAAGACATCGCGCGTGGAGCCGCGGAGAAGATCAAAGGGTTATTTGGCTGAGAACGAGGCGACGATGAGAAAACCTGCTAATGGCTGATAGACGACCGAGGACCGAGGGTTAGATGAACGCAGCACATGGTTGTTTCAGAGCAGGTTTAGACACACAAACAGAGCAGCTTTACACACACACAAACCACCGCAGCTCTCTTGGGAAAAGTTTGGAGGAGTATTTTTGTTGTTCTCAAGGGTCAGAGACAGAGCTAAGTGAGGGGCAGGGGGCGAGTCTTTATGTCCGTCTTCCTCACGTCTGAAAACCTTATTTCTTCTAAACGGCCTGAGCCTCGACTTCAAATGGTGCTCATTCAGTGCAACACAAACCCCACTGACAAAACCATTTATCAGCTTTACTCCATTTAAAAGAAGAAATCCTCTCCAAAGCATGTTGAGACGAAATTTTAGCCCATATTTGTCTTCATTCTTTGATATTTTCCAGAAGTTACACTGTAAAAAAACGGTTGGTAATATTTAAATCAACTATGTCCTTAAAACTACAAAGAAACTTATAATTTATGAATACATTTTGATGCAAAGCGGGGTACACACATAAGAGATTTTTTATCTGCTACAGACCTCACACATGAAGATAACAAAATCAGGCATTGAACAGTTTTGATCGTACTCTGTGTGGTGTGCGATTCTGTTCCACCCACGATCTAGAATCTAGTCCTCCATGACAGAAATCTCGCGTGATAAAACGTGATCTAACAAAAACAAAGAAGAAGAAACTTAGCAACAACCCGGAAAAAACAAGACGCAACATGGAAGAGGACACACGAGAGGAGGGAATGTTGGTGGTTTTGGGAGTGACTTTGACAGAAAAATCCCGTACTAAAAAAAAGAGTAAAAAAATTAAGAAATAAATTTTCATTCGCTTTATTTTGGTACCTTGTTCCTCAGTCAGCTCGCTTCTTGATTGGCTATGACAATTCACGGAGTCATGACTCGGGAGTCGCCGGCTTTCCCCGCACACATGAAGATTTCTAGCCGTAAATATTGAACAAGTTGAATATTTACGATTGTCGGCCCTGACCTGTTTTGGACCCAATTATCAGGACAAATTCACTCTTAATATACCTCAGACCACAGGATAATCTTATGGGATAATCTTAGAAGACATAAGATAATCTTCCGATTGTCGTCCTTGTTTGGGAGGGGGGAAATCGGGACAAGAACAGCCTGATAATCTTTATGTGTACCCCAACAGTTAGGGGTCTCCTTGGTTGTATTTTTGGTGTCATGATGCGCCAAATGTGTTAAATAGGTGATGAGTGGGCAGGCTAGTTTGGTTGGTAGTTTGGTAGTTTGGCACCATGACTCTTCTATTGTTGCGCTATGCTATTTTACCACAAGCTAAATGTACTGTAGTTTGGCCTCGTCTTAAACTACCCATGCCCATACCAACAGGGATTTTTGCGTTTTAAGTGTTTGCTGATAACAATGTGTTGGTCTCTCCCTTCTTTAGAGCAGAGGATGCAGTGTCCATGATTTCCAGAGATAATGTCAAAATCTGATTTATCAGTCCATCCTTTATTAGCTTGGATCCAGATAAGATATGGGTACTTCTTTTTAATTACTCTTAATGTTTATATGTGGTGTACTCTTTGCGTGGTACAGCCAATGGTTTTTGGAAGGGATTTTGAGTGCATGCAGTGATTTCCACTACAGAGTCATGTCAGTTTTTAACACAGTGGCCCCAAAGGCTCAAAAATCATGCTCATCCAGTATCACTTGTTATTGGCCTTGTCCCTTTTGTAAAGAGACTTCTACAGATATTCTGTAGTTGACTTTGCACAGCATACCAACTCCAGTAGAAATAGGGTGGTACATAAAACATTAGGACCATCAGAATGAGAAGTTTTGGTAGTGTAGTGCACACATGTAGTACAGATCAAAATATGTATCAAATATGTAGATAGATAGCAAAAGACTTCGATAGTTTATGTGAAAATAAACCTTTTCCTTTCAACATGTCCACATTTGTCATCTTCGTCTTTTTCAGGTTTATTTCTTTAAACAGCCCTTTTATGACTCCAGACCGACGTCCATTTTAAATCCTCCTCAAAAATTAGCTTTCAAACGCTTTGAGTGGCAACAGCATTTGTTTGGCAGCGAGCAAACTGAGGTGAAGTGCCAGACAGCTCTGCAGTGAATCCTTTTCCTCGCAGGATATTCAAGTTAGAGTCTGGATAAATTTGAGTGTTCAGCCCTCCAACTCACCTTTCAGCAGCTCAGACTTTTAAAACATTGCTTTCACAGCCAAATGAGGATTATACGGTGTCATCAGTAACGCCAAAACGCCTGTAAAGTCAAACCAGAGAGCCAAGTTGCTTTTGGCATCACAGCTCAGTGATTCAACAGAAAACCAGTTTGCATAAAATATGACCAAAATATTTCAGCATCAGGCAGTATTAAGTGTTCATGTTTAGCAAACACCTTTTTTTCTAACACAAATTGTGATTGTTGCTGTTTTTGCTAGAATGAAGCCATTACTGAACAGACATTCAATTAACGGATACCCCTGGAGCTGCAGAAAGTGAAGTGTGGTAAAGCTGCTATCAGATGGAGGGACTGAGCAGGAGCCCATTAAAATCACATTACTGTTTCAGGATATTATGTTTCCGCCTGCTTTCAGGATATTTGGTCAAAGATATGAATAGCTCTGTTGAAACGAGACGTGGAAGAGACGTGGATTATTGTTCTTTTTTTTTTCTCTAGTCAGTTTAGTGAAGGCACATGTGCTCATATCCTTTATTTGAAGGAAAATAATACAAATATGCCAAATCTTATCATGGTAATACTTGTCTTCCTGTTCTGTTTAGCATTATTATATATTTGATCGTTGAATTTTTTGTGTTGTAGATCACTGAAGTTAGAGTTATCAATGTGCTTCACAAACAACCCTTATTTTATTATATAATCCTGAATGGTATTACGAATAAAAGCACCCTTAATTCAAGTGTTAGGTATCTAAAGTTATACTATATATAAAACTTATTTTGCAGATGGTCCTCTCTATAGCTTTACATTTATTTCTAATAATTCTAAATATGACATTCTTTTTGGAAATCATGGACACTGCATCCTCTCCTCTAAAGAAGGGAGAGGACACTCTTTATTATCATAGAAATTACACAGCATTTTAATACAGAGGTTGATGGAGAAGGATTGTGAATACTTTGTGCCACATAGTCAGGGGTGTGTCCAGAGCGGGTGCTCGGGGTGGCACTTCCCGCCTGAAAATCTAATCAAATTGGCCACCTTTGGTACCACCTCCAAAGTGCGAAACTGTAATTGGTGATTTGCATTGATAGAGGTGGGACTGAACCAATAAACAACTTGGGCTGCTTTGTACGGGTTGGCAGTAGCTTTTTAATATTCAAAATTTTAAATGTTTGATCTATTGTGTTTCTTTTAGCATGAAATTGTAAAAAAGAAAGAAAAATAATACTGTGTCATGTTTTAAAGGTAGTTTTGAAAAATAATAGAGAAGTCAGAGAGCGTGAATGCAATCAAGTTGCCAATATCAGTGCCACCCCACCCAGAAAGTCCAGACATGCCCCTGTATAGATAGGTATAGTGCTGCAATACAGACTGTACAAAGAATAGATGACATGAAAGCCCCCCAAAGTGAAGCCAAAATCTTGGAGCTCCCTCTACTGACTGGCTGCAGTATAAGTCATAAACCCTGCCTCCTCATTGTAAACAGATGGGGCATAAGTTAAACTACAAAATCAAAAAACGTTCAATAAACTTTTCATAATTATGGTGTCCGTCACAAAAATTAGTTCTCAATCTAGATTATATAGAGAAAATGTGCTGCATGTGAGTTAGCCTCAAGCTTTAAAAAAAACTCCTTTAGACTTGAAGCCCATCTAAGTGGTCCTATGGTCAGTTTTGGATGCTAAGCTGATCAGTCAACACACATTTTTGACTCAAAAAACTTATTTCTTTCCTTAAAGTATTTGAAAAAGCTCTGTTGCAAGATGTTACACCATATCCTTATTCAAAAACAAACCTGTGACATGAGACATAGCTTTGTGAGAGTGCCCATGTGTGCAGGTTGAAGAAATGACTCCAAGTCCAAGGGGTCAACCAGATCTGTCTTCCACAGAGTTCTAAGCAAGACCAGCTCACCCCGATATCATCAACAAACACCCCGTCGTATGTCAATATGCCACAAACAAGACTCAGTGGATTTACATACCATTAGCATCACGTCACCTGTTTTAATAGCTCCGCATGTAAACACTTTGCTAAAGCAGGCGATGATAAATTCAGACTTAATGACTCACATAACTTCATCATCCCAGCAGGCTTTGCACTCAGGCCTAATGCCCAAAGTTTCCATGCCTGATCATATGAGAGGAGGGGAGAGGGAGGAAGAGGGGAGGCAGGCTGTGTTTGGAGGAGACTCAGGTTTCTGTTGTGGGATCAGTCTTTGGAACAAAAAGGAGAAGCCTGGCTGTCGGAGCAAACTCCTCTAAAAACAGATAACTTTTTGTGTAAATATTCCAGCTTGCCATGAAGGAAGGATGGGGGACACATCGGTTTCAAGTTTTGCGAAAGTAGCATTTTAATTTTCTTGGTCAGTTATATACAAATACATAAATAAAATGTTAACCTTTTCAAAGAGTTGGTGTACTTCTAAATATAAAATAAATAAACCTAAACATGACATGTTTATAAAATATGTACAAATATGTTGTTCCTGCTGTACAAATGAAGACAAATAGAAACCAGAATGGGTAAAGATAGTGGAAATACTTTTGAGATAATAATGGAAATCTAAAATTTAAAACTTGAAATGAACATCTTTACTAATAATGTTTCAGTTTTCTGAGACTTCCTCGCTCACACTGACTTTCTCCTCAGTGGTGATGCTGTCCACGATGGATGACAGGCGGAGAAGGCTTGAGGACCCGGAAGATTCAGTGTGTCCTAAAAACGAAAAGTGAAAATGTTCCAGGAAGCTTGTTAGTTAACTGCTTCACAACCTACTAAGAAAACAACAAGGTACAACAAAGTACCCATTAGCTACTGTGAGCTAGCATGTGTTCAATCACTTCCAAACTACAAAGTGGTCAACTGCTAATGTTTGATTAGCTGAATCATGATTTAGCTAGAATCAGAGTCTCATTGTGTTATACTTTACCACTTGCCTTTCCCATCATTGTGTAGGCTACCACTAGCAAACACTGATAAAGTTCACTATCAGGCAGTTAATTGCTAAAATAAGCCTTTATGATAGCAAATGGTCAATGAAATCAAACAATAAGCTAGGAATTAGTTAGCCTAGATGCTAACATTAGCAGCTGATCTTACAGTTAGCAATGGATTGACAAAAATCAAACAATACCACAAAGTCTTAGCTAATTTTCTTTATAAACAATGTTAGCTAGGAAGTGGTTGAATGTTTGAGTTAGCTGTTACCTCACAGTCAAATGGTTAAACTTTGGTGCTCAACCACTCTCTAGGAAAAATAACCATTAGTTTCAATACTGGTAGCTAGGAATTTGAGCCCTTCTTTCCTTATCTTGAACCAAGAGCAAGTACCAGTGTTGCCAACCTATCGACTTTGTCACTAGATTTAGCGACTTTTCAGACTCCCCTAGCGACTTATCTTCAAAAAAGCGCCTAGCAACATATCTAGCGACTTTTTCTGGAGTTTAGAGACTCCGACATAATCGCAGGAATCAATGTTACTCTTCTCAACAGGTAGCCGGTGTGCTTCAGAAACACAGACACTCAGACACCCAGCGGAAGACCCCTCCTCCTGGGGGTGGGGGGGGGTCGGCGGCAACAGTGGGTTGACTGAGAAATTATGCAAATTAGGCGATGACCTCATCTAGCGACTTTTACGACAGCCACTAGCGACTTTGCTTACTGAGGAGTTGGCAACACTGGCAAGTACTTACAGCTAAAGAGTTGTTGAAGGCTAACATCAACTGTTGTCTAACATTGTCTTTTCAGGTGGTAAAATCACAAATTAATAGATTTTCTACAGTATCGAGCATTTATAAGACTAAAATGCTGGCCCACTATTATTCCTGAGAATGGCTCTGCATGTGAATCTTGTAAATGTCAAACTAAACCACTTTGATTGATGTACCTTCTCTCTGGTTTATCATGGCTGCAGTGGAATGATCAGCAGAGGTCGGCCAGGACTCTGAGGACTTTTTCCAGTGGTAGTCATGACCTGACACCTGCAGAAACACACATTACGTGTTATTTTTGTCAGTTTATTATAAAACATGAAAACATTAGAAAATAAAAGACTCTGAAATGTAAAAAAGACATAAAAAAACAAAGCTAGCTGTATAGAAACTTGTAAATAAAATTGGAGGATTATTTTAACTGAAAAATATGAGGTGGTAAAAATTATATGGTGGTAATAGCAGCAGTCGATAAACACAGTATTATGTCAGTGAAAGCACCACATACGCCTGTAGGAATGTTATATTTTTGTGATAGTAACATGATAGTTAATAAAAGCTTGTTATTCAGTCATCTTAGCTCATCAAAAGTCATCTAAATGCCACTGGATCACTGAAGAACTCTGGAAATATCATGGGAATACTCTGGTGTTTTTGTCCTGAGTTGTGGTCTCAAATGTCAGCTTACATTGTGTACTTTAGCGTCAAAGTTGTGTGATGATCCGTTTTGCGTCTTCTCCTGCTCGTCCAGAGTCTGCAGCAGCTCTTGTAGCCTCTCGATGTAGCTGATGGCGCTGCGTAAAATCTCTACTTTGGGTAGCCTCTGGTTGGGGTTGGCAACCGTCTTCTTCTTCAGCGCGTCGAAGGCCTCGTTGATCTTCTTCAGCCTCCTCCTCTCCCTCAGCGTGGCCGCCTTGCGTCTGTCAGTGGGTGCAGATTTCCTCTTGCAGATCTTACAGGCCCACATGAGGCACTGGCCCTCACAGTGTGCTCGCAGACCCGGGGGCGCAAGGACGTGCTCCTCCCCGCTGCTTTCCCCTCCGGTTTCAGATGGAACATTATCCTCATTTAGTGGGCTGTCGTTGCCGTTGTAAAGCGGGGACACTCCTGCCATATCCAGGTGCTGAAGTGGTCCATGATCCCCCTCTTCCAAATAGCGCAAATCATTGAAAAGATAAGTGTTGGTCTCAAAAAGGTCCATCATATTGTGGCAGCCCTCACTCTGTTTTGACAGTGGGACTCTGTGGCATTTAAACAGAGCAGCAGGGACACAAGTCACCAGGATTATATATAGAATGTGAAACTCTATCCAACACTTTGGCTGTCACGCTGCATCAGGCATCTTTTTTTTTTTCAATGGCTCTTTACAACTTGTCTGACTTTGTATAGGAAATGTACATACACACATACATTAAGAGCTCCAGAAGCTATTGAAATGTCACCTCAGGTTTCACGACAGGTGCTTTAAATATCTGCAGCCGGACAAAATGGCAACACAGAGATATTTCCTGTAGTGCTGCCAGTGAGAAAGGAAAGTGAAAGACATGGTGGTGTTATTCCAAAGTTAAATAAGCTCAGCTTAATGATAAAAGGTATTATTGGTGTTACATATATAAATAAAGCACTCTGTAACAGATTTAACTGACAAATTTTTTTATATAATTACTTTTATTTTTTCTTTTATCATCAGAAAAGTTTGAAAGTTCAATTTTTGACTTTTTATTGCCCTCCTGATCAGAGATTATTAGAAGTTAATGGGACCAACAGCTAATACTTGATGTGCATTTGAAGTAAAACTGAAAACCTTTGTCAAGATTTGGAATTTAGAATACTGCAACTTCAATGTTGCATTGCTACAAGTTGCCATCATTGGGTTCACCCAGTACTTCTGTCTTTGAAATGATGAATTATGAAATATTCTCAAACATATTGGACCCTGAATCTGTTTCAGAGAGTTTGGAAAAGGGACAGAAAGATCTCCTTGTACTAGAACTGGGTAAATTGGTGAAGTTACAAATTGAACACCATGTTCAACATTCACATGCTACATTTAACCTAAAATTTGTTTCCAAAATATGAGAAACTTTTTAAAAGTCTGTCTCTGTAAACACAACTTTTCCTACCTGGTTTTCATATTATTACCCTGCTGTGTTAAATACTTCATGTTGATCTAACTCTCAACAACAACAGCAACATCAAGGACAACTTGATCACATAAATCACATCAAATCATTTCAGGGAGATGATGTTAAACCAAGCTGAGAAGCTACTGGGCCCAAACCATCTCTGAAAGGGAAAAATGAAGCAATATCCTGTCCTGCAATCCAGGCAATGGCAGCAAAGCCAGTAAATGTGTCCCCAAGTTACTGATCCCCTCAAAATAACTTTAATTGTAAGTGAATGTAGTAGTAGTTTGGTTTGTGTTGATTTTGGTGCCCCCTGTGGACAAATTGGTTTTCATTGGTTTTGTTTTGTGCATGAGTAGTAAGTGTTAGAGTCCTTTTAAGAGTTAAATTTAAAGATGGTCATACAAAGCATTCTTGCTAACTTGGTCATGTTTATATCTTGTATTTGTTCAGTAGTAATCGAAAGGGTAGTGTACATAGAGGGAGAGTGAGCAGAACATCGGCATTCATTAGCTGGACAAAAACACAACACTAAATAGATGCTAATGTTGTTCTTATCTGCTTAAACGTGTTAATGGGTGATTATCTCCTAACAAGCTTGGCATAACAAATTGAAAGGTGGTATTATACGGATGCTGTGTTTCCACTAATCCCAAGCGACCCAAACAACCAATTAATGAAGATTTAAGTGCATTTAACTACCTGAGGAGGTCCTTCCAGTGGATGATTATTTAAATAAGACGACTCAATTCTGCTGTATTACAAATGCACAGATGGACTCAGATTTTGGCAAAGTAGCAAATGATTAACAAGCAAGTTTTTTACAAATTTATTCAAAATCAAAGTCTTAACAATCACGCTCAGTGTGTACTATATCATTAACACACTAAAGTCATATAACCCTGTACAAACTGCAATGCGTTGTTCCTGTTTTAGCCAGTAAGAATGGTATGTCCAGTTGTAACCTGTAGAGAAACCCAACATAGATCCATAGACTGGAATGTGCAGAGTCAAAACAGCTCTGAGAAACACATGCGTGGGAGGTTAAAAATAGAAACCAGGCACATTCATCTCAGATTCATAAAAGAGATTAAGGCGAGTGAGGAGGTGATATATAGCCCGTGGCATTTTTGCTGCTACCTTTAAAGAGCTACTATCGGAAACTTCATAGGCAGGAATGTGGGAGATCCCTATTTTTGTATGAGTGGGGTTTTACTTTTACCCTGTGGTGCATCCCCCCATCCTAGAGTTCTGTTACGTTGTTGTGGGAGTACAGTTACGGGTGCTTTTCATCTTTCGAGAGGGTGACGGAAATACTATGGAAACTATACTATGGAATACTGAGTAAACATGGTACCCCACAACTGACACTCAAAGATTTACAGTGAATCTGAAATCAGTGTCAAAGCTTGTGTCAGTCCAACATTTATACTTCAAATCTGTTCTTCTGTTTACATTCTAATCTAATTTGTGGGCCGTCAGGAAGCATTGCATTAAAATCAATCCGTAGTGGAAATCACTGCATGGGCTCAAAATCACATTGAAAAACAATAGTCTATCACACAGTTTGTCATGGTGTTCATAAATGCAGGTCTGACATATAAATTGGTATTCTTTTTGGAAATCATGGACATGGACCCAAAATGAAGAGGGACCACCCTGTCGTTATTGACACACAGTTTAAAAGCAAGTGACCACTGATGGCAGAGGGATACTTTAGTGCCCATAGCATGGCTGGTTTACAGATCTGAGAAGACGCTGTTAATGCTGAACAACATTTACAGGTTTTGGAGCAACATATACTGTCAACCAGCCAATGCCTTTGTCCAGGGAAGAACTTATAAAATACAGCAAGGAGATGCATAACTTGCCCATCTGAAGTCTCAACTTTTGGAAAATATTTAGTAAATCACAACACAAAAAAAGAAAAAGATCCCCCAAACTGTTAAGCAGCTGAATTCCTACATGTGTTTGCATATATTTTTCGTGAAGTAAGACATTGTATGTGCTGTGGAAACCATACAAACCAATGCCAAACTTATGTTGCAATCATTGCTCCAGACGACTCTTATTTTCCCATTTGTATGGATGAACAGAGCAGCGGTTAAATGAGACATGATGATAAATTAGCTGCTATGAATCAACAATCTTGTTTCAGAATGGTTCTAATTAGAAAAAAGGAAGTCTAATTTCAGCCTTTAATTAGCCTAAATAACAGAACTGGAAAGAAGTGAGGTTGATTTTTTTTCTGGGATGACTGGTGTCGTGTCCCTGCTGTTCACCGGTGGTGCTCTCTCTCCCAAGGGCTACTGTGCATCCTGAACCGGACCATAAATCCCCGTCAGTGTCAAGGGGTTGGCGCTTCAGCTGTCAGGGAGAATCATGGGACTGCCTGAGTAGAAACTCAAACTGGAGGATCTGGCCTCTCAGGCAAAGGGGTGGAGTCAGGATGGACTGTGGGAAGTGTAAATCTGTCCAGAATCCAAAGAGGGCTGGAGTCAACATCTCTGCAGGCTGAACTCTGAATATAAAAACACTAAAAACTTCGGATGGAAACTTAGAGGGGATCTGTATTTATGAGTACAAGTACTTTCTTTCAGTCACTTTTTAAACAATAAATGTATCTTTAAATCTGTACTTTCTGTCAGCTTGGTTAGCTTAGTTTTACCGCCCAGTCACTTAGGATAGTGAATGGGCGACTTTGCCCATTCTCTGAGCTCTTCAGGGTGAGATGGCACTTTAAATGCATAAAGTATGTACTTATTATACAGCCATACATTACTGATGACAGCATATAATACATTAAGTACAGTTCCTCCACAAATAAGGCCATCAACTATGAGAACGAACATAGAGAACAAACACAAGTGCTAAATAAGCCCAGGTGGTTTATCATGCGTCTCCCTGTTTCCTGCCTCCAGCTGCATGAAATTCATGAGAAGGTTTAAAAAGTCTCTCTGCTCTTTGGCAGCAGCTCGATATTTCAAACTGTAAAGTAGGACATGATCCCAGAAGGGACTGTCAGTATCTCTCCGAGCTCTCACAGATTCAAACATTTTTTTCAAAGGTGAATAATTGATCAGGCGCTGAGGGCGAAGTGAGTGAGATATAATGATATACTATAACTATGCGCTGCAGATTTTTAGGCCCTAACTATACTGATCATATCCTTCTCTAAAGAGGGGGAAAGATTATTCAGGTATTTAGTCAGTTTCTCTTTCGGGCACAGAAGACAAAAACCATCACAGTGAAGTCTGATACCTAGAATTTGGTGAAATTATTCATCAGTTACCCTCTTTGTCTTATCATGTCTTGAACTAATTAGTCCAATCCCCAGGTTGGATGATAATAGAAAAGTTAAAAGACAAGCTCAAAGCCCATTACTGTTAATTAAGTACAGTTACTGACAGGAAATTGTACACAAACTGTTGGAGTCTTGTTTAATCTCGTCGGGCACCAAACCACAAAGCTCTGTTTAAAAAAGGTCAGGTTTTAGGATGAAATAGTCATTGGGAAAAATCAGTATATTACTGATACTGGTACTAATATTGGTTTCACTACCAATACTGATTCTGACATCAATACCGATACTAACACTGATATCGGTACTGATACTACTATTGATATCAATACCACTACTGATACTGATATCAATGCTGATACTAATACTCATATCAGTACCAATACTACTAATGATATCAATACCAATACTGATGCTGGTTTCAATGCTGATACTGATGATAGTATCAATACAGATACTAGTACTGGTATCAATACCAATACTGATACCAGGATGGATACTGGTTTTGAGACCGATTCCGGTACCAACATCAATACCACTACTGGTATCAACACCAATACTGATACATATAATGATACTTGTTTCAATACTGATGCTGATATCAATACTGATATTGATACCTACACTGACAATGGTATCAATAATGATACTGATACCTATATTTTAATTAGTATCATTATCATAATTAAAATTATATGATTAATAATATAATTATGCTGATAACATTGTGCAATCACAGCTTATATGTTTAACTGATTCAATACTACATTTTGGTTTCATACTAGAAGTTTTAGGTACGCTGTGTACTTTTAAGCAGCAGTTAGCAGAAAAGGCTTGGTAGAAATGGATTCATTGGTATGTTTAAATTAGTATTTTTGCATGTTGGGGATCTGCTATTTTGCTCTGTCCTGTCTCTACAGGAGCAAAGAATGGACAAACTAGTAGCATGAACTTCTTAATATTTAGCGAGAGGCCAACTGAAGTGATGAAGAAAAAGTGAGTGGTTGTTGTCTGATGGCCAAGGCCAATAATTTGAAAGCAAGTGACCAACGGCCAATACATAACACTGAAATCATATTATTATTGTTATTGTGACTATATAAAGCCAGTTGTGTTACATTTTGTTGCATTAAAAAGGCTTCATCACGCGTCACGCACCAATTTACCAAACCACCAACTTGTGTTGCTCTGTCGTCAGTGTCCTATCAACCCAAGAAAAGGGATTATAAACTCATCGAGAAGTCCATAGTTTATCTGACTCCCCTTTGTCTACAAGTTAATTTTCTGTCCTCCTTTCTTTGGTTCATATACAGTTTCAAAAACCCTGAACTCCATGCCAGCAGTATCATGTAGTGGAACAGTTCACACGTTGAGCACATATGGTTTTTCTCCTTCCAGTGAGTGTTAGAAAGGGGATCCAGTTAGGACCAGTGCTGACATGGAGGTCACAAACAGAACTGATAATGAACATGAACTGTAGGACCTCGTCTTTCTCCACCCCCTTGTCTCACACCACGTACACCCCCCTGACTTAAATGTACCTCCTACACGAGACTGGCTGCCACACACTCATTGGGCTGTTTTAGAGGAAACTCTGATCAGCGTGACCAACACACCGTACATAACCCCGCTCCACACCTGGGATATGAATTAGCCTATCAAGGGTTAAGTACCCCGGTCATGGGCCCGATGACAATGCCTCACCTAGGGTCATGAAACTTTGGCCTTCAGGGTCTCCAGTTCTCTGACTAAAAAAGATGCTGCTGGGGAAGAGTTCTCATATCTCAATAAAGTTGTGGATTATGATAAATGACACTGTGTAGCAACTGTGATGACAAATGCCACCACAGATTTTCATCAAAGTTAGAGCCAAAAGAGAGAGGAAAATATAGATGAGTAATTCAGCAATCCTTTCACTGTTATTTCATTTTTTTCCAAAGTTTGTTGACAAAAGATAATCACCATCTGCCATCCAGAGAAGAAGTTTTCACAAATCGTAAATCGTCAAGTTTTATTTTACTTTCCTAAATCTGCTGACACGGTTTTGTTTATGCATTCTTCAAACATTTTCATAAATCAGTCAGGCCTCCCAAGGAACAGAAAGTCTTATCACGTTGGCAGCAGTAAATCCATGATTTTACATGATTTTATGCTTTGCTAGCTCTAAGAGTACACTCTAATTTGTGTGTGGAAGTTCAACAACCGAACGATCTTACATTTTTAAACTCTGACAACCCACTTTGCAGCCAGTATCCTTGCTTGTGGGACTGACAGCTTATTTATTAACTACTAGCTTAATTAAAAGTCATTTTGAACTCTGTTTTTTGGTGCTCAGAGTTCAGTGTGTAAGCAGAGGCTATAGCTAACTATGATAAGTAAACACTGCAACTGTTTACTCATCATAGTTAGTGGAATGACTTTTTGCTTGGTAGCACTGGTGCTCTACAGTCCTGTCCTGCAATCCAGGCAATGGCAGCAGAGCTGGTGAGTGCATTTTTCAGATGCTAACACTCCTGGGGCCCTTAAAGAGGGGGGGGTACTATGCTTACTTTAGATTTTATATTGTCCCTCCAACAACTAATCTAGCAGCTATGCATGACTTACGGGTAATATTCTTGACTTTAACAGCTTTAACAAATTTGCCAAATTTGTAGTTGGGAATTAGACGGGTTGCAAAAGTGCCAAACATAGAGCTGCTGTTGTTTTCTCTAGGTAATATGGAGTAACAAAATCCTTGACCTACATGCCCAAACATTAGGCATAAAATTCCTCTCTAATAAAAGTGGAAGAGTGCCAGTCAAGGCTTAAGTCTTGCACAAACAATGGTTCCCCTCCTTATGCCAACTCTGCTCAGAGACTGAGTCAGGAGCAGCGACACATTCACTACTGCCAGTATGATACTATCTCCCTCTGAAAACACAGCTAATCTTTTTGGCCCGGCTCCCTCAAACGCAGAGTCATCGATGGTCAAACAAAGCGGGGAGTAAACTGTCTCTGGAGCTAAGCTAACAGACGGCTCCTCTCACTCGTGCCCTGAGCTGTGGGTTAGACAGGGTGGGCTCTGGTTTCAAAGGCGGGAGGGGAAGGCAACACTGATGGCATCTGCGTTCTCTCTGGTGGACGACACAGGGATTCAGTTCAAAGGCCGAGCCGGCTGAAGTACATCAATTAGCGAGGGGAGAGAGCTTGCTAGCTTACCCGTTTGTTGGCTAACTCTCTATGACCTCAGAGAATTACACTATGAGGCACGATAAGAGTGTTGCACCCAGGTTGGACAATGTCAATACCGCCTTGCAAATGGACTGGTATTGATGGACTGGCTTAAAGCGTTGTTCCTGCAAATGGGTGCAAAGAATAATAACTTGTGACAACAACTAGCTTAAAGGGCGAGAGGATTGCAGCAGCTGTTCTGACCTGGTTTTTCACTGTTTTTTCAACAGGTCTCCATTGTAACAAACACTGAGAAAAGGCTTATCAACCAACAGCCGATGGTGATTTGGTTAGAAGGGATCTGAAGGTCCCTCCTGATTGATTCTGTCCTCATTCAGGAGGGTGATGGATTAGACTTTCTTTTAAATTCAGTGTGTGTGTGTGTTTTAGTAGTGTATCCTTGTCTGCCTTCCAGACTGAGCCACTGACCGGGACTTAAAGAGGGCACTGGCCTTGACCTGGCAGCAGACGATAGCAGACCTCTAGTCTGGCCGGTGAGGTGAGACGATGACCTTGTTGCCCTCTGTCTGGCCTTCTGTATTTCCCTGCAGCTCTTATACGTGTATTTTCTGGCATCTACGTTGTACCGCAGAGTAAGAATTATAAGTAATCTATTCAGAGTGGCTATCATCGCAAAAAGAGTGCGAAAGATTGAATCCAAATCACAAGAGGAACAAGTCAGAGTTGCTTTGATGTTGCCGCCTGTAAACGATATGGTGGAGCATCGCTATCATTAATATCACTCCGCCTCTGGGAGTCAGGGGATGAAACCAGTGATAACACCAGAATGAATCCAATCATCAGTGAGTGTGACTGTAGCCACGGCAACCTCAGTGACAATGATCCCCCTAATATTAGTTTTTCCTGAAGTGTCTGAGCCTAGAACAAAGCGTGTTGTGTTACAATGAAAATTGGGCTCTTGAATAACAACAAGGATAGACTCTCTTTAAGAGGGAAGGGAAGGGGAGATAAAGCGCCTGGCTCCAAGAGAAACTAATAGGATATTGATGAATGCCAGTGTTGACGAGAGAGGAGAGGGAAACTGCTGCGCTGTATAATTGGTTATATGGGGTCTATCATTAAAACAACAGATAGTAAAGGACACCAAAGCTTTGGCTAGATGCAGACAATAACCTGATAGCCATAAAGCTGCAGTGAGTAAAGAACACAGTCATGTCTGGCTCAGCCATGAGGGTAAGTCTTTGTTATTTAAAACCCATAGTTTATCCCGTTGATTCACAAATTTAGTTAATGTGAAACTTCTTGCAAAAGCCCATAATCCAGAATAAACAGAGTTTTAAATGTATTTTGGATGTTTCCCCAAACTTGAAAGAAATGTAGAAATCGCTTTTGGTATCCTAGATAATTCTTGGCTTATTGGTGTTTGCTCATCTTATACAGTTTTGATACCTGACCAATGGCTGTAAACATACACGAAGCAACAATGCCAAATAAAAACTGGTCCCAGCTTTTGTTGCTCCATCGTCTTTCTGATTTTCATGTAATTTGGAGTTAATAGATAACAAACAAGAAACATTCAAATACCACCTTATTAAAACTTGCTTTAAAAACTATCCACAAAAAATTATGCACTAGTTAAAATGGTTTCTATAAAGTTGTAAGCATAAATGAGGAATTATGGATTCTGTTTTGCATTACCAGCTAAACCCTTAGTTATTCCTGATTTTGATCCAAAACTGATTTAGTCAATCCTCAAAACAGATCATTTTAACCAATCAACTATTGTTGAAACAACACTGAAATATTTTCAGATTTTAACTTAAATCCATGCCTAAAATAAAACACATTATATGCTTGCAGCAGTTTCAACCACATTAAGAAATTTATGGTCCATTTTAGTTTCTCTTCACAAAATATTTTTCATCTTCTCCTCCCAGACTCTCTGGAGATCTTTCTCTACTAAATCAAAGACAGTCTTATCAGCTGCTCTTCAAAAAGAATTTAACACTAGGGAGACTTGTTCAGAAAATATGAATATTGATGATTCGATTGGAGACCTAAAAGCTTTCAAAATTGCTCAAAATATGAGGAAATCTCTCTGTTGTTCAGCCACTCCCATCTTTTAATCCATAAATTCAAGACATGAAACTCCTCTAATTTCTTCTCTTTTAAATTTAGTGAGAATAGATTCCCACTTTCCACATTATTTGCACGCCAATTCAGAGTGATGGCGATCCAGTTGACTCCTCTCTATAATATTTATGATTGTCTGACTTGGCTGAAAGTAATAAATGTAATTTGATTTACAATTGATCCCTATAATGTTGACAAATGTGCTTAACGCCGCGACCACTCATACATGTGTGTGGCCCACAAAATGTAAGGGAACCCCGAAATTCCCACTTTTGACACTCACATGAATTATTCTCAACAGGTTGCTCTCCACACCCAAGACCCTGCAGAGTACCGTTACTGTCTAAACACAGGGGAGGGTAATTTAGCATTGTCGATAGCATGTGTGAGCATTCATGCTAGTTTAGGAGGTGTGTTTGTATTTTTGCACGAGGGCATCGTTCCTGTGTGTGGAATGCTGCATGCATTGAGAGCATTTTATTCTGAAGGTGTGAGGCTGTTGGAACAAAGAAAGTGTGACTGAGGATCAACTGTCCAAAACACGTGTCCGCAGGCGCACACACACGCACACACACAAACACACGAGTCTGACACAATGCCCGGTGTCTTGCATGACTGTTGCGTCACTCTGAAGGTCATCTCCACCTGTTTGATACAATAAAAAGTCTAATGTTACTTTTGTGGAAGTTATTGCAGATGGAGTTTCATAGTGTGGGTGTAATAGTTGTGCAGGTGCATGCAGGGAAATGGTCAGACGGGTGTGATATTATTAACGGGGAGACACCAGACTGTGCATTTAATTTCCTTGCCCTATTGTGGGATTATTCATGTAAGACAAGGAAGTACAATGAAGTCTCACTCGCAACTAGACACAACAGCTCAGTCTGTGGCCTGTTGCTTCAAAAATATCAGTATTTGTGGGGAGTAAGTGGGGAACCACCACCCCCATAAATGCAACCCTAATAGCAGTGCCACCTCTAAATACCTTGTATCTCTTGGTACATACAACTTCAAACACAGACTGCTGGGTTGACAGTTGTCCAGAGGACACTCTTCATGACCCTCAAGCAACAGAAGGTCATGGCTGAGAAGCCTGGTCGTTTGCAAGTGCCGAATCAAAGCATATCGACAGAGAGTTGACAGAATGGAGAGAGCGTGGTAGGAAAAAGATGCATCATTGACATAGATGACTGTAGACTTAAAGGAATTGTCAAAAAGAGTCAGTCCAAACCTTGAGAGGGCTTCAAAGGAGGGGTCTGAGGTTGGTGTCAATGCATCAAGAGCCACAAATAGGGAAAGGGTATATAAGACCCTAATAATAAGAATTTGTGAATATCAATTTCCACTCCTGAACAAGAGGCAACAGAAACTATGATGGATTTTTAATGCCTGATGTTCAGCTTTGTTTTTGATTGCCTTGTTAAGGAACACAAAACCTATACTTGTGTTTGTTTTTGATATTAGAGATGCAGTTTAGCTCACCATCATTCCAGCTTAGACATGGAAAAAAGGGTTTGTGACGCACATTGATTATCATAATTTGGTTGAAAATATCAACACCGTCGTGATCACATGGGTCTATTGATGTTTAATGGGATTTCATGTGAAAAAGACCTTGAAAATAAATCATCTGACATCAGTTCACCCTCTCACTGACTCTGCTGCCAGTTTTCCCGGCCTCTTAACTGTGCTCAGGTTTGGGTCAGAGTTTGCCAACCTGCAATGAGGCCACTGGATCATTGCACTGTCCAAAGTCCTCTTTTCACACTGAGGTAAACTTTTCATTTCATTTTTAAAAACCAAGGTCAAAGAGGAAGAGTGTAAAGGTACAGAATGTTGGGTACCATCTCATCCACTGGTGTTTGTACAGTCAAGTCAATAGTCAAGCCAACCGCCATGCCAGAAGATTTAAGAGCACCTCACTTTAATACCAGCCAATAAGCTTCATGAAAATCCAGATTGCCATTTCAGCAGAACTTTGCACCTGCCTGCAGCGCCAAAATTACTGACAAGTAGTTTTCTTAACACAGTACTGTGCTTTATTGTCTAGAAAACTTTTGATACTTCTGATACTTCTTTCCTTACTACTTGACCCTAGATGGCTCCCACACCCAGACCATGGAGGAACATTGGCAGCATTAACATGGCTATCAAGCGGGACCAAGCTGAGTGATTTGATGACTCTAGCGTGAGGACAAAGTAGGGTGTAATAAGTGGCCATCTGCAGCGGAAATTAACTGTGCATCCAAATGAAAGGTCACTATCGGCCCGCTATGTCTGCTCACAGATAGAAAATTAATGACTGTGAGAAGAGAGTGTCTTTTTCCAAAGAAAGTCCCTAGCTGAGGTTTTAGGGGATGGTTACCCTTAATGACTTAATCCTAGTGCAGTCTCAGTGGTCTCAGTATGTGTGTGTGGATGTGTGTAATCCTCACTCTGAGATGGGAGCCCAGAGCTGACCTCACTGTTTGGTTTCACAGGGTCTCGGGGGGGCCCAGGGAGGTTGTGGGGCTGGTCCTTACAGCAGAGCAGTCTGAAACACTGACATGCAGGCAAGGGTCCGCGGGGACTGTTGGCCCCGGCTCCTGTTACCTCCGGGTTAGTCACGCTCTGTGAGATTTATGTGTGGAACAGTAGAGAGGGTTTGGGTTGCACGATACCACCAAAGTGTCGCGATATGAATCTCTCGTGGTATTGAACTTGTAATGCCAAAAATGTCCTGATAGCTGTGTCTGAGTATCCAGATTGGAAGTCGCCGTCAATAAAAACATTCTCTATAAAAGAGGACTATCTGTTGGGAGGTGATTTGCTTCTATTAATTCAGCCCTGGCACCAACTCCCTTAGACTCTATTTCTGTCACTAGATAAAGTAAATTATGCAGAGAAAGTGTGGTTTAATTATACCCCCACACTTTAATTAACACCATCCTAGCCTTCTCTTACAAACCGCCCTTTGGTGGTGAAGAAATACATGCAAAATACTTTAATTCCACGTCTTCCTCTGTGGTTTACAGAGTCAAAATGACTTAAATTAGCAAAGTAACCCAACTTATTTTTCATTTTTGGCCTTCATAAGTTTTTAGGGGGTTTATGCAGTCATGTATTATGCTTGTATGTTGTTGTTTGTCATAGTGAAGTTAGAGCTGATTTATCTGCTGAAGCAACATCTGACTTTTAGGCTGATGGTATTTTTTGTCTAAATCCTATCATGTAAAGTCAGTGTGTCTTCAGTATTTTCAGTAAATTTAGCATCTCTAGTGTTTCAATGTTGGCTCTGGCAGCTTTGATTGAATTTTTAGTGTTTTCAGGGTTTCAGCATTTTCATTATTGTCATTTTTCCCCAAGGTTCACAGAGTTTCAGGTTTATCAGTAAGAATATTGTTAGTGTTATTGGTGTAATCAGTAATTTTTAACTATGCCATCATTTTCAACATTTCGATTATTTTAGGCATTTACATTGTCATCATTTTCTGCATTTCCAGCACCTTCAGCATTGTTAGTGGAACGTTTTTAGAACTCAAGTTTTCATTGTTTTTAATATCTTCAGCTTTGTTAGCATGTTGTTTGAATGTCTTCAGCATTGTTACTGTTGTCAGTTTAAGAGTTTTTTACAAGACTCTCAGTGTTCGTGTTGTAAGCATTTTCAGAATCCCAAGCACAAGTATGCCTTCAGTATCAGCTATTTTTTGTTGCTGCGCTCTCATTTGGAAAAGCACCAGTCTGATTTATGTTACATCTCCCTCACCTACCAATCAAAGTCAAGAAGCAGAGGGGTCTTTGGATGTTAACTATGTTGAAGCCACTACATAAGAGAAAGCCAGAAGTTCACAAAGACGTGCTAAAGGGTCATTGCAAATGACGGTGGACACAGACCCTAATTGCTTCAAACTGACTTCAAATAGAGATGTCAAACTCCTGCACTGCAGGAATTTCTCTGGCATCAGGTCATTTCTCTGGATTATTTAGTCTTAATCCTTTACAAATCCACTGTGTGTCTTCTACATTTGACCTGAATGAGCTATTTTGTTATGGTTTATAGTCATCAAAAATATCAAGAAACTAGAAAGGCAAATGATACCAAGTTGAAAATTATACAAAATAATCCCACTTATTTGGTGTTTCTCAAAAGTTGCCTTATGTACAGCTCCAGACTCGAGGTATATATATGTATAACAGTGCAGCAGTCCTCCTGACCCTGAATGTGATAGATAACAGATAGCAGCACCTATGGCAGCAAATATTGATTGTATAATCCCTGCAGTGTTTGCGAAGTAGTGATACAAATGTCACTGGCAGAAAAATAGACCTGCACATAATGCAGATGTCAATATCAGAACGTCCTGAAACATCAAAAGTTCCATCAGTTTCTATCACCAAGTCAAAATTCTCTCCACTCTTCCACCTGGATTGATTTTTCTCTGTTTTCCACTCAGCGGTGATTCAGACATTGCTCAGCAGACACTTTAACACAAGTCACGACAACAACCCAACAAAAATCCGACGGCATATCTTCATGAGGAGACCACACAGCGAGGTGACTGGATGTGTGGTGGTCGTTTTTAAAAGCAAGCACTTGTCCCTGCTGACATTTGGACAGGGCCGCTGGTTAATGTGTTGTTTCACACTGTTTAGCGTTGATAGGGTGGGCTCGTGGTGTGGTGTGGACAGAGTCAGGAGGGACCACCTCTCTAGTGGGTGACCCTGTGTGCCCAGAGTAAGGAGGACAGGTGGAGCTGGACCCCCCATATTTAACCACAGACCTCCAAGGAGAGAATACTTGGACCTGTCTGCCCAGGTGGATGAATGGATTGTGGTTTCTATTGCATTTAATTGTTTTTCAACAGGAATACCAAACTAATTCTTATATTCATGGATGGCACTTATTATATTTCAAGATTTACTCTGGCTTTATTAAGTCTTGAAATCATTTTTTTGCAACAAAGGCTTTTAGACTTTGACAGAGAAGTTTTTTTAGATCTTGTGTCTTTTTATGGTTGTGCTATACTTTTTTTTTAATAAGCCATTTAAAAGTTTGGTTTATTTTTTGCAATATTGTATTTCTTTTACATGTTCTGAAAATTCTGTCTTATTCACCTCCATCACCCAGCTTTCTTACAGATCACCCAACTGTTGAATACTTGATTCTGATTGGTTAACAGCCCTGGACAGTGGTTATTAATGCTGAATAACAAGAGACAACCAGATCATACATTTTATATTGGAAATGAAGGGAAACGGTAGAGTTTCACTGCCTGTTGACACTACGGCAAAAATCTATTAGTCACAGGCAGCTTTTAATATTTCTCTCAGTTTATTTTAAGAGCATAAAACTTAAAGTTCTCTGTTGATGGCTGACCATTCAGGAGGAAAAAGGTACAGAAACTAGAGAGAGATAATAACCTGCAAAAGAAGCTAGATAAAAGGGACATCTGACAAATTGAAGAAAACAGACAAGAAGCAATTAAACTGCAGCAATTCAGCCTTATCTATGTTTATCCTATTAGTTTAAAAATACTTGTGTTTTATTTTTGAACTAGCGCCACTCAGTGAGAGGTGTTCAGGAAATCATTAAGACTTGATGGGATGGTATGACAGAGGGACCAGTTAATAGGGCCGATATTTTGCCTTAATCTGTATTGGACGATTTTGGGAAATGGCTAATAAAATGAATTTTACAAATTCTAAAGTTTGACGGATAGTTTTTCGTTTTTTCATTCGAGTTACCTTGAAAGTCAGATGTCGGAGCTGAAAATGATGTCACATCCGAGTTACCAGCGTTTCAGTTACCAAGTCGGAAAAAAGCAAAATCGGAGGCAGAAACAAGATGGCTCACTCTACAAAAGTTATTTTACTGCTCTCCCAGTCCGAATATAACAATGACAAGGCAAGCACTAACATAACTTTCGTAGATGCAGCCATCTTGTTTCTGCTTTTTTCTGACTTGGTAATTGAAACGCTGGTAACTCAGGTGTGAAGTCATTTTCAGCTCTGACATCTGACCTCCAAGGTAACTCGAATGCAGCATTAGTATCAACCATATGGGTTCCCATTATCGGTCCCAGATATTGTTTATTAGTCAGAAACAGATGAATAGAAACAATATTTCAAACATCAGACAGTTTCTTAAGAGGCCCTCAACGCGCTTTCTATTTGAGATTTAGCTTTATAATAAATATTAGGATTGACTGAAGAATTTTAGTCTTACCTTATAGAGACTGCATAAAACAGCAATTGCCTATTCTTCCATTACTAGTGCAAAAATATCATTGTGTTTATTTGTGGTTTTGTCAACGTTTATGTTAGTGGTTACATTATCAAACCAACTTCCATGAACTTAAAAAACTCTTTATAGACAGAAAACCATCCATAAGGTCATAAATCTTTTGTTTTTAAGAGTTTGTTTTTGTTTGAATGTCAGAATACTTTTCTACAACTGTAGCCTTTTAAAAGTTTTTTAGATTTTTTTTGTACAAACTTTCACTTATTCCCATGAGTTTAAACTGTCGTTTTCAGCCTTTTTACACCTACCTGAAACTGATTTCTCAGCTCCGTGTGTTGGCTAAACAAAAGCTGTGTTATTACACCTCGTTCTTTGTGTAGGAGGTTTTTAGCATCCCGGTGCTACGCTCAAGCGCCATAAGGGCTGCACACACGCCCCTGCATGAATGCAGACCAACAACAGGCAGCACAAACAACGCTGAGTCTGCCTCGTGTTTTATCTCCATGCCACCCACAGTTTACACCAGCGGGGAGCTGAAACCCTGCGCTGCCCGGGGTTCATCTTAAAGCCCCCTGGCTAATCACCGTACCCGAACCCATCACAGAGCCCATTAGAACTAAAGCACCCTCTGGCTCCTGGTCAAATTATCACAACACAAACTGTAACTTTAAACTGCTATTAGACGTTAGTTCGGTTTCCCACCAGCACAGTTCCGCTGCTGGCTGAAAACCAAGCTCTTTTTGTCTGTGTTTTTTCAAAATTTTAGACTTTGTTTAAGAGAACAGCGCTGATGTTTGAGGCCGGCACGCTCATTTGGACATTCTTTGTGAGTGAGAAGTGCAATGTTTTAGTTTTGAGTCATTTCTTCATGCTTCTCGAGTGGAAAGAAGACAGTCAGTGTGATGAATAATAGGAGGAAATGGAGTCATCTTGAACCCGTGAATCCCCTTTGAGTCCATCAAAACTGACCTGCCTGACCCATTCTGAACAGCACATGACAAAGAAATGCATGCTTTAACTTTCTCTATCAGAAGCCACTTAGCATCTGCATCATTAGATTAAGACCTGTGGAATATATCAACCTCTGTTTCCAGAGTGTTTTCAGTGCTCCGCCCACCTTCTCTGTGAAGACTGAAGCAGATGAAAGGCGACGTCAGCGGGATGTTGGTCGTGATTGTCAGACATGTTTTCCTTGATTCTCTCTCCCCGTGTGGTCCCCGTGTGGCCTGCTTTTAAAAAACAGCGTCCTGAACCTGGGGAGGGGTGACCACAAGGATAAATAAGTTACAACACGGCAGCTGATTGTGACCATCTTACAAGCATGAGAACAAGCACAAGAATGAGAAAATCAGAGACGATGCCGGTGTTTAAAGCTCCTGTAAGGAAGTTTTTTATATGCATGAAATAGACTGAAATTCATACTTATGCTTCATCATGAAATCCAAGAGCAAACAAGACCATCTGCAGTAAAACTAACATTTTTTTATTGTAATTTTAAATGCTTTAAAGTGGAGGAAGGGGGTAGGTGTCAATCAAACAGCTGGAGAAACAGCCCTATTTTTTAGGATTACCACATAATATATTGGCAATAAAAAGTACACTTGACTGTTTGCAGGTGAAGATTTTTGTTAAAAGTCACGTCATAAGCATGTAGAGGACAAAACAAGCAAAGACTATGTTGCCCACAAGGGGGCGCCAAAATTGACTCAAATAAAATTCCTAACAGGAGCGTTAAATGTTGATTTGGCAGATGACTGTTTTTTTGATTACTTATTGTGTTATTTTTGTTCGTGTTCAACTTTTTGATTTGGTGCACATAGATAGTTATCTCTCCTTTAAAGCTCCTGGGGAGTTTTGGATCAGTTATGAAACAGACTGAAATTAACCATGATGCCTCTCTATGACTTTTAAAAGCAAATAAGACTATTTATGGCAAAATTACCAATTTCTATATTGATATTTTTCATGCCTGTTACAGCATTGAGAGGGTAAGTACACTGACAAACCAGCCTTAACCATTTACCCCCAAAAAATCATTATGGCGAGAGATACATAAAGAAGACAACAGGAGGAGATTTTTTTGGTCACTGAGCAGCTCTTTCAAAGATGAGACAAAATCAGTATATAAGCATTATCACTTTGTCCATAGAGGGCGCCAGAGTCAATGCAGACACAGGAGCTTTAACTTTAAAGATAAGATATCTATTTAAGCACATGTAATTTTTCTTTACAAGACTCTGCTTGGATAATTTGTCTTTATTGCTGTGATGGCTTCAGTTTTACAAGGGGATAAATAAAGTTCTACTAAATCTTATTCTTATTTACAGGGGAAAATAATTAGTTTTCCCCTTGTGAAAACATCCAAACACCTACAGTACAGTAATGAGACCCTGTTATTTAATATAGCCAAACAGATAGCAGTGTAGGTGGGACATTAGCTTAGATAAAGTGCTAGAAAACAGACCCAGGGGTAAAGATATATTCAGGCAGCGGAGACATTTCAGTTCTATTGATCATCTGAAAAATAAAAGGCCATTACTGATAAATACCAGATGTTGGCCCAATAAATACCCAAGGCTAATAATCGGTCTTCACTTAGCTAAGATTACATCCACTCTGTGTGTTTTAATCTATTAAACCCTTCTTACCCAATTTCAGTAACTGTAAGTAGCACCACAGCTAACAAGCTACCTGCTGGGGAGCTTATGTTTGTATCACTTAACAGAATCTACTTTCAAAGGCCTGAGTGTTATTTCAGCATTTGTCCTCTGGTTTAAGAAGTATTTTGCTTGTCAACAAAGGTCCTCACCTGGGAAATGGTCTGTAGATCCAGAGGAAGAGGTCTGGCATGGTGGGTAAAAGGGGAGGAGTTTGGTGGGACAACCTGGGTAAACACAAGGGGGTCATGTGGGGGTCAAACCAAGGAAACATAAGGTAGATCTCACTTTGATTCTACCCCGTCTTATTTGTGGATCTTTTTTGCAGAGGTCCAGATTTCCTCTGTATCTTTCCTTGTTCTCTCTCTTGCACTCATATAAGACTCCATTGCAGTGTTACAGTTCTCTGCGGGGTTAGAGCTGATAAATGTGCACGTGCATGTGTTATTGAAACCATTGTGCCAGGTGAGATATAATCCTTAGAGATGTTCCTGAGGAGAATGAATGGAATTTCAAAACCCATCTCCCCCTGCAGCACTGAGTATGAAGATGATTTGCGCCCTTGCAGCCAGAGCTTTATATCACCCCAAAAAGAAGTCTTCACTTCACTTCACTGTGCCCCCGCAGTTAAAGTTACATGATGAATGACGGGGCAATCAGATCGACTTTCCAATGCAGCCAGACACTGCCGCCCTTGAGACATCACCGGAGGAAGAATTGTTTCATGACCAGGCTGAAAAGACATCGAGATAAAGAAGAGGTGGACAGAGAGCATCAAACTCAACAACAGATAACAGCTGATACATTCTTTAAAGGGTTTGTGTTTAATCTCTTCAGAGAAAGTCCATTTTTACAACCTAATTACCCCAAGATGAGTATGAAGAAGTGCAAGGAGGGTTCTGGGGGTGGGTCGGGGTGATGGGGTTAGAGGGGATCGGGATGTCACTACTCCGCTGAGCCTTCATTGAGCACTTGATGGATGCTCTGTAACCAATGGAGATAGAGAGCCCCCATAGCTGGAGCGAGCACACAATCTTCTCAGCAGATTAACTTCCATTGATTTATAGAGATTTACCTCAGGAAAGAAAAACAGCTGGCAGAAGGACAAAATACCAGAACTGGACGGGGATAAATTAAACAGGGGAAAGCCAGCTCATTTGTTAAAAAGAGAGACATCTTTTTATCACCATAAAGCAGAAAGACAGCGGAATTACGAAGAAGGTGGTTTGTTGTGGGTTATGTGATAAAATACTCTTAACAATGGAGTTTGTTTGATTTTGGTCACCCTGAAGGCTGCAGGAAAAAGCAAGAAACAAATCTCTTGTGTTGTCATCTTAAGATTTCTGCGGCAAAAACAGAGATAGTGTTATCAAAACCAGGGAACAGGATGTGATACAAACATTAGTCATATTTGATGGCTAAATACCTGTTGATTCAATTAAGTAATGAAATTAAAGAAAGTCGATTTATTAGCTCTGATATTTACTTTATAGTTTTTTAAAACAACAGATTCCTCAATGTTCTTGTTATTATTGGAAGTTGTGATTTAAATGATTTAACTGTGTTTTCATGTTATAATGTTGCTATCTTTAGTTGACAGCTTATTAAACCAACATCCTGTCTGAAACATGCCGCCAGCCTCACTCTTCCTCCACTTTTAAAACAAGTCTTTTTATCTAAGAACCAGTGAACAAAACTTCACTAAGACCCCGCAGACATCAATGCCTAAAGGGAGAGACTGCAACCAACACACAGAGACAGATTAGGGTTATTTAGCTAACTAGAGCTTATACATTCTGTTGATAAGAGTTAACAAGTTTGTGACGTCAAAGAAAAGGACCCAAATGCAGAACAACAAAAAAGATTCACTTAAAAGGAACTAAAAGAAAAGCTACAAAAACTTACTTTGAATGTCCAACTGAAAAATTCCCAAAAAACACAAGAAGCAAAAACCAAGGAACAAAAAATCACAAGGAGACACTGGCATATGCAAAATTAGACAAACACACACAATGAACAAAGAAGGACACAGGGGAAGACAGGGGATATATATACACACAGGGAAATGAGCAACGAGAGGCAGGTGAGACTCTGAGACACAGGTGTAGACAACTACTAAGGAGGGAAAACTGAGGATGTAAAATAAGACGAGAAACACAGGGGATAAACTACTACAAAATAAAACAGGAAACACTGAAAACTGATCAACAGAATGAAACACTGAAAACACGAGGGAAACGGGGTCAAACACAAACTAAACACTCACAAGACAAGACTACAAGGGAACAGAAACACGAGAGAAAAAATACACAGAAAACGCACTCAAATAAACAATACGAGGAGAACTAAGATCAACAAAACATATCATGACAATGTTAGCTACAGTTGCTGAAATTAGCAGCTAATACGGCTTCTAGCAACACTAACCAAGAGGATTTGGGGCTTGGACTAGCATAATTAGGCTGGCTAGTTAAATCCTCCTACAATAATTATCAAATAAGCCAGTAAGATCAACAATTGGTCTGTAAACACCACACCTCACAGGTTTAAAATTGACTCAGACTGAAATTTAGCCGAGACTGAAAATATAGAGTTTGTATTCAGTCCTAGTTGTATTGTTTGTATTTTGTAGCTTTATCTGGGACACAAAGACCAACACTCAGATTACAGCTGAGAAATGTATTTTGTTTTCCTGATTTATTGGTAGTCTGAGAATTCGTCCTCTCTTTTACTACTGTATTTCCTAGAGGGAGATATCTTTAGCTGCTAAATGTTCTCTTGTGTGCGCTGGTACCTTCCTTTTACAATGTACAGGTAATGTAAAGTCAGCTTTTACCGGTACCAGGGGCACAACTACTACAAAGAGCCACATTTTCTAATGGGCTTTATTCTTATCATGTGTGAAACGGCCTTGCTGCAGGGAACTGATTTAACATTTTTATCTGGGACACTAATAAACCTGCCAGAGGTTGAGAAAGTGTGTGAGGGCTGAATAATTCAGACTCGGAGAGGAAGCTATTAAGTATACATTATCTGAGAAGTTGGAATCAGAAGAGCGGAGATAATGTTGGAGTCTGACGTTGGGCTATCGAGAAAGGAAGCTATAAGGCTCTGGGAGGAAGAAAACATGAGTGCTATGATTTGTCCAGCCAAATAATCTCTCCTCTCTCTCTCAGTCGTGGTCCTTCTACTCCCCCTCCACCATTAACACCCCTCCATTAAAGTGAAATATCAGATGTGGTCTAACATGAACATTAACACAGCTCCCATGACATCAGCTCCGAGCTTTGGCCAAAAAGCCGGAAACTTTGGCACAAAAACATAAACTCAGAGAGTGTCTTATTTTGAGAACTTGGACTTGAAACTGTGGAGCGTTGCTTCTGTCGAGTGTTTTGTAGTCCTTTTCCTTCCTTAACCTTGACACCTGACTTTGAAAAAGTTTGTTTTATGTTCAGTTAAGTGGTGCACTTAGACATTTACAACTTCTTCTATAAAAGGCTATAAATGCACTCACCTTTCTATAAAAAACTGCCAGAGTTTGAGGCTTTTGAAAGACGCTCAATCTTCTGTCCGATAAAGTAATACAATGATTCTCCTTTTAAAAGGAGAAAAAATATCCAGTCGAGACCTCAAACTTTCAAAATACTTGAACAAATATTTCAAAAACTTACAGCAGCCACCATTCACAAAGTATAAAAGCATCTTAAAGGTCAGTTCAAAGGTATCATCTATTCACAGCTCCTGTTTTTGTTTACCAATCCTCCAGACAAGCCAGGACAAGCCCAGACATGCCATGTCCTGTCACTTCAGAGGACTTGCATTGAGTCATATTCAGGTATAATGTCACATTAAGTCAAGATGTATTATTCAAACTCCAGTTGCAAGCAAGGTCTAAATGTAACAGAAAGCCAGTTTATGTTTTTTAAATTCCCTCCAACTCCATAAACTTGATACTGAGCACATCAATCCTGTTATTTTGCAGTAAAAGTTTTATCATATTCCACTTCAGCTTTTGTCAAAGCCATTCCCTTTTTATAGTGCATTGTCTGCATCCATTTTATATTCAGGTATCAACCTTTCTATAATACAAGTCAATGGAAAAAAAATTCCCCAAACTAGCAAGAAATACTCCTAAATTAAATTAGAAGTAAATGAAAAAGTATTAAATAAAATATTGGTCTGAAATCATAGAAATGGAGGGCACAACTTAATAAGGCTATATCAGGTCACCCAGAATCAAAATCTGATCTGTGACAACGTCCTAAGAAAATGAAACCTACATGAGAGTGTACAAAATGCAGTTCCCAAAGTGTCCACTAGAGGCTGGCTGCAAAAGCAGAGAAATTCCCATTAACACCCAATTTAAAGTGCCCATATTTACAACTGAATTGAACACATATATAGCCAGGTACAGAAACTGGTTTTGGTTTTAATCAATGACTGTTTGTAGAATGGACAACACCATTTCATTCCTGCCCATTGAGGGCCTTGAATATTGCCTTGAGACTTTGTACTGGTGAGACTGAGCTGACCAGAAGAAATAGGTGATTTAAGACAATGATAAATTCATGTCATACTGCATCCAATTGAACTTGTGAATAAAACACAGATCAAACCACACACATTCATTCATGTCCACCCTTCACTTATGGTTTGTGTTATGGCTTCAGTTTAGAAGTCCAAAGGGACCAATGAGTGCTCAGTGTTTGTTTAAATCAGCACATACAGTAGTTCTCTCCTGTATTGGATGCAGCTGTAGCTGTGTTTAGGTGTGCTTCTCTGCCTCCTGTGAGTAATAATGTTACACGGCTACTGCTGGACAGATGTGCACCACTCTGACTCGCACACACATACATTCATACAGATGTGCATACAGAGAAAAAGAGCAGTCTCCTCTCCCCCTTTCCTCCTCCCTCCTGAATATCCTTCCACACCTTGTTGATGGGACCGGAACTTTCCTGTGTTTCGCCAGGGTGGGCCCTGTTTGACTCATGGGGCTGAATGAGAGGGGTCGTGACCCGGGCTATGAACTGCTTCCTGTTTCTGTTGAAGCGCTCTTCCGAGGCCTGCCGGGATCACAGGAGAGGCTGTCGGGCAGCCGGAGCGCATCCAGCTCTGAGTTTGATGCTTCCACAGTAAAAAAATAACATACATCAACGGAGCAGTAGCTGGAACAGGAGAGAGGGGAGATAGTGATGTGCTGTTATTTACTGCTATGAGGGCTACAGGGAGAAATATGTTCACTCTGTCAGACGTAGAAGAGGTGAGGCCATGCTGGACTGGGGGCTTCATGCAGCATGATGGAGGATGTTTTCTCATATGTCCTTTTTTTGTCTAGGACTTTACTACTAAATAGCCATGCTGTTGAAAAACATGCAAAATGCAGATTGGCATCTTCTTTCTGTATTATGAAAGGTCCTCCCTCAAAAAGTTATGGTTTAGGTGATGTTCCCCATCAGGAACACTGGATTTTGGATCAAAAACAAGTCAGATAGTTCCTGCAGCATCCATGATCTCCAAAGCGAGTGTCAAATTTGGATTTTTCAGACCACTGGAAAGGGTTACACTTCACTCAGGTTCATCCTATATGAGATCGGGGACCCAGAGAAATCACCCTCGTTTCTGGATTATGTTGATGTGTGGCTTCCTGTTTGCATGGTACAGTGCATTTGTGGATGCAGCATGCTGTGGTCATACGCAAATCTTAGTCCATGCATGGGATACGAAACGATATGATACGATACGATACAATACAAAACAATACGATATGATACGAAACGATATGATACGATAATACGATACGATACAATACAATACGAAACAAAATGATATGAAACGATACTATATGATATGAAACGATACCTTACGATACGACAAGATACGATATGAAACGATACGATAAGATAAGATACAATTTAATATGATATGATATGAAATGACAATACAATGTTACATACAATGGGATACATTACCAGTGATTTGATTCACTGCAATACTTTACAAAGCAATATGATGTGTTGCTTTGCTATATGATATGATACGATACTACCATACAAAGACACTTTTTATTGTCTTTGGACCAAGACAAATTTCCCCTTTGGGACAACAGCAAAACAGCAGTAATTTAATCCCCTCGTGAATTTCAGTTGTTTCCTGGAACTCCAAGGATTGTCCCAGCCACAGTTTGGGAACCACTGTCACATACAGCTCAAGTCCCTATAATGTAAAAGAATCCACAAGAAGCTTAAAGCACTAAAAATTTGATTCTGTAGATAAAGCCTTTAACTCTTTTAAAACTCGAAACCTCATGTACAAGGATCAAAACTGAAATTAAGAGAGGAGTTGAATGTATTTGTGTTGTGTCTGAACACAGATGTTTTTCTTGCTCCTAGAAAGCTGACTTGAGTGACCTGCTCTGTTGTAAATCATTTTAAGTGGTGCAATCTTTCCACTGACTATAAAATATATTAAAGTTGTTTCTCACATACTTAGAATCAATTTGGAAATCAATACAGTAGGGAAAGAGTAACTAATGACTACACTTAAGGGCAATGATTGGTCAATTTGCAGCAATCACAGATTGGATTTTAAAGTTCACACAGCCCATCAGCTTTATCTCTTCTCTATCAAAAGTTTCCTCGTATGATTTCTCTGTCCAGCATCGATGCCTCCTGTGACCTCTTAGTGCCCTGCTGACAACTGTCATGTGCTGATTTAGGATTATTTTTAAATCAGGAGCTGTCGAGGTTTGACGAGGATGAGGATGGGGTACCCATGTCCCTAGAGACCTTGTAAATCTGGACAGTTTACTACAGAGATGAGGGGGGGAGAAAACCGGCCCCCGTGCTCTCCTCGTCCAAGCCCAGGCGTAATCCCACCACTTCCTCTCCTCCACTCGGCCGCCTGGGCCCACGCCGTAATGCATTTTCTGTAACTAACAGCCGTTGTTTCCCGATTGTCACGCTCCCATCCCTCTCCCCTGGAATGTGTGTGTAGCAGTAGGATAGGGTGTTGGGGTTTTAAAACTCTCCTTGGACTTGAAAAAAAGAGAGAAAAACTGGTAGTAGAAGGTCTGGAATTGCAGTTAATATTAACACTACCCTCCTCCATTACCACCTCCTTCTCCTCCCCATAATTCCTTGCTCTACGGGTGCTGCAACCCGGGCCTCCTGCTTCCGTCACGCTTGCCCTCGTCTCTGTCTCGAAACGAGAACACATGGATGTCAAGTCCCCTCTCTTTTTCTGCCAGCCTCCAGCCCCTTTCAACAGCTTTTACTCCTTTAATTAGCCATGTCCCCCCTCATCTCCACATATAGGAGGCATGACATGCAGAAACACACACGTCTGTACGCAGGATGGCACACCGAGTGGCGTTTGGCAGCAGTCAGAGGGCAATCAATTCACACTTTTCCGTCTGAGTAACATTCTTCACAACACCTCCTGACAGGTCTGAGACGATGAGCTTAGTGGAGCCAGCCAGGAGGTCAAATCTCCTTGAAAAAGAGAGCAACAGGTTTTGGGAAATTCGCCAGTTTTGCCCCTGAAGTGATGAGAGAACGACAGTAAAACTCACCTGTCCGCTTTTGCTTGTGTTAACATTTTAGCTAACACTTTGTGAATGTTAAGTGTCGAAAGATGACTCAGTAGTGGTCACTCAAGCAAACAAAAAAGACAGAAAAATGCTTTCATTGTTTAAAAAGACATTTGTAATATCATTTTTTGACAGAGATAGTCATAATGTGATCAGATAGTCAAATATGTGAACTATGGAGAGAGACTAACCAAAGAAGATTTTCATTAAATTGTACGTTTTCCTTTTTATTATTCCAGGACATTTTAGATGAGGTGGCAATATGCAACGCTGTCTTTAATTTGCTCTTTAATTCAAACCACTCAGGCCAAACCAAAGATAAAGATATTTCAATTCTGCAAATAGTGGAATTATCTGTTGAAAGCATGGCCAATTACTAGGGGTCATTACAGACAATTTATTGAGCTCATAACTGCCCCTAAGATAGGAAATGATGACTTATCATCATTATCATCATTCTGACATAAAAGTCCAATTAAACCATGTAAAAGCATGAAATTTGTTGAACTGGAACATTTCAGAAAGTTATTTTAAAAAACCATCTTTTGTGATGTTAAAGTTTTGTATGTGGCAAAACAAAGTTTCATTGTGAATCTTAATACAACAAAATAAAGTCTATTTATCAATCCCTCTATCAGTCCTCTCATGTTATAGGTAAGCGAATGATCCAAAATCAAATCCATCCATGACACTTTATCGCTGATACTGAATGTGGTTATTTAGCTACAGTGGGCAATAAGGTAAGAAACATGTCCTGCTTATAGAGGTTCAGTATTGACTTGAATGTCTTAAAGTAGTACATGGAGTCCCCCAAGGCTCCATCCTTGGGCCTCTTTTGTTTAGCGTTTATATGCCCAAATTGGTTCGGATCATAGAAAACTGCAAAAGTAAGTTACCATAGCTACACAGACAACACACAACAATGTCACCTAGTGAGCACAGTCCCGTACAGGTGCTGAGTCAGTGCCTTTGAACAAATCCACAACGGAATGTGCCAAAAAAAATTTTAGCTGAAAAAGGATCAATTTGAGGGGGTTGTTTTTGGAGCAAAGGTAAGGTTTAAAGTCAAAGGTTCAGTCAGTAAAGTTGAAAATAACTGACCGAGCCAGCCTCAGAATGATTCAGCTGAATGATGAATAATGCTGCTCCTCACAAGACCAAGAAAGGGAATCACATCAGTCCAGTTCTGAGGTCTTTATACTGGCTTCCTGTCCGTCAGAGGGTAGATTTAAAGATACTGCCGCTGGTTTGAAAAGTTTGGTTCCAAAATACATTTAGGCATTTCCTCTACAGAATGAACTATCAAGACCACTCGGGTCATCTGTTTAAGATCCCCAGAGTCAGAATCAAACCTGGAGAAGCACCATTCAATTTTTATGCACCTAATAACAGTATCATTTTTTTAACATCAAAATCGAAGTGCATTCAAAACTGGCACTTAAACAGACCAATGTTTTCACTCAGAGTCTAAAAAACACTGATGTGATAAAACTGTAGCAGGCTGGCTGCAAGGCTCAGGAAAAAGTGGGGATTCATTCTTGCTAATCATAGTTATTACTGAAGCATTACCATGGAAAACCACCGCCATTAATCTAACTGGGACACACAGATGACGGCTACATTCTCATCTCCTCTCAGGTACGCTGCCCAATCTTGACGAATCCCTTTAATCACAACGTTAAAAGAAACAACAACAAACGTGGCAGGAGTGAAAGATAACCTCCATACTTCAAAGCTGCCTAATAATCTGCTCACCCCGGCTGCACAGGAGGTGACGCTCCGACGTGTGAACTGTGTGTTTTCACTAAAATAGATCCTGGCTGACCCCTGAAGAGGGGGATCAGCGCAGGTCCTTCTGCAGGTTGTTGTAGGGGAAAAAGGAGCACCACGGTCAGGGCTGAAGGGTAAAAGGTTGGAGGGTGTGTGAGGTAGCCTCTGACCTCCTGATTTGGCTCGGGGGTAAGAGTGGAGATCTCCAGGGGAAAACCGCTGCATGACCCAGCTCACCCTCACTCAAGCCATGTCCAGTGCAACACAACTTCTTAAGGCACACAGACGGGGGCAGAGCAAAACATGGGATAGATTTTAAAAGGATTTGGCTTAGAGAGCTATGGGGGATTATCTGAGCGGTACAATATGTTATTATATTGATTATTCTTTAAAGGGTTGATCGTGGCTACCCTTTGGTTCTCCCCCTGCCACAAACAATTACTGATCGAAGTCACCACAAAATGCATCTATGGAGTTCAAAAATGGTTTCGTTTCATTCCGTTTATTTAGACTTCCATTAGCTTTGGCTAAGGCCATTGCTATTCTTCCTGGAGTCTACATTTACAGTTAGCTTTCCACTGCAGTACACAGTCACAAAAAACATCATGCCACAAACACAAAGACAACGTTGATAACCACAACAACTCACAACAGCCTACAAGACAAAAACAGAACAACACAAGTAGAACAATACAAACAACATACACATATAACTGGACCTTAAACATTTCCACAGTGTAGCTGTAGGTCTGAAATAATCAGATGTTTAAATATCAACTTATATTCCACATTATTGAATTGAATTAATTAATTATCGAAACAGTACCCAATACATAATACATAGAGGGGTTATTATCCTCTTAAGTATATTTTACAGACTGTACACAGAATGATTACATCTCAAAGTTATTGGGGAAGGTGGTGCTTAGGCGACTCTCACCGCTGTCACTCTTTAAACTCAGAATTCAGTCTCCATTAATGAAAAACCCAGCTTCTTTGGTGTTACTGCTCATGCAACTCCTGCTGCAGTTCACTTGTAGGTTAAATGTGCGAGAGATGAGTCAACGCTGGCCGCTGAGAGTGTGACTAACACATGATTCAGTAAAAGGGAGCCCTTTTCTGGTGTCTTTCAGACCAAAAAAACTGGCCAAGAGGAGAGTGAAGGAGGCCTGTTTTCTGCAGAGTGAAACAGTTGAGATAAATCCATCATCAGCTTGATATTTTCTCTCAACACTGGACGGTAACAAAGGGTACTTTCAGGGAACGAGGTTGAGTGTGGGATTGTGGAATTAGGAGACCTGACTTAAAATGATCCATCAGTGTTCAGGTCTGACTCCTGACAATTGACAGTTAACAAGAAAGCAAGCAGATAAGAGGGACCGCTCTGTCGATAAGGGGCAACAAAATTGACGCTTACTAAAAGTTACTCACATAAGCTTCAAGCCAGGATACGACAGTTTTTGAGTTAGCACTGCCAACTCCTTCTTGGGTTATGAACATAATGTGTCCATAATAAACTGGTGATAAACCCTTGGAGGAGAGCCCACCCAGGCTGAACTGAAAAACAATGAAAAAACTTCTACATTTACTTAAATCAAGGTGCCAAGGCACTGCTGCCTTATGATACAGACTGAGAGGCAGCCAGGGTGCTGAGAGACATCTGCTCACTTCAGCGGCTTTACTTGTAATCTTGAAAATATATGGCTTCTTTTATTTATTTATTTATCCAATTTTCCATTAAGCCAAATAAAATTCAAAATTCAGCCGCACAAAAATGGTGTTTTGTTTTTTTGCTAAAGGGCAATTTATGAGCTGAGGCCATCCATTCCATTTATTTGATAATTGTTTAGTCTGAAAACACTTGAAGTTAAAAACTGTCTTGTATGGAAGTGTTCATGGAGGGGGTTCTGTGAGAGGATAGTGATGACAAAATGCATCCTGGCCCAACACCTCTGTGCTGGTGTGATTTGAAGACCCAGAGAGACAGAGGCGTTAAAAGAGGAAAGGCAGGTGTTAGGTTAGACGTGTGTGTGTGTGTGTGTGTGTGTGTGTGTGTGTGTGTGTGTGTGTGTGTGTGTGTGTGTGTGTGTGTGTGTGCGTGCCAAAACTCAGCCATAAAGATATAAATCCCGCACAATAAATGACAACACCCCGAAGGCCTAAAAACAGCCAACTTGTTGCACACAAATATCATCAGTAATTTTGTGCTCAATCAAATTAAACCGAATTTATTTTAGTTTTAACTAATTTTTCCATTAATTCAACAGAATTATTGAATCCTCTTTGCAATTTAAGCAAATTTTGATCTTCATTTCGTTGTGTTTTATTCTACTTTTTAATTGTTTCAGTTTCCATGTCAGAGTTTGGTGGTTTTAGATGGTCTTGTATCACTCCATCTTCGGCTTTGTTAACCATCTCCTCAAAGCTCCTTTGAAGAGCCTTCAGTTTACGTTGTTGACTCAAACAGTCTAAATTCTAAACTGATCTACATGATCTCAACTTTGCCAGTTCTAATATAAAACTGAGTTTGCTAACTTTCAAAGTTCATACTGTAGGGACAACAAATTTCATGATGTTGAGATCCACATTATTTCCAGCCAAGATCTTACTGTGCATGTGCAAAGTTACGTCATTCACTTACCCAGAGTAATTCTTACCTGTATGTTGAAATATTGATCTCTCCAAGCCTGTTCACTTTTAGTGTTTTTTTACCGAGCAGAGGTCCAACTTCACATCATGCATGCGCTTATGGACGTCTGCCGTGTCTGCAGCCAGGTACTCCTGCTTAATTCTGCACAGTGTACCTTAAATAAAGCAAAACATCATAAAAATCATATGTAAGAAATTAGCAACTCATCAAAATACAACCATGTTGCAGTAATCTGACTCCTGTGTCGGATCAAGACTGTTCTGTAATTCAGAAGTCCAGATGAACGTATCCTTGTGGGATTTAAATGACTGTAAAAGACTGATTTCCTTATCTTGACAGTTGTTTATTTCACTCGTCTTACTTAGGTGATGATATACTCAAGTTGTGCTGAGGGGAAAAAAAGGACTGGATACCAATTTACTGAAGAAAAACAAGCACAAACATCAATTTTGACAGTTTTGTGCTCCATCCGCCCCTTTTCCCGGCAGCCTGCTGCATTATCCACATTAGTCTCCTCTCTGTTGTCAGCCCTTATTGCTCTGCTGCAGAAAACACAGCCATTTCCAGTGGCACTGAATGTCACTGGCGCTGCATTATACAGCCTTTAGAGGTGCGGCCCTCAGCAGGGGCAGTAAACAAACAGTAGTAAACAACAGTAGCAGTGGGGAGTGGGCTTCCCTGCTGTGTTGATTATTGGAGGGCCGTACACTGGCCTGATCCCCCCCGGGTGCTCACCGAGCGGGAACGGCTGCTGCCGGCTGCCCACAGAGAGGCAAGCAACATCTGGACCTCAGCTCAGCAAAGACGAGCTCATTATAGCGCCGTTGTTGTGGTGGTGGTGGTGGAGAGGGGTGAGTTTGTGAATCGGCACTGGGGGTGAGAAACAAGGAGAAATCAGTGGAAAAAGCGCAGAAATGCTCTGTTGAAATTGGATGCAGGATAAACTGAGAAGCACAAGAACACAAGCTTTTTATCTGTAAAATTGATGTTTGGATTATTTTTGCAAGGCTTTCCTGTTAGAGCAGAAAAGGTTGACAAAATACACCCAAACTGAGGCGAATGTGAAACTCTAGCCTTCATTACACACTTATAAAAATAAAAAAATGATTACTTGCCTCAATGAAAAACAGTCCATCAAACCAGCAGCACATTTAAAATCTAAACCATGGTGACCTGGCTTTGCAACAGCATCACATTTATGTTTCTCAACATTATACTAAAGGAGGTGTCAGAGCAACAGCATCAGCTTGTAATGCAGCTAGATATTCAAGAAAGATTTCATGTGGTATGCTCAAAGGCAGTCTTACAAATTGAAGACAGTGTAAAATATAACATGGTGCACATTTATCAGTCACATCTTTCTGCATGAGGAATAAGTCACTTAAGGAAACAAGCAGCAATGAAGTTTCCTAATGAATGCCAGAGGGGATAGCTATCCCTTATTCACTGCTGGGTTTTGGCTCCCTCTGCTGGTGACGATACTAAACTGTACAAACACAGAGAAGGGCCATATGTTCATACAGCTATGGGCAGCCTAATATGAAATATATACATACGAACAGCACTATTTCTAGCTAGTTTGGTATTCACTCACCAGCACAGATGCAATATTTCCTAGAAAAATGTTCGTCTGTTTGAATTACATGGATGTAGTTAAAAAATGTATCACCGGAAACACTTGGACACAGCATGAAGAATCGAAGAAACGTCACATCTAAATTTGTGAGACACAAAGTTGCTCAATCCCTCAGAGGACTGAATAGTGTAGCTTGAAATAAACTCCCAAATATCCGCACCTCATCCCTTGAAGACAACTTTATCTAATCGTCAGATCAGCATATTTCTGTGCTGGGACTACACCTCTATTTGATATTTGAAATCCAGCATTTTAAACTCTAAGGGCAACATCAGTCTTAAAAATACATTAAGCATTAGTAAACGGGTTTGTTTACTGAATTAAAGAAACTACACATGAACATTTTTGTTCCTCCAATTTATTAAGAAAATGTACAGGGGGATTAACGGTAGGACTTCTGGTAGCGGGCACGAGCTCCAGGTCCACCGAACTTCTTGGACTCGCAGCGACGTGGGTCAGCAACCAGCAGGGTCCTGTCGTACTGGATCAGGATGTCCTTGATCTCCTTCTTGGAGGCTTCGTCCACATCTGCAGAGGGATGAAAGGTTAGTCCGCATAGACTTCTGTTTTAGATTTTTCTGCACCTGATTTTACTCCTCTCTTGACAACAAGGTGTCAGATGGCTCTTTATATGAAGAACAGGTACATGTTGGACTAACCTATGAAGTCAAAATACGAATGAAATAATTTGCTGGCTCAATTAGCACGCATCTGGACATGCGGATGTTGTGTTTAGTCACTTCAGAATCACTGTGTTGGAGTGTTATAGTTCTTATGAGCCACATATTTTGTTAATGACTGTCTCCCATCACTACTAAAGATGTGAAAGCACTAAAATTAACTTCAACTCACATTTCTGATAGTAGGCGACCAGGGATTTGGAGATAGCCTGACGGATAGCTGGAAGAAAAAAAACATTGAATCAGAGACGTAAACACAAAAACAGGCCGATGTAGGCAAAAGGTAAATATGTCCTGCTTTGCTTACCGTAGATCTGTGCCACATGTCCACCACCCTTCACTCTGACTCTGATGTCAACTCCAGCAAAACGCTCCTTTCCCAGCAGCAGCACTGGCTCCAGAAGCTAAACAGAGAGCGTGAAGGGAAGAAAACCTTACAGTTAAAAAATCATGACAAGAAAAAGCTGTTAAAGCAACAGGTATGTGAGCAATGTGGTACAGCTGGGAAAATTCATTAAATTTTAATTGCAGTTACGATTACAACTCCCTGCTATCATTAAAATATAATTGAAATTAAACAATTAATGCGCCGCCTGCTGGGTTGTGCTCGTTTTGTCTTACAAGGTGAATGAAGCGTACCTTCTCCCTGCGCCCTCACAGCACAGTGTGTCCTCCCAACAGCTCACTCTTATACCTTATTAATTCTTTACACAGACCCATGTGTAACAAAGTTTGGGAGCACAAAAAAGTCACGGATGCCTCTTAAATTAATCCAGGACTGCAGTATCTTTCACATGTGCTGCAGCGAAGGAAACTATCATACACAAATGGAGCAAGGGGAGCAGGGAGGTGAGCAGGAGACAAGTGTGTGTGTATTGATGCCTTCGTTGGATTAAAAAAAAAAAATAAAAAAAAAAGGAGACCATAGGTTTCCACTGCTATCTCAAAATTTTATTGAGTCTCTAATAACAGAAAGAGATGTATGCCACACTTTCTGCCTACTTTTGTACCATCCTGTTCTCATTCCCATAGACCATTTTTCAAGGCGACCGTGAGAAAGGAATCATTAAGGGAATTGGTAAGATAAAAAGTAAACAATGTCGACTGATTGAACCATTTGGAATCAGTTCTCAACAATAACCGGTTCTCGATTCACATCCCTAGTGTATTTAAAAAGCTGAGGGACAGTCTGGCACTTTATTTTGCAAGTATTACAAAAATTAAGTCAAAGCTGTTAAAATTTAGAATTAGGGTATCGTACCTTTTAGTACCATTACATGAATTCTTCAACCGCATTACCCTACCAGACAGGCATGCTTTAGTACAGTGGTTCTCAAGTCCAGTCCTCGAGGCCTACTGTCCTGCATATTTTAGATGTTTCCCTGCTCCAACACACCTGATTCAAATGATCAGCTCGTTATTGAGCCATTACGGATCTTGATAACAAGCTGATCATTTGAATCAGGTGTGTTGGAGCAGGGAAACATCTAAAATATGCAGGACAGTAGGCCTCGAGGACTGGACTTGAGGACCACTGCTTTAATAAATGAAAGATGCAACATTTCACACTTGTTAATGTGTTTCTTCATCATTGCACTGAATGTATTGCAAAGTATAATGTAAAAAAGGAGTAATGCAGCAAGATTTATTGAAAATACAATGAGGTCGAGATAAGTTTCTTTAGGCTACATTCTGATGAATCTCTGGGAAACTAAAATGCCAATCAGTGCTGGGCTTCGGTGTCATGATTTCAATCACCTAACACACTGATCTGTTCACACTCTTTTGCTACAACTCCATCTGCCTTTCATTTATCACGGTTTTACTCTTTCAGCTGCTTCTCCTGACTCTGACTGCATTAACTTGACGACATAAATTCTCAAACCACTATCACTGTGCTGCAAATGTGGCATTTGATGAAAAGTTGGATGAGGGGGAAAAAAAAGGTACTTCGTTGTTAATAATTGTAAATAATTCAGATTGTGATTCCAACTTTGCTACATTGAGATTTAATCCATTGCTGGGATATTGCATGAAGCTTCTGTTAAGAACTAGATTTAGTTTCTGCGCTGTGTCACATAGTTGTCTACCATATTTAATGCCAGATGTTTAAGAGCACTCCAGATGAGGGATGTTACGTTACCTTGTACTGGAGGGTTGCGGGCTCCACCATCTCCAGGGGTCTGCCGTTCACCTTGATCAGACCATTCCCCCTCTTACAGTGGGCGACTGCTGTGGCGGTTTTCTAGGACAGAAACAATAGAACCATTAAATATCCCAATAAACCATGAAATGTATTATAACAGCAAGTATTTACAGAAAGACATCCCTGTCTGATTCATTCTATTCATTTAAGATTCCCTGAATTCCCAAAACAATCACGTGAGAGAGTCTCTGAGTTTTACAATTGTGAATATACTTGAATCAGAGCATGGGGTCTGTTTTCATGCTTTCTGTTAAGGATGACTGGAGGCTGCCATGTTAGCAAACTATGCTAACTCACTGACAGCACACCGGTCCGACGGCTAACCTGTAGCAACAACTTAACAGGTTAGTTTAGATCAACCAGAAAAGCTTCACCGCTTTCAAAACACTTAAGTGTGTTTTAAAGTCATTTTGAGCCATAACAAGAGTAATATCAAGTCACTTTACACTGTAACACAACGACACACAACCTCTGCGTGCTAGCTAGCTAAGCTAACGAACGGCTAGCAGTGCAGAGCAGCTACAACACCACACGTGGATTATATTCCGTTATTTTACTCACTTTACGTCCAAAAACCTGGACAGACTGCAAAGGACCTTTAGCCGGCATGATTCTGAAACACACAGGGAACAAAAGTTACATTTAAAGGCGCTGAATAAGACCAGTTTTGGGGTATTTTAACGCTTCAGAGTTTAAGACATACCGTCTTCAGCTAGGGTGCCGTACGGAGAGACAGACGGGGTTTCACACGCCGAACATCAGGGGCTGCTGCGCGACAGCTTTGACAGGCTTTACGGTAGGTTTCGCGACAGTTGCTCCCGCTCGACCTCCATTTTGCATTTCCCCTTTCATTTACTTCAATTTTGACTTTATTCGATACAAATGACACGAAATTGAAAAGAAATGATTGAAAAGGCCGATGTGTTGGAAAAAATAACTGATCAGCAAACAGACAGCCCTTTGGATACCATGTTAAGTCTGGAGAGTTGTTGAAAAAGACATCTTGTGAGTTTCTTTTCCAAAAAGACTGCGGTTTTATTGAATCTTTATATAATTTTGAAGCCTAAAAAGGGGCAAGTATTTAAGAATATTTGAACAGGTACTATGTTAACAGCAAACAAAAGATTATAATACTTAAAATGAGTGTCATTTAACCATTAATGCACCCCAAAAACGGACATTATGCCAGGCTGTTTGTTTGTTTGCAGGGTTGGTTTACAGTGTTAAGAGAACCTCTAAACAGACCGTATTATTCCATAGAGGGCACCTTTTTTATTTATTTAATTTTTATTCATTTATTTATTTTTAACCAATTTAACACACCACAAATGCACAAATTGTACATAGCCTTTATTTGAAAATAACACCAACAACAAAAGATACACTGTATGATGACTGCCTTCTTTTAGGCTACTTGCCGGCAGTGCTGCCTAATTTTAAGTACAATTACTGACAGTTCCATCCACACTACAAAAGCCAAAAATTTGCCATACTTAAAACACCTTGAAACATTTGGAAAAAGAGAATTGACCTGAAGCAGTGCATTACCTTTCAAAAGGAAGTAAGCAGCTGTCTGAAGAACCAAACTTCATTAAGCAGCTTTTGTTTCATTGCCAAATAAGGGAGGGAGGTTTAGCAAACCCTAAAAGAAGAAATCTCTTTGCACAGATGCTGTTAGAAATTGTGACAAACTGCGCTTGGTTCAAAGACCAAAATGATTAGGGTCATGATAAACCTTTCTGTTTATTCAACAGGATTTGTTGGAGCCAAATCAAAGCTACGGTGTATATAAATAGTTTTAATATTAACTTTATTTGGGGATAATATAATCCATCAAGTCAAAATTGTGTCATAATAAATCCTCCTCAAACTGAGATGGTTCATTACAAGTCCTGGTTTATGTCAGATAGTAATTCCTTTGCTAAACTTGTAAATCTAATCTCAACAGCACTCTCTAGTGTTTATGATATGAATAGCATCATTTTAAGAGTGACATAATCGGCTCTGTGCTGGAGGCACAGATACATCGCCAACCGGGCAGTGTGCAGAGAATGAGTTTCCACTTTGTTTTGAAAGATAGTTGATATGAAACTACACAAATATTTGCATCTTGTGTTCATCTTGTTTTATTTTTAAGTTTCTCACCACAAAGATCCTGTGGTTCAGCACTGCTTGGGGATGAGGAGCTTGGAATCATGATCTGGGAGCAGGACATGACATGGGAAAGAGGAAGTGGTCGGCTTTTTGGACATTAAAAATCTGATCCCTGTTGTTCACATGAGACGGTCTTTGATCTGACCATAATGAGGGACAGCAGTTTCCCCCCTTTCTACTTTCTTGAGATTCACAGTGGGTGTGCTGTTAGTAAAAGTAAATAAATAAATGCTCTGACTGATCATACTGAGAGTAAAAAATTGTGCCACATATCCTGCCATGTGACACAGAAGGCAAAGAAAGTGTCAAGGCTAAGTCTTACCCTGAAAGGAGGGAAGCAGCAGAGCTGTTCCTGGTTCAGAGAAGGACTGGAGACAGATTACATCTTGGGAATCTGTATACAGTGGCGTGAGTCATGTGTGCTATGTGCAATGCCTACCTATGCCTGACATTTACTAGAGCGAGGCTGGTGTTTACAGTGTTGGCCACGGGCGAACAGGCACCTGGCTTCTTTTATTGTCAGGGGGAATGTGTGCTTCCCTCGAGGGTTGAAAACCAACAACTTCATTTGTGTGAGAACATAGATTAGAAGGTTTAGATGCATTCTTGGTCCATAGTGCAACATCTCTTTTGTTTAAGTATAGCCTATAAAGGCTTTTGAAGACAAAACTCTTGTTTTAAAGCATCATACACTCAGCTTTTGGCCACTTGGGGGCAGTGGAACAAGCTGTGGACACAAGATGGACATGTAATCATCTTAGGAATTTACATATAAATGATGAATAACTTGGAAATTCTATCTGAGACAGAAAAAAATGCGCATGTGTAGTTATATTTTTGGTCAGCTGTATGACAGAAACTCAACATTTACCTCTCTTGTTGCATGGTCATTGTCTCTAAAACAAACTAAATCTATTTGTTTAGATCCAACTTAGATCTGTTGTAATAAGTTATTTGTTTGAATTTTTACTAACCTTGTTTATGGCTAAATTGCTTTATTATTACTACAGCCATTTTATTTTATATAGCTGTTTTTTATTGTAAAGCTGTTCATTGTAAATAATAATAATAGTAATAATAATAACAATTATTATTATTATTATTAGTAGTAGTAGTAGTAGTATTGATCTATTTGGCTGCTAAAAGCATCAGCTCGAGTAAGGGATAACACAAAGTGAGCAGGTTGTAATATTAAAAAATATATATAACACCCGCTCAGTATACATTATTTATAGCTATATAGCTTTATAATTAATAAATTAACAGCTTAATACAATGAACTGTTTGGCAATGGTTTTATTGATTATTAGCTGGTTGTATTTCATCAGTTAAAAATGATTTTTTTTAGGGGCCACCTGATTTTCTAAAGTAAGCCTTCAAGTCAGGCACCCCACATGCAATCGCTGCAGTCTGAATGAAGGCATAAAAACCCTGAAAGTAACACTTTGGAAAAGCTGAATGTACTGAAATTGTTGTCATTGTAGATTGTAGGTGCTTAGACCCTCTTTCTTTTACAGTTTAATCTGTTTTCTTCTATTGGAGATATGGGATGCTCTTTTTTTTTCATTTGCGTGACAGACTGAGGAGTTTATTAGCCAACAGATACATGCGAGGGGATGTAGCTTTAGATTGAAAGTGCCAGTGTCCACAACAGAGTAAAGCAGACAGAGGAAGCACAGAGCAGGAACACCAGGCTGAATGATAAGCTTTAAGATAAACCTATGTTTGTGTTTTGGGTCATTGGGGGCGCTCCGTCACCGTCTGTATAGGAAGCCTGTTTAGGTCCAGAATCATCCCTGGCTTCCTGATCTGGTTGACAGCTCGCTAAAGCTAACAGTCCCTCTGTGATGCTAACTGTCAGGTTCATCTTACAATGTCCAGATCCCTCAACTATGTGAAGTCAGAGGCTCCTGGATTTCTACTCTCAGTGAAGGAGTTTTCAACCAATCTTTGAAATGATTTATCCTGTTAATAGAGGCTGGATAAGACCACAGAGAAGTTGAGTTTTAAGGCTTTTAATCCCATGTTTTGATGTAGCAGACACTGAGCTGCAGTGCTTTGTAAAAGGTGCAGAGCTTACAGAAGGAGCAGAGACCGCAGTCACCCTGTAAAAGAGCTGGCAATAAATAAAGACCACACCATATATGTGCATTTCCTCTCCACGGCCTTATGGAAACACATCACCTGAAGGCGCGACCCCTCGACCTCGTCTTGTCACAGCACCCTGAGCATGAGACAACACTCAGATTTACAGGGGAGGAGATGCCGTTCCCTGCCGGCCGTAGCGTCTCATTTGACCATAATAGGCCCTGCGGTGGTTGAAAAAGTGTTGCGGGTAATTGAAGTTTCCCTGAGCAGAAGGAGAAGATCTGCTAAACCCCAGTGGGCGGAGAGGGCCGGGACGGGGCGCGAAAAGGTTTTGTGAGGTATACAGAACTTGGTCGCCATGGCAACTGGTGAAAACTCTCAGGAGCTCACGAGGCATAAAAAAGTGACTTTGCTGGGAAGAGGATATGAAGGCCATGAATCTGCAAGTCAAGAGAAATATGATTCAAGGCAACAGGTCTTTCCTTTTATATCCTTGTGCGCGCGCCCACAAATAGCTCTTTATCTCATTCTTTCCCATGAAATGCTCAAATGTAGTAATATTTTCCATTTATGTGACAAATCTTACATTTCTTGTTTGTTCTTTTTTCTTTTGGTGTATATAATTGAAATGTATGTATTTACACACCTACAATTCCTACAGCACCAAAGTATAAACAGAGTAGGGTAGACCAGGGTCCCAGTGCACAGTGTCAATTGAAATCTTTTTTCATTTTTGGACTATGAGTAGTTAATATAGCAAACTTACTTAAAAAATACACCAAAGTCTTTGATCTTCCATCCCAGAATTTTTCCTCCACTTTCACGTCTCTCTCTCAGAAACAACAATCTTTGGGGGCACCAATGAGCCTCAAAAACTATCTCCTGGCACCAAATAACCCCTGAAAGTCAGAGGTACCATAGTAGCTGCCACACCCCCTTTTTGGCCTGTCTCCGTGCCATGGCAGCAGTAAATATTGATGTCTGCTGAACTGGTCGACAGCTCATGGCACTAAAATGTAGCCCGGTATTGAACCCGGGTTGGACTTGAGCCTCTTCCATTAATTTGGCTATTTCAGCACTCATTTACCACATAGCGATGGGTCTTGCAGCTGTCCTGTGCTTTGTCAGCTTCCAGTGGCCTTGGAGTCAGGGCCTCAGGATAATGCAAAAATGAGAGAGCACAGAGGTTCAGCAGACATGATGTGTGTTCTCCCAGAATGCAATGCTCGGATTACATAATTCAGCTGGACCTAAATAACATAGAAAATGTCCCTGTCTTTTGTTGTTTTGACGTATGAAGGGAAATAACATAAGAAGTTGGAAACTAAAATGAAGTGTTGTACTGTTATGGTTTAGAGGGACAACTGAGATGAAGAGGTTCCCAGGGCTTTGTGAGTAATCAAATCTCAGATTTTATTAAGAATTTGGCTTCCCATGATAATAAAAGCAGGATAATCGAGATTAAACAATCACTGCGCTTATCCTTTCCTTCCTTTATGGCAGAGCATGCAGACTATGGCTTATGTGTCAACATTGAGAGCTTGAATTAATGTGCAACAAAGTCTGGGAGTGCAAAGACGTCACTGCAAAATGAACTTATTGGGGTACAGTTGTGTAGCCAAGGAGAGGATCAGGATAGTCAGGTGTGTGTGTTTGTGTGTTAGTAAAGCAGAGGGATAGAGGGAGCATGAGGAGAATGCTCATTAGTGCCGCTGGTTTGCAGAGTAGGCTTTAACAAGCAAAAAAAAGGTGAATCATTTAGTATGTATTTTTTTCAGTCATTTGTTTACATTTACCTTTTATATTTCAAAGCATCCAGAATGTTTTAGTGTCAAAAATTCAAGTTCAATAAATTTATCTGACGCAAACTCTGTGAAATCAATGACTAATTCTATTTAGTAGTCATGATCTCAATATCGCTGAAAATCATGATTGTGATTTATGCTCTAATCACACAATCCCTCAGGATTCTACTTGGTGGCTCCAATTACCAACCCCCTAATGATCAGGGGTAGGGGGGCTGATTCGAGACTTGTTGTAACCAATAAAATTGTTATTTTCACGTATGGAGCTGTAGAAATTAAGACTGCGTAGCTCACCCAGGGTGTACGCTGTTTGAGCCGACCGTCATCACAGCGACTCTCCGCGACTCTCCTGCCAAATGCGTACAATGCTACTGCGCAAGTGGTGAAGTGCGTACAACGCTACTGCGCAATTTAGGTTTCAGGAAATGGAGAGAAAACACGGAATTACTGAGAGCTTTTCAGCTCCAAATCCATATACTGGCGGAAGGCGGAACCAAGTTGTCCATAGTATATACAGTCTATGGTTTTGCCCCTTGCACTAAGATGGCAGCCACTGGTTTGTTTAGGTCTGCTGGCTACTTTTTAGGTTTGAGTGAATGTTTGAAAGGAAACTCCTCTATCCTTCATTGTTATACTCTAATCATCTAATCAACACTTTTGAACTCAGTCCCTCATAAACAGAAGAAAGAACAGTTTCCTAATGCAGATCACTCAAGATGAAGCTCCATACACATGTGCCGTATGTTGTTTTAAGTAACACGCTGATGACACGCTATTGCCACAGACTGGCCTGGTATACTGTACATATGTAAGCATTTTCAACATGTAAGCTAGTTTTGGAAAAAAAATGGGATTTTTTTAAACAGAGGGAAGAAAGTCCAATTTTTAAAACTATTTGCTTACGTTAACTATTCAGAATTGAAACTAATAAGAAATGACACCGAAAAATTCAATATTGGTGCCATTAGTTAAGCTAAGTGAGTTGTGACACACCATCACATTTGGTTCAAGAAAACAAAACTGCTCCATCCAGCTGACTCATATGTTTCATCAAGACTCTTTGTCTTTTGGGAGGCTGAGGGAGCTCAAAACTGCACTTGAAATGTTAAATTCGGAGCTGATCTGGCAGCAGAGCAGGGCCGAACTTGCCAACACAACAGCCTTTCATTCGCCATTAGTCTGCATGCGCTGTCACACATGCACGGGTACTTCCCCTCCATCAATCTCACTCACTCATACACACACACACACAAACTCAGCTCACCCACACAATCTGCTCCATCACCCTCCTTCTTATTCGCTCTCCTTCTCCCCCCTACTCACCCTTGCTGTGCGAGTGTGCGTGGGTCGAATCTGGTCAGGAGGCAGTGGCAGTGGGGTGAGAGCGAGGCCATGTGGGGTCTGGCTGACTTCGACAGAGATAAAGCCAGAGAAGGTCACAGCTACAGTAAAGCCCTCTTTATTCCTCGCAGAGTTTCTATCAGATCCACTCTGGAACACAGAGCTCCAGCTTGCTAAGGCCTTTGACAACATCTGGGAGTACAATGATGATGAATGTAATGAAGAAGCATCGCCTCACTTCATTGCTTGTCTTTGCTTGTGCCTGCACACGAATTAAAACGTCCAGAAGATGATGAAGTGTGGCCTTGACTGCCTGATAAGTACACGTTATGACTTGTGGTGTATTTTAAACAAGTGAACATGAAAAATGACCATCATGTCAAGTTGCTGTCATGTGTTGCGTGTGGGTTGGCTCCACAGCCCTCTAGCATGTTAAGTCATTGAAAAGAGTATTTTTGGTCTGTTTTAAAAGTATATTATATCTATATTGTGTTTCCTGCTGTGTCTATGCTCAGTCACTCTGTGTTCGAGGCTCCCAAGGGGAGAAGAGACAAGGCTGGGAAGCTCTGATGGGAAAGTGGGCCAGCGCTCTCAGCCCTCCACTGGAGAGCTCCTTAAAAGGCCTGGAGAGATGATGTCGTGGACTCTTTCCTTTTGGCCCCCCCTTATGCTTTTTTCCCTCCCTCCCATCAGTGTAGAGAAGCCCGGGCAGCAGGAGCAGAGCCAGTCTTTGGCCAAACTCATCATGCACATCAGAGAAACACACGACACTGATGACTTCATTGAGCTGAAATAAGGCCTCCATCCATCAAAAGTTGGAAAGGCTTGTTATGAAAGATAGGATTTCCCGGATTGGGGATTATTCTGCCTTTTTGTACCCACTGACTCTCTCAAGTAGACTTTTGGTTTCTTGTTGAAGAGCGTTACAATAATTGCAGAACTGTCGCAAACTTCCGTTTATGTGCAAAGCAAAAGCAGAAACGAGGAGGAAATGCAATATCACGGCAGCTACAAGTTATGCAGAAGTTCTCTTTTGCAAGTTGTGTTTTGCTAAGAGTGAAACCTTTTTACTCAAACGCTCTACACACATCGTCTGGGTCTGTTACTTCCTTATTATTATGACAAATCCGACTGTGCAAAACAAGTCAAATAGCAAACGTCTTCACACGCAGTTGCTGGCTTCTCTCTTTAAAGCCTGACTAACTTTTTCCATCACAGCCTCTGTGTTAGAGGTCAAGAACCACTTCAAGTCCACACTAGGGCCAAAGCAGATCTCTTTGCACCCTTTAACCTCCCAAAAAAAAAAAACAGTTTGGAGCTTTTATGTTGGCGTTTCCCAGGTAAGCTTCCAAGAGAGAGGCAACGAGCGTGTGAGGGTGAGATTTTATTCGTTTCTTCTCCAGGTTACAATCTCTGAACCATCTGCCGTTATCTGGGGAATGTTCTCCACACTTCATGGACATATATGTACCAGAGCTTTGACATCTTCGCTATTTTTAGAGCCAAGCCGCCACTGGAGGTTGTTATAGTGATGTCAAGCGGGGTTTCAAAATAGATCTGATTGTTTATCTTTGGTTACACTTCCTGGACGTTCTTCTCGTCATGTTTGTTTGTGTTTATTCATCTGTCAAACTGGACTTCTTTTAGCTGGAACAGGGACAGGTCACCAGACTTTTTTCCTGAACTTGATTGTGTATTTTTCCATAAGTTTGTCGAAATTTTCCAATTTTAGCTTAAGGTATTGATCATTTAGTTAACTTCACAAAAAACACAAAGTCCATTTGATGATTTTTAGAAACAGTTTGATATTTTTAAAAATTACTACGATGAGACGAAGAGATGATAGATTTCTAGACTGTCTATATCATCCAACTGAGTCTAGGGTGTCCTTACAGTTTGCTCTGGGGTTACTCAAGGAATCCAGACATGAGGCTGGAAAGTCAGTCTACCTTCAGGGCACCAGGAGTCTTGAACTCTGAACAAAACTGGTTTGCACTGGTGTTTGCTGATCCCATGTGACAGGTGAACAGTGCTACTTTCTGTCTGCATTTGAAAACATGCACATGGGAAAGGGTAAGAGACCCTTGAGGCATTTTGAGGGGTAAAGGAGACTCTCTAAATACCAACACACCTTCATTCTTCCACTGCCATCACATCATTCCCACCCTGTCAGTGGTTCTGGTCTCCAGCTCAGGTAGAAAAAAAACAGTGTTAGTTGTTGCCTTGATAGCTGTTGATTGAAGGAGCCTACGGGATGAGGGAGCTCAGGGACTCCCAGAAAAGACTGTGATTGGTGACTTTTATAGGATGCGATGATTGAAAGTTAATGACACATACGGACAGAGAAGGAGAAGAAGGTGCTCAATGTGCTACTAACCCCAGCAGTCTAAACCTGTAGCAGCACAACTGGTCCAAGACTGAACCAGCTCTAACTATGAGCTTTATCAAAAAGGAGAAGCCTTTAAGATCCCTTTAAGATAGAGGGGGTGTCTGCCCCCTGGACCATGCTTTGCCACCCTGGCTACTTTTACAGACTTCTGGTGTGATGAGCAGGCCTGTATATTGGGACCATGATGTTCTGGTGGGGTACTCAGGAAATATGATCCTGTTTAGATATGATGTTGCCTGACTGGATTACAACTGCCTTGACCCAATTCATTGTGCACTCTAAAGCTAAAGCACATCACAGAGAGCAGATCAGGCTCCATCTCAGCAAGGAAAAAACATATTTGCATTGACATATATCCAATGCTGAGGGGAATTTTTGTGAATTTCCAATGCACTCACGTTTTACCTCAAAGACGATTTCAGATATTTCCCTTTTGCTCTGTTTCCTACTTTTTTCACACCCACTAAAAAAAGTGTGGTTGAGGTGTTAGCTTGCAAAAATACACATCACTTTGGTGTTACATAACTGTCCATCGTACATAACACCCAGTTTGACACACAGTCCTGCTCTAAAACTGCACTTCCTGATGTTTTGCCCCTTTTAGAAGTACTTAATTGTCCCAATGTATTGCGTGCTTTGTTAACATAACCTTGCCTGCAAGCTTTCTGCTGCAATGTTAGTGCTGATAATTCTGTCAGCTGGCTGCAGAAAGGGTAATAATCATATGTGGGTGGCTTCACTGCAAGTGGGAGAGCAGCACAAGTAACACTTATCTATTTTTAAGCTTCTGCTTGAGGGCTTCCTTTGTGAAGTGTGTGGATGGAGCTCAACAGAAAGTCATTTCTGCATAATAGAAGAGAGTTAAATCTGGATTTTAATAGCGGACATCATTTCTGTTTCAGTAAATCAGGTCTGGGATGGACTTGATTTGCCTGATAAAGAGACAGCTTTGACTAAATAGCTTTTAATGGCTTTTCAAATGTACTTCTTAAAGCTAATATATGCACTCAAAGACATCTCTGGTTTAACATTTTGACCCCTGGATTTAAAAACTTGAGTGGGAGAGATGGTGCTCATGTGAAACAATCTGCCCAGTGTAACTTTCATTATATTTTGGGATTACTGAGGTCGTGGGAGATGAGCAAAGTACAAAGAACCTGTCTTTATGTGAAGGTAAGGGCCTTGAAGTGCAGTTCATGACAAATGAGATGGTCTGTGACCTTTGACCCCAGAGAATGCACCCACTGGGTTTGTACCCCGCTGATCATCCTTGAGGTTAAGTTCAGTTCACAATGTGCGAGTGGTATTTAAACCTGATAGGACCTAATACAGGCTAGTTGTAATTTTGAGATAAAAAGTCATACCAAGAAGAAATTTAATAACTGAGATTCAAAAGTTGGAGTGATGAATAAATATGAAATAGTAAAATAAAGATAGAATTACAAAGTTATTGGATCAATGACTTTTTATCTTGTGATTTCAGGTTTTTATCATAACTGTGACATGATATCTCAAAGTTATGACTTTTACATCAACATGTTTACATTTTATCTCATCATTATGACTTTCTGTCCCATAATTATGATTCAATCATGCTTTTTTGACTGTTTATCTCATACCTTTGAATTTCGAAACTGAACACCTAACTATGACTTACTTTGTCATTATTTCATCTTTTTATCTCATAACTATGACTTTTTTTTTTTTTGTATCAAGGCCAAGTTTCCATGTCTTTTTGAACTGATGGACATGGGCTACCATAGTGTCGGCTTTAAGATTTTTCTTTTTTTTTTTTTGGGGGGGGGGGTTGATTTTTGCCTTTTTATTGATAGGACAGAGTGAAATGTAGGGAGATAGAGAGAGAGGGGGAAGGACATGCAGCTCATGGTAAGGACCAGACTCAAAACCCATGACCGCTGCTGGGACTGTGGTCCCGGAACATAGGGCGCGCTAACCCGCTTGGCCATCTGCGCACCCGGATGACATCATTTTTTTAAACAACTTATCAAGGAGTATGTCCTTCTGTGTGTAAAATTTCATATAAAATCGACTGAATTTGCTGGTAGGAGTCCGGCATATTTCACCTTTGCCTGTTGACACTGTGCCAAAAACATTTGCTTCTGTTAGCATTCTTAATTTGTGTATAACATGAAAGATTTTAATTGTATTGTTTTTAAAGATACTGACAGAAAAGATCATACCTATACCCAGTACAGAAAAAGGAACACTGTCAGTGACCAAAAACTGTCTTGTAAATATTAGACATATGGCCTAGTGGATTTTGATGCACATTTAAAGACTTGAGGACCTACCCTTTAATACACTTAAAGTCTGGTTAAAGTCTGTCATTTCATTCAACCAACAATCTTGCTCATTGGTGTAAAGACATAAAACAGACTCATCTTATCTGTCCAGAGCTCAGTATTTACTTGTGACAGCAAAAAATGTATGCTCTTTTTTTCCATTGCTTGCCTAGATGGGATGATTCATCTTAGCTTTTTGCACTAAACCATTACAGGCTTCACCGCAGCTCCAGATTTTGGCCTATTATTAGCCTCTTTTCTCCAGGAAACAAGGTCACTCAAATAGCCTTGGCTTATTAAAGCTGTCACAACTCATCCGGCCTTAAAGAAGCATACATCCAAAACTTATGCTCACTGTTCATTCGCTCATACCTGACATAAGCCTGTCAGCATACAGTATGTTTAAAGAAGTTAGCACAATTTTACTGCAGTTGTTATCATGACAGCATAATGGCCAGAGATTGACAGAACAGAGTGTAGTGATGCTCCAGCTGTACAGCCCCTCTCTGAGTAAAAGCGACTGCCCTATTTCTGTCTGGGGTTAGAGCTCAGCTGTTGTCTGGGGGGGTGGATCACCTCGTGAACACTCCCCAACATTTCACTATCATCCCTGCCATGCCTTGAACTCTACTTTGGGTGCTCTTACTAAAATGTCACCTCATATTGAAGCAGGCCAAGATTACTTTGTCCAGATGGTATTTCAAAAAAGGCTACAAAGTCTCTGATCACGTGTCCCAGTGTATTTGTCAAGTATGTTGGATATGAAAATATAAAGGCCACTACAACTCCAGCTTGAACGATTCAAATGTTAAATTTGTCAACCTCATATTCCATCAATACACCCTACCTTCAGCATCCATCCTTTCTTGACTTATCTATCCACTCATGAGCCCATCTATCCACCTTTCCTTCCCTAATCCAGACATTCCTCCTTCCTTCCCGTCTTCATCCATTCATCTTTCCTTCCTTCAAATATCTATCTAGTATCCATTCATCATTCTATTCCTCCTTCATCCATCCATCCTTTCTTTCTTCCTTTGTCAACCCTCCATTCTTTGTTAAATTATTAATCTAAAATCCATCTTTCCGTCCATCTTGCCTCTTTCCTTTTATCCATCCATCATCTCTCCATCTGCCCATCCATCTGCCCAACTACCCATCTATTTCCAATTTATCTAACCACCAATCCTTTCCCCTTGTTTAACTTATCCATCAATTTTTATCCACTTGTTCATCCATCCACCTATCAATCCATCCATCCATTCATTTATCTATCGATGAATGATCAATATATCTATCATTTTACCATCTATTTATCCATTAACTACATTAACCATTAATCCAACTACCCTTCCATTTTACTATCCCTCTATTTATCCAAACAGACACACATACATCTTTTGAACTGGCCATCCATCCATCCATTTGTTTTCTTCAACCTCCAGCCAGCTTTAGCATTTATGATGCCATATGGATAGAGGTAATAGGGCAGTATTTCACAACAAAGCTTATACCTTTAAGTCTTATTTTTACTATTTCTCCAGGTTAGGTAATAAACTAATCCCAGATGCCTTCAGCTTTAGTATCACAACAATGTGACCAAATCTGGGGGTTTTCAAATATTCAGCAGTTATTTGCATAAGCAATAAAAGTTTCCAATCAAACCCTTCCCCTTCAGTGAACTTATTTTGGTTACAGCCCAGCAGTTCTTGAGATGCAAACATAATGGCCAGAGATCATAATGATAAACCCAGAACTCTTGTACCTCACCAATTCCAACATCTTTTGCTTCATGTGTTTCAAAATTAGATACAACCATTATGCAGGTCCCTCTTGTCCAGCACAGACACAAGCATGTCAAGTAGCGTCCGCAGCTAAGGGAAAGGCCCCAGCATGTGACCACCAGTCAGATCAGGTTGCTATTATTACACGTCTTGATGAGAATGGACTGCCCTCATTCCCAAAACCATTCTCTCAACAGCCTCTCCGCTTTCTTTTTGACTCTCACTCCTCTTCACTACCTGGAAGTGTCCGGCCTTGGACTGAGTCTGCTTCCCATTCCACTTGGCCCCAAAATACTTTGACAGTTGAAGCCCCTGCTGACGCTGTATGATGTCTCACTCATACCAACATTCAGTCAAATGGAGGTCCATTCACTTCTCGTCAGGTTGAGCTTGGTTCAGTTTGCTGTGTCACCTTGGGGCATGGATGAACTCTTCTTGGAAGAATATTTTTATGTTCCATTTGAATCTGGCTTCTTCTTGTCTGTAGACCTGCTGACTGTCACCTGATACCACACACCAGGACAGCTTTTAAAACCACCAGTGTCTAATTGAAAGGGTCTAAAGCCAGCACTATCAGGGTATGTCTAAATCACTTTTAAGACATTCAGTGATAACATCAAAGCATGACTATTTCTATCTGCTCGATAGCAGTGCTGTCTGGACTTGTGAATTAGAGAAGGAGATGAGTGTGTCAGTGTCCTGGGCGCCAATAACAGGCATTGGGTGACATGAGAGCATGGGAGCTCAGCGTCTGGACTCTCTCAGATGCGGCTGAGTTGTCCACACTTCAGCAGTCACCCCCCTGTGAGTGCAGCTTGTCTGGGTCACCTGCGCTGACGTGTTGGTGGGTATGACTGGTACGCTTACTGTAAGTCATTGGAAATGTGATAATGTCCATGTCTGATCCATCTGTGGTGTCTTTAGAAGAGATTATATTGCCACTAGTCTAATCTAAATAAACATGTTTACTTCTTAGATTAAAAATAAGCTATTTCGCTTGTTTATTTATTTGTGCAAAATGTAAACTGGTAAATTTTCTTAAACACATTGGTCACGATAGAACTCAAATAAAAATCTGCATGATTAGTAGCAAGGCTTGGTTACTTTTAATCTGGGAGCAAATAGGGTATGTAGGCCATGGCATAATTTAAACAACCAACAGAGCATCAAATATTTCATATTAGAACAGCATATTATCTTGAGAAATATGCTGATTTATTTTGCTGCTGGACAAGAATACCACTCTTTAAATGGCGTGTTTAGGTTACCCTGTGTTATTTTATTACCATGTTGAAACCATAGACTGTATAACATGTATAACATGGACATCTGAAGTATTCAAGCCAAAAGATTTAGAGCTCCCCCTGCTGACTGGCTGCAGTATAGGTGATAAACCCTGCCTCCTTAACGTTAACGGATGGGAAAGAGGTTAAACTGTAAATCAAAACAAAAACGACAAGTAAACTCTTCCCAATACTAGTTTCTTCCATTATAAATCTTTCTTATAATTTTTCAGAGAAATTTTGTATTAATTCTTTATTTTTATTCAAAAAGTATAACACTGTGATTTACAATCGTATTGACAAATGCAAACTCCTGCAGTGTTCTGTGCTGGATTAGCAGAGAAACACCAGGGGGAACGCAACAAACAATAACAAAAGAGTCATAAAATTTTCCACAGTCCTGAGTGTCTCCTTTGAATCATCCACCTAAGAGATCTCAAACATGATATTGGTAAGTCAAATGGGTGTTTTTGTTTGCATTGCAGGTGTGGCAACAGTGCCACACACTACTAGCTGGATTACTTCTGTTCATAACTTGGTGTCACCAGTGTGTTTTGGCACGATCTTTTCACTTCAAAGCTCACAAAAAGTGGAAACTAGGTAATCTTGTACAGTCAGTGGCTGAAAGTCTACTAAAAAGTCCACTACTTAAATAAACATATTGGTGAATGAAACGGCTGTCCTTCTTTAGAGCTGTTTTTCCTGAGCCCTCGACTTGAACGCCTCATCTGATTTTACAAACTACAACAAAGAACAGTCCCTTTGGAAACACTTCTTCAAAGCAGTAAACACCAACTTCCTCTTTGGGATCAGTCATAGGCACTGAGGGCTCACACAGTGATGTCACGCTGCTGAAAACCCGCCTCCGATGATATGACTTTCAGGCCGGTCAGCTCACTCATGCACGTCTCAGCAGCCGAAGACAAACAGACAGAGTGCGCCAGTGTAATTTTGTGGTATCGATACACCTGAGTCACACACAGGCTCTTTTATTCTCTCAAGGAACTGGAACAAGCACAAACAGACAGCCAGCTCAAAGAGAAGGGTAATAAAAGACAGGAGTCTGTCATGAGGTTACATGACAGATGAGCTAGCTAGACCGCCAGCATAGTTACAAGTCAGAGCTGATGCTGACAAAGGATTTTTCATTTGCTTCGTGAGAGGTACTGTACAGCCTACTGAATTTCCTGACAGCCAATCACTTAAAACAAACAGTAAATTCACTATGTAAATGGGCAAAAATCTTATCTCTAGCAAGACATAACATACCGAAGATGTCAGCTGCAGGAGGTTCGTGACAAAGCAACCCTGAAGACGATTCCACATGAAGCAAATGTAGACTGAAAAACTCACAATCTCTAATCTATCACTCCAAGAAGCTGCGCTGTGCTACGTGTGATTCCTGACATCACTGGGGTAAACACAGCTGCAGAGGGGGTACAGCAGGATGCATAAACAGGATGTATTACTATACCTCTAAGATGTTTGTAAGTAAACGGAGTGTGCAGACTTACAATGAAGAGTTTCCATGCCTTCAGTGCAACAAGAGGCCCCTCTTACGTAACTATACTGCTGACATAGATTTGAAGATAACTGTTGAAGAGAGTAGCAAGGTGAAAAATCCACTTAAACACATAAAGGCATGTCAGAGTTCAGTCATATTTACCACTTAAAGAGTGTAAAGCTCTGGAAATATATACATATTGATGGAAGTCATTTTGAGAGGGCAAAATATACAGTATATCAGTGTGAGCAAAGCATCCGTTCTCTGATCCAACACATTGTTGTCATTTCGAGACTTATGAAGTTGGAGAAGATTTTGGTACATGGCTAACTTACTGAATCGACTGCATACAAACATGACAGGGCAAAAAAGTTGGTCTGACAGTCAAAAACTTTCCAAGACTATGTCGCCATTTTAGCATCGCAGTTAGATAAAAAGCCACATACACAGAGGCAATAGTCCTCATGGGAGATTGAATTAGGGTGACCATATTCTGACTTACCAAAAAGAGGACATGACTATGCGGGGGCGGAGTCACAGAGTTGCACGAAGTTAATTTTGAGAGTTAACTTCGAGTGTCTTTTATGCGCGTCTAACTCAGGAAGTCCATATGACACAAAATCGAAACTCTCATACAAAACTGCGGACATTTGAAAGATTTTATAAACTGCCCCAGACAAAGCCGGACATGCCCAGACAGCCCCCCAAAAAGAGGTTTGTCCGGATAAAAAAGAACGTATGGTCATCCTAGATTTAATACTCCTCCAGCGTGTACGATAAAGATAAATGAGTTGTGCAGGCTGATACCCTTTTATGAACCAGGCTGGAGACAAGCTTATTTCTGCTGTGAAGTTTGATATCAACATAGAACCTAATAGGGATACTTTAACCTTCGAAGCGAGCCCCGAGTGGACTTTTGAGGAACTGGTGCCCTGCCTCATAATGGCATGAAAGGGTGATTTTTTTTTAAGTGATTGGTTTCTATGATATTAGACGTAGAGCTGACTAAACTGACAAAAAGTCACATGTTAGCTGTGAGCTAGGAGGCTAAAAGTCTACCTCAGCTCTGGCTCTTGGCTCTTTTCTCTTCCTGGGTCGACCATTTCCAATATGAAAATGTTTTGATTCAAATAGCCTTTTGAAACAACAGTTTATGCTCCAGCTTTTAACGTAGTGTGCGGTCATAAAACTCTTGAGTACACAAAGAAAACACACACAGTACACTGTCATAATGTTCTGGATGCGGCCCACATGGCTCGCCTTCTACTGTCGCTCACCATAAGGTCGGCCCTTCACTGAACAGCAGCTAAGACATCACTTTCACATTAAAGCCTCTGGCCAAAAGCTTCCTGACACTGACGCTGTTGGTGTTCCACTATCCTGATGAGTCAGTACAACCACAGTGATTTCCCATGACATTTCTGTAACGTTTAGGATAAGTATTATCTGAGCTCCTGCATCTCTCTGGGTCTTAACCTCTGTGTCCTGGCTCAAGTCCCTGCACAGCCTTATTTACGGCATTTTCAGACAATCAATTATTTTTATCCGACTACAATTTAGCGTCAGTGACAGCAAAATGAGAAAATAGGGTTGGTATGACTCATGGTGCTGGCTGTATAAATGTTTGGATCATGATTCTGCTTGAACAGCTTGTTATTCAGGATGTCAGCATCAAGTTCAGAAGGTGGGTGGTATCTAATCAAGCACAAGCACATCAGTTAAATTTTTTCAAACATCTTCAAACCCAAGAATAACATTGTTATCACTTGTAGTGGCACCTCAAAGTAAAACAAAAATAGTGGCTGCACGCTTCATACCAAAAACTTGTGTATGAGGAGGCAAAACCGCACCCCCTGCCGAGTACACATGGGCGTCTGCCAACAATAACACAGCACTGCCAAAATAAAAAAAATAAAAAAAAGAAACACTTTATGCTTGGCCACCTTGCTTTTTACTCCAGGTTGAGCTGGACCACCCCAGTGTTTGAATCCACTAGACATTCCTCGCACTTCAAGTGTTACCCATCAAATCACTACAGGTACTTTGTGGTTAGGAGGCTTTTATTTTCCCTCACGGAGCAAACTGTGTTTGTTCAATTTAAACTAAACATGTTGCACATGACATAGTTGGGATAGTTCGTTCATCTGGAGCGTTCATGTGTGGACGAAAGGGGAAATACCCTATGAGGAAAGTTTGTTTATAGAGCCTGATGAAATGTCATGTCCTGAAATGAAACTGAAAAAGATGTCGGATATGTTCTACGACTGTATAATCCACTACCAACCAAAAACAGCAGGAAACAAGCTAAATATAAACAAACATAAAAAAGGGATTTAAAAAGCACCTTCACCCACAATCGTTCAATAAAGTTCAGTCTATTTAATCTTCTTGAAACAACCTTTTATTTCAGGATCAAGATGCATGACACTGTTATCTCCAGTGCTTTCGTTTGCTGCACACCTGATTGCGATTTCTTAAGGTTATGTTGACTGTAGTGTGATAAAGAGCAAACCTAAGACCACACATGGTTGACAGTAGGTCTTCACAGATGGGTTCTTGCCATAAAACAAATTAATTAAAGCAGAAAAATATACAACAATCACAAAATTACACATATGGACTAGGGATATTCAGGTGTAAAATTAATTTAGGACCAAACACACCGTAACACTGAGTTAGACACCCCTTCGAGCGATGAATGTTGCCGACCGCTTGCATTTATTATAATTTCTTTGTCATTTCCTTGAATTGATCATCTTAATATTAATAATTTTGCACTGCAGACGCGGTAGTTCTTCTGCCTTAGCGTCTCGATCTGATTGCAATTTCGTGAAGAAATTATCATAAATGTTGCGTCACCCCGCTGTAGTCCGTAATGGACTCGCCATTGTCGCCAGGTCTTGCTACAAACAAGCAGCTGCTGGAAGAGAGACGCTGAGTTGTGTTTAGTCTAGTTTAGTTAAAAAGATGTTTGGTGGCTAGTTCTGTGGCTAGAACCCTATATGTAGTGTTAATGAAGTTAGGTGCTGTTCTGAGCATTATTCGTGGCTACAAAGTGGTGTTTTGGTTGATGTTTGTTTATGCCTTCTCAGACCACTGTGTATTGCTATCCTGTGGTCGTTACTCAAGTTGGTATAACTGGAGAAGCAAGAGGGCAGCAACACTCATCTCTTGATGGGGGTGTCTAACTTGGTTTTACAGCGTGTTTGACGCCAAATTAATTTTTACGCCATAATATCCCTTTAACCAGAAAAAAAAGGAGGTACTTGAGGCAAAAGCTTTGTGAAAGGTCATGATTATTACTTTGGTTTAACTAATTTACAGCATTAATTCCATAAGAGTTGGGATGCAATGTATAAAATTCATTGACAAAATTTTACCCCAAAATTTATGCCCATGGTACAGTTTTTAATCAACATTTGACACAGCATCCCAACTCTAATAGACATCTATAGTAAGATGCTGCAGATTTTTTATCAGTCTGTTGTGGCAAGTGATGCATTGTGAAGCATCAAACACAAAGATGCAAGACGTCTTACCAAACTGGTGAAAAAGGCTGGCTCTGTGGTAGGACTCAAGCTGGACTCAGTGGAGGATGTGGTGGAGCGATCTACACTGAGGAAGGTGGAGACTATTCACAAGAACATGGGTCACCCACTTCACAACACCTTGATGGACCAAAGGGCCAGTGGTGGTGGACGGCTCCTCTCTCTCTGCTGCAGGACAGAAAGATTCAGAAGATCTTTTGTTCCAACAGCCATTAGGCTATAAAACTCTTGAGTAAATGATAGATAACTTTTAGAGAGATATAATGTGAGACAATTGAATGTCCCTTCGGGGATTAATAAAGTTCTTCTTATCTTTTCTTATTTTATTAATGTCACTGGGGTTGTACTTGGTAGATATGACCTGTAATTTAAATCACAGTAAACAAAAGTCACTGATATTCGCTGCTGTATGCACTCTCTGTGCTGAATGTTATGCAATAGTTTGAAGTGCTCTTGTCTTATTTAGTGTACACAGTCTATAAGGGATTACCCAGCTCACTCTCTCCCCTCATAATCTGCTGATGATGACGTTATACTGCAGCTCCTGAGCTCCACTTCTCGCGAGATTATGGAAAACAATCCAGACGCCATCCCTCTCTCTCTTTCTCTCTGTTGCCCTCTCTAGCTCTCTCTCTCTCTCTCTCTCAGTTCCCCCTCCTACCCAGCCCTCCCTTCCCACGCCCCAGTGCGCTGTGGGATAGTGGCACTATAAAGTATATCCTCTCTCGGAGAAAGATAAGAAGCCCGAGACAGGAGGGGGATGAAGATGGCGGACGCCAAGCAGAAGAGGAATGAGCAGCTGAAACGATGGCTGGGCTCGGAGACGGACCTGGAGCCTCCTATTCTGAAAAAGAAGAAGACGAAGGTGAAGTTCGATGATGGCGCCGTGTTTCTGGCCGCCTGCTCGAGCGGCGATACCGAGGAGGTGCTGCGGATGCTTGACCGGGGCGCTGACATCAACTACGCCAATGTGGACGGTCTCACCGCCCTCCATCAGGTTTGTGTCAGCTGTGTTTGTGTGTGAGTGTCAGTCCCCGGCTCTGCTTGTGTCTTTAGAGCCGAATCTGAGTCTGCTGCTGGTGCTGCTCGTCTACGAACACCTGTCAAATGGGAGCCGTTGTTTACCTTCATAGCACACCCGTCCTTTTCGACGCAGTTAAGGGGTGATCACCGGCCTTTATCACAGCTTGGCTAAGAGATACACCACAACATAAACAGAGCTAGCTCAGCATGGCGTTTTCTGAGTGCATCCGGCCAGCATTAAGCAACGACGCTTCCCCGTTTAGGACTACTTTTGCCCCCTTTAGTGTGTATCCCCTGTAGGTGGGCGCAGTCTAATTACTGGACTGCTGCTGCATTTCGGATCGGTATTTGTGCTGTTGAGTTGTGTTGTTGGAGGAAACTCATTTCAACAACTGTACGCTAGAAATAAAAAGGGTAGCGAATGTTAACGCTGTGTGAAACTCCTTTTTTACTGCCGTGTCACAGCCGGTTTCCAAAAGCGTTTTGTTGATAAATCCTCCACCGCAACTGCGACTACTTTGTGGAAGCTAGCTCGTTAGCTTAACTTAGTCACAACGTCATTCAGTTTTGGGCTAACATTGTCCTTGAGAGGCCTCAACTTCAAGTCATATTTACATTATAGTCTCAGTGTTGACAACTGGCATTAACGTATTAGTCAGAATGGGATAAACTGGTTAAAGGTGGTAGAGTTTTTCGATGCGGAATGTGTGCTAACGCTACGTTAGCAGGATGAGCTAGCTATGGTTAGCTCAGTTTAATTCATTCGTTAGCCAGGTGAAGAAACGACGTCAGTTTGTGCCTTTGCTGCCAGAACTAGATTTTTAATGACTATATATGTTTTGTTTGAACTCCGAACTCTCATGTGAAGATTTTCTCGACATTTTCCAGGAATGTCATCACTGCTAAGTTAGCTCGCAAACCCGCTAACCGGAGGAGCTACTACGTCTTCTAGCCTCTGTACTTTGAAAGCCAAATAATGAAAATGGCAGCCTGTTTTGGCCGTCGTTAGTCAGTAACCCCAGGTGCTACCGAATGAAAGAGGCTTTTGATACGGGGCTTTGCAAAATGTCTGACTTCCAAGGTTCATAAAACACCATTTTAGTCATCAATATAATGGTTTACAGTGGGTGCAGTTACAGAGAGAAGATCCCCGATGTTGCCAAGTTGGATTCAGTGATGATGTGTACTTTACAGAGTAGATTTAAGTTAATTTTGCACTGCCTTATTAGATTTCAATATTGATTTAACACACCCTTTCAATACTCAAGAGTAGTTTGGTTATTGATTTGTGATATCCACTGTTTAGCTGTCTACCTGCTATACTGCCAGATGCAACCTCACCTCTCTACCACTTACTGTTAAATCATACCAGATCAACATGTATATGTATGAAAGCCTTAAGAGGACATTCATCCATGTGTTTTTTTAGTGACAGAGTTAATTTCAGTCTTTTTCTTCACATTAGATGACCACGACTCATATTCTAAAGCTGTAAAAGCTCAAAACAAACATCAGGTTTCTTACACACTGCCATTTCAGGGCAGGATATTTACACTCCTATTACTCCTCCTCTTCGCTGTGTAATGCACAGAGGTGTAATCCATCTTTGGAGGTAGACACAGAAGCGTAACATGGGGAAGGTAGTCATATGTGAAGCACAGCTGCCTCCTGCACTTTTGCAACACTGTGGTGTAATTTGTAATCTCACACTTGAACACCAATATTAGGCCGTTTTGGGGTCCTATATGTAAGTGCAAAGGCGTAGTTGCACTAGCACTGTTATAGAGTTGGCAATGTAGAAAGGCATAACTTACTCACTAGCAAAAGGAATGACATAGCAGCATGGTACCAACCTTTCATCTAGCTTTTGGCATGCTAGAAAATCATCCCATTGTTAGGTGAAAAAAAACATTGCTATTTGGAGACATTTAGATTAATTAATAGAAAAATTAGCAACAAGATAAACATGTGAAAGTCTCCAAAACTATCCTTTGCTACTAGATGTTATTTACTAGGATGCCACAGACTCTGTACTGTCGAACTGTAACCCCCGACTATTAAATCTAAACTTAATTGTCTCAACAACTTAAAGGTTTTAGAGACGCAGTCCTGAAACTGCAGCCTCTAACTCTGCATATTCATTCACATAATATTGGATAATAGAGTAAATGAAGTGTATAGATGCATGTCTGCTTAGGGCTTCTGTAAATGAGACTGTTTCCAGGAAGAGCAAGGTTATTGAGTCTGGTGTCATTTGTTACAAATTGAATAACACTGAAGAATAATACAGCCATGATACTTCCGTTTAGCAGGTACATACTTAAAGAATTGTTGTATCTGTAGGAAATTAACATAACAACACCTGAGTCGTGCAGTTATGTTTACCTTAAACCTCCAGGGAACCAAGACCCTGACATGTCATTAATATCTTGATTATCAGGGGTGAAAACCAGCTTCTCTAACACTTACATTTTATGAGATCCTTTTCCATGACAGCTAAGTAAGCAACTTTTATTTTGCCAGGCATCTTGACATCCACAGTATCTCGACTACAAACAGTATTGTTCGCCTGGAGGGGCTCTAGGTACAGTACAACTTCTGTTGTATAGCAGTCTATAATTGACAAAGTATACAGCATAAAGAAGTCGAGCTGCTTTTAAACTGGAAGGATGAGTAGGACGAGCTATCAACAACATCTTTCTCAGACTATCACATCAGCTTTTTCATGGTCTTGTAAAAAGTCAGTTTTTTTAAGCTCATGTGTTTCTTAAATGGACCTAAACCAGTCAACTGCTGTAGCTGGTTCAGTCAGTCTGTAAGGCCGCAAAGCATTTCAGTTTGACTTCTTGCATAAGCATGGTTGCTTTATCCACCTGTTTGTTTGGACGGCAAGTGTTTACATAATCTTAGGATTAATGAAGGAGTTTGTACATTAAATGTTTAATGCTAGCATAGATTTCCAGTGATGTCACCTCATTACTCATGCCCACATGTCTAGTCTTAGTAAGCCCCAGTACTGTTAACAGCACCACCTTGTTGCATGTGATGTTTGTTGTCCAAGACTCGGCTATTAAAAGTTTTAAAAGCAAGTTTTCCGAGGTAGGTCATTAGCTCTATCTTTTAGAGGATGAATTCATGTTACTTGTGAGGATATTTCTCAGCATGTGTATTAACGGTCTTGTTAAACCAACTGTTTCTTTGTGCACAGAGGTGGCTATAATTAAATCTGGAATTAGTGTGGCCCCCTGTGCAAACTCATTGGGTGGAAACGTTGCCTTTTTTTGGGCCGATGTCCAGGGATGAGCTAGAGTGAGGAAAGAATTTGATTTGCAGTGCCGCTCTTCAGACCTAACCATCTCTGGAGACGAGCAGCCGCTCTGTGTAGAGTGTGTCTGTGTGTGTGAGTGTTGGAGAGACCAGCATGTGATCCAGGGGTTTGGGGGTCTTTATAAAGGAGTTGAAGAAGGCGATGCAAGGATTCTTGTTTAAAGTGTTAATCCCAGACTTGCAGAGAGGTCAGGCTGATGTTAGTCTCCTTTGATGATGTGAAGAAAAGATGGACAGAGAAGTTATTTGATGTCTTTATTTTTCCTTCTTGATTTCAGATGGTGAACTCTGCCAATTCTTTTAAGACACTTTCAAGTTTCAGAAAATAGAAATCAAAACTTTCCTGTCATTTGAATGCCTGACCTCTGGCTTTGTTGTGAAGTGTGTCATGTTGTTACATGAGGGCTCACTCCTCACTCATATCACTCCCAGCCAGTGACCGGTGCGGGGGTTATAAATACCCGTCCGCCACAAGTTCTCCTAACTGGGTTTCAGGAGATGATACTAAGTTTGGGTATGACTCAGTCTGTAACTCTGCTTTGTACTGCAACTCTGGCATGAACTCACATTTAGGCAAGAGGTTATGTCTTCATGTGAGTCACAGACCTTCAGCCACTTAATAAATGATTTGTTGCAGAGGGACTTATAAACACAATGTCTTTTGTTGTTTTGATTCATGATGAGGACCATTACAGGCCCTCTTTTGCAATGGACAGGACATTGTTAGGTTTAAATCTGAGCCAATAACACCGGACATCTAAAGTTTTTGGTACAGAGGCATCAGAGTGACAGCGTTAGGGCCCAACAGATATGGATTTTTTGGGGCCGATGCTGATACCGATTATTAGGGGGGGGGGGGGCGAGGCGATTACCCATTAATCGGCCCATATCTACAGTATACTATAAACTGTAGATGTACTGTACGCTACTGCTCTCCACGCCGGCAGGAAGACCGACTGATCAAACTTGGACCAGAAAAGTGTTTTCAACTACTACTACTACTACCCCATGCACCCACCCACCAATCAGTGCCTCTGCATCTTAACTCGTGTTACTCATTTCCGGTCCGGTCTCATCTGGAGACATGCGGCTGCCCCAATAAGAGAAGTAGCTTGTTAGCTCGATCACGTAATGTCTACTGTTGTTTATTCTACCGTTACTGGCACGGCTAACGGTGTAGCAAGGCTAATAGCAGATGGCTAACTCTAACTTTAGCTTGCATATTACATGGTGCTTCACCATTAACTCGGCATGACCGAGACCAGGAACATCGTGAAGTGGGTCGAACTGAAACTTGTTGACTTATTGTTTTTTTCACAAACTGGTTTATTTACCGTTGAGGCGGACCACTCTCCTCCGTGCATCCCTGAGCTGCCTGCTTCAGATCCGTCACTCTGCTGTGCTGTGAGGTAGTTAGTGGATGAAGACTGTCATGAGGTCGCTGTGCAATCTACAGGATAAGTCGGAGAAACTTTTGAAGTGGCGGAACATTTTAGAAGTGAAACCGAATCTTATTCTCTGCATTTTACTTCTGAAAATATTGGCCGATTACCGATTAGTCACAAATGGGCTGAAATTGGCCGATTTAATCCTCTGATGGTCTGAGACATCACTGGTCAGCAGAAGTTTGATATACCAGTAAACAATAATACAGTCCAGTATGTTAGAAGTACAATCAGAAATGTTACTCTCAGATATACATATTATTTGATATTGATAATGTTATGATACAGTACAATTTGGTGTGATACAGTGTAATACAATATGATTCAATGTAAGAAACATGAGTATTGTTGGCATAAAGACCTTCACAGAGAGGTATACAGCATATTGTTTACCTTTGATAAGTAAATATTTAATGACTTGTATACATCCATCTTAACTAACAACTCTGGAAAAACCTTTCATTTGCGGTCAGCCTCGAGGTTTTCACATTTCCCTTTTCCAGGTCGAGGTATACCGAGGTAGAGGAGGTCACCCAAATACAAACAGCACGGATTCAGGTTGCAGTCAAGTGAATGAGGGGTTCTGTAGACAAGCGGAGATTCCAGATCTCGTTGGCTAAACTCGTCTCATAGGGTAGCATTCCAAGTCCTGTCGTCCCGGCCTGTGCATTCCTCACATGACAGTCGCTGGAAACCATGGCAAAGACAGAGCAGAGCAGACATTCCTCAGCTGTCACCTAAACCCCTCCCCTCCAGTCACTGCCTCTCTCTCTGTCTCTCTGTCTCTGTGTCTCTCTGGCTCGCCTGTCCCTGTATAATGCCAAGGCCCTGGCTGACTGTTGCCCACTGAGCTCCATCAAGGCAATTAGCGTGGAGGTAACCAGGGCTTGTCGCCTCACACAGGAAAATCTCCACACTGACCCACACCTGAACTTTTGTCTCTTAGCGTCCATGATCCTGTGGACCAAGGTGACATGACTCGGCTCGGCTTAACATGTCCGAGTCGGGTATTACAATGCCTTCGCTCTGTTGACATTACACACCCTCATTATGGCGCTGAAGTCGACGAACATTATCTCGCTCCGTCTCCATGACAACAACTCAGGCAAGGTTGCTAGTTGCTTGTGTTGGTGGATTTGCATGTACAGAGTGGGAGTTGCATAACACAGTGAGACAGCGAGAGAGAGCGAGAGAGAAAGTGAGTGTTTGGCAGCAGTTAGAAATGAGAATCAACCTCTATGAATCTTGTAATGGAACAATTACAGAGCATGTGATGGGAGAAGGGTGGCGGTGTGGCTGTTTCCCTTCATCCACAGCAGCATCGCTCATATCAACACATTACATAATTGCCACCGATCTCACTGCAGCCCCAGCTATGAGACTCTCAGCTGCGCCTGAGAGAGCTGAAAAGAAAAGCTTTCGACATGTCCCTGTCCTCTTGACAAAGACATCATGGCATCCTCTTACACAGCTCCAGCGTTATGTCTTTCTGCCTGAGGGAGAAAATCCTGCCATCTCATGTGGAGAGGCCCCCTCTTCAGAGCATCGCATTGCATTACTGAGCTTCCCTGTTGCGCTCACCTGTTTTGCTAGCTTACACAACAGAAGAAGGTTAGTTATTCAACACTCAAAAATCTGTCAGGGCTCTAGCTTGGTAATCTTTTGGTGCAATAACTCCAAGATTTAAGAACTGTTAGATAAAGACTATTGAGGATTACATTTTTGTTGTTTTGTGGGTGAGATGTAACACACAGTGTTGGTTGAAGTGTTCAGCAGTTTGTGGAGGTGTACAACAAGGCTCACATGACACTTTTAGGGTATACTGATCTATGAGTGCACAAAAGGAGTGCTGTTGGACTTTCGTCAGACAGGCGCTGAGCTGCATGTTTTACATATTAAAACCAAAATAAAAAAGCAAATACTAAGACCAATCCCAATGCAGGATAAAAAGAGAGTTAGCTCATTGTGAGGTTAGGGCCTACTTCAGACTGGATGCATGTTGGCTGAGTGTGCTGTCGCTCTCAGCTTTGTCTGTCCCACAAGTTTTTCCCATAATAAAGTTGCAAACTATCTATAATTGAAATGTCAGAAGTCATCAGGACGTGTTATTTACAAGGACAATGGCCACCTCTCCTATGCTAATCACTCTTCACTCAACAAGCTGTTACTCATACAAGAGTCGTTCCAAGGTTAAGCGTTTTAAATTAAAAATGGCTCCTTATTTCAAATTTAAAACACCAGCAGCTGTGTACACAGATACCCACACATGGTAAATATATCACCTGTATCCTGTCAATTTGATCTGTGCAGTTAATTTAATTTACTTCTTTCCGTATGAGGAGACACTTTCAGGTGTTGAAACCATTTCAGGAGATTGTATCTTAAGGAAACAATGTTGTTTATATTTACAATGGGTGCTTAATGTACACATGGACGCTAGCGAAGCAGAGAGTCAGACAGGAGATGTATTAAAAGGAAATTGCACAAGAGGAAATATTTCCAGTAAACTGATGTTATTGAATAGTAAACATGCGGCAATCATGATACGACAACATTTGTTTTCCAGAAGTTCAGCAGAAATAAAAAGCTGTGTGAGTGTCTTAATTGAACGAAAAACTGTTATGGGCAAAATTTCAGAATCAAAGTGTTGTGTAAAAATGAAGGGAATCTTCCTGCAGAACAAAAACAGGCCTTTCTTTTACCTTGAAAAATCATTCCACAAGGGCTGCCATAGCATATTTGTATGCCTTGAGCATAAATAAACCTGATGCAACTCTAGGCAACCCCTCTATTCGTCTGATTTTTGGTGCATGAGATTCACTTTTCATGCCAACAGTCTGATCTGTTGACACGCACACCGAAATGACAAGCAAGCTGGTCCAGAGCCATCACGCAACTGACATGCACCAAGTTTGAGGTAGCTGTAAGGCTCAGTGCTTCTCATCTGACCTTTGAAAAAGCAGGTTAGGTGTGCAGCACAAGTTACTATGTTCTCACTTACCCTTTTAGTAATTAAAATCACCAGGTTGATCAAAACTGTCAGGTAGCCACAGTTCTTGCGCCATGGTTATAACGCTTCTGGTCCTTTTGAATGCCTGTGAACTCCTTGCTTTGGTTAGAGACGCTTGCTACAGTAAAAGGAAGTTTGTGGATGGCTCATTTGTTAGAGATAATGCCTTGATTTGGTACTTTGACACCACCAGTCTGACTTTTAAGTGCTTTCTTTCAGCTTTAGAGACGTGTTGAAATAAGTTTCTCTGTAAACACACCGCAATCTGATCAACTTAACTAGTGAAAGCGGAGTCCTGTAGATCTGACTTTAAAGGGGTATGAGCATGTAGATGGGCCTCCAGTCAATATTAAACAAACTGCACAACCGTGTTTGCCAAATAAATGTATATGTAATCCCAGTATGTAGTCTGAAACAGGATCTCTGTTCACATACCATCTCTGCCCATTGTAGAAGAAGTCTGCTTTCACATCACATTTCCTGCAAGAGGTTGCACAAGGCTCCCAGCTTCTTTGTTTTGGCTTCAGGCTGCCGTACAGTAGCAGCTACTCACTCATGCATTTCTAACATATTGCAGAATACATTAAAATCCAACTTAATAATTCATGGACTGGAATCTAGACAGTCTAGATTTTGATGTTCTTTGTCTAGCTCAGAAAAATCAGCTACCAGTCGTCTCACTGTTATGGTATTTTGTTATAACTAATATTAAGACTTAATAAGGCTCGCTGTATGAGTTATGATGGTATATAATTTAATTTTGATGTGTCAAAACATGGTCTAAAAGCATGAGTCACGCCGTTTGCTGCGAGTGGAGTGCCTTCAATAGAGTAATCATAATTTAATTTCATTCAGCCCCTTGTTGTTGTCCCTCATAATCTTGATGAACGATCAGTTTCCAAAGGGTACAGCCGAGGAAATATTATTGCATCATAAAATTATGAACCACATGAAACAAAGCAGGTCTTGCAGAAGTAAATTGTAACCCCTCTATTGAGTTCAAACAGATGGCTGGAGCAACATTAGGGATACGGGGAAGGAAGCATGTCTGGGTCAATATGGATCAAAGCCAGCAAGCAGAAACAATAGCAGAGGGACAGATAAAGGAAAATTTTATTCATTTTCAGCCCGATCCTCCCGGTCTTCGTTTTCATGATCAATACGAAACTGGTTTGTGCACATTTTGTGTCTTTTTGGGGTTGTTTTGATTCCCCTCAGATGCGCCATAAATGCACTACAAGTGAGATAAACAACACTCTATCATTTTAGCTCCTTACGCTGAAGTATAGATCACTGCATGCATGGTTGAATTCCTGTCTGTTATGAATCACTCTAACCCCAGCATGCTTAGGTGTTAATTTTAGCAGCAGAGTCCCCGAACACGTCTATTTTACCTGTGTGTAATTGTCAGGTCTCTCCTTGTCAAGCTGGCTCTGTGTTCTGTTCCATTCAACCGTCCTACCAAACCCCGTAATCAACTGCAGGAAGTCCTCGCAGGGGTGTTTGCGCGCCAATGCTTCGCAACACAGCCCGGGTCATCTGCTGATTGTGACACGTCAGTGTTGTTTCCTTACAGAGTGTGTCACGGTAACATGAATGACTTTGAAAGTATGCAGCCGCATAAACAGAAAACGTCAAACTGCAGATGGTATCTGAAACCACTCACAAGTAAATGTAAATTATTAAGAATAAACTTTTATTTATAGCAACTAAATATAGAAGGGTAGCTTTACAAAGATTTTCACACATTGATACAGAGTGTAGATAGTAACCCACACCTTGATCTTCAGGATAAAACTTCATTTTCAATTTCTGTAGCGTGTTTTGTCACAGTTTGCACCTCCAACCTTCAGAGTCATGATGTGAAGCAGCCAAAAAAAGCCAAACAACACTTTCCACTGGAAGCATTGTGAATGTTTTGGACTTTAGAGAAGTGGTTAGTCAGTAAGATCACATGCTCTACGCAAACAACAACAGTGCTCTGATGACCTATTCACTCAGAATGACTCAGAAATTGTCTCGTGGCAAACTTCAGTAGTATTAGATCGCCGTCCGAAGAATCAGTGTAGTATCACATCATGATGTAACAAGTGATAGACGCCCTGAAGGGATTCATAGGAAAAGTGTACTCAGACTATGCAGTGTTAAGTGTCCATTTAGCTCCCTAAACTGCAGTAAAGATATTTCCCCTAACTTGCATGTCTCAGATAACTGGTCTGCATCCCAGCTCTCTCCATGAACCTGGTGTGCTAATGCATAGCAGGGCTGAAACGCCAGAGGCCGTCCTGCTGGTGGATCTGGAACAGTGAGGGCTCTCTGAAGTATTTCAGATGAGAGTTGCTGCTGCTGCAGGTTGGAACTGGTTCACTTGGGGTCGTAAGGAGAATTCCTCAGCGGAGTAAACCTGCTGCCACGTATATGAGCCGGGCTGACTGCATTTCCACAGTTAGGGTATGGAGTGGACCCACGTGGACTTGACCTTGTCTGAAAGCTCATTGGGTGTACTTTTTGATTCTACTTGCCGCATGTAATCATTGCATTGGCGTCACTGTACACCACTTTGATTTTTTTTCCACATGGGACGTTGTAGATCTTTTAAGAGGTTTTGCAAAAGTTTCCAACATTAAGACATTTAAAGGCTTTTAGTTTAAATCAGATTGAAGAAACTGACCACAATGAACGAGTGCCCATGATTCTCCCCTTTCTCTGCCCCCTCTCCAGGCCCTGCATAGTATCGAGCTGCTGTGAAATGTTTGTGTGATGACCTCAGCTTGTTTTTTTTTTTTTTCCCACCCGGTGGCACATAGTGTCTGTCTTCCACTTAAGCCAGGTCTTCTTGAAGCTGTCTCGCTGTTGTTTGCTCGGCGGCAGTCACATGCCTCATGCGGGGTGTTTTTTATGAGCTGCTTTTGAACTGAAAACACCTGGACGCAGAGGCTCTGTGAATTCCTCATTGTCTTACAGAGCAGCGAGTACAATTAAGGCGAAGGGCTCATGTCCATTTGTTGTCTGTTACAAGGGTGAGGCTGCATTCTTTCCATTTATACTTGAAATGGCTGCATCTTCAGATGATGTAATGAGGGGTAAAGGTGAAAATTGCAGCACATGATATCTGACGCGCTTGTAGGAAAAATAAATCATGACTATTCCATGAAACAGTAGTAATAATATTGGACTTGACAGATAAGGTAAAGGCTTTTGGAGCTTGTATGTTGCTGCTCTTCCTCTTGATTGGCATTGATTTTTGTCAGTGATGATCCATGAGTGGCCATGAGATTAAATGGATACTGCTGTTAGCTGTGATGCTAGCCCATTAGCCTTCTCCTGAGTGAGTCTCTTCCTGAGATTAATAGCTGTGTCAGGAAACTGGCCTGGACCTTGACAGTCGGAGTACTTTGGCTCTTGGTTCATATGGATTGCATTGCTTCAGCGTAAGGAAGACACTCGTGTTTTTCTCGTGATGGATCTGTTTTTAAAGTGGTACTGAAGGTGAACTGCAAAAAAAAAACAAACAAAAAAAAAAACACGGAAATATTTAATAAAATAACAATGTTTGTGTTCATGAAATACGTGTACAATTGACCTTCAGGGCCACTGTAGTTAAGTCATTTGAGATACTTCCCAATGGTTAGATATCTTGTTACATGGTGTTTACTGGTAAGTGAGGCTGTACCTTACCTTATGCCACTTTTTGTCTGTTTTTTACAAATTACATCTTGTAAAAATCTAAACATATATATTTTGTTAATGGTACCACAGTATTGTAGTATATTGCAGGGGTGGGAGAAAAAAATTGATTTACATAAGTATCACGAAATATGGTTTCTGGAATAGTCAGTAGACAATCATAATCATTCCAATGTTTTATCGCTGTTAAAAATGCTGACTAATAATCGACGATATCGTAGAATCCCAATTGAAATCGAATCAGCATCCCAAAAAATCGCAGAAGAATTGAATCAGGAGAGGCATGTCATCCTAGCCCTACCACTTAGTATTGAAAACAAATGATTAGCAAATACTGTACTTTTTGATAAAGAAAATGAATTAAGCATTAATTGATTAACAGGTTGAACTAAAGATATGCGAAGAAAACATCATTTCCGGTGTTAAGCTAAGAGAGGACACAAACCCATAAAATTCTAATAATAAACTGGACTCCAAAAGAGCAGAAACTATGTACCTGAACAGTCATTGCATCTTGCTTTAAATTTAATTTTACCTCCATGTTTTATGGAGCATAAGTGTCCGGTCAGTGAGTCCAATCAAGCTGGACTCTTAATAGACTGTTTGATGAATAATTAATGAACCAGCCCACTCATCCAGCTGCGTACAGAGATAAATATTCACCACAATGCAGTGCTATGACACAGTCAACAATTTATAAACCGTGATGTAAAAGTGATGCTTCTGATGCGTCATCTGGACATAGATGTGTGTGTAATGGCCGTCAGCTGCTGATATTAATTATTCATTGTAAATGTTGCGACCCGTCCAATAAGGCAGTTACATTTGCATCCATCTCCCTTTGGGTGCTCTGCTGGAGGTGTTAACAACTGTAAAAACAGATCTGTGCTCTGTGGTATCAGGTCGAGTAAGGGGGCGCATTGCTCTTCTCTTCTCACCGAGGTGCTGATGGGAGGAGGGATCAGAGCGTTGGAGATTTCAGGCCAGAGAGGAACAGGAAGTGACTGTTTATTTTTCTCATTTCCTCTTTGAGGCTCCACTAGTGAGCCTGCTTCTTCCACTCCCTCTTCTTTATTACTGACGCGAGCCAAAGCCAAGATATATGTACACACATGTAAGCAGCACAAAACTATCAATAAAAGGGAGTAAATGTACATTCTTATGAGGAATAGATAAGGTGTCAGATTTTCCACTTGTTTGTGGTTTAGTTTATAACTGCTTTCTGTCCTAGTTAAAAGGTTTGCAGTTTTAACTTGTTCAGGCTGCACAACAGATGAAAAGCACTTAAAGATCTGTGCGTGAGGTGTGAAATCTAGTGTGCATGTGCTATTTTTTCTTCAATAACACAGTCCGAAAATGCAGATAATTGGCACAAAGATTTGCTCAGATCCTCTAACTGGTAGTGGGTAAAAATCAATAATAAACATAGAAGGATTACGCATAGTATTGACCTCATACAGTAATTGGGAGCTTACCCTGGCAAACATCTTTATTTAATAGTTTTAAACTGCAGTCATTCTCAAAGAAGCACAATTTGAGTGCTCTATTACTATTGAGTCACATAACATTAACATGCCTGCTTTGATATAACATCTGACCAGCATTTCAGGCCTACAACAATAAGACTATACAGTTAATTCTGGTTCTATTTAGTGAGTGTTTAGTTGTTTGGACGACCATCCTTTCTTGTAGCTCTTATATAATAACATTTACTCGTGTAACAAGCACCTCAAAGATGCTTTACAATTTGTAAAAACCAACAGCAGAGCTCAGATGTATCAAACGTTTGAAAAAACAATGTTCAAAAGTGATTTATGATGAAATACTTCGTGACTGATGGGACTTGTTAATTATGTACTTTCATACATTAATGAGTCTTGCCAATTTTCAAACCCATTTAGACTTGTTTAATTAGTTTTGGCCTTTGCGTGACACTTTGATAGCACTCCAGCTTGCATTGTGTCGCAGTTGATACTCTGTTGTGGATCCATATTTTTGCTCTAATGGCTATAAATTAGGAGAATGCCTGCTGGGCAGATCCTGGCACCCGCACTATCCATTTAACCTCCCGGGTCCCAGTGCTTGTTGGCGTGAGTGGGGACATGGTGCCAGTACGCAGGGGGAAAAAAGGAGAGGTGGGGGGTGCAGTGTGGACCATTCTCAATGCCTCTTTAGTCGACTGACTGTCAGTGAGTGCTGACTGAGCTTTCTACTGTCCTCCGTGTTGCCTCCACATAAGGCTTCTATTATATGGAAATATCAACAGAGGTTGTATTCTGCCATCTCTCCGTGGCTATATGACCTCTCTGCCTCCACCCCCCTGGTGCCCCCCTCTCGCCTTTGGACCCCTCACATGGAAACTAATTTGGCTCTCAAGTGGGGCTATTGTTTTGGCTGCCGAGCGAAAAGCCCAAGTGAAACATACAGTTACAATCTCGCCGGCATTTTTTTTTTCTCCCACCCCCTCTCTCTTCCTCAATCCTGGTCTTCTTTTTCCATGGGAATCCCAGGGCCATATATGGTCGTCCTCAGTGGCAGGAGCAGCAGCTAGATTGCTGAAGGCTGAGGCTATGTGTGTGTGCGTGTAAGTGTATGGATGTGTGTGTGTGTAGTCTGGTTACAGCTCCCAGCAGAGCTCATCTAGTGGAGGGACCCAGCTGGTCGCCCCGCAGCGCTCTAACCCTCCCCCTCGTACCCTCTGGCCTCATGAACCCTGCCAATAGCACAGGAGCTGTGAGCTCTTTGTCTCTGGCATAAACACACACACATACACAAATTCACACCACTTTACACCACCAACATTAACGCTGTAGCTGTCTTACAAATATAGATTTGCTCCTCTTCATTTTCTGCCCATTTATTCATCCCTTGATTGTTCTGTTAAATTAATTTATTTGATTTTACCTTTTCACCTCATCGTCTAGACCGATCCGCCTGTAACACACACACACACATACACATGCAAACGCAGACACATAACGCACTCATACTTACATGCAGGCGGTAAGAAGGAATTCCTTTTGTGGAAGTGGCTGCGCGCCTCTGAGCCAATGACGTAGCCCCGCGAGGAGTGGCCAAAGCGCTGATGCCTGAAGCCCCAAGGCTAGGAGTATTACTTATCTGGGAATTTCTCCACTGGTATGCTAGTCCAGGGCCTCTGCTGCTTACTGGTTAGGTGGCTGCAGAGAGGATTGTATACTTCTAGAGGGTGAGGGGGAGAAAAAGCTGATTTGTTGTTGCTTTATAAGGAAGAAAACTAGCCTTTCTCTTTGAGGAGGAACGTGAAACAAGCTCTTTGTTTTTAAGCTTTACTGTAAATGCCTTTTTAACAACTTATGGACTCTTTTTGTCTGTAGTTTGTACATACAGCCATCATTTAATTCACTGCATCTTGAGTTTGGTTTTGTATGCTTTCGATTGTGTTCCTCGAGAGAGAAATAGAAGTGGTATCACATTTCTTCTCCACATGCCAAGCTTTCTTGTGTGGTTTTTCCGTTGCTTTGATCCTAATCACAATCGTAGTAAAAAGTCTGTTGCGGGTTTCGGGGGTTTGAACAGCTGTCACAGACATTCACGGCGATAATCTCCCGGTTTGTTGCTGTTTTAGTTTTACATTTAGCGACTGTTGCATAATCCGCAGACATCCAAGAGCACAGTTTTCATCAGGACTGTTTATTCAGTTGAAAGTTCGGTTGTCCTTTATGACAACTGTTGACAGTGAGGTCTGTGGATTATCCTGAAAGAATCTGGACATTGTTTCTGAAAAGACGCGTCTCTGTTGGATGACAGTGCTCTATGATTGAGCACCACAAAGGAAATTCCATTCACCACCATTGGCAAATAAAGTGCAAATCTGAACCGTGCAGAAGGTTGAATAACACAAAGAAAACGAGCTCAAAATATTTGACATTTTTGAGTCTAATTAGGGTGTGTGTTGACTTCTACACAGATGATAGAAATGTCGGCAGTTTTGACACTAAGGCACCTGACAAAAGTCAAATGAAATGATTGAAATATAATTATAAAACTTTGAGTATTTCATACTTGAATCCTCTTGTTTTTTCATTTCTAATCATAGCGCTACATCAAACTGACAACATATACACATCTCATGTAATTCTGAATTAATTAAGGTGAATTTACATGGCAGCTCAGCTCACATCCCCCCCAAGAGTTTTTTTATTTTATTTTCTTCTTTACCTAAGAACCATATCCAAGTTCAACATTAGGAATACTAATTTGATATATGTTTATGAAGCTAGAATAACTTAACAGGCTTGAGAACATGGTAGCTCAGCTTGCAGCGCATGAGGGTGTTTGGGACACTGGATTTTTATGAGTTAGTGTGTTTGTGTGTAGTTTTATTACAGAGTTAGTTTGCATCTTTTATAGTGGACAATTAACACTTAAGGAGAAACAAGGGCACAAAGAAACAAGGTAGCAGCAGCTCAGTTCGCAGCCCCTTTTAATGTCCTATACAAGCTTACACAATGATTGACACCAATCGCCTCAATAAGTGTCTTTGGTCTGAGTTGGTTAAATGCATTTTGAGTGTGGTTGTTTTTGTCATCTTATTTAAAGTATGGATTAAATGGGTTAAAAGGGACTTTGTTTTCTTACGTGCAAATATAGTTTTTACATGTGCTGTACATTAAAAAATCTGCCCATTAAGCGTAACTTTTGTGTCACTATACATTCCCTCTCATTGAAAAATCTTCACGAAACACTGAACAGAGGCCTGTCCATGATGCCATGTGCTACTGTAAGTGCCAAGCTCTTAAGATGGCTAGATACATATAAATCAACCGCATTAGCAATGAAAATTAAGCTTCTGTGTAAATGATTGTCTGTCTAAGGGTAAGAGCAGAATCATTTGTGTAGAAGTGAGTCTAAGAAAAGCTTCACCCTAAATACCCGGAGATCTGGCCTCTCTGAGTTTCATCTCAGTGTATTTGTCATAACTGGGGCTGTATATGTTTTCGTTGTATTTTTGAAGATATTGCAGGTAGCCATCATTTTTGTGTACTCCTTTATAAAATTTTATTTTATAACGATCTCTTATGTTACATTTCGATCCCTGGTTTTAGGCATCATCTGATGGTCTTGGTATCCACATTTGACAGTCTCAAGTGTACACAACAAGTTTGGCTTGCTGCTCAGGCCTCCCTCAGCTGTACAATGTGAAAAGGACACAACAGCAGCTTTCTGAAAGGAGCCTGAGCTGGCCATCTGAGAGTGCAGTGAAAGGAAGTCAAGGAGGGGAGGGGTGTTCAAGTGTCTCCTTGATGTGGAGTGCTGCTAAATAAAGCTTGAATCTTTCTACATGATGGGCCAGAAGATAATAAACCTACCTTTTTATAAACACACAGTAGCTTTACTCCTTTACGGCAATGTTAGGCTTGTCTGTTTGGAGTGAAACGTGGAGCAAGACTTCACAGTAACGTGTCCCCTATGCTTGTGGATTCAGTCACTTCAGTTTCTGGCAGGCGATGAAGCTCATGACCGTTCCTGCTGTGAATTAGGTTCATGTTTGTATTTGTATCTTTCACATGCTTTTACTTAAAACCGATCGTGTCCAGTGACATGCGTACCTTTTTTAGATTTAACATTCTCATAGTGTTTTAGTTTTACAACAGTATTACTGTGAAAAAGGGATTGTACGTGCAAATGCATGTTCACTTAATGCAACCCTCAGAGAAAGATAATTTTATACATCACTGTGTGTGAATGTGTGTTAACCAAATCTAGGTCAGCTGAATTTTGCTGTCACTCTGTAGTTTTATTTTTAAACATCTGCTTCATTTAACTGGGCTCAATGGTGGCTCAGTGGTTAATGCAGTCAGAAGGTTCCAGGTTTGAATTCTGTGTGGAGTTTGCATCTTCTCCCTGTTCATGCTGGGGTCCTCTCCAGGTTCTCAGGCTTCCTTCCATGTGTATTGTTGGTTATCGCTATATGTCAGTCCTGTGATGGACTGGTGATCTGACCAGGGTGTACCCACCCACTACGGGTTGGAGAAAAAATCGATACAGCATAATATCGCAATATTTTGTCTGGTGATATATTGTATCATCTCATTTATCAAGTATTGATTTTTCAAATTATTTGCTAATATGAAGTCAAATCTATGATAATGGAAAAATAAAATCAACTGTTTGTCTAGTGACTGGGGGTAGTTGAAAACGCTTTTCTGGTCCGAGTTTGTTCAGTCTGTCGTCCTGTCGGCATGAGGGGCAGTAGCCTACAGTATATCTACAGTATATATATATTTTTTTATAACTTAATAAAAATTTAAAAAATCGGCGGATTAATCGGTAACCGAATTTATTTCCCCCAAATAATCGGTATCGGCCCCATAAAAAATCCATATTGGTCGGTCCCTAATATATCAGGTTTGTGAGATGTGCTACATGAAAATAAAATACAGCGTAAATAAGACAAACATAAAGGAAAGACAAATGCTAAGTTACCTAAACAGTTACAAAATTGGATAAAACACAATACATTATCACAATACCTCAGCTTCCCTGAACTGGATAAGCAGTAAAGATAATGGATTCATGGATTTATTTTACTGTTTGAATTGTGAAAAGCTAGAGCTAATAACATGCCTTTCTCTGGCATGGTTCTTTCGAAATAAAGGTTCTTCAGTAACACATCAACTACGCACTTCTATTGTGAAAATCTGTCAGAAATGAAAGGTTGTTACCATCAAATTAGCTGAGTTTTTAGAGTTAACATTAGCAAGAACTGATGCAGTATTCACAGTCAATTGAGATGCATGAACGCTTAAGCATGCACAGAACGTTTGGGCCAGTTTGAGTCTGATTGAGCCATATACATTACAGAGAAAACCACACTGAGTGGCTTAATACCCCAATACACAGGGTCTTATGTGTCTTTCCATGTCTGGTGCCTCTTGAACAATATTTTGAATTGGATTATAATCGGTAACAGTGGCAGCCACTCATTAGCGCTGCAGGGCATGTCTCTTTTTTTTTTTGCCATAAAAGGTCATGAAAATTTCCAGATAACCGCCAAAAGCCATCCCTGCAAGTGGTTAAAAAAAGAGAGATGGCACCTGGAGACGCTCCATTCAACGAGAGTTTTCTGATGTTGTCTCACCGCCGCTTGCTCTCTTCACCGCCCGCACGGGCTGTCCAAGCAACCCCCGTGCGCTTCATAATGAAGTCTTTTCTCTATTTATTTATGTTTCTTTCAAAAGCCCGACAAGGTCTGAACCCGTGTTCTCTTTTTGGCTTTGTCGTCATGGCAACAGACTGGCCCTTTTTCTTAGGTGCATGTCATGGGTACATTTTTGGGCCCCGCTCAGAGAATGGCTTAGCTCATCTTCTTTCAGGCGTTAGCGGGGAGTAGGGCTCAAATTCCTCCATATTATTTCAGGATTAGAGTAGAGCGTATGAGGGACACTATATTCTTTCTGTGCTAATCTTCTCCATATTTATCCCCAATGGTTCAGGAGGGTTTATTAAGTTAATCAGTTGATAGCGTTTATAATCAGTCCAACTTAGCTGGGGTTAATTGATGACTGTGTGAAGTTTTGATAGTATTAAGCATTGTATATCTGGCAGTTACGGCTCCTTCTTATCCAGTCGGGCCAGGACTAATGACTTTTTCTGTCTTTTCCTTGGGTACTTCACTCTGTCTGGCAAATTTCTCTTTCTTAAAGTGCCACTTGAGGTCATTTCTTTCTTGACAAATACAAGCTGATTGTACAGTTACGTCTGGCTGATGTTTATTTGAACAGGTTCCCATCAGCGTAAACCAGCTGACACATTAAGTGATTTTAAAGCCAGTGTTTTGAGGAGTTGGAAAAGAACATGGTACGAGCTGTCCCGCGTTGTGAAATAAGATGCTAAGTGGTCTGTCACAACCTCAAGGATCACATAAGTTCTGCTGAAGTATTACAGTAGATCCTGCTGGATTGGGTATTACTACAAGTACAAACATTAGTTTTAACTGTGGTCACCTGGTTATTAATTATCCCAGCCTTAAAGTTTTCTCCCCTTTTCATTAAAAGCATTTTTTCTCATGACGTGCTTTTAAAATCCCTATTTATCAGTACTTACTCACATCTGCCATTGTGGAGATTTCTCAGATTTTGTTAAATTCTTATTAAACATATCAGAAATGTTCTTTGCCTTTCCCACTCCGCTGGTAACCACATCCCTCAAAACCTAATGCTGCCTCAAAGCTAGCACACAGCATACATTAAACCCTATTGACAAATCAAATGGAGCGTCCTGTGTCCATCGATTAGTTTAGTGCTTGATTTTATTTTACGTCAGCTTCCCAGAAGCCTCAGTTTCCATTAGAGATGCCCTTCCATCAGGAAGGGTGGCAAGGACTCATCCCTCAGTCCACCCTGATAAACTAACACGATACATCAAGGATTTCCCAGGTGTACGATACACTGTTAGTCAGTATGTTTTAATCTCAAATTTAACTGGTGAATCCGTTTTTCAGACATTTCTACATCTGCAAACATAGATCTTGTTTTATATGAAAGGATCAAGCTGTTAACCAGACATTCTTCCAAGCCAAGTAATGCTTTCCCTTTTTTTTCTTTAGCTGTACCAAGATTGAAGTATTTTTTAAGTAAGTGAACTTGAGAACAATACTACTTAGCTTGCATCTGCCTTTTAAAAAGCATTAAAGTGGTGAACTTTTTACCCTAATACTTTTTTTGACAGTGGTTTTTGCCTTGTTTTATGACCTGACACCTTGACCACCAGCCCGTTTGAATCCAAAATGTTGATCCTAAAGTCAGACTATGCAATCATCAGATTAGGCCAACACAGAGCCATAGATTCATGACATGACAAACTATGTGGTAGTGTAATGCTCGACTTCATGTCCCAAAGGTGGCCTTAATTTTTGACGAATAACACCGGGTTAAGCAATCAATTTCCTGAAAACTCTGCATCTCTCAGGTTGAGCTATAGTAATGCCTATAACTTGTAGTGTTATCTATGCATGAAGGAATAAGACCTGACAACAAGCTGAGTCATCTAGAGCTAGACCGACACTACAGCAGCTCAGCTCGCAGCCCCCAAACATATTGTGTCTGCTTTGGAACACCAGAGAAAACTTTGTCCTACTCAGAAGAAATACTGAAGGTGTCGCGACCTGAAGACAAGCTGAGAACCTAGAAAATAGTTAGTGGCAGCTCAGCCTGCAGCCCCCCAAAATACTGTATCTGCAAAGAGAAACTACTTGGTGAAGTATTGTTTGACACTGCTGCAGTTCATCTTCAGCATTTTTATCAGGTAGTCTTCACTGCTGTTTCAGACCGATGACTTTCAGCTCTAGTAAATGTATCATCATCTGTTCAAGAGCCAAACTAATAAATGTTGGTGTTGTTATTTGCAGAGTTAAGCCCCTCCTTATCGATGTCACTTTGAATTCTAGTGTAGCCAGTTTGGTTTTTGGGTAGTTCTGCTAGAAAGTCTAATTTTTTATCCTGAGGTTTGTTTGTTTTTTCACTTATTAGTCCCACTCTTCTTTTCCATCCATCTTCTTGCCTTCGCTCTTGACACTGTATCAGATCTTCTCCCTTCCTCAGACACACTAGCCAAACAGGTTTTAAATGGCACCGTGTCTGAGAGTGAGTCACTACATGTCTGAATGTTTCGCTGCAAGCGCAGCACGGGTCTGATATGCCAATCAGTGGGTTTATTGTAATGTGTGAGACAGGATTAAACCCACATTGTTTCTTAAAATAACTGAGATATAACCTCAATCCCACTCCTCTGCTCTGTTTGACTCACTCACCCTGCCTAATGAACAAAAGAGCTTAATGTTAGTTCAGTGTGGGGTTGCAAAACTCGGCTGCTCTGTCCTCCTCCTTCCTTTTTCAGATGAATATGTAGAGGATGCCGCAGCACTTTCTCTCAACTCTCCCCTTCTTTGTCCGGTGTATCTGACCACTGGGCTACACATAATCTTGATGCAGGCTGTCACTTCGGCACCTGTCAGCCGAGGACAATTACAGCCATTAAGGGATTACCTTTGTTGGACTCTACTAGCTGCTAGGAGGAGCCAGCGGAGGAAGGTGACGTACCGAAGAGGGAGGTCACAGCCAGCGCTGCGTTCGCCTTAAGGGGCTTGTTTCCATTCTTAGAGAGGGAGAGGACTTTGAAGAGATAATAAGCGCGCAGGGCTGACTGAGGGGGAGGATTTAGATGAGGGTAAGGAGGACAGTTTTCAGTGGAGAGGAAAGAGGCAATCTCGTTTATATGTTTCTTTTTACATGATGCATAAAGTGAAGGCTGATTAACTGAAGCTGATGTTGCCCAATACCCCTGACATCTTCTATTAAATTATACTCCAACCCATCACACAAACTCGCACATAAATCCATATGGTATGTTATTGAATGGAAAAACGTAAATGCAAAAAGCAGTTCAGTTTGGCTGGAAGCCTCCTCTCCAGAGGGACTTGATTTATACGCTTTTATACAACTGTGTTTCGAATGCAGTTTGAACATAAACTGAACATATGTCTGGTATTCCTGCTTTGTGTATGTGCTATATTATGATGGAAATATTAAAAATGCAATTTATGGACAGCTTGTGAAGAAAAAGAGCAGTCCTCCTGTTGTTGGGAAACAGAGGCAACACTATGAAGACTAAGTGCGCTGCTGTACAGGCTGTTCAGGACAACATGGCGACTTTGTTCATTAAAACTCAGCACTCGGTCCTCATGTGCCCTCATATGCAATATGATTCTTTTAGCTGATGGCTTAAATAGTGCCAATGCCTATGTTGAGGTCTGACTGTACTGTACTTCACATTAGCTTGTCAACAATGCACTGATCAAGCACTTGAAACTTGCCACACATGGGATATGAGCCCAAATCCGGTTACTGATTCTTTATTTTTATACTTACTTATCCATTTGTTGATTTGCACGTAGGAAATTGATGATACATGACAAAGGTCTTGGATTGAGGCGTGATATTGAAAGTAATGCTGCGTTCCAGTCAGCGTTTTTTTTCCATTACGAAGACATGACAATGACGAGCTAAACATGCGTCTTAGATGACTAAAATGTGACGAGACGAATGTGCGTTTACGCTGACGAGACTTGACGAAAACGTTAGTGGTGGACGACGAACAGAGTTGCAAAATTCATGAGCATTTCGTCAGTCGAACGCTAAACATATATTCTGCAGTGTTGTTTTCGTCGACGATGACGTTGACAAATTATTTTCATCAACGTCATTGTCAACGAAAACAACACTGGTTCGAGTTACCTCGGAAGTCAGATGTCGGAGCTGAAAATGAAGACACACCCCAGTTTCCGGCGTTTCATTTGGCTACATCTACAAAAGTTATTTTAGCGCTTGCCTTATATTTGGACAAGCCAAGTGCTAAAATAACTTTCGTAGATATATCCATCTTGTTTCTGCCTCCAATTTTGCTTTTTTCCGACTTGGTAACTGAAACGCTGGTAACTCGGGTGTGACGTCATTTTCAGCTCGGACTTCTGACTTCTAAGGTAACTCGAACGCAGCATTAGACCTCTGGTGTTTGGATTTAACAAGTAACCCTGCAAACTTGTGACTTCAAGCGGAATGCCTATGCTGTTGACATAGTAACAGGTTGCAAGTTACCAATTAATAGGGTCACTTGTTGAACCATAACACTGACATGATTACTCGTAACCTTGTATCGTTGGAGAGCTTGTGTAGAGTAAAACAAGAAGGCAGCATAAATATTACTGCTTCTACCATTTCTCTTTTTTCAATGTATCTGTAAAAGTAAAACCAGATAGTCGAATTCTAAGGTCAACTGTGTTATGGTAGAAGCTAAAGGGCTGTCAGAAGATGTTTTTTTATTTTTTTATTTCAGATATGACCTGATCTCTCTCAAAGTGACCACAAATTATTAGATTGTTGATTTTTATTCAAATTGCATACTAAGACCTAATCGTAAGACAACAATATTGAGCATCCCACCCTGAGTACACTGTCAATGAAGATGGCTGCCTAACCCTAACCTTAATAGCTGATAGTAAAGCCATGATGCTGCACATGTTTAGACCAAATTATGGACCTAGATGGAGATGAGAAATTCCAGCTACATCATTTGCACACAATCAGCTGACAAACCTGGATGGTTTCATTTCGCGTACCACTTTTAAAATAATATCCTGTTTTCTCATCTGCCCAGTAACACAGCCAGATCCAGAGTCCATCTGCACCTGGAGAAACTCTGCCTGAGCACTCACACACACACAACCCATAACCGCATCATCCCACACAGACACACTGACAGACACACACACACACTGACAGACACACACACACACACACACACACAGTGAGATAAGCTCAGTGAGGCCTCTGCAGGCGCTCTTCAGCTCTGGCCATGTACGGCGGTTGTAAACGGCCCAAATTTGGACAAGGATTCCAGCCAGATAGTCGTGTGCCCTAAACGTGAGGCCGCTGTGTGTATCTGTGTGTTTCTGTTTCTCTTGACAACGCTTTTGTTGGCATAGCAACCCCAGGAGAGAGAGAGAGGGAGAGGAGGAGGAGACGGTACAGGCGTGTGTTCAACAGTGGGGGTTGAAGGGGTTCAGATGGCAAAGTGAACTTCTGTATTTGATATAACTTGATGGTAACTATTCCAGATTGATGATTATTTATTGATAATTTACAGTGGCTGCCACTCGATCAGGTTGTTCAGTTATTAGATTGATAGCTTAGATTTACTGCTTAAATTCTTATGCATCTTTCATTTGAGGTAGCGTCTGAACCTTGTTATGTTTGTGTGTGTCCTGAATAAAGAGGGCACTGCAGGCCTCTCTCTCTCTCTCTCTCTCTTGCTGCATTTCCTCGACTGTGTTGTTTTGGTTGTTAAGTAGAAATCTGACCTCTTTGACAGCAGCTTTTCTTGGCCTCACAGAGGAGAGAGGGAGAGGGCTGAGTCCCTTGAGAACCTCAAGAAATATGTCCATCTTATGCTTTAAAAAAAAAAGTGGTCTTCTGATATCATAATGGCTGATTATGAGGAGTATTTGCGAACAGTTCAAGGCCAGAGGGGTAAAAGTACAAATTTGAAAAATGCTAATTCATGTAACCAAACCCAGCCCACCGTACGCCCACCGTGGCGAGATTCCTGCATCTTAATGGAGGCAAATTTAAGACACCTCCCACAGTATGAATCAGACGTTCCTAAATTACATACCTCCCACTGATAGCAGCAAATGATTTCTGAGGGTATCTCTCTTCGTTATGACACCATCACCAGTCAGATTCGGAAAATGGAAAGAAAGACAAAATTACAGTAAAGAAATGAAATATGTTTGTGATTATCAGTCATCAGCTTCTTTGAACTCATGTGGGGGAGTTTTTCGCTGGTTATCAGACAGTCTGAAATCTACATTAATGCCTCTATTTAAGCTGAAATACAAACAGGACAGTTAGTAAAAGGAGTGGTAATTTCAATATTGTTATTTTCAAACCCTGAACTGCTACTTGAGGCAGAGCTGTCAGACAAAGTTGTTAAGTCGGAGCTTAAATTTCTGTTTAACCAGCAAGGACATTAGTCACTGTAGAACATCCTGATTAAAATAAAGAAAACAGCATTAGCACTTTGCAAGAACTCATGGGAACAGGCAGAAACCTCAAGCAGAACCAGACTGAGTGAACAACCATCTGTGGTACCCAGGTGGAAGTGAAAATGGTATATAAAGAGAAACAGAAAGAGAGAAACAAACAGACCAGTCGGTAACTCTCCAGAGATTCTTTGATACGCTCCAATTTCCTTCCCCCCAAAGAGGTGTCTGATGAGGACACCGTCCTTCGCAGGCACATCATCTTCCCTCAACAACCAGACTGTCTTTGAATCTGTAGCTTGTCCAAAACACAAGCGAATAAAGCTTCCATAAGGAGACAATCTCTGCGTGCCAGCAGATATCTGTTAACACTTGTTTTTCACGTTCTCTGTATGTGTTTGTGGTTTTAAAAAAAGGCGTTGAACTAATGCTCACTGCTCTCTAGAGTAATGTTAAAGCAACTCATGGAGGTGTTTTAAAATGATTCGGTTTGCATGAAAGGATATATAAAGAAAACGGGCACAGCACCTCCGTGTCTCTACCAGCAGTGCAATGCTATGTGGTATTTAAAGCTCCTCTGCTATGTGCCGGCATTTAAAGAACGCCCCAGCTGCCAAAATTCTCTGACAATTCTGGACACACACGTCTATCTATCAGACACTGACATAAGCACATATGCACATGTGCACGTACTCAGACACACAGGGCAGGTCGCATTTCCAGCTTCTTGCAGTGACCTTAACCTGCCCCCCTCTCTCTCTCTCTCTCTCTCTCTCTCGCTTCCTCTCACAGGCATGTATAGACGACAACGTTGACATGGTGACTTTCCTGGTGGAGCACGGAGCCAGCATCAACCAGCCCGACAACGAGGGCTGGATCCCCCTCCACGCTGCAGCCTCCTGCGGATACTTAGACATAGCAGAGTAAGTCTCCAGAAGCCTCTGTTTTTTAAGAAGCAGCGGTATCTGTTTCATCAGGTTTACTTCTGCAAAGTCATCCTCACATCCTGTTTCTATCTAGTCTATTCTCAGAAGCATTTCTTTTCTTTGTAATAACACCTTGTCGTCTCGACACTTGAGCAGCAGGGTTAGTAAGGCTACAAAGTGACATCAGGACTGACGTGACTGTGCTCCAGCTGAATCCTGCACTATCCTTGCGCCCCTTTTTGTGACCCCTGTCTTTATAATATTGTTAGCAAGATAGACGCACTCTTAGTCCGACCAAGAGCACACTTTTAATCATTTTTTCAGCCAAACAAAGCAGGGATAAATTTCTAATCAACCCCTTTAAAACAGGAATGGAGATTTTTCAGCTTGCACGTCATAATCAGCACATCAAAATGATGTAAAAACTGTATTTCACAATGGATTCTGATTGGTTTCCCATCCATATTTAGGAAGAGTAATCATTTTTGCATATTTTTTTCTCTCGCCTCTCAAAAAAAACATTAAAGTCATATCTTTGCGGAATTTGTTGAGTCCCGAATGAACAAATATGCTGTCTCACATCTTGAAAACAAGATTGTAAGCCAGAGCATTCCCTGCATAATTACAGTATTTGACTATTTTTCTGTTGTTTCACTTATTCTGCAGTTCATCTAAAAACTGCAGCTCCTGCAACTTGAATGCTTCACTTGGCGATTATTACCACCATGATAGTATTTGAACTAATTGTGCAGCCCTGTTCAGCATCTCTCAGCTCATTTTGTCAGCAGCAGCAGCCCATCTGATAGCTCCAACACATGTTGTTAAATGATGTAATCAAATATGGACAGATCTTTTATCAGCCCCCGTTATCAGGAATAAGCTCTAACGTTGCACTCCAGCTGCTTCTAGTCCTTTTCAGGTAAGACAGCTCTGAGAGCACCAAGCACAACACAGAGATGTTATCTGAGGATATTTAAACAGGCTAAAGGGAGCTGAAGGGGCTCAGTTGTACTCATTGTTCAGCATATTGGAAGTGTGCTGTGACCTGCTTTACTTCTGAGTTACATTACAGGAACCTGGCTACTGATTTAACCTCCTCAGAGCTTTTCCCAAAAATGACACGTTCAGCTAGCTGCAGGAAGATAAACATGAAGCTTAGGTACAAAATCTGCACAGCGTTTCAATTGCTTTTAAATTTACTTTTTGTCTTGGTATATTTAGAGATTCAGGCACACAGAATGTTTCCAGAATTCGTTTTAAGTGCAATTCCACTTTTTCCAGATCGAGGGCCTGTGTCCACTAACAACTGTGATTCTGCTGGCAGCACCCTTAACCACAAATTTACTACTATGGCGAGGTTGGCTGCACCTCTGCCTCCATAAGTAGTGACAGTTAGGTTTGTTTCAATTTCCTCATTCTGCTCCACATTTGCCTCTATTCAATGGAATTTCTAAAAAGAAAGTGTAACATCTGTAGAAATCATGTCATAGCATAAGCAGCCATTAACAGCTCTAGATCTGGGAATTGTATCCTTGAAAAAACCTGGTTAGTTTCTCATCAGTATTACCATCTGCCATTGTCATTGATGTAAGAAGTTCTGTCAATTGGTTTGTATAGGAGGCAAGTACTGCCAGTGCAAAAGCTGCTGTCAGTGGAGATGGACCCTAATTTTTTTTTTCGAGTTTACCAGTATTGTCTTTTTTCTAAAACAAAATTAACAAAGTTTATAAACGACTCTTAAAATGCCTAATCACACTGGTTTTGTTCACAAGACAGGTGCTACTAGAGCAAAAGCCTGCTGCAGTGTACACAGGCCCTAGTTTGTTTATTTATTACATTTTTCTAGATACATCAAAAATAATAATAGATTCATTTTTTTGAGGAATCAATGAGAAGAGGGTTCTTTCAGGGGTTGGCAGGCTATAAAAATGTTTGTGAGACATCCAATAGAGTTGGAAACAGGGGAAGATAATGGGTAAATTGCTGTTTTAAAGACTGTAGCCTTCCCTTAACCACTGAACAAAAGAGATGCCTTGCAAACACTTTGATCTTGCTGCCATTAAAACATATGCATTTGAATGTATTTGACTATTTTGTTTCGATGTCAGAGAGTATTCACAAGAGAGTTGTCAAAGAAACTCTAATTCTAGGTCCAATCCCCGAGGCTAAGAGGCTCTCCCCAGTCCAAAAAGGACTGAAATCTGAACAAGACCATGATATATGAACATATTTGGTGAAACCCTCTCAACGGTCCCTCCAGTGACCCACTTAATTTGCAGTACTTATCTTTTATAATGAAAAAACAAATCTGAATTTTACGGCTGATATCTCTTCAGAATAGGGAATTAATGAAGGTTCATTGGTTTTCCCACGCATAACAACACTTTATTGATATTTCCATGGTTTCCATGGTCTTTTTCCAACACAGTGTTGTTCATTCGGTTGTTTTTTTAGGTCTTTGAGTTGAAGCGCTTGTTCAATTTTATGGTATGTTCTGAGAATTTACTTAATTTTAAGCTTCAATAAATAACTAAAGTATTTTTAGCTCTCAGCAAAAAAGAAGAATTCTCATTTCATTGAGAGTGGGGAAAAATCCTCTCTGTCAGCTCATAAGACAGGCCTTAATCCTGAAAAAAATTACGAATATCCTTTCAACGATTAAACAAGAGAAAGCTAAACCTAAACCTCTGAAAGTTCTTATCATTTAGTGGCTTTTTTTTCGACGTATGAGGTGAAGAAATTAGCTGCTTCATCAACAAAATATCCACACAAATGAGAGATGTCAGTGTTGTTTACTTCTCAGACGCAGCCAGTCTGTTTCCAGTAGTTGTTATGAACACAACCTCAGCATGGCCAAGTATTACAGAAAACAATCAGTTTTTTGTTGCCACACACTGAGTGAAAAGGTCAAGTGGCTGGCCTGCAATGGGTGACTAATGGAGACATCATGTCATAGAGAAGAACTCTCTAACCTGGTGTGGGTGGCCAGTGAACTCTCTGTGGACTCCTTTCAATCCCCAGCACCCTCATTTCACTGTGAAGGAAACTCCAAAAGCCCCGGTGTCACCGCAGCCACTTAATGCCAGGGTTGGTTAAGAATGTCACAGAGGGGGTCCGCACCACAAAACCCATCAAACCCAGTGAAGCTGACCTAAAATAGGCCCAATAGAAAGTCCAATCAAGACGACATAAATGTCTAAAACGTGACTCCAGTCACTCAGATCCCATGTGTGGGGGAAGTCATAAGTACTCAGTCTGTTTCAAGTGGTGTGTCGGCCTAATGAGAAGGGCCTGAGTCTCACCACAGCGGTAATTGGAAGCAGCTGAAGTCAAGATGTTGAATGAGTTAAAAGGTTCAGTGTCTCTGCTTATGGAGGACAAAATTAAAAAGGGTTAAGTCACTAAGAAGACACGGGTGAGGTGTTAATTTACAGTAAATGCCAAATTTGGTTTTCTGCTACTATTTCAAAGAGTTATTCTAGTTTAACTCTGGATCTGAGTGCTGTTAGTAACGGGTGGGTAGAGGGTCTCGTAAAGACCAGTTCAGAGTCGTGAAATTCATTAAGTTTAGACAAGATAACTCGATAAACATCATAAATAAATTGACAAATGTGGGGTAACAAACAAAAATTCAAGAAAGGAAGTAAGAAAAGGTGAAGCTGATGTCTTGTTGGTACAAAAGGTTCAGAGGTGTGAAGTTGTCTATGTTTTCAGCATTCAACATCCAACCAGGTAGCCTCTTACTAACTTGTTTGATTGTTTTGGTGCATGACATTATAGTGGTAGTTACTAACTAACAAGGAGCCTGTAAACGGGGACATAAGTCTGTCCCAGTATACAATAACTGCAGCTCAGCTTTACTGTGAATGTAAAGGTACTGAGTGTCAAATGGACTAAGGGCCTGTGTCCACTAACCGCCTTATTTTGCTCTGGCAGCGCATTTTTTTTAATACAAAATCAGAGCAGTTTAGAGATTTCAGCACTTAGCACCACAAGTGCAGAAGTACTTTCACTTTGCACAAGTTGAAACACTACCCTGCTCACCAGTGCCACTTCTCCCTCACCAACCAATCAAAATCAAGAAGGGGTGGGACTTCCAACAGCATCAACAGCTGGAAAAAATTGTCCCCAAGGATCTTTCCCAAAGCGACCTCAAATAGGACCCTGCAGAGTCTTGAATAAGCCTTGACACTGGCAGCTCTTGTCTCAGACTTTTTTTTTTTATTGGATAGTTTATCTCATGCAGCCAGGCTTGTTTTTTTTAGGTCTAGAGTTGCCACAAGACAACTTTTGTAACCTGGCAACAGTTAGTGGAGGTGAGAATGCTGCAGAAAATTAGGTTGTGGATGCTGCCAGTGCAAAAACTGCCGTTAGTATACCCAAGATATTAAACTAAGGCTGAGCTTAAAATAGCACAAGGAATAAAGCAATCATAGATGGAAGAGTGACAAACACAAAGCCCTTATGTAACAGTGTCAACCTTTTTATGATCAACCGAATAGATACACGACAGTGGTTTGGTTTCAATGAATGAAGCTGTAGTGCTGTAACAGGAACTGAACAATAGTTTAGTGCCAAACATCAGCAAGTAGTAAACAATCCATGCCATAAACCTGTCTGGATTTGTGCCACACCTCTCAGCCTTTATTTTGAAGGTGTGGCTGTTGTCTCTGTTTGCAGAGCCTCAGGAAGACCCTGTGACATTTCAACACGTCGTGCCTCAAGTTTGTCTGGAGTTATGACATTAGCATGTTATTTGTACACGCACCACAGCTACTTACCTTTGTTAGTTCACCGGTGAAACACTCTTCGCTCATGTTTTAACTTGACAGCGTTTGATTTTGAGGGATACTTTATAAAATCATGTCCCAGGGGTTACTTATGAAGGAAAGGTCCAAATTGCAACAAATTGAGGATCTTGCCAGAGATAATGCTGGAAGTTATTGAAATTAATTATGTGCTTAATCTAATTGCGGACTATGTTGAAGTTGGCCTAGAGGTGTTAAAAGATGTGACTGGTTGAACAGGAGGTGCAGACTGTGGTTGTCAACCAGTGCTGGCACCGACCCAAGAGCAACAAAACACCGCTCCTGTATTTTAACTATTTCCTCATCACTTGAGGGAAGTAAATAAACACAGCACATGCCCTGTCCTTTTCAACCTGTACAAAGGCTTGAATTTTTCTGCACTAAAATGAACTTTTAGTTTTTAGTTTTATACTGATAATTTGCTTTTTAAGTGGTTGTACATAAATATAATAGCTTAAATCAGTGTTTTTCAGTAAAGAATGCCATTCTCTCTAAATGGATCATAACTTACTCGCATAAAATGTGGGTGTAAAGTCATTTGATTTGCGGGGAATAAATAATCATCATACCCATATTTGACAGTGCCTTTTGCTTGTATTCCTGCCCAAGTTAGTTATTATACAGTAAGGTTCTAGTAATGTGAAATATGTTTCTTTGTTTCTTGATTCTTTGTTGAATTTTCTGGCAAAATATGAAGTGTCTCCACACATCCTTTTTTAGTATTTTTGAATACATTTTTTTTTAAAAGTTTAATGTGTGTTTTGTTGCAGGTATCTTATTAGCCAGGGTGCTAGTGTAGGAGTCGTTAACAGTGAAGGCGAGACTCCTCTTGACATCGCTGAAGAGGAGGCGATGGGGGAGCTCCTGCAGAATGAAATCAACAGACAAGGTACAGTATCAAACGCTGTGTTTCTACCTACAGATCTAGTTAAGTTTGGTACAGGGTGCTGTTATTTGCTTTCTCATTGATAAACATTGGGAAAGGCAGTAAAATAACTTGTACATTTTTAGTCATATCAGGAGACACTTCTGGCTCTTATATAGTTGTTGGGTTATAAGGAGACAATCTACCTGAAGAATGGATGCTTGATTTACACACAGACCCCAGCTGAGCAGTGAGAAGGGTATAGAGGCGGATGCAAAGGGGGAGGGAGATGGTACATTGTCTGAGCTGTTCATAGCCAACATGTATCCTGTGTGGAGTACTCTGGTACCACAAGCAAGACCAGGGTTTACTGTACTGAACTGTACTGAACTAAACCAATCAAGACCACCTGCTAGAAATGCACTTAAAGAAAAGCTCAATTCTTCTGATTGGTCCATTTTTAACAAACTGTATCATCCTAGACTCCTTATGTGCTATAGTGTATATAAATGTAGTGCAAATACAGTACGTGTCTGTATAGTACCCAAATGTGAATATGTAACAAGCTAAATCGTATCAACACTCTCAATGTGTTCAGCGTGTTAATAGTGGCATAGCTGGTAGGGGCCCTGTGTGTATTTCACGCATGTCTGACTTTGTTGTCAAATAGAGCCCGAGCTCTCAGTGAGTGTCAGTTACCGTCTGTTTTTCACTCCCTCACTCAAAGAAAAACTTACATAACTCAGAAAGGTGATCCAGCTGTGTTTGTGCGCTCTCATGTGATGACTCCAAACTGAAAAGTCGAGTCTTTCTATTTTTGGCCAGGCAAGGTCGGGGCATTCTTGAGATGATGAAAGGCCCTCCCCTACAGTGAGAGGCCAGGCACAGACGTGTTAACTGGCCTGAGGCCAGAGGGGGTGCTCCTCAGCTCATATTCACTAATAAAGCTCTGCTGGCTTTGCTTTCTATGTGGCACTGTTTATGGGCTCTAAATTCTCCGATTTTACTGCAGGTGTTTGTTGCTTGCGTGCAGACAGAAATGCTTCATTACAGCTGGAGTAAGATTTCAAGTCTGGAAGGGCAGTCTGCGGGTTAGGCCTTGTTGATCGATGCATTTAACAACATCCTTATTAGAAGTTTGTGCAGTGATTGACAGGAGAGGATCTGAGAGATGGTTCAGACTTTTCTATCCTCAAATAAACAGCTTTATTTTTGCGAAAATTTACAACTTTATCCTTGGAAACTGTTAACTTACCCCTACATATGTCCAAGATTAAATAAGTAAATTAGTCACAAGACTTCATTCTTATAAATGAACACTTTTTAAAATATTTATTTATGGCTGCATTTGTGTAATTTTCTGTTTTTAATCACATTAATATCTCAACTTAATTCTCATAAATGTGTGGCTTTAGTCACTTAAATTGATCAAACTTTTCCCTTAAAGTGAAGACTTGATTTCCATGAATTTTAAACCTTATTCCAGTAAAAAATACCACTTTAATCTCTTCATATTTCAACTTAATCCCTGTGAATTTAGGGCCTTCCCTGGTAAATTTGTGAGATTACAGTTGTTATGTATGAGAACAAAGTTATAAATTCCTAGTTGATTTAAGTTTTCATTCTTACAAAGTATGAAAACTATGATCTGGAAATAAAAATTTATTGTGATTTTTTTACTCCTTGGTTTAAGATTTTACTCTTCATCTGGGCCATTATCTGTGGTCATGATTCAGAGCCTCAGAAATAAAGTCAACAAAATCAAAATCAAGAGTCTGACACTTGAGTTTACACTGGACTTCAATACTCTCTTTCCGTCTCTTGCAGCAGATGTATGATCTCAATTATTTGTTGATGGATAGTTTGGAAAACTAGCGTGAGGAGTGTTTAAGAAGTCTTAAAGTAAAACAGTCCTTCAGGAAAAAACAGTCTCAAACTTGTCGATGTGGTCAGTCCTCAAAGTCCATGTGTTTGAAGTCCACTGCATCCTTTGATGATTCCACTCAGCGCTGTTCAGACATTGAGCTTCTTCTTCCTCATTCTGTTATATAACCTCAGTGAGACTTGTACCACCCCAACTTGAAGCATCTCCGCCACCAGCTGCTGTCGACTTTGATTCGCCGCCTCCTGATGGATGCGCTGCCTCTTCTATGATCCATCACTAACAGAGGAAGAAGCGGGGAGTACATCTTCATTTATCATGCCTCTGGACTTCAGAGCCAAACTTTTTAATACTTTTCCAGCATGTGGACGTTATGTACTCCACTTTTGAGCCCAATGTATTTATTCATGATCGCAGACTCCTCCATAAATCTTCTTTTTGGGGATAAATCTCCAGTGAAGAGCGAATCTGCGCTGATCCTGGCCTCGGGGGCAGCTGCAGACAATCCGCTGCTCAGTTCTCGATGCTTGATGCAGCATTATGCAACCAGTTGTTGTGTAACGCTTCTGTATGTTTGTAATGTGATTTTCTCCTCTCAAAGAGACACCAGTCATGGGGTTAAACTTGTTAGCGAGTGACCATGGTTTCCCCTCAGCGGGAACAGCCTCAAGATGCGCTCCTTGACCCTGATTGGGTCAAGTGACCAGAGAGCCCGTCTGCCAGCCCCCCTTTCTCCCTCCCTCCCCTATTAACTCCCTTAAAAGGGCTGCTGTTGTCCTTGTGACGGACTGAAGGTGGACAGCCTGACAGATGTTTCTAGCTCTCAGATTTAGATGTCAGTTGTTGCCTCTGAGCTCAAAATAACTCAGTTTAGCTTCGTTCTTTTTTGACTTGTCTTCAAATGTAGTAACTTTTCCTGTGCTCACTTCATGGTGGATTTCTTGATATTTCTTTCCTCCTCCACCAGAAAATGCTATAACTATTCTGTCAGGTCCTGGTTTTGGTCCACTGGATTTTCTCTTTATCTGCTCTTGTCAAAGATGTACTTTTCTCCTGAAAAATCTCAGCGTTGAACCGCTGCCAGGCCCCCCCACTCCTCTCTCAATCTGTAGTCCTACTTAGAGGCCATCAGGCTTCCTGCTTTTTATAGACGCAGTGTAGGCTGTCTCCCAAGAGATCACAGGATGTCGACCTACCTGGCCGGCTCCCATTGTCTTTATTAACTGAACAGCCTCAAGGTTACTTCTGTTCATATACCATCTGAAGCTCATCCAGGCTGTAAAGTTAACATTAAAGCTTCAGTTTGATTCATGACACGCCTGAAAGTTCAGTTTATAGACTGACAGTATATATACCTGGTGTTATATATCCATTCTATGTCTAAAATTGAGCATATCGTTCGAGTGATGTGAAAGCTCATCTGAACTCTTGAGCAGACCATTTGAGCTCCGTTTGGTTTGTTTGAGGTGTGACAGCAAAGAGGACCAACTTAAAAACCAAAGGCAGCATCTGTGTGTCGACACCATGGCTGCATAAAATCTCTCGCTCTCATCAGGAATTGCTTTCTTCTTCTGCACTGATTTATTTGTCTCATGTAAAGGACATCATACTGGACAGCTGATGCTCACACTCATGCAGATGGCGAGATGCTCTCTTTGTAGCCTGTTCCTCAGGTCAGACGTCACCTAGAAATTTTCGCTGTTACCCACACTTTCTTGCCGCTTAAGGAGCTACGTCGTTACGTTTACTTACTTACGAATGTAAGCAAGGACAAGGCAAGTGCTAAAATAACTTTCGTAGATCATCTTGTTTCCACCTCCGATTTTGCTTTATTCTGACTTGGTAACTGAAACGCTGGTAACTCGGGTGTGACGTCATTTCCAGCTCCGACATCTGACTTTTGAGCTTGAATGTAAAGCTGCATTCGGGTTACCTAGTTGGAGTTGAACATTATGTCACACCCGATTCCCAACATTTTAGTTACCAAGTCGGAAAAAAGCAAAATCGGAGGCCTGAAAAAAGATGGCTACGCAAAGGTTAACTTAGTGCTTGCCTTATATTCCGACAAAGCTAGCCCTAAAATAACTTTCGTAGTGTCGCCATCTTGTTTCCGCCTCTGATTTAGCTTTTTTCCGACGTGGAAACTGAAACACTGGTAACCTGGGTGTGACGTCATTTTCAGCTCGGACTTCTGACTTCCACAGGGTTCGATGCGTTCGTTGATGACTCAAAACAAGTTGAAAATTACGTTGTGTGTTGTTGCGCTCACACAGTGCAAGTAAAAATCATTATTGGCGCATTGGTATTAATGATCATGTGAAATTTCAGTGGCGGCGCTTGCACCACCGTTGCTGAATGAATGTAGGGGAAACACTGTGTATGTCTTAATGATGATCAGAGGAGTAACACATAGAGGTGTGCAGGGATGGTGTTTTTTGAACTTCATTAATAACGACAATTTTATTCTGATGACACGTTTGTTGCATGTTCAAACACATCTCAGTCAGATCTAATGACACCTTGTCAATCAGTTAATCCCGTTTGCTGGAGGCTTCTTCAGAAATAACAGAAAATAAAGTCTCTTTTTAAAGTATTGTGTCAAAGTTTAAATTCCTCTTTGGTGACAGCTGTTTGCTGACGGCCAACAACACAGACTCAAACTCTTGGTTTGAAATAAAGCTTGAAATCCAGTCGAACATAAACTCAGACACTGAGTCATCTTCTTCCCATTTGGTTTCACTTTCTTGGACCTCTGTTCACAAATCATCTCAATGAGTAACATGCCCGCGCTCAAACAAGGCAGAATATGACTGTCGCCGCGCTCCTTTGGAGCCAGGATTTCTAAAGGATATCGAGATTTCAAGAACAGTTTCGGAAATGATGGTCCACTCTGTGGCTTATCAGATCTTCTTGTGCTCCTCTTCAGCTCGCAGCCTCTTGGTTAATTTAGTCTCTTTCCTGCAGTCTCTCAGCAGCCAAGCTTTTAGACACAGATGTCCTCTTTCACCGCGTTGAGAGCTCGAGGCAATCTTGGAGCTTTTCTAGTGGTGTCAGGAAGTGAGCGATGATGTAGAACAAAAAAAAAGAAATCTATAAGATCAGCTGAAGTTCTGGCTCCGTCCCCGGTAAACGTCTCGAATCACTGTTTATATAGTCCAGCACAGTTAACGCTCAGCTGACGACTCGACGGATCACGCTGCGGCACATTTCAGCCCCGTCTCGTGTTCCAGCCAGGTGTCAACAAGACAATACAGGCCTGTTTTCACTGCTGCGCCACATGCAGCTTATAGCTTAGACATATTGACCCACTTAAGCTGCTGAGGCCTGTGTGTGCTTTCAGCCTCTATTTCACTGTTAAATTGACAGAGTTTTGGCTCAAAAACGGAGCAGAACAAGTGCTTTACAACTCCCTCTAGTGTTTAGACAAACTGACAGAATAAATTGATGTCATCTTTCCCTCTTTAGTGCTGTAAACTATGACTCACGCTGACAAAAGTTTGTATTCTCCTTGTTTTTTTCTCATTGGCACGAACTACCCCAATGTACAACCACGTTTGTGAACAGCTTGAACTCCATGTTCACATGAAAGAAGAGCAAAGACAACATATCAGCTGATTGAAATCTGGTTCTGCAATTCTCATTTGAATTTGAGCACCACATTTCAAAAGAGTTAACCCAGGAGATTGTTGACCTTTGCTTTGAGGTTCAGAAGTGACATGTCTGATATGAGATTTCTCCTGCTAAGTACCTCAGGAAGTCTTTTGTCGGGACTCCAAGCAGACTGGTGTACTGAAAAAGACATCAGAGGGATGACAGCATATGTTGCCCAAAACTTCACCATTGATGATGCCCTCCCACATGTACATGTTACCCTAAAGCATCCCCATACTTCAGGCCCACTGTCCTGCATGTGTTGGATGTTTCCCTGCTCCAGCACACCTGATTCAAATGATCAGCTCGTTATTAAGCCATTACAGAGCTTGATAACGAGCTGATCATTTGAATCAGGTGTGTTGGAGCAGAACATCCAACACATGCAGGACAGTGGGCCTCAAGGACTGGACTTGAGGACCACTGCTTTAAAGGATACTTGCTTTTGTGCAGTGCGCTGAAACCAATCCAGGCGGTCCTTCTCTTCTTTAGAGATGAGGATGGGGCAGCCATGATTTCCAAAAAGAGAGTCATATTTTGACATAACAGTTTTTCGCTTTCTCCTAGTCCATTTCTTATGACCTTTAAGTTGCAGGCATTTACCACAACACATTAGTTTAATACCTTAAATTGTTTGTTTATTTATCATCCCATCTGTATATTTCGCATTTCATATTTATTACTCATTTCAAAAGCCCACTTTTTTCACACCTCACTTTTTTCTCTTGGGATGTTTAGTATATTTAGTCTGCATTGTACATACCTCTTCTTATATTTAATTTTATTTTGTGTTTTTTGCTGCTGTAACATCAGAATTTCCCCGTTTGGGATCAATAAAGTATATCTATCTAACTATCTATCTATCTATTTCTGGATGGTGGTTTTTGAGCCCATGCAGTGATTTCCACTACAGAGCTGTCAGTTTTTAAAGCAGTGACACATGAAGGCCCAAAGATCTCTGTATTGATTTCCAGTACTGTCCCTTTTGCACAGGGATTTCACCAGATCCCTGATCCTTGTAATGTTGTTGTCTTTCCTCCATGGTCAATCAAATGTAGGCTTTAAATGATTTGCTTACACATCCAAACCTTGATGGAAGTGGGATCATACAGCGACATTCCCGTCCCTCTCTCTGCTCATTCCTCATTCCTTCGCTCTCTGAGGGTTCAGTGTTACAGCCGGCAGTTCATCCTTAAGCGGCAGGTAATCCTCTCGTGCCACTTCTAACAGTATCACTCTCACTTGTCACTCACCAGGGGTGGACATCGAGGCAGCCCGTAAAGAGGAGGAGCGGATCATGCTGAGGGACGCCCGGCAGTGGCTCAACAGTGGCCAGATCCAGGACGTCCGGCACGCCAAGTCCGGGGGAACGTCGCTCCACGTAGCTGCTGCTAAAGGATACGTGGAGGTTTTAAAGTAAGCACTGGTTTTGATTTCACAGGTAGAAGACTGAGTCACTATCTCAGTATCTCCTGCCGTTTACGTGATATAAAAGCTATTTATAAATAAGACAGTTGAGTCTTAGCATTGCAGTTTCCCGTGGTTTCTGCATCATGTCAAAGTGTTGTTCTGACAGTTTCTGTGGGCTGTTAATATGGCTCCACAGCTCGGGGAAAGGAACCTCAGCCGCCTGTCCATCTGCTCTGGGAAACCAGCCAGTACACTCTCCTGCCATAGATAGCTCTAAGATCTCTCATGTTGAGTGCGGCCGCCTTGTATAAGCTACAGATCTCAAAGTTGAACAAGTCACGGCTAAAACATCGGAGTTTTCAAATCTGCAAATCTCATCCTGCTCTTGTTTAGGGATGACTAAGATTTTCAGATTACACGTCCACGTGTTTAGAGGTTGTATCTCATAAATCTGATCTGCGGCCACAACGCTGACGCACTTGTAAAAGCCTGGACTCTGGCAGCACTTTAGAAGATTAGTTCATAGAATTAAACCCCCAGAAAACTGAGAAATAGTCGCTAATTCTGGGAGAAACTCATTTTGTTTTCCCTTTCCCTCCACTCTGCAGGCTTTTAATCCAAGCAGGGTATGATGTAAATATTAAGGACTATGATGGCTGGACTCCTCTACATGCAGCTGCACACTGGGGGAAAGAGGAGGCCTGTAAGATACTGGTGGAGAACCTGTGTGACATGGACCTCATTAATAAAATGGTGAGTTATGAATCCTGTCAAAAATCCTGTCATTACGCTCAGAGCGGCTCATTTATCAGATAACTTTGACCGACTTTCTTCCTACAGGGCCAGACGGCTTTTGATGTAGCAGATGAAGACGTTCTGGGATACTTAGAAGAACTACAGAAGAAACAAAATCTGGTGAGTGGATGAGGCTGCAGCAGCTGTTTTTGATGCTAGAATGTGTTTTTCTGTCTCTTCCCTTTTTAAAAATATCTGTTTTTCCTCGCTACAGCTGATGGGTGACAAGAAAGATGTTAAGAAATCTCCTATAATTGAAACAACGACCACCGGGGACAACAACCAATCACTGAAACCACTCAAGAGGTAAAACGCCTGATTATATTTTATGACAAATTCATAAAAATCAGCTCTACTGTGATGGTTTTTTAACGTGTTTGAATGTGTTCTTCAGCAAAGAGACGCTGCTCCTAGAACCGGAGAAGAGCGCCCCACGCATCGAGACCTTAGAACCGGAGAAGGTGGATGAAGAGGAGGAGGGGAAGAAGGACGAATCAAGCTGCTCCAGTGAGGAAGAGGATGATGAAGACTCAGAATCAGAGACTGAAGCAGGTACTTTGCACGGGCGTTTGTGTGAGTTATTTTTAGACTCGTTCGTATTTGAAGTCGGAAGCGACCGCTCCTTCGCCCGTTTTCATCGTCTTTTTCCTCCCTTCTGAAAATCTCTCCAGACAAAACCAAGCCTGCGGCATCAGTGAGCAACAGCACGGCGCCCACCTCCGCCACCATCACCGTGACCTCTCCAGCAAGCCCTACAAACCAGGTGACGACCCCCACTTCACCAGTTAAGAAGGTATGATCTGGTGGATGATTTTCCATCACCTGACTCTGCGCAGACAGCTGCTGCAGTGCTGGCAGGTTTCTCTCTCAAATAAGCAGCGGTTGATTGGTTTCAAACAAACCCAATCATGTCATAGTCGACAACTCCTTTCCCGCACATGAAACAAAGGAAACCAATCGCGGTTATTATGTACACAAATCAGTAAATTTCATAATCAGCTTGAACACAAACTTAATTTCACAGGCGGCTGGTTGCACTTTGGGGTTTGGATAAATTATATTTTCGTTCGGTTTTCACGCTAACAGACGGAAAGTCTCTCTTGGGTTTGATTTACTCCTCATGTTGCAGCGCAGTGAGCGTGTACAGCCAACTTACAGCCGCATTTTTACGGCGCTGAACAAACAAAGCAATCAGTTGTTCAGCTGGGATGGTTGGCGGGAAATCTCAGTTAGTGTGAGCATTTACTGTGAGAGTTTAGGCTTCATGGGACTATTAGAGTCATAGGAATGAAACCGGCCTTTTCCCACTTTTGAGTCTGCTGCCCTCTGGTGGGGAAACGAGGCCAAGCATTCAGCTTTTCTGAGGATCCTGTCTCCTGCTTTCGGTTTAACATATAGCCTATATGGCATTATTTTCAACCCTCTTAACCCCTTTTAAATCAATCTATCAATAAACCTTTATTTATCTGAGTAGCTCAAATCCTCTACACACTCAGAGCAGGTCGAAACCCTCTACCCTCAGTTATATTATGCACTATAAAGCAGCATTAATCCACCAACAGCAAAACCCTCAGCAACATCAAGGACAATCTTCATTTTAACAGGATGAAACCTTAAGCAGAACCAGACTGGTGCTCAATTGACTTTTCAAAAGACTGTGTTCAGCTCAGAAATGGGCTTAGAAGGAGATACAGCGAGAAAGACAGGAGCAGAGACAGACGAAAACAACAACAGCTCACACAGACTGATGGCTGCTGCGCCAATAATAATGGTCAAAGAATGTGTAACATTTGCAGAAGCAGCAAATTAATGAAAATGGACAGGGCATAATATTTATGAGAGTGAAAGTCAACAGGTCGGATATTAGCATTAATAATAATAATAATAATGCTATTTTTAAGATAATAAGCCATGAATGTGCAAGAATTTCTAGTTCTGTGACAAACTGTCATTAAAATAAAGCTTTTTTTTTACCTATGGAGTTAATAAGTAAATTAGAAAATAAAGATTTAAAGAACAGTTAGAAATTAAGGTTCACTAAATACTTAAAAAAAGAAAAACTTACTTCAATCATGCACCAATAAATGACTGATCAGGTCCTTTTTTGGATAACATCGAGCCTTAAAACTGATTCAGGTTAGACTTCAGGAGAGCACATTACTGATTTAGAATAGAGTGGAAAAAGTTTCAATTATTTATTTTGAAAGAGTAAACTTTGATATTTTCTGTTCTCACTGGAAGCGAAGTGAAATATTTCAAGCCTTTGTCTTGTTTTCAGTTTTGATGATTGAGGTTTATTTGGATCATCGTTTAAATATGAGAATGGACTTGTTGGAACAAAAAAACAAAAACATTAAGTACTTTGTCAGCACCGTCTTTGGCAACTCCTATCGGAAATAAACTCTTAATTTGTCATTCAGACACCACCTGGCTGCACATCATTTGACACTCCTGAATGTGGCCTGATAAAGAAGTCGTCATTCTGGTCTTTCTTTCTGAATTTGCTCCCTCCAGTCAGTGTCCTGCAATCCACGTCCTCCTGCCTTTAGACTTCCTGAATGTTTCATTGTTTCTGCTTCTTTTCGTGCAAATATCTTCTTGTTTCAGTCCTTCTTTGAGGCCTAGAGCTGCTCACACAACACAATGTCTTCTGTCTTAACAAGAGTGAGCGAACATATTAACATTACCCAGTGTTCATGCTGTAGGACAATAACGGCAGTAAGCATTGTGTGGTGTGACTAGGCCTGTTAAAGAACCTGTCTTTGCTATACAGTGTGTTTCTTTTGCTGCTGCTGCTTCTTCTGTTTTATTCTGGCTTTTTCTCTGTCTCATCTTCCCTCCTTCCTCCTCCCTGTGTTCCTCTCTGTCCCCCGCGTCTTGTCTTGGTTGGCTTTAGTCTGATTGTATTACCCCCCTCATGCCTGTGGCGGAGCCAGGCTGTCCTGCATTGTGGCGTCAAGGCTTGCGCAAAACTGGCATTTCTCTAGTGCCCAAAAAACCTATGGTGAGGCGTTTGCTGTGCACCGGTGTTGTCCTCTCATCCTTACATGCACCTGTGCACTGACAAAGTACTGAGCACCCCCATGTCTAACCACCCTGGTCTGATCCAGGTGATGCTGACTCTCACTTGTCCACCGTCATGGTGTTTTTTCCACCTAAATGTCACAAAATGAACCGTCCTGATTGTGCTTTCACCATGTGTCTGCGTTGCTTCTGTGCTTTTTTAAGTTGCCTGTCATGTTTTGATAGTTAGTTTTAAAAATGTACATGAAAAAAACCAAAAGTTTTAGTTTGACTTGTAGTTAATGTGATTGTGGACCTTTTAACAAGCATGCCCTACCTCCAAAATGGCGTCTTAATAACATAAACCGAACCCTCTGTGGAGATTAATTTGACCTCTATGTGTCACTCACCAAGACAAGTAAAGATCCCTTTCAAGAAATTCTACAAATCAAGAGCTTTTTGCATTAAACCGTAACTCTCTCTTCCCCCCAGGTTACTCAGCCCGCTTCAAAAGTCTCCGCTAAAGTCGAGGACGACAGGAAGGACGAGTCCCCAGCGTCATGGCGGCTAGGTCTGAGGAAGACAGGCAGCTACGGGGCGCTAGCGGAGATCACAGCCACCAAGGAGGCCCAGAGGGAGAAGGACACGACCGGGGTGATGCGCTCGGCCTCCAGCCCTCGCCTCTCCTCCTCCCTGGACAATAAAGAGAAAGAGAAGGTCAGCTGTCACATAGTATCATAGTTGTTAAAATAATCTAATGCGTCACGAAGCCTGCTTGGTCTCCAGGGTGTCACATACCGGATTAGTCAAGATATTTAAGCTGCTACTTGGACGGTCGTGAAATGTATAGACAGGGATTAACCATTTATTCACATTTTATTTGTATTTTTAAGGGTAGCATCAGCTTTGAAAATAAAACTGCAAAAAAAGCCCAGCACTTTCTTTACAGACTGAGATGAATCAGCCGATCATTGATGTGGATTAGTGCCAAAGTACACAGAGACACAAAGAGGACAAACCAGGAAGTAAACAGAAAAAAGATCCATAAAAAGAAAGTCAATGTTGATGAAAAATTTAGCAAAATGTGCGGGGGAAAAAAATTCTGGGGGAAGACTCCAAGTTTTGATATGCTATCTCAAAACTTTTCCCATAAATGGTCAGTAACATTAGTCATGTTTGTCTCTGTGTCCGCAGGAGAAGGATAAAGGGACCCGGCTCGCCTACGTGGCCCCCACCATCCCCAGGAGACTGGCCAGTACTTCGGACATCGACGAGAAGGAAAACAGGTTAGCCGAGCAGCTCTGTGTAAACACGTCTAAGCATGAGCGGCACCTGCTGCCCACTGCTGTGTGTTTCTGGCAAAGGCCACAATGCTCTGCATGGCATGTGTGGCACTAAGTCACTGCCTTTAGTCAGGATGTGGTAGAACCAAAACATCCTCTTTAAAAACACTTAGATGTAATTTAGGGTATGAAAAGAATCATAATCTGAGAAGAACATATCGCAGTTCCCTTTGTGTTGTGGAAGCTTGGGGTACAATTATAGCTTGTGGTTCTCCAGGGACTCAACCCCTCTGATACGTAGTGGCTCATACACCCGGCGACGCTGGGATGACGACCTGAAGAACAGTGAAGGAAGCACCACCACCAACCGAACCCCCAGCTACCAGCGCAGGTCAGCATCTGCTGCGACACAAACCCTCATCCCTCTTTGTCATCATCATCATCATCAGATCCCTGTCCGTCTGATCTGATTTATCGTCTCATTATGAAGTCAGCGAGCTCTGAAATCACTGTGCAGACAGACAGCACTGATGGTTATTTATCAGTCTGTGCTGTACAGAGATATGTGCGTACATGCTTTGATGCACAGCAGAAGAAAACAATGCAGGAACGCCTTCCTCTATCACTGCCACAGAGTCTGTTGCATGACTGTACCTGTCCTGTCAGGTTGCTGTGCCAGTGAGTTTACAATGTATTATTCAAAAATTTTTACAAGCCTCGCTACCTGTCTGACTATCAAATAAATCAAATTGATCACGGCACAGAACCTAGCGATGGACTCCAGCTGCATGCATGTCATATGAGAAAAATACCGTCTGCAAACTTCTAAAAAAAAAAAAAAAAATACATTTTTACTTTCTTTGCTGTAAAAGTGTCTTGGGAACAAAATGTTGGTATTTCTTAAACATTACAAAAAATTATATATATATTTAAAATTCAAATGAAATCTACAAAAATTCAAATATTGTGGAAGCAACTTTTTGGAATCCTTTTTTAATGTTTTCCTTCATTCCCCTAACAACAAAACAGAAAAATCAACAACTTTTAAGTCAAAAGCCATTTACAAAAATGTTTTTAAGGTTTTTTCTCTGAGTTTTAAACTAAAAAATTAACAAAAATGAAAAAATCTTTTTGCTGTTTCATCAGTTTTTTTTTATTTTAGACTTTCAAAATTAAAGCTGAAAATACATTTAAGTTGTTAGAGCTACTTACAAACTTTTAAAAACAAAAAATATCAAAGTAAACAAAGTTCTTTTTATTTATTTATTTTTTTTAATTTAAATTTGTATAGAGCTTTACTTTCTTCTTTATTTACACTTGTCTCATACAACCCCAAAATTGTTGACAGGAAAAAAAATCAACATCTTTAAGTTGCTTCATGAACTTTGGGCCCAATATTTTTTACCTTTTTTGTTTCAAATCGATCAAGCTCGTTTTGTTCTGGTTAAAATTTCAGACAAAAATCACCAAAAACCTGAATTTGAGATATTCCCAAACTCCTCTCAGCCACCCTGATATTTTGTCTACGTCTCATAAGCAGCTCTTTCCATATGACATGAATGCAGCGATAGTGTGAAAAGCTTTTAGTCTTGAATATAAATGTTTCTTTTTACTGTATCTGTGTGTGTTTGTGTGTGCGCCTCCACTGCTAACATGCCTCTCTCGCCCACCCGCCTGCCAACACACCAGCACGTCCCACACGCTAGCACTAGGGCGGAGTGGCAGCACGCGGGACGTGCCGGCCAAGTCTTCGTCCACCTCCAGCTTGGACCCTAACACCTGTAATACTAAACCCTGGCAGCCACCCTCCTCCCACTACCAGTCTTACAGCATTTACCGCAGGTACACCAGCCTCACGGGGGCTCCACCGTCTCTACACCCACCTGTCCTCTCTGAAAGTGTGTCTCTGTGCTGCTCCAGTTCTCACTGAGTGTTCCGTGTCTCTCTTGTTACCTGTAACATCAAAATGATTTTTACTGGAACCAGTTACAGAACAAACAGCTTATATAAACAGCAGGGTGGATAATTACCTTTCTATATCTGAACAGCCACTCTTAGCACTAATGTTAGACAAACTTAACACTTAACCCTTTTCATAACCCCCAAAATACACTAATCCAAGGTGCCGCCACAGATAGGGAGTTAGCTACTTTCAAAAAACAACAGCTATCATCACAGGAACATAAAAGCATTTTCCTTTTATTGTATTAAGACTCAACTTTATAGGCTTGGTTTGTTTACAGCACACACAGATCGGTCATTATCATCATCTGAGAACCATAAACACTGTACTCAAACTGACTAATACCCAATCACAACATCCACCTTAGAGCCCGAGTACTAAGATGTGTGTTGTGTGAGTTCACGAAGGCTGGAGGGCTAGGGGTAGGGATATGAAAATAAGGAATGAGACACTTTGAAGGCATTACACGCCACCTGGAAACAGACTGTACTGTTAAAAAAGCCGATCTTCAGCACAGACTGAGGTGTCTGACAAGATAAACCCAACAGCATGGTCAGATCGTCTTCAGCTCCATATTTATTTTAAGAATTGACGAGTGTGCTTCAGTCTGACAGAATGTCAACATGGGAGAATATGTCTCACATTTTACAAGCAATCGTAGTCCAGAACACTTATAGCACTGTCATTCTTCACATGTCTTTAATTGTAGGCTGATTTAGAGTCTCTGATCTACATTATCATACATTAATGATCCCTTAATCCCTTTTTGAACATTTAACTCAAAAACTTAAGAACTACAGTGGAGTTTTGGGGCCTCCATGTAAAGAAAAAGAATCAAATTTTCAAGATTCAACTTGTAAATTTAGAGGTCATCAATTTACAAGTATTAGAATTTAAACGTATTTATAAAGATGTAAATTTGCATTGACAAAGATATAATATAATAACACAAGTTGATATGTCAGATAGAAAGGAGGACCAAAGAAAGCAGCCTGTAGTTTGTGTGTTTGATGTCTGACATTTCTCCCTGTAGCGGCTCTTTCGGCAGACGACACGAGGATCTGAGTTCCTCGACCACTTCCTCCTCCTCTACGACCACCACCACCTCCTCATCTGTTACCTCGCCCACTGGCCACCGCGGCCTGCTCTCCAGTCTGGGCTCCTCCTCCACCCGCACTGGCTCCACCAGTCTCACCAGCAGGTACATCACCAAGCCTCGATGCTTTTATTCAGGCTGTTTGGATCGCGATGACAGACGAATGATCCCCTTAAATATGTGAAACAAAACAGATTTCTAACTAACTCACAGTCCGACACACAGACACAAAAACGTACAAAGACAAACTTCAGAGTGAACTGGATATTGATTGAGAGATGCTGCCGAGTCCCAACTCTAAATTGACTGCCTTAAGATGTGTTGTTCACTTTAAAAGCCGTCCTTTCCATCAAGATGAATGATTCAAGTGTTGAAAATGGACCCTGTATGATTGTTTTTCTGTGAAATGTTTGAATCGATCAGGTACTGGTCAGAGGAGAGTGCAGAGAGGGAAAAGGAGAGGGAGAAGGAGTCTGCTGCGGTCATCCCCACTATAAACACTGGCTCAACTACAACCACAACATCCACCACTACCACCGCCATATCTACCACTACCACCACTGGCACTGGCACTGGCCCAGAGAGACGCAGGTAACACAATCCCACATACTCTTCACTGACAGATATCAACCTTGATATAAATTTTGTTTCTAAATACACAAATGCAGATCCAAACTGTACCACACAAAGCTGAAATCATACACAAACAAAATCAATATGTGCCAGCAAAATAGGGCTGGGCGATATGGCCTCAAATCAGTATCACGATATATCGAGCAGTTCACCTCGATAACGATAATGGACAATAACTACTCCACAATCTGCTCACCCCCTCCCACATTAACTTTGTCTACTGGATGAGGTAGAGTCACATCTCCGACGTAGGGCAGCTTTTGAACCGTCCTCCATCTCCTCACCTGTCTTTCCCTCTTTGTTAAATCGAATCTATTGACATGGGCAAAATTGACATGGGCAAAATGACGTTGGTTATAAATTTTCGGTATCAGTAGATTTTCGGTCATCGCCCAGCACTACAGCAACGTCTATACACACCCCATGTACACTGTACAGAGTCCTCCTTACAGCGGTCGCAGGGTCAACTCCCAGCCATAACTATGTGCTGCATGTCTTCTCCCACTTTCTACACCCCACTGCTCCTTACATACAAAAGAATATGCTGTAACAAGGTATCCGCTGGGTGTTAAAAAGTCTTAAAATGTCTAAAATACAATTTAGAAAGGTCTTAAATATATTAACTCTACTTCCAGATAAATAAGATGCCATAGGAATAAAAATTGATTTGAAATAATGTTAAATGTTATGATTAATTTTTTTCATGACTGTCTAACTTTTTTGCCAGTATGGATGTAAAATGGGTTACGCATTTCATTCTTTAAAAAGTCTTAAATTTGACATGTTGAAACCTGCAGAGGCTCTGTATAAAAGGTTTCAGTGCAACATATGCTGCCATCCACATGCCAACATATGCAGCTTTTTTTCAGGCAAGACCTTGTATAATATAACAAGAAGATGCCGAACCACATTCAGCACATTTTATATTACATTATATTAGGAGTGGATGAAAAAATCAATTTACATAAGTATAATGATTTTTTGTTTTAAAATTTTTTAAACGATTTTTATATTCAAAAATCTATTTTTTATATTTTTCGAATTTAAGAAAAAATCCTAAAAACTGACTTACATGTGATGTGTATGTTTTAGAGATATGTGGTTCCTGGAGTAGTCAGTATACAATCGTAATCGTTTAACTGATTTAGCGGTGTTAAAAATGCACACTTAAAATCGACAAAATTGTAGAATCACAATTGAAATGGAATCGGCATCCAAAAAAATCATAGAGGAATTGAATCCAGAGAAAAACATATTGTCCCAGCCCTACAGTATATACACAACAGGTGTATTTGAGGAGTTGTGCAGTAATGCAGGAATGTGTGAGACGATAGAATGCAGAAAAACAGTATGCAGTCTAACCAGGATGAGCATCAACCTTCACAGTTAAAACAGTAATACGGATGCATTTCTCTGTTTGAGTAAAAGGTGTGTGTGTGTTTGTATGTGTGTGTGTGATCTCCCATTATCTACACACTGTGGAAGGAGAGGGGGAGAGTTTGTCGCAGGAAGCGCATGTTTTCACGTGTGTGAGAGAGCGGGGTCGAGTGTGTGTGTCTTCCTGGTGCCGCGCTGAAATAAGCCACCTGTCAGTGTGGGAGTGTTTCGGAGCCTGAAGCGCTCCAGCGACTTCTCCTTATAAGGACGGTGGGCAGAAGCCGCGCATTTTCCTCAAGGCTAAAGCTCCATTCTGCGCCCAGTGAGTTCATACTTGTGTGTGGCCAACAGAGGCAGAGGCACACTGAGAGACAGAGCTGGAATAGCTCACTGTTTTGGTTCCCAAACTTCTACCGCCTGTTTGAGCCTGATACTGTTATAGCCAAGAGGCTGAACATCCTGTTTTGCCACAGTTACTTGAAAACTCTCTTTTTTATCTACACTTCATGCTGGAAACACAAACATTTTCTAGGAATATCTTGCCTTACTTACATCCTCATAGCAGAGAAATTCTGATACACTGATATTTGTGACACACATGGCTGCAACTAGGAAGCACTGATTTCCTTGTTCTGTTTGGGGAATCTAAACACTGACTAATCCAGAGTTCAGTAACCCTGAGAAGAGAGTCAAAATTGTGTTTTTTGGCATGGGATTACGAAGTAGTATCATATTGATCCAAAACAAACAAACTCTTCTGCTTTTGTGTTGATTTTTTTTTTACTCTCTTAGGTCATACCTGACGCCGGTGCGAGACGAGGAGTCAGAGTCCCAGAGGAAAGCACGCTCCAGACAGGCTCGACAGTCAAGAAGGTCCACCCAGGTATGAACCTCACATTCATATACCGTCTTGTGAACTTGTATATTTGTTGCACTTTTGTATAGTACACTTTTTAGATGACAAAAGAGGTACAAATGTGGGGCTTGAGCGCCTCATTGGACACTTCTTATATCATTTTAGTTTCTAACTCAGCGAGACTCTAACGACAATGACCTGTAGGCGCCAAGAGTTTGCTCCATGATTTTTATAGCCATACACTGTTTGCATAAATGTCGTCATGCAGGTTGAGTGTTGTGTACACAGCTAGTACTTAATGTTTGACTTGTTCAGAGAGTTTAACATTTTACAAGCTGACACAATTTGAGGGCTGTCTCCTCCTGCATAAACTCTTCCAGAGAGTTACAGTGAAGTTAAACACTGTTGAGCATCAATTTGACTGTTTTTACTGCACGATGAATCCAAGAGGGTTAGATGAATTCTTAACGGTGTATTTCTCTCGTCGTCCAGGGCGTGACTCTGACTGACCTGCAAGAGGCCGAGAAAACAATCGGCCGGAGTCGCCCCCAGAAGACCCGAGAGGAGGAGAAAGAGGAGAAGGAGAAGCAGGACAAGGAGAAGCAGGAGGACAAGAAGGAGACGGAGACAAAGGAGGACGATTACCGGTCAAAGTACCGCAGCTATGAAGAGGTATGTTTCTGCTCTGGACTTCTGCTCTAGCACAAGAACATCCACAACATGTCTTAACGTTTCTTTGTCTTATGTCTCCCCATTAGCGCTACCGGCCTTCGTCTTCCTCCTCGGCCTCCACTATTTCCACGGTCACTGCCTCCACCCCGTCCTACTCTAGCACCACACTGTCCTCCAGTTCGAGTTCTCTCAACAGGCCCAACAGTCTGACAGGGATCACCTCGTCCTACAGCCGCTCATCCAGAGACACAGAAAAAGGTCGGTATTGAAAACAGCGTCTGATTTGGAGTGAAAACACAAGATTGGTTTAATCACTTTTTGTCACACCACCTTAAATTGTCCTTTAAAATCTTAATATTTAGTCCCAGCTCGTGGATGCGCGACTGCTTTACTCCCCTGAATGCTGATCCCTTTCCTCAGGTTCTACATTGGCATGGGAAAACTTTAGAGTTGTAAAGCAGTCAGAACTGCCTCCAGTTGAAGTAGCTGCCCTCTTAACCAGTAAATCCATTCAAAACATCCCTGGGAAAATACTGAAGGACAAGGAAACACTGACTGCTTTGTTGCTCCATGACCAAATCCTGTTTTTATTTCCCTTTGAAGCAGAGCCAAGTCCAGTTGTTGTCATGTTGGTGCCTTTTGAAAGTGAAAGCACAGCCAGTTTTAGCCTGAACTTTTCCCCTTTGCCCTCCATGTGAGAAACAGAATGTAGTCATCATTTAGACACACAAAAACTGCACGTTTTATAGTAGGAACAATAAATTAGTATTAGATATTAACATGAGCAGCTGAGGAGGTTTCATATCTATAGGTTTTTCTGTTCAGTGTTTTCATCTGATATGTTTATATTAAGTCATCTCTGTGGCGTCCTTTTTGATCGGCAGAGTTGGACAAGAAGGAGGAGGAGAAAGAGGGAGAGGACAAGTCTCAGCCTCGCTCCATACGGGATCGCAGGCGGCCCCGCGAGAAGAGACGCTCCACTGGAGTCTCCTTCTGGACTCAAGATGTAAGAGACTTTAAAACACTGATTTTATTTACACAAAAGTTCAAGGGTTTCCAAAGTGACTAATATCCTGATTGTTTTAAGCGGAAACATTAAATTTCGACTGAGTGACTCGTCTAAAAGTAAGAAGGACACACGGAAAGTTGCTTGAACTGAGCAAAATTGAAAAAATCCAGTGAGCTTTATTGACGTGTCTGTAAAGGGTTTCAAAAGTAATAGCGATACTAAACTTCAGATGAACACAAACATAAAAAAAATTAAGGTCCTTACACACCGAGAACGACGCAAATATACAACGCGAAATTACGAAATATTAGGAGGCGAATTCTGACGCACCTGACTATACACATCAAACGCAATGCGATTTTGCGACTTTCCAGGGGGAAAAAAGACGCATCCCGGGTGGAAGTGAGAAGACTGACACAACACCAGACTGACTGTTTTTCAGTTCTGATTAGACACTGAGTTTGAGACTGTGAAAATATATATGGTATGTTGTATCTGGAATCTTAAATCTTAAAGCTATAGTTTAATAAAATTGAAAGAAAAATTTTACAAATAAAATTTTCAAATTTTATAAAATTTTGTCCTTTTTCAAAAAGTGTCCAATAAATAGTGATTTTTTTTCCCAAGACATGATGAATCTGAATGAAACATATGAGCACATTTGTAACTAAGCCACCAGTTTTGAGTCCCTTTTATGTTTTATGACCACTTAATTAATTTTTAGTTATTCTCTCACCATGAGGTGCAGAAGATTATGCCTTCATAACCCCCCTTGATCATGGGGCTGTTGAGCGCCCCAACGTCTGTGTAACCCTCTTCTCCTCTCCTTTAATTCCAGGGTGATGAAAATGACCCTGACCAGCAGTCCGACTCAGAGGAGGGCAGCACTAAAGGAGACACACAGGTGAGCGCACATACAATTTCAGACAAAAAAGGAAGCAGATGAAAGTGACTTTTTAAACAGGAGCCCCTCAGCTCAGTTTGATTCTTACCCTCCTGCTTTTACTCTGCTCTCCTTTTATGTCCAAGTCCAAGCCGGTCGGTCCAGCAGCAGCAGCCTTTGATATTCACAACTTTGCTCAGTCCAGTTATGATTTCCTCCCCTCCCACTTATCTCCCCTCTGCACCCTCCACAGCTTCTGAATTCATATTTTTCTCACCTCCCCTTCTTTGTGTTTCCATCTTCTGGTGATTGTCTGGTTGCTGTGGTGACCTTGCAGATCAAAAGTAGTCCCAGACACAGATTAGCGAGTTTTATGGACATGAAGGCGTGCGAAAGGAGGGAAGTCTGAGTCATTCGGGTCTATAAATGAAAGTGGGAAGTTTATGCGATTTGAAAAAGTGAGAAAACACTTTTTCAGCTCTGTGTTGGAGTTTTTGTGCGGAAGAGTCCTAAATAGACAAGAATTTTAAATTAGCATAAAAGGAGAAGATCAAACAAAGCTTTGAGTGCCTGAAGTACAAACTGCAAGGCACAGGGAGGCTTTTACATCCAGTCAAAAGATAAAAACCCTCAGCAGTAAAGGCAGTGTTATTAAAAACTTCCTGTTTGAGTGGGAGTGTCTTCTGCCGAACGACAAAGATCAAAAAGCACAAATAACATGAGAACAATCAGCAGGAAGGACACACGCAGCTTTTCAGTCATCAAGTACAGTCGGACGGTATCAAGGGTGGAGCTGCAGCAGAGTACACAATAGGAACAAGCAATTATTTCTGCTGTGGGATAGAAAAACTATGTGCATGTCCTATTTTTTAGCATCAAATCAAACTGAAAGATGCATTTTTGCAACAGTAAATACTCAAAACAAACATTTTAATCATTTGCATCCAGACTCAAGCTGCAAAAACACACCAAAAAGCCGTCTGAGGCTACAGTTCTCTTGCTGTTTATCTGATCACTCGAGCTGTGCGTGGATCATTTTCCTGTAGGGATTTAGGGCTCCTCGGCTCAGACTGCAGCATTGTTTTTTTTTTCCACCGCCCTCAGGAAGCTTTCTGCAATTTCAAAATAGCTGGAAGCCCAAACCCTCCAACCCCTACCTCCGTATCTGATGCCTCATTCTGCCCCTGTTCAAAAGGGCTCTGCACCAACACAGCAGGCCTGGAGGAGCTGTCTGACACAGCAGCTGTTCAGGAATGAGTGTTTGTATTTAGTAAGGAGTGTAGTGTAGGAGGCTGATGAATACAGAAAGGCTACAGAGTCTGGAAGTGGAGGTTTGAAATGCTCAAGGTGTCTAATTTGATCCTTTTTTAGCTATTCTTTAAACTGACATTAACACTTTTTTTTTTGTTTTCTTACAGAGCGACAGATTGTCCAGGTATGTTTCATCCTATTTCTTCATCACATTTTTTTTGCTTTCATTTCTACGCGAGACCTTCCCTTATTGGATCTTAAATAAAACCTAATGTCATCTTTTCCAGCACTTCAACCATAGATCGTAACGACGCTCTCTCCAGTCGTGGCTACGGTGAGAGTCGAAGGACATACTCGAGTCGACTGGATAGAGATGATACCACTGACTATAAGAAGGTTTGTACACCATTAGAAATGATAAATTCGATCGATTGAAGAAGATGAAGTAGTGTTTATAAAAATTGCAGTGATTCATGGTAGCATGTTTTTTTCACCCTTATAACCTTTTCACCTGACAGATTAATTGTGCATAAAGGATGTAAAGGCGTGGCGCATCATTGAGATATTGTTGTTACACAGGTGTGCTCTTGGCTTGTTACCATAAAGCCGCCATAAATATGTAGAAAACACAATGCCAAAGATTACGTAGGTTTCAAGAGAGCAGCTGGCACTCCGACTACAGGAAATGAATAATAGAGCTGGAACAATAAATCAGTTATTAGTCAACTATTAAACGAAGTGTCAGCAGTTTTGATGATTGATTAATAGACGTGAGTATTGAGTGAAAATGAATTAATACATGGGAACCTTTTCAAGCATTCGCATCATTGTCTGAGTGAAAAAACAACAGGACAGCTCCCACAAAGTGGAGCCAAAACATTCTGCTGACTGGCTACAGGAAAAGTCATAGAGCCCGCCCCCTCCATGTAAACAGATGGGATATGGGTCCAACTTCAAAATCAAAATTGATGTTGAAAATATTTTTCTCTATGTCCTACCAACATCAAAATCTTTTGGTAATAACAGTTAATAATAACAATAATGAAAATAATAACTTTATTTTTATAGCACTTTTAAAAACAGGTGACAGGTAAAAGATAAAAGAGTTGACTGGTGGTTTTTTTTCTCTCTTCCCGCAGCTCTACGAGCAGATCTTAGCTGAGAACGAGAAGTTGAAGGCCCAGTTACGTGACACAGACCTGGAGCTGGCAGACTTGAAGCTACAACTAGAGAAGGCCACACAGGTACACACAAATAACACACAGCTCCGGTACCATAGCTCACTATCGGTACCATAATGAGGGTCTGGATTGGTCTAATAATTTTGATATGTTTGTCATTGCAGAGGCAGGAACGCTATGCTGACCGATCACAGCTTGAGATAGAGAAAAGGGTATTTACACCACTTTTTTTTCCCGTTTTCATTAACCCAGCTCTGACATAACACAAGGTTACTTCAAAATGTTTAACCTCTGTCTCTCTTAAGTTGATCTGAATGAATATAGAGCTGAGACGTCCACATTCAGTTATTTTGTAAGCCCGTCCTGCTCTAAACATGTTGGTAACATTCCCCATGGGTTTATGTCTGAAGGTGACAAGCAGGCCTCAGTATCATCTGGGTGGTGGTATGATCTAAACCTGAGTTTTTTTTATATCAGTCTACTCTCTGCTGCTTCCTGTCGTGTCACATTCGCCCCTCATAGCCGGGGTTAAAGGGGATTTCTTCCCTCCTCGCCACCCAGAACACCGCCACCTTCTCTCTCACCTGTTTTTGAACCTCAGAGGCAACGTGTGGTCACCTCTTCTCAAGCTTATTTTTTTTCTTGTATTGTGTGTGTTTAGAAAAAAAAAAGTGTGTTTATTTTCATTAATGCAGAAAGTAGAACAGTTGTACATTTGCAGTTGGAAGAACTCATGCATGCGTGTGTGTGTGTGTGTATGTGTGTGTGTGTGTGCTTTACCTGTAATTACACTCACTCTTCACCTCTGCAGCCATGAAACCATAACCTCTCAAATCTGTAACTCCATCAGTTCATGTTAAAAACCATCCTCCATGTGTCATTTGTCTTCACATCCTTCCATGACACAAGAATGTACTTTTTTTATTTTAACATAAAAAAGTCATTCTGGACCCCTCTGTTCATGAGCCATCTCATCATCTTAACATCCAACACAAACATTATTTTCAGCTTTATTAAAGTTGATGAAATTCCTGCAGATATCCTCCACAGAAGTGGATGTAGCCACTATAATGTCACCATGTAGTCATGGAGATCCTGTTTATTGAGCCAGTTGTGACCATATCAGGATTATAGCGATTTGCCATGGCTAGCTTTGTCAGTAGGGGTGGGGGAAAAAATCGATACAGCATAGTATCGCAATATTTTGTCTGACGATATATTGTATAGTCTCATTTACCAAGTATCAATTTTTCAAACTAATTGCTAGTATGAAGTCAAATCTCTGATAATGGAAAAATAACATCAACTGTTTGTCCAGTGAGGTTGGCAGAGGTGACATCATAGAGCAGGAGAAAGTTAGTGCAACAAATATAGCAGCACCTGGTGAAAGACATTAGGAGTGCAAGCAGGGCAAATGAGATGGACATGACACATAAGGTTTGCAAGATATGCTACCTGTAAACAAAACACAGTGTAAATAAGACAAACATCAGGGAAAGACAAATGGTAAATTAGAGTTGAAAAAAAGGGTATTAATCGCAACATACTGTGCCACAATGCTAACTGTATTGCAAAATGTTAAAAATTGCAATTATATCGTATAATGACCCAAGTATCGTGATAATATCATATCATGGCCCAAGTATCGTGATAATATCGTATCGTGGCCAAAGTAATGTGATAATATCGTATCATGGCCCAAGTATCACGATAATATAGTATCACGATAAAATCGTATCATGACCCAAGTATCGCAATAATATCATATCGTGGCCCAAGTATCGCGATAATATTGTATCATGACCCAAGTTTCATGATAATATTGTATCGTGGCCCAAGTATCGCAATAATATCATATCGTGGCCCAAGTATCGCGATAATATTGTATCATGACCCAAGTTTCATGATAATATTGTATCGTGGCCCAAGTATCGTGATAATATCATATCATGGCCCAAGTATCGCGATTGTATAGATTCACGATAATATCGTGTCATGACCAAAGTATCGTGATAACATATCGTGGCCCAAGTATCGCGATAATATTGTATCATGACCCAAGTATCGTAATGATATTGTCTGTATGTATCATGGCCCAAGTATAGGTTTTGATACAGTATTTGGTAGCCAGAAGTGATGGAGGGACTTTTTAATACATTGATAATGTGTAAGGCAGCCTATAGTTCCATTTTTTACAGATATTGAGAAATGCAGCCAGTTAAAACACCATAATTGGCTGCACTTTTCAGACCTGTAGGCTACGTCCACTTCTCGATAAGTCTTTTTTTTCTTTAAATGAACATGTAAATTTGGACTGGCTGTTTGCTTGCAGACTCCTCACAAGTGTGTGTTTTAAAGTGCGTGTGCTGCCGCTACACCCTCACCACCTTCCACACCTCATGCAGCGTGTGTAGAGCCTGTGTCAAAGTTTATCTTTTTCTGCTGTTTGTGTCTGAAAAACGGCGTGCCCTGAGTTAACCCGCCTCTCCTCCCCTGCAGGAAAGAAGAGCTCTAGAAAGGAAGATTTCTGAGATGGAGGAGGAACTTAAGGTAACGACACACACACTCACACATACAGTCATTTGTCACATCTGATGTCGAAGATTTCCATTAATGGAGTCAGGATCACAGAGAGCGTGTAGGTGGTACTTGTTAACTCCAGTAGAGTGCTAACAGCTGTCACTTCAGTTAGTCAGAGTCTCCATATATATACAGATCGAGGTCCTTTTTTTCCTTAAGGAAGTGATTCTTCATCTGAAATACAATCAAACTATCAAAATAATAATGAATAACCTCAGTGTTTGAGTGACGTCGGCTCTTAATCGGGGAAAAGATTAGTAGTAACAAAATCAGATGCTTCTTATTACAGGGTGACAGTATTTAACTCCTTCAGTGACATGATTTAATACTTTTAATTTGCTTCATCTCTAACAACTAGTTCTAAACAAAGGTCTTTACTTTATGATGATGAATGTGATTGAAATTAAAAAAAATAAGTCTGTAATTTTAAAACGATTAAGATAAGAGCATGATAACCAAAGGATAATTATATTTATTGAAAAAAACATAAGACATGAATAATGGTGTCAAGATGAAAGATCAGATTAACTACAAGATAGACACTTCTCAATTAAAAAATTTAATTTTCAGTGTAATTTTTTTTTTTTTTTTTTTAATTTTCACTTTAAATCACATCTTTTTGCTGGGATACATTGATACATATAATGTGGTAGGTAAAAAAAAATTGACTCGTGAAAAAGTTGCAAAATTTGGATGAGTAAATGCAGTAAAAACATTCCTGTAAATGTTTGTAAACAAATCACAGTAATTGTCTGAATATGGGACCAACATAACCTGTGACAGGCTCTTCTTAACAGAGCTTAAATTTAGATTCACAAGTTTGTTTTTCTGAAAGTTTGTGTGAAAATTTTTGGTGTTGTCAACAAAAAATTTTCTCTGTCCATCTAATGAAATGTGTCTCCTTACGTTTGTATTAGCATGTTTCTACAAACACTGTATCAGAGCTTCAAAGTGTGTAGCTTCTGTTAGATATATAGCGATCAGTAGTCGGTTGCAGTCTACAGCCTCACCACTAGAGGCCACTGGATCCTACACACAGCAGTATTCACACACTGTACTGTCAGGCTGATGAATCAGAGAGAGGAATGTTTTGGTGACGCATGATGTGATGACACCTGTAATTCTTGGCTGCTTTAGAGATAATTTGATCTGTTTATTGCAGCAAATACGTCAGGGGAGAATAACTGTGGCCGCACAACAAGTATAAACCGGCCTAATGCAATACAACTAAGGCTGATGATGCTGACATATAGGAAATCAAAATATCTACTTGATCGCTCTTTAAAAATGTCATGTAATAGTCCTGAAAATGTCTCCTCATTAAGATATGATTCAGTAATGTAAGCAGTATTTTATTCAGCCTTATGGTGCCTTTCCTCTGTGTCCATTTTCAGCTAAATTTCTCATTCATGTTGCTCATCGTAGGTCGTAATCAATGTTGACATTCCATCTGAGAGACGGCCAATTAAATGCTCCTCCTCTTAAAAATCAGGGAGGAAATAGAGTGAAAAACCCATTAAATTCTGGTAAAGCCGTGTTGTTTTCCTGGCTTTGATAACAAAGTGTGTTTATTTTTAGGTGCCAGACAGCTGGCCGATCTTATCAGTGTCACTTTTCCGTTTTATCTACAAGCATCACGCCGAGGCAGAAAAAAAAGAGAGCTCTTAATCATTCCTTCCAAAAATCTGTCCCCATTTTCTAACAATCTTCCTTTTCTGTTTTCCCTTTTTTCCTCCTCTCTCCTGTTAATTTACGCTCTCCTGTCTCTCATTAATCCTCCTCCTTACGCTCATTTCCTCCTCCTCCTTCCATTCTTTCACCCTCCACTTTTCTCCCCCTTTTCTTTGTCCCCTTTCCCGTGTTGTGGTTCTTGTCCCTCCCCTCCCCTCCCCTCCCCTCCCCTCCCTGCAGAACCTCCCCCAGGTAAAGCAGGTTCAGGCCCTGCGGCAGGTTAAAGAGCGGCTGCAGGCTGAGAACCGGGCGCTGTCCCGCGTCTTGGCAAAGCTGACGCAGTCCGCCTGCAGCCAGCTGCCGTCCGTCGACCTGTAAAGCCACGTCCGTCTGTCCACCACCACCATCTCCTCCTCCTCTTCCTTCTCCTTCTTCTCCCTCTTCTTCTTCACCTCCCCCTCCTCCCAACTCTCATTCTTCTCATGCTCCATTCGTGCTCTGCCCGCACCCATAGACAGGCAGGTGTTCAGCCGCCCACTGGTTTTTGTCCACTCCCCTCTGCCTCCCCAGAGCTTTTGGTTTTCAGATTGGGGAGGGTGTTTATTTTTTCAGGACACTCTCCTTTTACAGTACAGACTTACAGACACACCTCCAATCCCAGCGTCCTAAAAACGTCAAATACGTTAAAAATAAGTGGTAAATATTTCTGAGGTGAGGTTCTTCTAAGGTCAAAAGGCGTCTGAATGTCCTTGATTCCTCGCAGACACCTGAAGTACTGTAAAGGAAAGTGTCCTCTTTGTGGTTCCTAGTTGTGACGCTTCCTTCAGAAGGAGCTCAGTTTTTCCGTTTGGCTTGTTCTGGCTTATTTGCATGAAGTGGCTTCTTTATTTGGCATCAACTTTTTTGGTCCAAATCCTCAGAGACTGAACCATTTTCTTCCCCTTTCTTTCTTTTACTCCCCAAATTTGAACTTGACTGATGATCAATCAGTCAACCAATATCTAAGTCATCTGCATGCACCGACTGGTTGTATGTGGAGATGTAGCATTGTGCCTGATCAGTATTTACGAAACAGAAAGTCAATGTGCTCAAAAACACAATGAAATGTTTTTACTTTTATATTTTTTATAGCTTTTACTAATAATAATATTCCACATTTTTTTCATGTGTGTAAATCGTGATTTTTTTCTTTTCCCTGAAAAGTCCTTACCCGTAGATCTAAAGCCATACAGATACCCTACAATGTGATCTTTCCAAGTGGTTATGCTTTTATACAAGATGTTAGAACCATAAGTATTTCATATTATGGGGAAATCAAGTTAAAATCAGTGATTTTTAAAAGAAATGCACAAAAAAGGGGCGTTGATCAGGTTGTCAGAGCAGAGCAGGCGCCATGCAGAACGAGGAAATGTGATATCGATGACTGATGTTTGCAGTTTCAGAAAAGATGGTTTCAGATTGTTGTAATTTTCATAGTCTTTTTTTTTTTATTAACAAACAGCGCATGACCACAATAGTTAGACAAGCTGATTCTGAAGTGTGTCTGTATTTGTCATTAAAAACTTTAAGATGGGGATGTGATGGTACGCTGAACTCATAATACCAAACAATACCATAAGATATGGTAGGATAGGATGAGATACATTACAATACAGTAGAACGTGATACTTAAGGACATGATACAATAAACTAGGATATGGTACAGTACAATACATTATAGGGCCCAACTGGAACATTTTCGAAGTGAAACTGAATCTCTCCACATTTTATTTCTGAAAATATTGGCAAAAATCTGCGAGTTTTGTCTGATTACTGATTAGTCTCAAACAGGCTAAAATTGGCCGATCGGCTCGCCAATAAATCAGTTGGGCCCTAATACATTATGCTACAATAGGATTCAATGAGATACCTCAAAATATGATAGGTAAGATATGATGAGATACAGTAGGATACAATACTGTGTAATACAATAAATAATTATATACAATGATACATGATAGTGTATGACACATATGATGCGTCACAGCATGATTGGAAACGATAAAGTATGATTAGTTGTTTGATATGATATCGTACAATAAATATGATCAGATCTGATCTGAATACGATCAATAACTAATTCTGGATTCTTTTCTAACTTTGTTAAGGTTGTCATGTCATTGTTGTATCATTGTGGTCACATTGTTATAGGAGCTAACTTGCTAAAATGACAAGTGGTTCCACTTCAGCAGACCATCCAGGTATCGTCTATGTGCGGGAAAACTCATACTCACTTTTCTTCACATGTGCTGATTCCAACTGTCTCGTGACGTACCGTTACATCCCCACAATAGATCATCTACTTTTGTATTTGAAAGTGTTTCACCAAATGTAATGAACAAGTAAAGAGAATACAGGCTGTGTGGCAGACACAACGACAGCTGAATTTTGTAATATTTCGGGGCTTAGACAGACGAGTGGGCAGGGATGACTTAAAGTTCTGTTGTAATATATTTCCACAGCTCAGTCTCTTGTTTATTGTAGACGCATGAATCATCGACTCAGGCTTGTCGTAATGTAAATAAATACTTTGAGTTTGAACTTGCACACAGCTGGTGCAGCCGGCTGCAGCTGTTTCTGTGACAGCCCGGGAGCGTTGTGTCCTTAAAAACTGTCAAAGTTTTGACTCACCTCTGCTGAACCGAAAGACTGTAAAGGGTGAATCTTTCATAGGTAGTAGAACAAATACTTAAAAATGACTTTTCGGTCTCTGCTGTGCATTTTTGGGCTGCCAGCGAGCAGCCAGTCAGACTCTGCATGGCTTTCTCAGGATCTTTGGCCTGTGGTGTGTCCGCTTTGTTTTCTCTCTCTCTCTCTCTCTCTTGGAAAAAAAAAAGGATGTTTCATTTTTTTAAAAAAGGACAAAAAACAAACATGAGAGATGCTGTGTGACACCAGGATTGCTTTACACAGGGTGCAATTAACACATTTGTCAAACCGGTGTGCCTGGTTTTAATAACGTACACAACGTTTGTCATGACTTGTCTAAGCCTCCTCTCTCTCTCTGTTTCTCTCTCTCTCTCTCTCTTTCTCTCCTTCCAGACGCTCCCAGACTTGAAAGCCGACAACCAGAGACTAAAGGACGAGAACGGAGCGCTCATTCGAGTCATTAGCAAGCTTTCCAAGTAGAACACATCCCCCCCTTTTACAGCCCAAACCCACCCTCACCCTCTCCTCTGCACCCACTCTAGTCCCCCCCATGGCAGTGACTAATGGAATTGCACATTTAGATATTAATTGCAACAGACATCAGAGACAAGACTCCTTCTTATTCTTTCTCTCCTGCAAACTTTTGCTCCTTATTTTCTTTTTTTTTTTTTTTTTTGCGGCATCCCTCCATCAATCCATCCATCCAGCCACCCTCATCTATACTCCACTTGAATGAGTCCCCGGTAGAACCACTGAGTTTACAGAGCAGGAAAAAGGAAAAAGGGGTCGTGTGTTGAGCATGTAACCGCATCGTTTGGGGCGAGAAAAAGCCTGAGAACTATTTAACCAATAAGCCTTAGTTGTACATAAAGAGAAAAAAAACACTCTGCATCGATCTCTTCTCTTCTTTCTCGGCTATCACTGAACGACAGATATTATCCGACACCTGATTTTATTCGTGCCACAATCCCTGTTGATTTTTTTCTTCCCCTTCTTCGTGTGCTGTGCTGTTTCCTCCCTCCTTTAAAGTGCCACTTCTCCCTTTTTTTGCCCCCTTTGTGGCTCCCTATTATTTTTATTACCCCTCTTTCTTTCTTTCTCTCTCTCACACACACACACACATCCTCCTCCATTTTTTTGTACCTCTGTGTGTCTTCCTCCAAGAGGGAAAAAAATTATGAATTCTCGCTTTAGCGAAAAAAAAGAGGCGGACCTGGTGGAATTTAAGCTTTCACTGTATGTGCAATATGCATTTTCTTTTCTTTTTTTTAATGCTTTAATGATGAGTCCATCACACGTAGGATTTTTCACTCTTCCACCGCTTCCATCGCTCACCTTCCTCCTCTTTTTTTTTTTTTTTTGTTTTGTTTTAAGTTTGTAGTGTAGTCAGTTTATACTCTGTATTTCTCACTTTGTTTTAGCAGGTACTGAGTGACGCTGTATATACCTGTATGTATTTGTTTGAGACCAGCACATGGCATGCGTTTATGGTTCCCGTCTGTTACTATTAAAAAGTATACAAATTCCAGAGGACAAAAAGGTGTGTTTTAATTCTTATTCTTTCTTTTTATAGTCTAAAAACATTGGATACAGTACAGTAGAGCCTCTCTCTCACACAGGAAAGACGGCAGTGTTCAGTGCTTTTCTTTTTTTTCCAGTTTAAAAATACGTGTTCACATAATTGTGAGATTAAAACGAAATAATCGCTTCACTACATTTCACTTTCATTGTATCCAGTATCTTGGAAGAGTGCTGTTTATTTTGTTTCCGAATTTTTTAAAGCTGTAGTATTCTAGCCGAGGTGTTGTCACTAAAAAGTAAAAAAAGAATATCTTAGGTATCGCTAACTCAGTCCTTTTTACAATGTCTACATGCACTGTCGATGCCATGTGAGGAGTCTTGATGTCAGGTTATAACGCAAAAATCGCCACCGTCAAATATTTCATGCATCTGAAAACATTTTATGCATTTCAGTGGCCTTTTAAGGATATTTTAGTAAAGAAGTTTAACAAGAAAAGTCACTGCAGATGGACTGACGACCATCTTCTCTGGTTTAGACTTTTTGTTTTTGTTTTTTGTTTTTTCTTTATTTTTTTTTCCCGTCATCTTGTAAAATAGGTGTGTGGCTTAATACATGCAAGCTGTGCTGTGACTACCAACCACTGAAGAGTTCATTAAAAATAAACTTGTACATTGTAAAGTTCCCATGTCTGATTATTTTTCTTATCATTTTTAATGTTTATGTGTGTTCGTACACAGATTTTAGTATAACCCTGATTATGAGAAGACTGGGAGGCTGTGAGAAATGTGAGCAAAAGCAGATTTTGGAAATCATTTATACCCTGAATTAAATTGAAACAGTGCATCAGGGTGATGTCCACAATATCAGAAATGAATGCAGTACACTTTTGGGGAATTGGGGCTGTTTTATGGTAATGATCTTTTAGAAGTATGTGAATTAGAATCTGTTTTAATTAGGACTTTGTTGCAGACTTTGTCACGTAGGAAACTTCACTTAAAAACAGCTGATTTTTATCAAGGAGTCCTTGGTCTAATGAAGACGTGTAACATAAATTTCTGTTTGCCTCAGTAAAATGAAGGTAAATATAATTTCATATAGACATATGATATTCAAAAGAAGGTTTAAGTTTTTATTTTGCACCTCATGCAGTAGAGAGGCAGAGTCATACTCAGTCATACCAGTAGATGGTGCCCAGATTTGCACACTGGATTTTTACTCCACTTGGTTTTCAACATCGTTGAGCAGAGAGTTCTAATCAGAGCAAATCCAGTCTGTTTTATTACACATCATTTATCCCACAATTCAGTGCAAATGCAGCATTAGACACCGACACACAAGTAGATCAAAGGGCTCTGGGTCGTGCTCAGCTTCATCAGCTGTATTTACAGAATCCTCAGCAGGTACTTTTCTCAACCACTCTGCCTTAAATGATAAAAAAGGTCACTTGGAGAGTTCAAAAGTGCAAGTTTTTATTCTAATCAGCAAACCAGATATGGATTAAGTATTCTAAAACGTAATGCCAAAAATCCCTTAGGTCGTTCATTAGTCAGCTGTCTAGTAAGGTTGCAAAATATGCCGACAGCAAGAGATTATTTAACCTGAATATGTTTTACTTGATGTGTTTGCAGATATTTTGAGCCATTATAACTCATTCAGGCCTTACATTTACTAGTAATATCTAGAAATTCCTTTTTTTTCTTTATCATTTTGGCTTGTAACTCATGGAATTCAACACTCAGTGCTTGTTTGGAATGCCTGTACATTAAATTACTCCAGTAATGTGCTGTGGAGCTGTCCAGCCTATTGAAGCCCAGTCTGCTTTGATAGCAGCCCTGGCAGCTGGTCTGATTTCCTGGGTTTGGTGTTTCTCATCGTCCTGTCATAACCTGGCAAGTTGGCTAATCAGTCAAGCACAGTGATATCGTAGTCAGCAAATCATTATGTAAAAGTTTAGGCATTGTTAGCAGGTGCTGCATCCTAAACTCAAGGTAAAATATATATATATATATTTTTTTTTTTTAAAAGTCAAACTCAATGGTTTTGTTTGCTTTCACAGCTCATACTGAGTCATCAGTATTGATATTGGTAAGTTTCATGACCAGCTAAAACTCCTTACAGTAGCTTTAAGGTGAGAGAGCATTAAGGTGAAAACATCTCTCTCTTTATGTGAGTGAAAAACAGCTGATTGACTGGTGTCGGCCGTACCTCAGCGGGTGTGACTTGCTCTTTAAACCTCTGATGAGGAGCTCCAATATTTAGATTCAGCTTTAGAGGATAAGCGTGGTATCTGCAATAATTGCCCGGAGTCATGCGAAAGCGTTTGGCTCCTCTATTTTCCATTGCCTCAGCGCGTGGTGAGGAAGTCTGGTTTGTGTCTGTGCTGTGATATGGACATGCTTCCTCAACCATCACGAGCACAGAGTCTTCATCAGGATCTGGACAGAGAGCGAAAAAACTTTAGTACAGATTTCTGGCCTTTAAAATCACTCAGTGTGAATGTAGTAACAAATGGTTTGGATTTAATGCTGCTTTTTTTGTGGTTTTGGAAGACAGTGTGGCATGAAGTGGTTAGTTAGTGTTGTTTGAGTGTGGGATTTTAGGTGTTTAACCTGCTTTTTTTTATCCATCTTAGATCTGCACTTTGGTTCATTCAGTCGGAGGCACTTCCAATTAGTATATTGCGGGCTTCAAAACCTGGTAAAACAGAAGAGTAAATCTTATGAGATATACAAACGGTGGCATAATCCCTGAACATGTTTTCCATAAGTTAATGTGGCTAAATGTGGAGCTAAGTGGGCACTTATAGCTATAGCCTCAGTGGTCGTCCTTGATGGTAAAACCTCCTCTAAGCTGTTTGATACTGACAGCTAGTACTCCTTAAAAAGATATCAAGGTAACAAGCTACTTAGTTGGCTAAATTAAGGTTGAGTTTGGATTTCCAAAAGGGTGACGGCCATCATTGGGGTTTAAAACTCCACAATACTGACAATACTGAGACTTTTGTTCAAGTTTGATACAACTGAATCACCCCTAGGACAACATCTGGACACCGACTTTTGCCACTTGTAGAGATTAAACACTGTAAAAAATACAGTTGTACGAAATTGTTATAAAACACACGAACCTTTCAAATGTTATTGGCTCTTGAACTGAATCAAATAGATCTCAAAAAAATGCTCTCAGTCGCTGTCTTCTGTCTTTAAATCCTGACACCCTGCTCATTCCTATTTCCAGCATGGTCTCATCTCCTCCTCCCTCCCTTCCTCTTTCTTCTCTACCTCCTCCTAAATTGCCGTTTTTAAACCCCACAACACAAACAGTAGACTTAGACACAGTGGATGAGCAAAAACCCTCTTCAGTCAGTGTTTCTCTGCGATGACAAACGATGACAAATGGAAGCATCCCGGTGAAGTGGCAGCTCGAGTCTGTCGCCGAAACAAAGACAAACACACTGGGCTGACAAAAAGAAGTGGCTTAAAGTGGTGGAGGATTTGTCATGGACGCTTAAAGAAAAGAGGATATAGAGATGTCTGTAACTTTTTAGAAGACGCAAGCTGCTTTAAAGGACACTTCAATATCCACCATTGCAATGTATCATGGGTAAAATTCAGAGGTTGTTCAAGGAGAGCAGAGATAAGCTGTGAGTGCCAGTAAATCAAGGTATAATTATTCCATTTTAACAAATTTAGGAGCTTTAAAGTTCTTCTTAATTGTGCTGCTTTCCTCTCTTTAAAGCTCCTGTGAGGAACTTTCTGTATGCATTAAATTTGGCGCCCCCCTTTGGACAAAAAAGTCCCTTTTATCTTTTTGCTGATAATGTCCTGTCACCCTGGTGTCTATGCTGCTGTCTGACACTGTAAACAAAGTCTGTTCTGGCGGCGTAAATCTGACACCTATCCTGCGGCAGAATTTACAGACATATAAATTAACTATTAAAAAACATAGAACCTCTCACTGATGGTCTCATTTGCTTAAGTAGGCCAAAAAGAAGCATTATTGTTCATTTAAGCCTGTTTTAGGACTGGCTGAAAAATCCCCACAGGAGCTTTAATGTAAATGTTAGTTTACAACATTTTGGATTTGGACAAGTTTCAACCAAAATAAGCAAATCAGGCAATTTGTCAATGTGCTGGATAATAAGACTGGGCCTTTTCTCATCTGTATTAGTCATAAATGGATCAAAGATTAGTGTGGTAACTCATAAGCAGGGGCATGCCCAGACTTTTTGACTGGGGGGACACTGACATAGGCAAAGGTGGCCAAAATTAGCATGTACCTAAACAAAATCTGATTTACTCTCTCTCTTTCTGTTTTCTTTCTACTCTAACAACTATTATTTAAGTTTCATGAAGATGTTATTTCCACAGTATATTTTTTGCATTTTGTTTATAAATCTTCTACATTTAATTTTTCAAGAGATGTCTGTCCAAAGTCACAGTTAAATGCACTGAGAATGGAAAAGATGTTGTATTTGAATAAAAAGAAAGCAACTGCTAGTCAGTCAACACATCCTACATAGTTGATTTTAACATTTTAACTCCCACTGTCTGGGGCAGAAAGCCAATCACAGCTCAGGATTTTGGGGCGGCTGGCCAAATTTCAAGCCCTCTGGTCACACCCCTGCCCCCAGAGGAGCTGGAAATATTAAAATCTCAACTACATGTTACTCAAGATACAGAATACAGAATAAATCCATTCCCATAAAAGAGTAGATTTGAAAGGTAATACCTAAATATGACTCATTTCCTTGCCAATAGCTGTATTTGTCCTCTGCAGTGCTGACCTGAGTCTTTTTAATCCCTCTCAAAGACAGTGAAGGGACAGAAAAGAAGACAGAAAACCAACCTCCAGCAACAAACTCAGCTTGATTATGAGCTTCAGTGGGACATTACGACTTTATGATGGTGATTATGAAGTGACTGCACAGAGCTGATCCGCCTGCAGACTGCACTGCAAAAATCATCTACAATGAAAAAGTCCTGTTGAGAGGAAAAAGCAAAAATCCAGCTCTAAATGTAAATGACCAATACAAAAGATTTCATTTTAAACCGTTGACAAGTCTTGATTCGCAGCATTTTAACTTTGCATCTTTCCTGTTTGTAGAATGTTTGTGAATATTTCTGAATCTGCAATAATTGAGTATTTGTAGTATTTTCTCCTAATTAATTATCTTTTGTGATGTTGGAGATAATCTGTACTTGTCAGCCAACATCCCTACCTCCTCACAGTGGTTACAGGCACCAGTAAAAAAGCTTTAAAGCTCCTGTGAAGAGTTTTTAACTGGCAATAAAACTGCCTTAGATTAAAACTAATGCTTCTATATGACCCAGAAAACTACAAATCACCAAGAAGAAGAAGAAGAAGGTTTTACATTTACTACAGCAATCAGATTTAACTACTAATAAGAAGGCAAGGTGAGATTTTATGTCTCAAAACACAACTTAAAAAAATCTACAGGTTAAAACTAGTGAGGTGATGAAGAGTTGTGCTTTGTCTACAGGGGGCGCCAAAATCCACACAAACAGAAAGTTCCTCACAGGAGCTTTAAAGACAGAAAAAGTGAGGGAGATGCCTTCATTTCTAATCAAAACCAGCCTTTATGAACGGCTTCCACAGTAAATCTGTGGATAACAATACCTGTCATTCAAAACTTGAGAGAGCTAATCATTTGTTGCTGTCTTTGCCATCAGATTATATAGATTTAATTGTTTAGTTTATGATTTCTCAGTCCTTCTTGTGTTGTGTCTGCAGAGCTGCTGTTTTTTTTTTTAACCATCTGTGGGAGGAGCATTGCTTAAATACTTTCTTACTCTTGGACAAACAGTTTCATGGGGGAGTGAACTCCTTATTTTGGTTCCCTGTTACAAAATTGGCCACTGAAGATCAGCTTGGGCTGCAACATTTCTGACACATACAGAGCAGCTTTTACATACTCAGATATTTAATATAAGGTGACTTTATGTGCTTATTTTACATTTTTCCACTTTACTGCAACCTGTAAGTGCCAAAAAAATGCATGACAGACTTTTATTAAAATGAAAGACCATGAAGCTTTTAGGGAGGACAGCTTGAGTCTAAACATTTGAATAAAATGGAAACTGAGCACGCTTACTTTGGGAATCCACTAAACAGGATTAAGTTTGTGTTGGCATGGAGGGAAACGCTCAGCGCTGACCCTTGTGCCCCCTCATTCTCTCTCATTTTTCCCTCCTCAAGTGCAGACAGAAATATGCTAAACATGCAGCAGTGTGACCTGGGTGCAGAGATTTATTTTTAGCCTAGGAGAGGCCTCACTCCCACCTAACTTTTCTCATTATCTGCTGCTGTAGTTGGCACATGCAAAGATGATGGCAGAGTGAGTATGGGCGTCGTATTTCTTGGCAAATAGGTCCATAAACACGCTTACAGCCTCTTTGTAGATTTACATTTGGAATGACACCGGAAAGTCAGTGCACCCTTGGGAGGCAAAATACCCACAAATCTACCCTCAGAAGGCTTGTACCTTTCAGTAAAGCTTACTTATAGAGCTATTAACCTTGCATTAAATTAGCTTTCCGACAGTATAGCTGCTTTAAATCACTGCATAGGGAGAAAACTGCTCGTACAGCGAGGTAATGGTACAAAGTACTAAGATGGAAAGTCACTGGAAGGCCACAGAGTTATTACAGGAGCAAGGACTTAGAGTGTGTTAGATTCATTTCATTATATCCCTCTGAGCCGCCATCATTACACAGGAGAGCTGCAGAAGGAGGTGTAATGGTGACTGTGTGACTGGTTTTTAGAAACAGGGCAGAGTTGAAAAGACATACTCCTCTTTTTAAATAAAATCCAAGCTGCATAGAGGATAAGTTTTTCTAGCATGTGTCTAGAGCACTTCAAGGAATTTGTTTATTTCAGTTGCAGTACATGAAAAACAGCAGCAACTATGGAACAATAAAAGATTATAGTCTAAACAATCCTCTGATATTACTTAGGTTCATTACAAGACAATCGCAAATGTAACGCAAGAGACAAAGTGATCACACACTGGAATCAAGTATTGATTACTGGCAGTGGGTACACATGTGAAAAAAGCTTCAGGAACAACTGGATCACACCATCCCTGAAAGAGGAAAGTGAAGCAAAATCCTGTCCTGCAATCTGTACAATGGCCACAGAACTGGTTACTGCAACTTTAAGTCAAACCATAAGTAATTGTGATAATAACAACAGTGTTTTGTGACTTTGACTTCACAAACCAGTCGAAGGTGTGTCAACTGTAAAGCCCCCAAGACAAAAAGGTGAAGAAAAGTGGACTAAATAAATTACCTAAAATGGAAAAGCTCCTGTGAAGACTTTGGCACCCGTTGTGGATGAAGTAGCCTTCCCACATCTTACCTTTTACATACCTGAATACAGTTTTTTATGTATCATTTATTTTGAATATCATACAGGGAGATCATAAAACCAGGGCTATTTCTTCAGCTGCTTGGCTGACATCTATCCCCTCACACTGGCTTCAGGCAATAATAATGGCAATATACAAACTGGCAATCATGTCCAATTATTTGCCTTAAGATAACTGAAATTGTCAAAAATCATCTCGTAAGAGCTTTAATGTACATTCGTAAAAATATACAGGCTAATGCTCTGGTGGTAGTTTCAGTCATATAACAAAACATTGGCTTGACTTAATAATAACATTTCCTTCAAACAGATGAAATATTTTCAACACGTTTTGTTTATTTTTGCTAATGTGGAGCCCTTTGTAATTCTATTCTTGATGTAAAAATGACCCCAATACTTGTACCATGGATGTATTTCACCACAAGCACATTATGTCCTTGATTGAATGAACATGTAAGAATTGAAAGCTGATTTTTAACCTGGAAAGCTCCAGGGAGCATCAAGTTTAGCAGGAGTTCTCACCTCACAGGAACTATTCATATTTGTCATCCATAACATAAAGATGTCAATCATTTTATGGTGTCCTCAAATTACCATACCTTTACCTGGATATAAGTGTGCTTTTCAACATGGGTGAGGATAAGACTGACTAGAAGTTTCACCTCTGATCAGAGCTGGTTGGGTGAGTCATGCAGGGCCCAAGGGAGTCCGTCTGTGAGATCTGCGTGGGAGATTTTAATCTTCAACAAAAAGTCCTCTGTAGAAATGTTTCACCATGGTTCTGCAATTTTCTAAAGCACAGAGAATAGAAAACCTGTGACAATGTGCAAGTGAGAATCATGGGATTAGAGTACTGAAAAAAAACATCGACCAGAATATGTCAGATGAGATGATAAGACACTAATTAACAGTGGTTACTCATACAGCTTGAAGGGCAGGGGTGAAAATTGTGAAAAGGGAACCTGCTGTGTGCCATGAAAGACTTCAATAATATTAATTATGTTCAATAATATTGAGTGACAAACCTTGCATTACAGCCAATAAAATAAAAATGACTTAATCACATTTTATCCATCTAAAGGGCACCTGAGAGGGCACATCATTGCATTTAAATCCACTGGAAAGGCATCAAAGAGCCTCTTTGTTTACATTTGATCTGATGTGAGGGCAATTTGTATTCATTTTATCTACTGGCAGAACATAAAAATGGTGTTCCAATTACATGTTGATTTCAGCCACAGGTGCTAACTGAGAGCATTTTATGATGTTTCAGAGATACAAACCAGCTCTTATGCCGCTTTTTCAGAAGCCACTATAGGAGCTATTGCCCCCTTGTCCCCCCTCTGGGTACACCACTGCTTAATAATCCTAAATTTTAGTTGTAAAACTATTCAATGTGAAAAACCTAAAAGGAAAAACGAAAAATAATTCGTATGATGAAAAAAAGACTGAAAATGATAAAAAGTTTATTGATATACTGAACAAGAAACCAGTTAAATTTAAGATATAGACTATTACTATATTAATGACAAGATTTTTAAAAGAACAAACGAGCTTTAAAATATTCAATCCACTGTTCCACTGTAGGGAAATCACAGAAGTACTATAAAACACCCAACACGTCTTCTAAAATGACTTTAAACAGTCCTTAAGGGACCACTAAAGGACTGTTGGTGACTTTATTTTCCCACCGGGCTCTCTTAGCTGCTTCGGTTTTGATCGGAATCATTCGGCTGTTTCCGGACTCACCCGGCGTGCCAGAGGGCAGAGCACGAGCGCAGCGCCTCTCAGCACTGGGAGAGTAGCGCCATTCATCAGAGCAGACCGCGGGCACACCTGGTCGAACAGAGGAGAGCACTTTCGCGACTGAAACGGCTCCTCACAGGTGAGTTTGCAACTTAATTTCGACTCTTACTCAAATTTTATCGACTTTAAACACTCAGAGAAAGTTTGACAAGAGGAAAATAAGTACAACGGTTACAGCGAAAGTTGTATTTTTAACGCAAACAAGCTATCTACCAACGGTTAATTTTGACGTTCACGCTATTGACGTGGAAAGAGTGCCAGAGAGGGAAGTTTTATCCGCTGTTACGCTAACTCTATTGTCTCCCTACCTGTCAACAGCACCCGAGTTAATCACTTGAGGAATGCGGTGCCATTAGGACGGGAGCTCAGAGCTAAAAGTCACGTCAAGTTTTACCCTTTTAGTTTAATTTCTAACACTTTAAAGAGACTGAAAAGTGGGCCATGGCAACAGGCGGGTTTAAGTCAAACGCCACAACAGACTTTCTGGAGGAGTGGAAGGCTAAACGGGAGAAAATGAGAGCCAAAATGCTGGGGGACATCGCCGCAGCCACTGGTGCTCCCTTGGGTGCCAGCAACACAAACAGCAGCAACAACAGCAGCAGCCGCCACGCTCCTCCACTGGGCAACGAGCTCACTAACAACCCGGACCGAACCGCCTCTGCCGGGAACTGCCACCCCTCCTCCTGCTCGGTGTCTCGGTCCTCCTCTGGCACGGCTCTAAAGAGACCCGAGGAGGAGACGCACCACCCTGCCCACCACTCCGCTGCCACCCCGGGGAGCAACCTGAAGAAGGCCCCGCCTCAGCAGATGGAGAAGGCTCCTCAGTGTGCCACCCCGGACCCTAGCCCCATGGCGTGCAACGACAGTGACAAAGAGAGTCCATCACCCAGCAAAGTGAAGGAGAAGAGCTCTGGACCCAGCGCCAGGAAGGGGAAAGGGCAGATCGAGAAGAGGAAGCTGAGGGAAAAGAGGAGATCAACAGGTGTTGTCAGCATACCATCCAATGAGGTGAGTCAACTCCAATTATGGATGCTATCATGTCACTTTGAGAAGATCTAAGCACATGATCACAGCTTATTTTTAGCAGACAAGAGGATTGTCTAAGTCCTGTCACCATCTTTCTGAACATCTTGGGAACATTGTTAGGCTATGAAAGACACAAATACTGTAACAAAGAGTCCTCACTCCTCTCATGCTCCAGTAAAAGGCAGAGATGCAAGGTTGCAGAGTTTCTCAGGCCACTGTTAGTGTGTGCCTACCTATGACAATACATACCAAAACATCTTAAATTAAAACCCTTCAACAAATTTCACAGTGAACTATTTATTCATAATTTTTAATCAGTATTGGAGGTGTTTTTATTCAGATATTGTCATAAAGAATGGCTGTCATGTGTCAATACAGCCCACTATGATATTTTCCAGTTTCAGACCTCATTAAATAAATTTTGAATAGATTTCTGCAGGTTGAATGTCAAACAAAACACCAGGAGTGCATTATAAACACTAAATCTTGGCTAGAAAGCCCATTGAAGTCACATATTACAAGATGGACTAAGAGAAACATTTAAAGAAATTGACATGGCTTGTCTCTGGTAATTGGTGGTGGACAAGTACACAACTTCATTGGTGTAGATACTCCAGGTCAAATATTAATCCAATATGAGTTAAAGTGGCTCAGTCAAGAATCACTTGAATTCAGTGAAGGGTGTATTTGCTTTAAATACTGAAACTACTTTTCAAAACATGAATACAGCTACATTATATTCATTTATAAAACAGTTTTTTATGTTTTTGGGAGTTAAAATTCTGCATATTTCCAGATCCAAAAAAAGGGAACAATAACAGGATAAATCAGTCACAAAGTCACTACAAAAACAGAAAACTCAGTTTAAAATGTTCATCTCAGACATGAACTCAAAATTTGGTCAGGGGTGCTCATGTAGAGAGCTGAAGCCATCCTTACCAAAACTAGATGAACCACCTCATTTGAGTTTGTTCTGTGTTTCCTCTACTTTAAACAACACCAGCACAGTTTATGGGTTTCATGAGCGGTTGTAGAAGTGAAAATCCACCAACCGACCTCAGAGTAAAGGTAGGAAGTAACAAGAACATTCAAAGAAATAAAGTGGACTCTAAATGTTTAATTGCAGTGAAGTAAAAGTAAGAAGTAAGTGCAACTACATCTCTGACATCCCTTTGCAATATGTGATTTCTCACCAGCCGACATCACTACATATACATTTTTGAGAGGCTTACATCAGTCTGTAATACCGGCCCTCTTGATTTATTGGTCTGGCTCTTATCTAGAACATGTTACTGGGCATGCTTTTACTTGTGCCCACAGAAGTAATTTTTCAATACCATCAAGACATCCAAGTATAGACGGACTTATTGGAGTTGGTTTAAGGGTTAGTGGAAGGTAACAAATGACTTCTAAAAGCTCAGTCCTTGAAGTTTTTGACAGTTGGATACAACATGGATGTCCTTTTTAGGGTTAGTTTATGCTGCTGCAGTTTGGCATTTTTTCTCTCAGAACTTTAATTCACTTCAGATTTCTTGGCAGTCTCTCTTCTCAAACATCTCAGGAACATGTCAGAACACATTCTCATTTAAACACGTTTTCCCTGTGTGCTGTAGATCTATAAATATTTCACATGCAAAAAAAAGAAAAAAAAAAGGGGCTGTTTTCCAAAAGTCTCCAAATTCCTCCCATACATGTGTCTGGTTTAATCGACCCTCTGCAGCGAGAGAAATGTTCGCCACCCTCAGACGTAGGAGAAAGGGGGAGACGAGAAGGAGGGAGCGAGATGAATGGAGAGCGGAGGAAAGAATGGAGGGGTTGTCGGCTGCTGGTGGCGACATTCGGTTATCCATTGTTAATGAATTATAATCATGTCACACTCTTGCCCATGCCTGTGGTTCAGACGCACGCAGGAACCCTGATATGAAGCTGTGCCAGACATCAAGCCAGCTATGGCCTCTGATGCACACACTGAAAAGCACTCAATGTACAACCACAGTTCCAGGAATGTTGGGAATCAGCGTTAATGTTAATATACAGAAGAATTTTATGGATTTGAGTTCTTTTCAAAGCTATACTAAATAAAAATAGTGCACAGACAATAAATAAAATAGTAAAACGAAAGAATTTTTATTGTTTTAAGACAGGGCTTGACGCTAACTTTTTCCACAAGGAGTACATATGTGTCTTATCGGTCGACATAAGTACTATTATTTGAAATCAATTTTAGGTCTTTTGGTAACATGACATGGAAGCTATTGAAGGAAAGGTTCAAAATTTGCCTTTAAATTTAACACAAACATTTTCAGAGGACAAATTAGGGGGGAAAAAAAAGGTGTGTCTATTTTCCGACCTTAGTTCTATTATTTGAAATCAATTTTAGGTCTTTTGGTCACATGACATGGAAGCTATTGAAGGAAAACAGCCTTTTTCTGAGAACAACAACCAGTAATTTATTGACGGTCCCTTATTCAACACCTGACGTTGACAGCAAGGGTGCCGAGTAGATTTAACCGCGCTGCTGTTCCCAGTTATGGAGAGTGAGAAGACACCGGTAGATCTGCTGTGAATGTCCGCCGAATATCCAACCTAAAACTAACTTCACTGCAGTTTTTACATGAAAAAACATTTGTTGCCTCGGCCAATTTTTTATATGCGCAAATGTGCCCCTAAATACAATTCACAATTCGCACACATCTATTTTTAGTCGCAAATGTGAGTGAAATGGTTGCACTGTCAAGCCCAGTAAGAACATGTATGTGCTCATGTTTAAGTTAACACCAGCAACAAATGTCATGAAAAGATGGGTCAGGAATGTATTTACCAATTGTGAGTCCATGCAGTGATTTCCACTTCAGAGTCATGTCTGTTCTCAGTGCAGTGCTACCCAAAGGCTAAATGTAAAGGAAATCCTCAGAGAGAGACTGAGCAAATTTCAGAATAATGTTCTACAGTGATAGAGTGGTGAACCTCTTTTAATCTTTACTTTGAAAGACTGAGCCTCTCTTGAATGACCCTTCTCTCCTTTTTTGCATGACACGACTTTATCAGTGTTTTATTGTTCCTGTCCCAACAGTTTTGTAGCTTGTTGCTGGTATCAAATCTAAAATGAGCATGAGTTTTGAGATTGGGTATGTTGCCTTTGCACAACTTCCAGTCAAATATGTGGTTGTAATGAGTTGCAAACCATCAAGTTTCAAGTTTTATTAAAACACTTTTTCACAACTTTTTAAAAAAATTGATGCTCTATATAATTTGATGGAATACATGTTTATTTCTACAAGTGATGGTGGTTTTAAACATTTCAAAGTTCTCTTAAACCACAGCACTTCCCATTTTCCCATCCATCCCCGAAACTCATTGCCCTCAGGGAAGCACGACTTGGAGTTTGACCAGTTCCTCGGCTGGCGCTCCACATCCTGTTATTAGGTGCTCAGCAGTGCCGAGCAAAGCCGTTTGAAAACTGGTCACATGCCAGGCTGTAATACTGGGCTTCAAGCACCCTGGGCTGTGCCAGATATGTTTGATTGAGCCCATAGGCAGCTGATTATCGAGTAAAGCGAGCGAGCGGGCTATTACTAGGGGAGGTGGGAGGTAATCCGATGAAGTGGCGAGCTGATTTGTGTCAGTGTGGCAAAGGGAAATAACTTGAAGCTTTGATCCCAACTTTAGAGCTCTGGGTGTAGCACAGTTTGTTGGGGCTGCTTACCTGTCAGATACATAAGTGTGTTTATCCCCACTTGCAAAGTCCTGAAAAGGCTGATGAGATCCCAGATATGGCGGTTGGATAGAAAGGTGTGACCACGAGCAGGTGTGCTTTCATATGTAGTTATCCAACACGCAGTTAAACAGGAATTGTGATAAAGAAAGTGAAAGTCTGACTGGAGTAGAAAACTTTCCTGCTGACTCAGAGTTTGATGCCGTGTTCATTGGTCTTTTTTTAAATGCATGCAAATGTACTGAGAGTGAAAACGACCAGTGTAGAGGCGCCACATTTTAAAGCTTTTCTCCAACGCTTGCTCCTGATTATGCATTTCAAGTAAATGTTGTTGTATTGCGGAGTGCTGATTTGATTGAAAAGACTGCTTGGTTTATTACAAGTGACCACCAGAGAGCGATGGCACAAGTCAATCGCAGTTAGGTCGCTTTCACACCAGAGCTGTTTGGTCCGCTTTAAACAGACTAGAGTTAATTTCCTCGGATAGTCTGCTTTGTCTGGGCTGGTGTGAAAGCTCATCCGAACTCTGGTGCGGACCAAACAAACGAAGTCTGGTCCGCCTGAAAACGTGGGTCTGGTTCGGTTCGTATGCAGTGTGAAAGCTCACCGGACCAAACACAGGACCAAATGCACATAATGACGCTATACGCAGTGCATACGCAGTGCACCTTGGGTAGAGGAAGCACGGCGTCCCTTGTTGCTATGGCAACAAGCGACCGTTGACATTAGCAGTTGCTAGCTAGCTTAGCTCAATTGTCTGAACAACAATAACCCATAGATTGACAATTTGGTGTATTTAAACAAAATCAAATCACAACTACCAACAGTCACAGTCCTTAAACTCTGAGCTCATATGTTTTCACATGTTAGATCGTTAAAGTTAGAAAAATAGCAGGATCAATCCCTGACAAGCTACTTTAGCATTATAGGAACAGTTGCGTTTACTTACATTGTAGCATTCCATAAAATAATGTGACGAAAGCACAATACAAGACGGCTAGTCCACCCCTGTTTGTAATCCGTGAGGTTACATACCCCTCCTACTTTGTCCAATCGATGAGCACCCCTTTCGATCACGTGATGCTGCTCGGAAAGTTTGGTGCACTTTAGAAATCACAGTGTGCAAGCAGAACCGAAACAAGTGATAAATGCAACAATGTTGCGACTTTCAGCTCCCCAATCGAACGAGTCTGCTTGGTCAGGTGTGAAAGCGACCTAAGTCAACTATCAGCCCTACTGTAGGCTGATCTCAACTACCCGGCAGGATGATAAAAGCAGATGGCAACTCAACCTAGTGACTGCACTTTGCCAAACATTCACACAGGAACATAGTTCGAAACCTTTTACCAAGAAACGGATTCTTCTTTCTTCGCCTGACTGATTATCACGGTAGGCCCCTCTGCAAACTCCCCGAGCGGCGCCTATTAACCTCCAGACACTCGTAATTCTCACACGTGTCATGATCGCTTACTCAGTGTGCTGTCTTCAAAGAGATGTTTTTTTTCAGCAGCTCTGTTGACTTTTGACTCTTCCACAAAAATGACATCATTCATATCCTGCAGAGATTCCGGCTCAGGTGACCTTGGACCACATGGGCCCCCAAGCTTTTGTGGAGCACGTCTGTGCAGTTGTCCATGTCAAGATATTTCAGAACTACAGAAGTTCTGCAAGTTTTGGAAATCAGAGAGAAACAGAAACACCAAAAAATAGGCAGCATAGAAAATACTTTTGTCGATTGTTTTCCAGTTGCATTTAGAGGAAGCACACTATGCAAATGAGGGCGCCCCTCACACAAACTGTCTTTGTGAAGTGGATATGAGTGGACAGGTATGAATAGGGATGCTTTGGATTGTGTCCCTGCTGGTTCTGCGCAGCATAATAGCTCGTGAACAGGATTGTAGAGCATCATGGGAACCCAATCTTCTGCCTGTTGAGGCCATAATGGCTCGATAAAAGCTCCATACTTGACTGGAGAAAAGACGCTTCTGCACAGCATCAATCAGGAGGACCTCCTGTGCCCCCAGGAAGGTGTCTCCTTTCTGTCACCCTGTTTGCTGTCTTAGTCTGGAGGGCGTTGTTGTTTATACTGACCTTTGACCCCTTCGTGGCATGCTTATGCAACAGAAGAATGCAGAAATGAGAGTGAGTGTTTCGAGGTTTGAGTTCATGACTCTGAAATGTTTTGGGTTATGATGTAAGCATGTTTCCCATCGGACACGCTGCACGCTGTCTCCCGGTGATTCATGTGGCTCGTTGTTCTGCCTTTTTTTTGTTTTTTATGACCTCGGTGAGTTATGAGGCTGTGGTCACCCTTTTCCAGACGGAGTGTTAGCTTTGTTTCACGTGGATTACTGGAGCCTCTGTCCTCACAGAGGCTACTGCTGCCGGGGAGTGTGGAGCCTCACAGATATTTGTCTGCAGCGTCACTGGGGAGGTCAAAAGGTTCAGTGTGCGATACTGTGCCGAGTGCACAGGCACTTAACATCCTGTTAGTGGGAGCGCATGGCAGACGGGAGCCTCCTTATTTAGCCTGGTAGGTTGTAAATGTAGTGGGTTGTTTGTTTATATCATTTTTTTGGTGTCAACACTCCAGTATCCTAACACTTGTCTTAAACACTGCTGTCAATGCAATAAGTGAGGCATTATAAGCTCATGCTTGTAACGGAAACTCAATATGTCATGATTTGACATCAATAGCAAAGCCTAATGTACATTAAGTTAGGGATGGGGATTGTTGGTATTTTATTGATATCAATGCCATTATTGATTCTGCCTCTCGATCTAATTCTTTAATGATTCCCATATCAATGCCTTTCTAAAAAAAATAAAAGCTAGACTATAGGTTTTCTCTGGTAACTCAAACTTTTATTGAGTCTCTGATTATTTTTGGCATACGTCTTTTTCTGTTATCAAACAACAAACTATTTGTACAGCATTTACTTCGGTCGGTTTGAGTCAAATTAGGGTGACCATATTCTGAATCCCCAAAAAGAGGACACTACTATGCCGGGCAGAGTCGGGTCGGGTCGAGTGTTTTTTACGCGCTTCTAATTCAGTTAGTCCACGCTACACAAATTCAAAACTTCCATTCAAAACCTGCCGTCGTAAAGCCACGCTTTAGTTCGTTTCTGCCTACTTTTCGTACCATTCGCCATGTTTTTTTTACCTTAAAGGCGCTGTTCTCGTTCATGTATACTGGCTCACAATATTTCAGGGCACCCATAAGAAGGAATCGTTAAGATATAATGTAAACGATGTCGATGAATTGAACCTTTCGGAACCGGTTCTCAACAAGAACATTAGAACATTGGATTGCAATGTGCATGGATTAATGGCTGTTTTGTCATTAAATTGTTATATTTTTTTAAATGCAAAGACAATATGTTTTCGGCATTATATCCACTACTGAATGACCTGCTCCATAATTTTAGGATCAATGTCAGCAGTCACAAATCCAGAAAACTAATTTTGTCAACTTTACACCTCAGTTCCAGAATCACAGAAAAGACAGCGTCTTTCATATTTTTCTGGTACGGCTGATTCCTTTTTTTTTTTTTTTTTTAAGCTTTTTTTTTTCCACACATCTTAAGATATGTTAAGAAATTCAGATGTCTGATATTACTTAAAGCAGGAATTTTTTAAACTCTTTTTCAAAGATGCCTTTTCACTTTAGAGGATCTTTTGTACCCACAGCCATCAGACTGTTTAATTCTTCTGTGAGACATGAAACTCCAGACAATTGAATTTCCTTTTGGGGATCAATAAAGTTCTTCTTCTTCTTTTCTTATGAAGCAGATTGATTGAAGACTCTCTGTAATATCTTCTTGGCATCAGTTGCTCTTTTTTCAGACAAACTTACTGCTGTAGTAGCAAGTAGACTCGTCACGACACCAGCACTTTGCTCCAACACTCTTGGAAGAAGTACAATACTTGAAGTAAAAACTCTGTTAGTGGTTCAAACAGAAATTGACTAACCAGCTACAAACTCTATTCAACTACTTCTACTGAATGCTCTGGAAACAAACTAGATTTGACTATATTTGTTTGCAGTGTGTTTTAGAGCACGTGGTTTTGCTGGGCACTGTTGGCCTGGCAGTTTGGCTGTTCACCTCATGAGTCTGCTGCCCTCGCTCCCCCACTTCTCCCAATTTCTTGCTTTATCCACTGTACTGTCCTCTCTGAAATAAAAGCATAAAATCCCCCTTCCACCAAAAAAGTGTCAGAGTATAAAACATGTCGACAGCCTCAGTGGTCAGTGTTCTCAGTGTCACATAGTCTTCTGTTTACATCGCTTGCCTCGTTTTTGACCCTTAACCAAAAGTTTAAGAAACTTAAAAGAAGATGCACGTTTCCTCATTGTGGGATCCCTCTTTCGCAGCAGTTTATGCAAATGCGTGTTACACCAGATGATTCCTTATGCATTGTCGGGTTGTGGCGGCAACTCTTTCATCTGCCCGCTGCGGCATGAATAAGCGAATGCCTTAAATTCAAACACCCCGGCCTCGTCTCGTCTGCACCCTAATTTGTTTCTGCTCCATTTTATCCCGTGCTGAAGTTCAGTGAAGAGTGAAGTAGTGCTGTTTGTTTGGAGACGGGCCATGCCGAGAGCAGATTTTGGACAACATTAGATCTAGTTTCACTCGAGTGCAGCTGGAGTGAACGCATGGTTTCACACTGGTTTAATTAAATAGATAGTAATGAGTGTATAATGTTGCCAGTCTCGCAATAGCAAGAGAGATATGAGAGAAAGAAAACCTGTTGTGATGTGTTCTTTTCGCCTTATTAGTCTCCGTGATAGGATTTTCTAGTCGAATAAGTTTTCTAAGTTGTCAGAAAGTTGCGTGTGAAAAATAAACAATTACTTTTTGTCGTGGAGTGCGGTAAACTTAAAGATCAACTCTTTTTGATTTTGCTGCAAATTAAATGTAGAAGTAAATTTTCTTCAGCATGAGATAAAAAATTGAATAAATTTTGTGGTTTTTTATATGCACAGTCATGAAGTTTGTAAATTAGTCGTGTCTTTAATCCTCAGTTTAATTGACTCTCTGTAAAGTCCAATTCACAGCTGCGCTAAAGAATGCAAGAATGTTAATTTGCATGACGCGGAGTGTGTTTTTGCATGCTGTTAAAACCTTCTCCAAACAAGGGCACATCATCACAGCAAATACCACAGGGATTTACTCATGGACTTAAGTAGGCACAGAGCTATTTGGGCAGGGTGTTTTGTTTCCTTCTTTTCACTTGTTAGCCGAACAACAGGAATGCTAAACTCCGTAATTAAAACGCATGTTTTCAGAGAGCGGAGTTAGCCCAGCCAGAAGCGCCCGTTTCCCAAGCAGAGCATTTTGTTTGGTCGACTTATTGGAATGAACCCCGGATTGTTTACGAGGGCCACTGTCACTGGAAGTGTTTCAAACCGGTGACTAATGGGGAGAAAAGTCCCAGTCGAGCTGCTCTGTGAGATTTGAGGGAATTCCAGAGAAAGAGGAAGACAGAGGACGAGAGGAAGCACAGCTCGTCTACGTCCGTGATGAAGTTATTACCAGCTTGTCCCTTTTTTCCATACAGGCATCGTAGGGTCTCTCAACACCTCATAAAATACCCAGCACCCTTGTAATGAGCCGTAGCATATGTTTTTGTTCAGTTTGTGGGAATGTTACACAAACTTTGGTTCCCATTGAAGTGACCTTTTGACCAGGTGAGCGCACATTAGGCTGTCAGACGACATCACATCACTGGATTAGAGTTGAAGAGGTTGTGAGAAGGAAATGTGACGCGAGTTCGACACTATAGTGAACAACTTTCCATCTCAGTTTGAACATCTCAGATTATACCCGCTCACTTTGAGACGGATCTCTTATCCCTGCATCCTTGTCGTCTTGGTATAACCTTGTTATCCACGTGACACAAATACAGGTAGCTATGCAAATGTATTAAATGGATTGAAGCGTCTTCTCCTCCTTTTAAAATAATGAAACCTGCTCCAATGTTATCTTCCATAACCTTCAGCAAATTGATTGACATCATCACATTTAATAGTGGCACACCCACGGGCGCACATAGGAGCACAGGTGCATTTTGTGATTACATAACATGGGTGCTGGGCAGAAAATACAACCGTGACAGTCGGGAAGTAGCACTGACAGTCACGCCGTGCATAGCGTGTAAAATGGAACCCAACTGGATATTTCTCTCAGTATAAATCATAAAAAGAAGCACCTGTGTCTCCTTGTTACGAATCATAAATTCAGAGAAAGATCGATCAGAGACTCACTTCTTCGTTTGGTTCTTCCTCTGTTGATTCTGCCCGTGTACAAGAGGTAAAATCAATCAAATGTTTGCACTGTCAGTCGTACATAATTATCAAAGGTGTAATATTTCAATAAAAATACAACATTATTGTCATAATATTCGTATTGTCTTGTAAAATTTCCACTGGTATGTTTGGCAGATAAGGTGACGTAATTCTGCACGTGCAATTACAGCTTATGCAATGGCATGCCAGTATTGTAAACAGACAACACAATAGCTGTTTACAACGCGTGTGAAGCACATGTGATGCACGGAGGAGCAAAACAACTCCTTAAACGCCGTCACTTTAATTGTACATCTCAAAAACTATTATCAATTGTACTAAGAGAGCAAGAATAAAGAGAAACAACAGCCGACACTTTTTAGCCTTTACTGATTCAACAAAACTCTAAAAATATAGAAGCAAATATATTTCTGACTGATACTTCATACAGAATACTCTTTTATTTTCCAGTTAAATTGAAAAATTGTTTTATTTTGTATATTTCTAAACAAATAGACTGTCAAAATAAAAGTAATAGGACTTATTCTAGCACAGGACAGACTCGGAGAAAAAATGTGAATACATCAGCGTCTGTGTCACTGTTGCCTGAGATAAGTTTGAAAAACTTGGCAAAATCCAGTATGGTGGATCCAATATGGTTTCTCTTGAAATCAAGAGCTTTGTGTAGAAAAATATAGCCAAAACACTGTTGTGTCTGTGTTGGCCTCTGTGTTACAGTAGTGATGGAAGCGTTCAGAGGCAGATCCTTTCCTTCCTGCTTGATTTTTTTTTTGCTGTTGGAATTTGCTGATATTTGCACGTTTAGTTCAAAGTCCTGTTTGATCCAGGTCACCGCTCTTCAGTTATGGCTGTTAAGGAGCACTGTGGAACAGATTGTAGATTATTGCCAAAGTCCCCCCTCCTCCTCCCCAACTGCACATCATGCATGCAGCAGAGTGCATAGTCATACAAACCTGCACTGCCGTTACATGCACATAACTCGTGAAGAATTGAGACTGAGCCATCCTGCTGGCCTTCAGGCACTCACTCTCTCAGTGAGCTTCATCCCAAAAATGTGGTCAGCTGAAGCTCATATTGTCCGCCTCAGTGTAGGAGACCACTCAAACTCATCTGTTGGATGATCAGATCATTTAATTACTCTATGTACACACATACAAAACACCTAATATTCCTGTTAATTGTGTTTCTAAACAAGACACTAATCAGAGCAGAAATGATTGATCTTGAGGAATTTGCATCAGTGAGACGTTATGAAGGCTGGGCTGAACAGACTGGTTCAGTGTGGAGCATAACTCATGTAAATATGTCACCAAATCATTTCTGTTTTGTCTTTAGGGGAGCGTCACTCTGAGTCGCCTCGTCCTCATTTGAGCCCGAGCTCATGCCAATATTTTGTCTGAAAGTTGAAGTGAAACCATCTTCTCTGAGATCATCTTTTACACCTTACAGTCACTTTTATCTGCATTCTTTTAAGTTCATCTTCTTTTATAATTGCCTTTCTGGTATTTTCCCTCCTCATTACCAGAACTCACGCTGAGAACATTAACACCATCTCAAGTGTGTCAGGGTAACTGACACGGAGCTTATAGAGTTTACTGTTCAGTCGTAATGGTACTTTGGAAACATGCTGTGATAAGCGATAATCGGTTTCATGCCTCTGCTTTTGGGGAACAAGTTCACCCCCTGATGCTCGGCTGTTGGGGGACTTTTCCGTACTCGGCTCCCGGGCGTCTTGCTAGTTTGACAGCATGCAGACACACAGACACACACGGCAGTGGGTGTTCAGGGACAGAGTCAAGGATTAAAAGAAGTGAGAGAGTGCATGTTGTGATTTTGTGTGTCTGAAATGTGTAATCTACTTTGTTGGACATTCCTGTGTGTTTGCCAACGCCTGTGGGGAATAGTGAGTCAGCTCTAATCAGGCCGCTCTGCATGATTAGGCATTTGGGAGCCTGTCTGTTTGTGTTTATTAAACTTACTTAGAGACCCCAGTCTTCGTTTTCCCACTGTACTCTATTTTGAATTCTGGTTAACATTTTGTGAGCATGATTCTCGCCCTCCTGAGGACTGTTGCCTGCACCCCACAGTGGGAAAGAAAAATCAGAGAATTTCAGATAAAGACCTCCTCTTTTAGAAAACACTGAAGAGAAATCAGTGGGGTTTTTTTTAACTGTACTACAGCTACTGTTATGCTGCCTTAAAGTTCCTGTGAGGAATTTGAAGTTTGTGCTTCACCAGTTTACTTATCGGCGATGACATTGTTTCATGCCAGCAGTGGAGGAGGCCTCTGGAGAGCTGGCCAGTCTGAGGGAAATGTGCAAAAGAGGATTAGGGCCACAAGAAGAGAAAAAAAAATTACAGGAGGGAAATTTTTTAAATTTCCTTTTCAAGATTAAAGTCGAAATTTAAAAAAGTCAAAATGAAATGCCGGATGGCTTAAATTTGTTGTAGCCATCCATGTGCCAGAGTGCATTGGGTCCTCAGCTTTGGTAATGCCTGCATCTCAGACACATCATAATCTTCAGCACAGTCTTTTCAGAGTCCGAATACTTATGACCACACTGTGTCTTATCATCAATAAATCCAATTCTAAAAGACGGCTTTACAAACTGTTCGACAGAGGACATGTTGTTGAGGAACGAGCAACAGTGCTGTTAATTTATTATCATTAATCTCAACATTACGACTTAATTCGTGAAATTTTGTCTTTATTTGCGTCGACTTTAATCTCAAAATTTCGATTTAATTCATGAAATTTTGACTTTATTCATGTCAAATTTAATCTTGAAATTTCGGCTTTATTGACATAATTTCGATTATTTAATCTTGAAATGTGTCTCTTCATGTGTCCTTAATCCTCTTTCATAGAAATGGGCCCAAAGAAGAGGAGAGTGGGGAGCTTTTCAGTTAAAGTCAGGTGATTAAGGTGATAAAATAAATAAGCATACTGCCCTGACCTACAAGGAAATTATTCAGGTTTTATTGGGCTTGGGTTTATTTAAACAGCATATCAACATAATTAAAAATAAGAGAAATTAGTGAAATGTCCCTTTTTTGTCTCAAACATAAAGAGAGGATATGTGTGAAGAGGTTTAAAAGTCAGTTTAAAAACCCACTTGATACGTCCTCAGGTGAATTTTAAAACACAGACTCTTGGCTGGACATTATTACACTTAGAGCAGACTATGTCCACTTTATTTTTCACTTAATTACAGTGACACACAAGTCAATAGTCATTACACACACACACACACACGCACACACGCACACACAAAACATCTCTGGGGCTCCTCTGTCTCCGCTCCATCACATCAGTCCCGCCCCCTTTTAGAAAGATTATTGTGATTGGTACAACCAGGACCAGGTCAGCTGGAAATAGGTCTGAACTGGAGGGAGACCAGACAAAATCTGCCAGAGCTAATGAAACATGAGACTCTGGCTGATTTGTGCGGGTCTGCGGCCAATCCATTTATGTTATTATTTGACTCTCAATTACAGCGTCATGACTCAGCCAATCAATATATTTAATGGCAGGTCATCGTGGTTTCTCCTCGTTTGGACTCAGTGGGCTAGGAGTAAAACTGCAGCCAATGATACAATGGTGCATAGACTCAGAGTGGATTTTATTTTCCTGTTTGTAATACTAGTAATATAAATCGAACACACTATTGATTACACCTGTCGCAGGTCGTCACTTAGGTCTCCTTTGAATAGGCACCTTGACTAAAGTTAAAACGGTTTATCAAACTTATCAAATACATCTTTTTAATGAAGTTTGACCCAACTGTACTGGGTTTGATTTCCAAATTTAAAATCCCAACCTTTATTTGAAGCCGCTCAAATGCCAGCATGCAAAGCCAAAAGCGTCTGCCAGGAGTTTTAGTCAAAATTTGACCAATTATGTCCAAGTTAAAAGGATTCTGAATACCAGTTCACTCAGATGTATGATCATCCCTGTCTGATGCAGTCACACTCCTCCATTTTCTCTCCTGTTTTATTATTACATGAAGGATATTAAGCTGAGGTAATACTTGTTTAAGCGAGCGCACACCGACAGGCTGTTTGTGTCTGCAGTCGAACAGGTTTTACACGCTGTTTTAGTGTCTTATGTCACCACGAATCTCCCTCAAACAGATTCCTCCCTCGATAAGCATCTCTGTTATCAGACAAGGTGGTTCTGCGGCCCCGCCTGCAGCCGAGGAGAGATGAACAAACACGATTTCCTTCTGTGGCGGTTCAGAGGGAAAGTAAAAGTTACAGGAATGTTTGCTGATGATTCGGAGTCCCACCGGTGTTTTCTTTGGCGGTTTTCACTTCTTGTTTCTGTTCAGAGAGGGGTCAAACTGAACTCCGGGGCGAAAAATCCACTCTAAACTCTAATGATGCTCTTGGCACATGCCTCGCCCTTGAACAAAAACAAATAGGATTTATTAGAATAAGACACTTGAGGATTTATGCGGTAATTTAGACCCAAGTGAAAATATTTTCAACACCAGAGGATTGGTTTCTTTTTCACTTTGTGACATATTTGTATTTGATAGATGTGCGGGGTTTTCCCCCCATGGCTGTCGGAACAATTGCACACAGGCCGCAGCAGAAAGTGGCTCTTCAAAAGGACAGAGTATTGGAAACACAGCTCGGTGGCGAGAGGGTCCAGGAATGCGGCTGAACCCTTGAAATTGAATAAATATGTGGCTCTGAACTGCCAAACGCACAGCAGCCTTGATCTTTGAGCCTTTCTTCCTAACAAAAGGGCCTGGAAGCTGTTGGAGTAGAGAGAAGGGCCTACCTGTGAGGAAGAGCATGCCTGTGTCTTTGCGTTTGTGTGTACTTGTGTGTGTTTGCTGAAGCGGTGTGCTACTTTGACACCTGACACCACACTGGAGAGAGTCCTTGTAAACGGTGCCATACTCTAAATTCAGCTCTCCCTTGTTGGACTTGAGGGGAATATGTTTTTAGTGCTGTGTTTTGTGGCTTTGTGTCCAATACGAGTGTGTAGTACTGCGGTAAATTTTTGGTGCTGCTCAGTTCAACCCAACCAGGACAAATGTATGAGGTATGAATACAGAGTCTGACAGAAACCCAAACAAAAACTGAAATCTCCCTTCAGTTTAACAGCGAGTAAAGTTCATGTTTGCTTTTTAAATGGCCTCTGTCTCTTTAAACATTGTGCAGAAAAAGTGCCCTAGTTGTGACAGTTTTTACTAACATTATTACAGGGTTCCTACGCAAGTATGGCGATCAATTTGATCGATTTCCAGGTTTTAAAAAGTATGGAAAATAAAATGTGGAAAAATATGTATGTTTCCAGACTATTACCACAGTTCTAAAATACTGTTTTCTGAAATAGAAAAGAAGGTATTTCCAAAAAGGATTCTGACAAGTAGAGTATGGAAAAGTATGAAAAAAATTTGGTCCAAAACTGAAAGTTATTTTCCCTGTTGTGAGGATTTCATGCGTCACACTAAAGCAGTCTGCTAACTCTGATGGTGGTACAGCTTCCTACACTGCTACTACAACAAGCCATAGAAATGAATGTTTTGTCGTCACGTATCAAAAGTTTGGACTGTTTCCAACATACTGAGGATTTTGATTGGTTTTGTGCCAAAGTAAGGGATTACTTTTGGTGAAATGTATCCCCCGTTGTCTTCTAAGTGAAATGTTATTTGTGCCACAGTGTCAGACCTGTCCTCAAACAAACAAACAAGCTCGGCATCACTCCCGCCTTGTTTCAGAGGTGATGTCAGCATCAGTCACCTGCGTTTAAAAACAACACTGACTCATTTTTAACATTTGCTTTGTTTCGCCTTTGCATCGCTACACGTGTTGTTGTTGTTTCCAATGTAATGACGACTTTAATCTCTGGGTGTTAACCTCACCTTGATGATCAACTCATCAGCTGCTTTTGACCTGAAATGACCTTGACCTTGTTTACAAACAAACTGCAGTCCGAGTTTCAGACTGACCATTCGATGATAAATATTACATCAGATTTCTAAATTTGTGTTTTTTTTCTTTTTGTTGTTTGATGTTGCTTTTGAAAATATTTACTCTCGCTGCTGCATGGCTTCATCTTATCCAAGCTCGCTCTCTGCCCTCAGACTGATGTCTTCTGACAGCAAAAAATTAATTTCCAATGGCCGTCGTGATCAAAGAGGAAGGTCGAAGCAATGAGCAGGAACTTATCACAGTAATTTTATGTTTACTCTGATCTCTGACCTTCATTTATTGGCGCCCAGTCAGCACCTGTTTGGGCTCGTATCACGCTGGTAAATAGTTGTGATGATCTGAAGAGTGGTTAGTAGTCAAATGCTGGAAAAACAACAGCTTGAGTCTTTACCTGTAGAAGTGTTGTATTCAATCAAGGACTGGGCATTAAAGCATTGGGCGTCCTGATACAACCTTTTTACTTCAAATATGATACCGATATTGTAGCCTTCAGTATTGGCTGATATTGGCACAAAATTTTGCTTGACAAGTTTTGCACTCAGCTGGCACATCTTTTCGGACTTAAACAAAAAATACTGCCACACTGCCGACATCACTCCTACTCTTTGCTACTTTGTTAGTACCTTAGTACACACTGTTGTTGTCATTACATGGGCTCTCTATGCTGGATCCGGGTGCTGATATTGGAGATTTTAGATGCAGGTCGATATAATCCGTTATTTGTTTTTTTGCTGATATTGAACCGATATCAATATCATACCTGGACATTCGTACAAACAAACACGAGTCAATTTATCTTCAGTTTGCCACAAGGATTGAGAAGATAACACTAATAGCTCTCAGCTGAACTTGGCGATATAAAAAAAAATCAATAAAAAATAAACAGATTTCTCCTACTGCAGTATCAATGAGGTTGTAGTTTACTTTAACGCCTTGCATCCGTCTCTACTTAATGAGTCTCTCTGCTCTGGCTTTCTTCTACGCTTGAAATAGTTTATATAAAGTGACACAAACACGAGCCGCTCAGTGGAGAACAGCTTGTTATGAAACTTTGAGTGAAGCTCAGACAGAGCATGTAATTTCCTCCATGTTTGTTCCTTCAGAGGGTCACTTCACTCACCTCTTTAATTTAGTATCTTCCACGCTTGGAGCTGTAAACTGTCGACTGATCTCATCACAACAAAGGGATATTCCAGACCCCTGGGCGGCAGTCGTGAATTTTTTTGCTGTTTTTTTTCCCCCATCCTCTCCAGAATACTTCTGTCTGTGCTGTTTTTTTCCCTCCACTTGCATATTTGATGCTGCAACCGATTTATTTATTTAACTTGAGCTGTCTGGCCTTGAAAGAAGAAGCAAAAGTGAAAGTTAAAATACAGATGCAGTGGCGTTTCAGTCATGCCTCTCTCATGTTCAGAGAGAAGAGGAGCAGAGCGGTGATTTTTGGCAAAGCGGAGCCTTGTATCCCTCTCTCCTCTGTGGGTATTAACCTTTGCCTGTGGCTCCTAAAAGATTCATAGCCAATGAAACTTCTCAGCGCAGCGTGACAGATTGCTTTTTCATCACAAGCCACCCTGGCTGATTGTATGCTTTTCTTCTTACCGTATGTCACAAATCCTCCTTTTTTTCCACCACCGGTTCCTTATTTGTATTTTTGTCTGGTCTCGTCTTTTTCTGGGATTCGTCTTTCTTTTCATTTTTTTGCCTTTAGGATGTTTCTTTTTTCGTCTGTTTGTTCTGTCCTTCTCAAATTCTAATGAAAAATCCTGCCTGTCCTGAGCCGCGTGCTCACACAGCTCATTAGTAAGTCAGTCCCCGAGCCTGCATGCATCCATACTGATTTGTTTGCATTCACAGATTTCAGGCTTGAGGCTCATAAGTAAACATGAGGTATAGCCGTGTGTGTGGCCCGCGTGCCCTGTCCTCCTCCTTCCTCCTCAGCTCCATTTTTCTCCTTTTTCCACCGTTTGTCCAACGTGAAGCTGTCCAGGCCAGGATGAATGGCCCGATGTCAGCAGCTCTGTCCGTCCACGGGGCTTGATTCATCTTCCTCATGTCAGCCTGAAAGGTCACACAATCAACTGCAAACAGTCGTCAGCCCACCGTTATCTAGAGGACAGAGGGAGGGTGTTGCATGTGCTTCTGGGAATTCTTCAGAGGTGTTACTGAACATTAACAGGATGCATCAGGAGTGCAGCAACTTCATATTTGTCACAATTTACGAAACATCTAAAAGTCAGGTTCGAGATCGGAAAGCTCCCTTGCTCACTTCTCTCGTCAGTAAAGCAACAGTGGCTTTTAAGGACAAAAAGCTCCTTAACAACATTCTAAGTATGATTCTTTATTCGTCAAGTTTTTACCATCACAAACATTTATCAACACAAACTCTTCTGCACACAACAGTCGCTCTCTTTCTCTTCATCTTCCACCTGATGCACTGATAAACTGGAAAGCTCCATTTGTGCACACATGTTGTTTCCTGGTGGATGATGACAAAAGCACCAACTTGCTGCTACAGAGCTCTGATATTTGGCCAGGTATGCACACTCTTGCATTTTCAGTTGTTTTTGAGAGTCTGCATATAGATCTTTTTTTCTTACGGATCTTTTTCAAAAGCTAAGTGAGGACTTTTCCAGTTTTATTCATTTTATTCTCATCCAAACAAGACCTAAGAGATCATTCTGGATTTTATTTAGGAATATAAACCTCGTTTTGTTGTTTTATGATAGTTTTATTCATGTGTTAATGCAAAATAACATCAATGACTATGTTCGTTCTTAATCTTTTCAATTCAGATGAGCCTCCTTAACAAGTTGCCCATTTCACTTACACTGTTCCACCTGACAGGTACAGCGTACTTCTGGAAACACTGAACATTTTACCCTTAAAAACATGGAGTCTGCTTTACAAATGCAAAACATTTCACATTTTTGCATTCAGCACCATTATAATCAAGCATTACAGTGGATTAAGAGATTGCTCAGTATATTTCTTGCTATTTTCAGAGGCCTGCCACTCCCCTGTGAGACTATCATTGTTTTATTGTTACTCGCCTTGTAGATCATTAAATCAAAACCCTTTTTTTTCCCTGGCTGCTCTCACACTCTCTCTGTTCTTTCTTCAAAAGGCACTGCAGAAACATCCAGTCTCAAAGTTTGATAAATCAATTTCTCCTGCTTACAGGAGAGCAGCCATCTGATAGAGCCAGACTGACAAGTGAAATTGAATTTCTTATTTGCACTGCTCCTTTTTCTCACAGTTCACGGTCTCTTGGCAGGAAACACTATTTACGTTCAGCATGCCTTTGTACTGTGATCCAGTTTTTCATTTCCAGGCTCATGTACTCGTGTCATATCTTGTGCATGTGTCTTTCGTGGTTGGCAGAAACAGTAGAAGTAAACCAGGCTTGAATTTAGAGCTGGTTCAAACTGTGTGTGTATGTGTGTGTGTTGGACAGGCTGTAACCTTTCCCAGGCTGTGGTGTGAGCTGCTGGTGGGGAGTTCAGACTGCGCTTAGCATGACTCACGGTCTGGTTCGGTGTCTGCCAGAGGACAAACACAATGGCCTCTGTACACAATAGTCCTGCCTCTGTCCTGCTGGAATGCAAAACATGCTTCAACGGTTTCCGATACTGTATATTGTGTTACCGGGCGTGCAGGCAAGGTGCACAACAAACCCACAAAAATGCACTCAGACACAGTGACCTATTTTTTTCAAGACATTCATTTCTCTGGCCAAATAAGTTTTTGTAGAAACTTTCAAGTTTGGTTAAATGCTCTGTTAAATCATAAGAGAAAATTATTTTTTTCCTTGTGCATCATACTTTTTTATAGTAAACTTGCTTTTTTCAATTCTGGATGTTTAAAAGAAAAGAATATGTTATTTTAGTGTTACAAAAATGACAAAATGCAAATCTATGATTGTGTTTTCAGCCAAAAGTTTCACTAGGTAGTTCAAATGTTGGTCAGCATCATCTGACTTTTTCTGTGAAGATAACCCTCTTAGTTGTCCAGGACAACATTTTTGTTGCTCAGGTATCAAAATAAGTATTGATATCGCAAGATTTTTACTTGTATCGTCCCGTAGTTTAAATTTTTTGGGATTATGATTATGACTTTAAGATACAGACTGTTCCTTTAACGCCTTGCCTTGGACTTTCTAGAAATAATATTTTTTATTTAATGAAATCAACATAAATTGCAGCATTTTCTCTCCTCCTCTGAGCCACTGGTAATACACAAAACATTACTCTGCTCAAATACTTCTGTAGAGGCGAGGACGATGACTACTCACTGCTCAAAATGCAAGTAGAGATATTAAGTTAAAGCAATATAGGACTTCACATGACCCGTGAGTGCCCACAACTGGAGCATTAAATCACAAGCACACAGGGAAGATCATCAGAAGTTGGGTTAAGTAAGTCCTGATTTGAGTTAAGTGATTCTTCAGTTTCAAGTGTTTTTTCTTGGATAATTTCATGTGCAGCACTTTCGAAATGACCCATATTCTAAGTCTTCATCCTAGTTTTATAGTGATGGTGTAGAGCCATGTTTTTGGGAATATACTGTGAAGTCCTTCGCTAAATGAGGAGTTAAACAGTCATAGAGCTACTTTTTCTTTGTGGCCGTCCCAAAAATCTTATCCGTTGCACCCCTATGAAGCAATATGCAATAAAAACTCTGATTAACAGTTACCAGAATTGGCTACCATTTCCTCCATTGTTATCTGTGCACCACCTGCTCTCTGTTTAAGTTTGAAATTAATGTCGCTGCATGTACCGCCATAAAGAGCAGGAGCAGTAATTATGAGGAAGAAAAGAAAACACTGACTGCTGTTGTTCTCTCAAAGTTTACTCAGACCTCCATCAAAGTGCTCAGCTGTAATGCTCAGTCTTTGTGTGAAAGAGTGATGTGCTTTAAATAAACAGCCACTCTGGCACATAAATGCCTCTTAAATTTTTGATGTGGAGCAACTGTCTGGCATCATGTTGAACATTTGTCGTGTTTTTAACGTGTCTGAAACAATAAAGTTTACCCAGCCTGACTTTACGTGGCCTACTTTAAGAAAATACATGGACACAGAGCAAGAAAGGTCACTGCAATAGCATTAAAAACGGGGCTAAAGTTGTTAAACTCTACCTCAGGATTGTCAGTTACTCCTTTTTTTATGGAGCAGATTTTTTTGAAGTCATCAGTCTCTCGTGTTTATTAAAACTTGTCCAAACAGGAAGTGTTTTGAAAGGACAGAACTGGGCCTGCTCTGATGTCAGTGCCTGGAAGTCCAGCTCCTCCGGGACCCGTGGCAAAGTCACAAACATCGGCCTGATTGTTGTGGCACTACAGCCTTAAGACACAGCCGGTCACATCCCAGCTGTCAGACTCGATCCTTATGAGAGCTGTACTTTCAGCTCTCACCACCGAACAGTTTGTAACAGTAGGAAGCTCCACTGAAATTCCACAGGAGGTAATAACTCGCCTTCGCATTGTCATGACACACTCCATTTCCTCGCAATTTTATCCTTAGTCCACCCTCCTCCCACTCACTCAGGGTTAATGGGAGGCCTTGTCTTGTTTAGAAAGTATCCACCCTCCTCTATGATGCCTCCCCCCTCTCCTCTTTAAAGTGGGGATTCAGCATGTCTTCAGGGAAATGTGAGGGAGGTAACACAGCGGTACGCCTCCTAAAGATGATGCCGATGTTAGAAACGCTCGCCATATAAATCTGAATAAATCCCGACCGCCTCAAAGGATCAATTTGCCCCAGAGATCAGTTACATAATGTTACAAGACTTGTACTGTTACGCAACAAACTTTTTCATATAGGAGCCAACTTGATACACGTCTGCAACTTTTTCATTCGAAGGACTGATTTATTGGTCTGGATTTTTATTTCCAGTCAAGAATCTGGGTCACTGATGTTGGTTCAGAACCTGCTGAAAGCCCATCTGGAGTGAGGTGCTTTCAATTAACATGGCATGTATTTTTTCCAGCCGGCTTCCTCATTTACATGCAAAGCTCTCTCTCTCTCTCTCTCTCTCTCTCTCTCTCTCTCTCTCCAAGCTTAGAACTGCTCTTCTTTTCCTCAAGTGATGCTTCAAAGAACAGATAAGAGGCTTAAGTCTTGAAAATTAAGAGGGTGCGACCAGTCAGCTGTGGTTATATATTATGATGCAGGTGTTGCAACTCAATACCTCTGCTGCGGTGGCATTGCCTTCACTTACTAGACTGGAGTGTGAAGGTTCAGTCAGTGTGCATGGTTGCAGTCTCAAAGGGTGCAGTTCGAGTCTTAGTGAGTAAAAAACACGTCATAGTCTTCTATAAGTTCAACAGGCTGGAGTTTGGCCCCAAGACAGTTGACCCAAATCCAAAAAAGTTGAGGCGCCGTGTTAGATGTTGATAAAAACCAGAATCTGCTGGTTGTCAAATCAATTTAACTCTATATGTAACTGGAAATACCACAAAGACAACACATAAGATTTATTGAAATCTAATGCAAGCAACATGTTATAAAAGAGTTGGGATGTGGCTTGTCCTTTACTGTGTTGTACCTCTTCTTATACGATAACAACCTGCACATTTAGGGTGACTAAGGAGACCAGTTTTGGGAGTTTAGGAAGTGAATTGTTGAGCCATCTCTCCTGATGCAGGATTTCAGTTACTTTTTCACGTTATATTCCGTTTTTAGTGGTGTTCAGATACAACTTTTTAAGCTCTGCTATGATACCGATATTGAAGCCTCCAGTATTGATCTGATATTAGCACAACCTTTTGCATGACGACTTTTGCAATAAGCTGCAGCATCTTTTCGGACCAGATGCGGGTGCTGCTAGACAGAGGTGCCAGAGTGGAGTCTTGAATGGACTGACTGTATCGGCGTGCTGATATCGGAGATTTTAGAAGCAGATGATATAATTTGATATATTCAAATTTTTGCTGACATTGCACTGATGTCCGATATCAGTATTGTATCGAGACAACCCTATATAAGTCAGAACAGCGGGCAGTTTTGGTTTTGCACCTATACTCTTCTCCTGCTGAGCCACGCTGTTGTGCCACATGCAAAATATGGCTAAAATATACAAGGGTCTTCCCTGAAAAAGTCATCGTCCTGATTGCAACTTTTGTTGCTCCAAGACTTTTATTGTTCAACAGGAATGCTGCCCTCACAGATGTTTGAAGTTTTCCATGCTGGAGGCGCTCATGCGTCCCTATACCATCACAGATGCAAGCCTTTGAACTTTAGAATGGTACCAGGTTGGGTGGTCCCTCTGCTTTTTAAAGCAGAGGACTTGGCGTCTATGATTTCCAAAAAGAACGGTAAGGTCTCACCATAGGTTAGTGGTCTACAGTGATGGTGGTCGTGGGCTCAGGTCTAGAAAAAGTTGTGTTTCTGAATCATACTTACATAAGCTTTTTCCTTTGCATGGTACTGGTAATAGCAGGTGCTGCAAATAATGGTTCTTTAATGTGAATTTGAATGTATGCAGTGATTTCCACTACAGAGTCACGTCTGTTGCAGATGTTCTGAATCTTTTGACAACATTGGGAACTGAAGATAATAAAATTCTTAGTAATTTTAGGCTAAGGAAGATTATTCTAAAATTGTTCAACTATTTGTCCAGGCAGTCCCTCAGGAAGTGGTGAACCCCTTTACTTTTTTGCTTCTGCACTGTTATGTTCAGGGTTTAAGTACTTTGCAAGGCATCACAGTCTGTTTTTTTTATCACAATATGCCACCTTTTTGGAACTGGGTAGTATATGGATGCACATTCCTCTGCCTCACACTTGTTGTCCTCACCCTGTTCTCTTCCTCTCTGCATATTTCCTCCCTCTCACCCCCAGATGAGTGGTTGGTTGGTCCTTTTCCAAAGATATCCATTATCGCCCAAACACCGAACTAATTCCCCCACTCAATCTTTTGCTTACCCCTCTTTTCCCGATTGTCCCTCCTCCTCCCACATACCAAATCCAAACCTCTTTCTTTTCTCTCCCTCTCTCTCTCTCTTTTCTCTCTCTCACTCTCTTTACTCTGCTTGGCAAGATAAGCCACAGCAGGGCACAGGGTCGTGGAACACTGCGGATTGACGGTCGCCATTTCTATCAAGCGGGGCAGAGAAAAGCAGTTCATTTGTCCAGACTCCACGGCGTAATTTTTTTCCCCAGAATCTCACGAGGAGAGCCAGCAGCCTCATGAATAACAAACACAGCTTTCTCTCAGGGGGAAAAGAGTTCACACTGACTCCCCGTCTCTGCTTTCTCACCTCGGATCTGAGGCAGCCCGTTCCGAAGGCCCCACAGAGTTTATTGCGAATTTCTGGGGTGATCCTCTCTGCAGGCGAGACTTAAAGACAGGGAGCAGCGGGATGAACGTGCCGCAGTTCTACCTGCTACAATCAAACAACAAACAGCAGAGATAGGGCCTCTTTCGCCTGAGGGGCAGAGCAGAGGAGCCATGATTTATGCCTCTCTGGAGAGGAAGTCGACGGGGCACTGTTGCATAGGCAAACCTTTATTTAAAAGACCATTATCCCCCTACAGCTGTCATCATAAACCTATATGTTTCACTGCGGTGACCCTGGCTGATCATATTTGTCATTCGCACTCTCTTTAAGTTGCCTTATCCAGGTTCACGCAGGCTCCAGAGCTCTTGTAACCCTTGGCGAATGGAGTGGCTTTTCTAATCTGACATCCCCACAGCCTTTTTTGAAGAAAAGCTGGCAAATAAGCGTAGACACAGGCACGCAGAAAGGAGGGAGAGGGGGGCGGGCGGCGATAACTATCCACATCCTCTCTTTTATTTGTATGTAAATACGCAGATGCAGCGATGCGTTGAATCAGCCCTTTAGAGCTGCATAGGAACGGAGAAGGGAAATTTTATTGTTGCTCTGCTGCTCATCCACTCTGCTGTGCCGTGCTATGCTGTCGCACCGGGTGGGGTGGAGCGGTGAGGAATGCACTAATCACGCAACTGTGCTGCCCTGCCCTTGCCAGCCACCCTGCCTTTTGTCTGCACTTGGAAACCAAAACAAAAAACCTCCTAAGGTTTCGAGCATCTCATTCTGTCTCTACTAACACGGGACATAAACAGAGAGAGAGAGCGGCTAAAGGAGCTGTATTGTTTTGGTCTTCCAGGAAGAGCTGAGCCCCCCCCTCCTCAAATTCCAAATCCTTTCTTACTCCCCAGATGACAGGAATGTTGTGACAAATTCGGTAATCCAGGCTGAACAACAGGTCGCATTAGCGTTACCTTTTATCTGCTCCGTCTCTCTCTCTTTTCAGCGCTTACCTGTCTCAAACTTCATAAAACATCCCTCCATGTCTGCACCGTTCAGCATTAACCATGACTTATTGTGTTCCTCCTGCAGTATGCAAACATAATTAGGGTGTTTTCCAAGTCCTTTGAGTTTATTTAGTCCAAATATTTTACGAGACAATAAACTCCTCAGGTAAAGTCAGCCAAAAAGCGTCTGAACAGGAGCTGCATGCTTTGCATAGCAGAGAGATTTATCCTGAGCTGGAGCATAAAAAGTTTTTATTCCCCAGAACATGCTGTGCTCTACTTCCCTGCAGTAAAACTCTACAGCAGCTCGGCTGTTTCCATGTAATGTTGTAACCAGTTGCGTTTGTACAAAAATAAATCTCAGATAGTGGATGATCTGATGGTTTGGCCTGCAGGGCTGTGCTTTTTCATTAGACTTGTGTTTTTCCCCTCTAGTTTATATTTCTGATTGTTTTCCATTTGGAAAGTGAATGATTGACAGCAGAACGCAGACAGCAGAGCTCTCAGGCATGCTGAAGTTTCCATGTGTCTCGCTCAGGGCACAGTCATCACATTTACTCATCGCTTTTTCACATTAAGTTAATTATGTTTGCTTTGTTTTGCATATTTTTATCATGAAGGAGAGTGTGAACCACTGATGAACTCTTCATATTAGTTCCGACTTGAAAAACTGTAATGAGGACGGTGCGTTTGCCTCCTTTTCTAATGTTATAAAACGTGTCTCTTAGTTTGGTTGTATAGCAGCACATCAGACACTGAAAGCAGCATTTGTTTTCTGTTTGGAAAGTGCTTGGAGATCGACTACAATCACTCACAAAAGGTGACAGCTAATTTGGAATTTTTCAACACTTCTGACAACATCGACGCACAATCAGACGGTGTTTTGGATTAAGGAGCAGCGCGTTGTTTTCTGCCTCATCAGGACCTGATTGTAACTGATTGGGCTAAATCGCTCTACTTTTCCAACTTGTTAAAAATGGGAATTTTCCCTTTTTTTTTTTCTCTCAGATGTGAATTGCTGCTTTGATTGGTTGATGTAAGATGTGACCTTTTGATCAGTCGCCTGCTGAGTCGTATCCTGATGTATTTTGAGGCAAAGATGACAGATTAAAGCTCCAGTGAAGAACTTTCTACTTGTCTCACTTTTGGCGCCCCCTGTGGACAAAGCAGTCTTTATCTATATCGTCCTGTCCATTATTAAGAACTGTAGTGTCTCTAAAAAAACAAAAAAACTTCATCCTGTTGACTCATAACAGTCATATCTATCATTTATCATGAATATTTTATACTGAAATTGTAAAAAAAAGGGCTGTTTCTTCAGGTCTTTAGGTCCAGTTTAAGGCGTTAAAATTGCCCTGATGGCCTTTTTTTTGCTTTTGAATATCCTAAAACGACATTAGTATAAATTTCAATCTGTTCCAGTTCATAAATGTCAACACACCTCTCATAGGAGGTTAAAACAACAACTGGTATTAAACAAGTATTTGGTACTTTTAATGTTTTTCATCACTAAAGATCCTCTATTCTGCTGATAAATCTATCTTATGATTTACACCCCTGGATGAAATATTATCTTCATGTGTAAAAGTAGAGTTGTAGAGTTTTTGAACATTAGCACATGTGAAAAAAGTAATAGATTGTGTCAAATATCTGTCAGTAGAAACTTTAGTGAAGCTTATAGAAGGACAAGATGAGAAGAAGCTAACTCATGACTCTTGTCTCTGAGTTTTTGATGGGTTTACACCAAATAATCACATGTGTAAACTCCAGAAAGTTCCTGCAAATAGCTTGAAAAGTTGTCTATTGTAAGACTCCTTCAACACAGAGACAACCGCACATGTGCAGAATGGCTACTCCCACCCTCTTCTGCCAAGGTTCACAATTGAAGCGCTCCCATAACAACTATTCAACGCAAGCAAACAACTCAGTGACTCATACTGGTTAAACAAGCAGTTGTGGTTTTCTCAACAACAACGATTCTTCATGTTCTTTCTCATGGTTTGTCCCTTTTATGGATCATAACCCACCAGACTGCCCTCTGCCTCTGAAATAAATCCGTCAGTGTGTCAGCAGGATAAGAAGATGTCAGGCTTGGAGAAAAACGAGTCAAAACACAAAGGACCCCCGATTGTTTCAAATGTCAAAGCAAACTCTGAGGGAGCCTCTGAGCCGCTCACATGCTGATCAAAGCTCACTGTGTCACATGCTGCACAGGGTCCAGTTTCCTGTCCTACTTTGTGCAAATTGTTCCTAAGATGAGTTTAATTCCAGCTAAAGAGGTGTCAGGTAGCAGGAGAGTCTTTTGAACTGTTTTTAATTCATGCATTTTGAAGCCTTAAGACATATTATTCATTATTAGGGAGGCTTCAACAAGTTTAACTTTTTCAAATCGAAAGCCACTCAGACCATTTTTTGCTATTTTCAGTGAAACAGGACAAAGAAACAGTTTGTTGTTTTGAAACTGCATCAGTACTTTCCTCAACAATCTAATACTGTCTTCTGTGTGCAAAACAAATCCACACTGTGGCTGACAGCCCCAAGGAGGAGACTTCAACTGGTTTTTAAAGAGGTGCCTCTTAATTAACTTGGAGCAAATGAGAGCATCAGTAATAACAACAACTCCTGCGGGGGTTCTCCTAGTTTTAAACAAAGCCGTGATAGTATTTTCTTTACTGCTAACTCAAACATAAGTAAGAAACTTTTTGTCTGTGTTGATTCTGGCACCCCTGGTGGACAAAGTGGTGAACCGTTTTATTGTTGCCGGTTTGGTCTGAAAATATAATCCACTTCTGTTGTTGTTTTACGGTAAATTTATAACTCATATGGGAACAAATGTTGTTTCTCCAGTGTACTTACCCTCCTCGCAGCACTTACAGGCATGGAAAAGAATCTGAAAGTCGTCAATCTCGTTGCTGATGGTACTATTTGCATTTTCACACTGTAGAGACGCATCACTGTTCATTTCAGCTTGGTTCATAGCCAATCAAAAACTCCTCACAGTAGGAACTTCATAACGTGCTAATATTGGAAGCAGTTTTGCCAGTATATTTTCTGTTGCTCTGCTCTGTTGCTCTAAAAAATGCCAACATCACATTGGCTTCATAGTGTAACTTCATGGCGTAATATACAAATTTTGGAAGTGCTGTCCAGGGAAAACCTCTCCATGACAGCAGGCATCAGTCTGACAAAGGTCTTGGGAGATATGAAATAAGACAGAGGCAGTAGTCTTGTAATTTAATATGCAGGGAGAGGACCCTCTTTCTGTGCAGCACACTTTTTCTGTGAGAGAACAAAACTTATAATCAGGACAGGATCGGCAAAGATAGAAGAAGTACTGCTTGTCTTGGGGTGTAAAAACTGAGGCAAACACTTTGTTCCTTGTAGGAGCTTTACAAGCAAACGCTACTAAGTGATGAATAACAAACAACTGGTATCACCGAGAGATTAATATAATGACTTTTTTATTAAAAGCACACGGGGTGTTTGCTTCCTGCGTCTCACTATTGCTTCCAAACAGCTCATCGCTGAATTCATCCAGCTCCTTCATTTTGAGCTCCAAATTAAAGCTCTTATTTTAATCCAAGGTTAATGTGAGTTAAGTGAGTGCCAGAGCACAACATACAACATTATAATTATGGAATCAAATAGAGAGGATTCGCCAGCTGAACCCACAGACATTCGTCTAACCAGTGCAACAAAGGCCCTCAGTTTGTCTCTCAACATTAAGTATCATTATTTTACTATATCTGCATTAATGATAAAGACTTTTCACAGTCAGATACCAGGGACGTTTCGTCTGACATTCTCAAAATGCCAATTTTTAATGCCTGACATTCAATATATCAAACAGGCTGGAAACTGGAGGAAAGTCAGGAATGAAAAAAAGGTCAAAAAAGGTAAATGTTTTCCAGCTGTCAAAAATGCCGGCAAATTATACCGACAGTGGTTACATAACTATAAACCACTCAGTGAGTTATTTTGCTCTACTGTGAACTTTTGTCTAATGCTGGTTTTACCCGAATGATACACGACAAATGATCTCTATAGAAAGATAACGCAGAATGGTAAGTACTGGATATCACTGGATGTCTTCAAATTTGTGCATTGCTGTTACATTACCATAAAGAAGTATTATACTGTGATTCTAGTAGATAATACTCATGTTTATGGTACATAGCTGGACAAATCATGTGTCAGCCCTACCTTTAGTTTCTCTGGTAGGTTCAACAAGAGCAACCCTCATCTCATAAGAATTGCAATGATGGTTTGCATATTATTTGCATATTTTAGCACCTGGACTCTCCTTCTATAGAGCCATGTCATGGTAAAACATGCATAAAGTAGTTTGGCATTTTCTTGATGTATTATTTCAGGTCTCCCCAGATGGCAGCATGTGTCTATATTGTTCAGCATCAATGGTGTCTTTTTATATGTGTAAACTACCCAACAATTTCTTTTTACAGATAATGTTATTTTGAGCTCATGCTGTGATTTCCAATGCAGAGTCATGCCTGCTTTTTACAGCACTGCTACATGAGAACCTGAAGATCGTGGCCATCTAGTTTTGGTCTTTATATCTTCGTTGTTTTGTAGAGATCTCTCCAGAGTCTCTGCAAATATCTCAAGTTCAAGTTTTGAACAAGCATCTTAAAATAAGCTGTTTGGCCCTCAGGGGTGAACTTGACGCTCAAACAAGAGGCAGCCAGTGAGTGTGAAGTTGTGGTTCATAGAATTGGACGGGGAAGAGTTAACAAGTATTTCAAAGAAGGTCTATAAAACATGTACATTAATGCAGCTGTTTGTCTTTCCTCTTCCGTGCTGACTTTGCTTTTATGACCTGTTACAGGGCCGATTTAATCTGTTATTTTACAGCCTCTATAAATACATGAAGCCAATCACGCAGTATAATTATGTAACGTGGAATGCAAGCACATAAAATGCATGGAACGGATACAAGACACACAGTATCATGTTAGTGAAACAAATCCCTCTGATTGTTTAAGCCTTTCCAAATCTACTCAGGGTCTCATATCTCACACGGTGGGTGCTGAGACCACAAAGAGAGGTGAAAAAACATGGCAGTACAAATCTTGGTTGGACCCTGCTGATTTTGCCAGTGGTGAAATAATAAATACACAGCAAGTTCGAACAAGAACATTACAATGTGATGCTTTTATGTAACGTGTAATTGGTTTTGCGTGACTATTCTAAAATTAGCTTTTACATCTGTACTCTATTATCATGTGAGGTTATGCATTTGTCAACTTGAGCTCGCTAAATGTGTTGACAAATTTCATAGATATTTGGATTCAAGTTGTCCAAAAAAAAAAAAAGAGTGAATTTTAGCAAATTAAAGCTCATGAACTTGAAGACCTGCTATCAATTCCTGCACATGTTCATCTACTTAGAGCGCAGCAGCTGACGTCAACACGGTCCTGGGAAAGTTGCGTGCCGTGCTGCATGTGAACGCACATTATCACACCGCTTCATCTGGAACTTGTGTAACCGGCTTTCATTAGAAAGCAATTAATGTGAAATTACTGCAATCTGTGCAGCGAGAGCGAGTGATTTTTCTTCACATATACCATTTAGAAGTTTGTATTTTATCAAGCATGCTGGGATATGTAGTTGGAGATTATTTCTGTTTCTATGGTCCTTTTATTTTTTTACCCCCCTTTGAGAGATCCATAACCACAGCTTTATGGTTGAAATTGCAGTGTTGATTGCTCCGGAGAGCTTACCTCAAGGAGAACAGATGGTACCCTGTAGTTTTCTCAGTGTGTCCTTGCCCTTGAGCCTGAGGAAAGAGGGCAAAGTTGAGATGTTACCCTGCGTGGAAACACAGACCCCTGCCCCAAAAAGATAAGAGCCCATTCTGACCCCATTAATGCCAGGAAGGATGTAATCGTGTGTGTGTGTGCGTGTGTGTATATGTGTGTGTGTGTTCAGAGAGAGAGAGAGGACTGCAGGCATGTACTAGTAAGAGGCAAACCATTGTTACCTCTAGTGGAAATTACATAACATAATCACAGGCTGCAGCCCCACACACACAAACTGCAGGCTTCCACGAGCAGCTTCTTTTGCCTTTATCAAATCCCCCCACTCACTGTTGAAGAGCTTCCAGTAAAGCTGAGCCACATGTTTATTTTAGGAAGGAAGCTGTTTCTGTGTCCCGGTCGAGGACTGCCTACAAATTCTTCACACGTTTTAAATCAAAAGAAAAAGTTGAATTTACGAAAAGAAGTTTGAAATGCAAACTAAGAATATGCATTTTTCTTTACAACTGGAGGAGTTAAACTATTTATTGTTGCCGGTAGTTTAACAGCTCAAGGGACATCTTACAGCACTACAACTTGAAGAGAAAAGGTGAAAAAGCTCAACATTTTAAACTTGAAGTACTAAAAAGTTTCCAAAGAGATGATTTAATTTTATTTATTAGTCAATGACCAGAATGGATGAGGAGAATTCATTGTTGTAAACTTGCCTGGACCTGTTAAAATGAATCAAGTAAGTTTTAACTTTTCAAGCCTAAAAGATCACGAATTTACTTTTAAAGAGCTTTAAAATGTTTTGAAACAGTTTTTATACAAAGGGTCGGTCTAAATTAAATCTTTTATTCAAAGAATTGGCATTGAATCAGCCTTTCTAAGTTCCATGATATCATTTATCATCAACTTCGTCTACTAGGTATATTGCTTGTGTTTTAATTGATCATGTTAGAGCATGCTAATAAACAGAGATGTAAGATGATAGGCGGAGGTTTGCATCCAACTATTTCATGGCGTAGGTTCATAGAATTTAAAACTATAGTCTGGAAAAGAGAAAATCCTGCAATATCTTACAGTCAGATCCTAGATTGAAATGCTCCTTTGCTCCCTTCTCCGGTCATCTAAGCGACAGTTGTCTTTGACAGGGTTCTTACCCAAGTATCTAAAGTATGGAAATAATTTGATCAGGTCTTAGAAAGTATAGTAAATGAAACATAAAGTATGGAAAAATATTTATGTTTCCAGACTATTACCATAGTTCTAAAATACTGTTTTCTAAAATAGAAAAGTAGGTATTTCCAAAACTAATCCTAAAAAGTAGGGTATGGAAAAGTATTGAAATTCCAGCTGTGCGGGAACCCTGCTTCCCTGCTTTGAGGACGAAAAGAGGGGTTGTCTATGGTGTTCATTAGAAATGGCAGCATGTATAAAATGGGGATCATACTGGGATGGGCGGTCTTTATATACAGAGTAGATAAATGTGATTATAAAATTACAGAATTTATCTTTAAAATAACAATCTTTGTTTAGTTAACCTCCGCACATCATGATGGACACAAAATAGACACTACAGCACAGATACCTGGCAAGAGCACAGACTGCACATAACTGTGAATTATGACAGTAACATGAAAAAATCTGATTTAAAAACACGTCATAGTACTAAACAGTTTTTTTAATTGTTGGTTAGCCATCTTGGACCATTATCGGGTCTTTTAGTCCTCACTATCTAACAGCCCAGCATTGACACACAGTGAGGAGACTCCATCAGAAGACAAGTAGCCGCCATGTTTGTTTCATGTTTATATCTGGAGTTTGTGAACTGCCAGTCTTTGTTTGTCTTCAGCCTGTGGGATCAGTATCACGCAGAGCCAACCCAGCAGTGCTCAAAAAAGTGACTCACTTTCATTTTTCCTGCATCTTTGTTGTCTCCTGTTTGGATGTGCGCCTGCTGGAAGGAGATAAGACTGGACCCACCGGTGAAATGAGTCTGGTGTCTATAAGCCTGTTTATTGTATAGCTCTTGATAGTATCTTTTCACTTATTGAACACAAGTTCTGAGCAGGTGGCCTGTCATGTTATATTAATCTCACACCATGCGTTCCTGCCAGTACAAAGTCAATATACGGGCGTGTGGAAGCTATTGTACTTTCTATACAAGAACATCTGCATTGAGATATCCAGTCTGGTTTGGCCGGAGGTGTCAATGGCCACACAAGTTTAATCACTCCACCAGATGTAATTTTCATGTTCGGCAGCTGCACAGGGGGAAAGAGGAGTTATTTTCCTAAGTGTCTGCTACTCATCTCTCCTGGCGAGAACAGCCGACTCTGGAGAGAATGTGGTGCAACCTGCCAAAGCAAACCCGCAGAAACCTGATGAGTGTCCTGCTGCCGTGGCTCAGGGGATCAACTCACAGTTCATTGAAATTCCTCTTGATATTGGAACCAAACTCGCTGCTTACCTTTGGGTCTTTCTCCAGACTGATTACCTTTTTCTCCCAGAATAACAGACTCCCACTCGCACACATCATCTCGAATGTAACTCTTATCAACTTCTATATTAATACAGATTTTTAAAAATAAACTCAAGACCTTCGTTTCTTAGTTTTGAAACTTTTCATGCATGTGATCATTCTCTACTTATTAAAATACTGCCAGATACCTGTGGCTCTAAATCCAGGTTTGGAAAGCTGTCAAATGCAGTTCTACAACTCTATTTTAGAGATGAACTCAAGTAACCTTAGCTTTCTCCTTCATGTTGACAGGAAATCCGGTTTTCTTAGTCAAGGGGGGATTAGGAAATAAACCTGGTTAAGCTAGATTGTTACTGAAGAGGCCTAATTTCTTAGCCATGCAGACACATAACTGGATTTGTAGCAGGGTTTTTCCACAAGCTTGTGAGAATTAGAGTTACAGGAGTATAATACTCAAGCGTTTTATCAACCTTTTATCATTTTACTGTGTGATTCAAGTCAGATGACATCCACCAATCTCTGGGCCGTGTCACCGTTTTTTCTACTACAACCATAAATACCACTCAAGCCCTGTGAACACTTTGTAATGATCTTGGTTTACAAAGGCAAGACATGCACGCTTCAGTGTAACCAGCGCATACTTTGGTCTTAAACGGTACCAAATGGTAGGAGAATGTGTTGTTGAAGTGACGTTATAGCCTGTCTCGCGGGCTCACAGCATTTCAGCAGCCATCGAACACAGATGCTGAGAGAAGCTCTCCACTCCGACATCTCATTTCACCACAAACGCCTTCATGAAGAAGGAATTCTGAGCGAGTCATCCCACTTTTATTTTCAGTGTAAATCTTTTTTTGTCGTGTCCGTCATCCTGCTTCCCCCTCTCTTTCATCTGTAAAGGTCCCTCTCTCAACAGGAGCCATCATGAATAGAAATGACAGAAGGGCATGCACGGAGAACAGTCGGGCAGAAGCAGCCTTTAAATAGAAGTATTGCCTGTTTTTTTCCACTTGTTGTTTTTCTATCTTTATTCTGTCAGTCATACCTACAGTGGTCCCCGAGGCCTCTCTCCCACTGAGCTGAGCTGTGCGGTAGGTAGATGCGTATGTAGGTAGATGGTCCTCAGTCTCCAGCTTGTTTAAGAGCTACTCCTAACCGGGCCCAACTGTGGATTCCTCATATGGGTTCAGCCATGCAGTTTGTTATGCAATATGAGGCACAAATGGGAGCTGAGGACCTCATAGTAAGAGGCACTTAAAATCTGGCGTCATTTTTCATTCCACATATCCATGCGATTAAATATCCAGCAATTTGGGGGTTTGGCAAAGTCTCATGCGCTCTGGAGATTAAATATTTTATGTGAGCTCACAGCAAGTGGGTAAGAGTTCTCTCAAGGCCTTAACTCAAGTCCTCCTAGAAATACACCTGCAGGCGATGAACTAAGTCTATAATCAGACCCACGTCAACACTGCGGCAGGGAGGGAAATAACCTTCATTCATTCCAAAGAGACCCCTGCCCCAGCGTAGATGAGTCCAGCTAAACAAAGCAGGTTTATCCAACAAAAATATTAACCGAGCTCGAATGGAGTTTTATTCTACAGGGAGTTTGCCAAACAAAAAGTGGCATCAGTCAAGACAAAAGATTCAGTTGTTTTAAAGGTGTTGTTAGCTTCTGTTTACTAAGACCTCAACAAGAAGCAGAGCGGAGGCCTCAGATTTTTTACAACTACCTGTTCACTATAGGTCATCCTGCTTTTTATGCTGGCCAAAGCAACAATATCCTAATCGGAAACAACTTATCTAACTTTTCTATCCAGGTTAGAGTCATTTGTGCAATTTAAGTGAGTAAACCAACAACATTCAGGTGTCAAGATATGCGAATTCAGCAAATAAAGGATTTTATTTGTGTTTGATGTGGACACAACTCAACAGATGCAGAAAAGTGACAGCAGTGCCCGTGTAAGAACCTTTCACTTGGCATTTTCTTCTCCTTCAACACTGTAAAGCACGGACCAGGATTTGGTTTGTGCTTGCTTCAGGTCTGCTTCCTTTAATTTGGTTGACATCTCTTTCATCTAGTTTGTATTTTACATCCCTCGCACTGCCTTCTTCCTCATGCCCTCTCTTCTTTCTCAGTAACTGGTCAGCCATTGACAACAGCATGTTTACATGATACTAGAGAAAACTGAATTGTTGCCATACTCCAATTAAGACCGGATTACTGAAGTGCATGTTAACACCTTATTCCGACTATAAAAGACACCCAGATAATGTGATTGGAAATCGATTTTCTCTACCATGTAACCAGCATAGCCGGAGTATGATTGGACAATGCATGTTCATGTGCACCACGCCCCCGTAACCCCAGAACAAAAACACCAGATCTGCACCTCATCCATAGAAAAAGTAGCACGTACATCACGTACGACAAAAACAACGCTCTATGATGCTTCATCTTCTTGCTCGAAAATGCCCAGCAGCAGTTGTAGCCACCTCTGACGTCTGGCACGGACCTGCTGTTGTTGTTGACAGTTGTATGGGGTCAGCCGGAAACAGCACCACTGAAAAGACCCATATCGCCCCTAGTTTCGGGGAGGAGGACATGTTCACATCAATAATTCGATTTTCTCAGCTGCACGTACACGCAGACAAGAAGTCAGATTAGGCAAAAAAAGTTAATTGTGAGCTTAGTTCGACAAAGCTGTGCATGTAAACGCACTGAATGTATCTAAAGTCTGCTTGGAAATGCAAGTGTTTTGTTGCAGCACTAAAAACAAACCATTGTGCTTGTTTTATATGATGAACCACCAGGGTATTTCTGTCCATCATTCGTAATGACTGTTGAATCATTTGCCAATAAAAGCTGAATGGACTCATTAAAATGTCTTCAGACAATCCTGCTGGGAACCAAAGTTAGAGGAATGTTTACGGACCAAAAGAAGAGGAAGCAACAACAGAAATCAGAGACAGTTTGTACCCAGAAATCTGCCTCCAACAGAGACAGTCCTTTGCATGCCAACTGTCCATACAGCCGCCCAGGTGTTCACCAGGACCGTTTTTGATCCTCCTCCTGCGAGACTCCACCGTGGCAGCACCTGTGTTTGCTCAGATATGTGACAGAACCGCAGACCTCTTTAGAGCCAGGTGTGGTGTTCAGGTGCTGGTCAGGAATCAGGATGGTTAAGCAGTGCCATCAGGTGCCCTCAGGCTGCTACTGCTCTCCAGCTGCCCAGCAGTCAGTCACCTGACAAACACACAAACACACACTTACACACAATGAGAGAGAGAGAGGCTGACTCACCACTTCTTGTTTTCCTAACAGCTGTCTTCATCAGTCTCTCAGCAGGTACAGGCTGTCTCAGAAACAGTCTTTTGTGGTGTGAAGAAGAGTCTATTCCTCCACTCAGACATGTCTCACAGTTATCTTCGGCCTCGGTATTTCAGTACGACATTTATCAAGACTTCTTGAGCTGTTATCGATTCTGGTTCTTCTGTTTTCAAACTCTGGTCATATTTTGTCTTGATGGAAACCGAGCATGCCTAAAGTAAGAAAACTTCTGTAAGTACATCATATTTCTGCTGCCAGGAATACTTTTTGTGGTAAATGTTGAGGTATTGATTCTTCAGAGCCTTTATATTTTTTCATTTTCAAAGGGAACCAGAGAAAAAATAAGCTCTGTACTGTAAAACGTCTAAAATGTCTGAAACCACGAACCTATTTTTACTTCAGTTTGATGTTTAAGTAGGAGCTAATATTGGTGCCTCATTTGGGGCCATTGGAAGTTTTCTTCTTAAAGGGACAGTCCCCTTTTTTTTTCCAAGTGTGGCTGTATGAAACACTGATTTAAGCTTATATTTAGTATTAGGATGCTGATGGCCTTGTGGTCTAGGCCTGTCCACATATGCAGGCAGCCTGGGTTCGATTCCACACTGTGGCACCTTTCCTGCATGTCACTTCTCACTCTCTCCCCCAACAAATAAAGGTCCAAAATTAAATCTCAAGAAAAAGGAGATTATTTTCTGGATATAAATTTACATCTCTGTGATGTACATGCACTGCAGGTGGAGACACTTAAAGTGAACACTCTGTGGTCCCATTAGTCAAGCAGTCTGTCAAGCACTGTCCTTCTTAACACCAAGGGGGACAGAACAACACAGTGTAATTTATCTTGCTTTTTCAAGCATTTTTTTGGATATCTTGGATGTGAAGCGATGCAGCAGACACGCATGTTTAAGTTCAAAAGTCATGCAACACAGTTTAAGACACCACCTGTAAAGCAATCAGTTTCCCTGTGCTTGTATTTAAAGGGCTGTATTACCATGGTTTCATATCCACAGCCCTACTCAGTATAATAAAATTAATAATAGCCCTCCAAAATCCTGAAAGGTAAATGCATGAACACTCAACTCATTAAGTAAGTGTTGACTGACGAGACAAAAGCAGGGTTGCTGAGTTCAAACTTTATTGTTTGGTATCATTAAGTGCACACTTAAAATTCTGTTTGGTCCTCTGAGACTAGTGAGAGCTGGACACAATACCCAACACGGTGAGATATGCGCTACATATCTTGAATTTCAAATGGCTTTACGCCCCTGGACAGCTTGATTTAGAACATTGTCAAGAGTTTCCTGTAGTCTCGCTCACCTTGTTTGCCCTACGCTGATGACAATGCTGATATTCTTTCCCATTGAGAGTTTTCGACCTGAGCATACAGACTGCTGTCGAGTTAACTCCCTCCACCAGAGTAAAGGAATTAATCATTTTGCCCGTACAAACTCAAAAGTTAGACATCTACAGTCTTGATGATATTAAGCAGTCGCATCATCAAGCACTCTGACAATGTGTGAAAGCCATTTGCACTGTGGTTACTGCTGACACTTTTGCAGCTTCCTGGATGCTGTGGGCCTGGCTGCTCTCCTGCCCAGCATGTCTGTGGTTCTTTTGATAGGTCTATGAAACCTGAATAGTCCCAGAGTTGTCGGAGCTCTGAATGAGCGCGAGACCTCGGCCAAAAAAACCCGGAGCCAGCAGCCAAAAAACACGAAGCCAGAGAGCGCTGAATGGCACTTGGCTCTCTGACTTGTTTCACTCTCATTAGATAAACCAAATGTACAGCAAGGGAAAGAGACAGAGGGGAGGGACAGGTTTCTGCAAAACCTTCTTTTCTAATTGTGAGTTCTCCCTGGTGACACACTACCTCGCTGTGAAAGTGCTGTATTTGTTCCCCCTCTCCTAAACGATCAAGTTCATTGCATACCAGGTTGCAACACAAACCAGGGCCAACACACTCAAGAGGCATTGTGGGTAAAATAAAAGGCTGATCTGGGATACCAGATGTCAGGAAAAAGTTTGGCATCGCTCTTTGGACCAGGGCAATGATCAGCTTTACATGAGAGGAGATACCAGACATTCCAGAGAGGCGGTTTATGCAGAACTAGAGGCTGCCAGCCACAGTCTGGGGTCAGCGGTCATGCTGCAGTCTGCTGATTAAACCTGTGTGAGATAAGCAGTTATTAAACCTGAGGTGTTATAACTCCTTCACATCCACCTGTATCACGAGTGCAAACATGCATACAGTCATATGAATAATGAGTTAAGGTGAGGCCTCATCTAGAAAGAGCCTGTATGGAATCCAGAGTGAGGCCTGAGGCTTGTACTTGATCTGCAAGATATCCAACATCTTTATAGTAGCATGTAGAGCTGCACAATTATGGCCGCAGACTTAATTCACTTTCAGGGAAATGCATTATTAGCACTGCCTTGAACATATTTACAGTTGCACAATGAAAAAGAAAATATAAACAATGCATCAGTACCATATGTAATAGTATAACACCAGCTGGTTCATTTATTACAGCAGTGAAGTTTTGCCCTACGCTGCCTGAGTTTAGTTTAGTGAATGAGATGCCATTTGTGTATTTTTAAGAATAAAAGCCTGAGCTAGAAAGGAGACAGACTGTAGGATGACTTGTAAAAGCAGCAGGATGATGGATGCTGCCTCTAACCTCATGGTTTTATTGCCCCCCTCTCCTTAAATGACTGTATCAGCCTGTGAGGAACCCTAAGTTGCATTTAGACAATAAGCCTCGAGATAAAAACCACAAGGTTGTTCAGTTTGTCAGCAAATTCTTCCAGTTTTGGGTGCTGTTAGCACCACAGAGTCAGTATTGTCGAAGTACTGGAATAAGAACCCTCTGCAGCAGCTTGGTTGGAGTACCAAGTTTATGCTTTCCGCCGTGCTGTGCAAAAACATTGGTACAGGAAGGAAGAAGAAGTGCGGATGCCAGCACCAGGGCGAAAACAAGATTAGGGTTTAGACAAAACACAGGACCACTTCCCCCCCGAGGCCTCTGTGCGGCACACAGCAGGCACCCCATTATTACTGCTGGTTTGCAGGAACTGGATTCATTACTGCAACACAGGACTCTGGAGAGGCTGCTGGGATAAACGCTCTAGCAGCAGTCACCAAAAGACTGCCCCCGCCGTCTCTATCTGTCTTGAGTTACAGCCATTCTGCTCTGTGGTCGGGACGCAGATGTTTAAACCATCTTACTCCCCTCAAGACTGCCTGAAGCTCTTGTCCTAACTGAGGGAGACAACAGTTATCAGTCATTGTCATGTATTAGGAGGATGAGTGTCAGTGTAGGTATGACAGGATGGCAAGTGTTGCTCTACAGATGAACCATTTCATGAACATCCAATGAATTTCTGATATCCATGATGTGTTGCATTATTTCATCATCATTCCTTGAATCTAACTTTAATTTCTGAGCAACTTTGTCGCTTTAAAGTTCCTACAGTTTTAGTGCTTTTTCTTAATAGTCTAAAGCCTTGTTCATTCTATAGAAATCTTCAAACATGCTTTAATTGACACCCATCAAAATTCTTACCTGTCAATGAAAGTAACTTACATGTCTTACACGTCATTTTACATGTAGAAAAAGAGTTTTTTTCGTCATTTTCTTCCATTTCATCCGGGTCCGGGTCGCGGAGGAGGGAAGCCCAGACGGCCTTCACCTCAGCCACTTGCACTAGCTCCTCCGAGGGGATTCCTAGGCGCTTCCAGGCCAGGCGAGAGACATAATCCCTCCCCTGGTCCTGGGCCAGCCACAAGGTCTCCTCACGGTGGGACATGTCTGGAACACCTCTAACGGGAGGCGTCCAGATGCCCAAGCCACCTCAGCTGACTCCTCTCGACGTGGAGGAGCAGCGGCTCTACTCTGAGCAGCTCCCGGGTGTCCGAGCTCCTTAACCTAGCTCGAAGGCTGAGCCTGGCCACCCTGTGAAGGAAACCCATTTCGGCCGCTTGTATTCATGATCTTGTTCTTTTGGTCGTTACCCAAAGTTCATGACCATAGGTGAGGGTCGACACGTAGATCGACCGGTAAATCGAGAGTTTTGCCTTACGGCTCAGCTCTAAATTTAAAATAATGACAGTTTGTGTAAAAAAAATCTCCAATATTGAATCAGCCGCAGTTTACTGAAGACGAATTGCACTTGTGTGAGTTTTAATCCCCTTACTATTTCTCCCTTCACCTCCTTGAATGTGATTGACAAAGGCTAATCCATGTCAGTCTGTGGAAAAGCGGTTAGTAAAAAATTCATGAGGTTGAAACTAGACATTTGATTTTATTCCATCATGAAGCGATTCAGCAGTGTTTTTGTAGAGGAAGCTTGAGTAAATACACAGAAAAAGATCGAGACCTCTGAGTTCAGTCTGCTGTCTGTTTCCTGGGATGACAGTGTTTATTCCTGGAGGAAACTGAACTGAAAACACAGTCATCTGAGGTTATGGTTTTTATCTTACAAAGCAGAAACAGCATCTGAAGTTGTCAAATCTGTTGTGATTTTCAGACGAGCTCTCCACAGATATGGAAAACCAATGTGGTATTCATGAATTTAACCGCTAGCTGAATATTTATCAATGATCTTTGGCAAAGCATGTAATTACACGAATTTCCACGATCTTGAATAATTTCACAGCATTAAACAAGTTTGTTTAATGTCACCTATTAGCTGTGTTTCATTTGCTGTCACGGCACTTTTCCTATGTCTTAATTTCACCTGCGTCTTCATTATGATTTCTTTAATTAGCATTAAAATCTTCTTCACAGCTGGAACCTGCTCAGCAGTAAAAACAGAAGTTCTGTAACTAAGACTGACAGACAAGTTACTGCTGTTGTTTCTTGAGTGATATGATGTTTTATTGGATTGTGATTCAGTCGAGCACGCAGCTTGTGGTGTTTGTAAAAGCTCGGTAGCCTACTGTTACTCTTAAATCCTGTCAGTTAGGGCAGGCAGAGGGGTCACAGCCGCAGGATTATTATGGTCTGCAGAGGGTCAGAGCGCAGCGTGGGGCTGCCGAGAGCCTGTTTAAAGCAAAGAGGAGGGTTTTTAAGAACTTCCACTGGCCTTTAGTGAACTTCACTGTGTTGTTCTCCACTTTTAAAAGCTCTCTTATCCACAGAGCAAATATTTTAGAGACATTGCAGGCATAGCTGGCAGTCACTGATAACTCTTTCTGCTCTGTAGCACAGGGTTAAAGATGCATGTCTCCTAAGGAACTAGAAGTAGAGCTGGGGGATTAATCAGATTTCATTTTCTAATCATGATAATGGCTCTCCATGTCTTACACGTTGAATGAATCTCAGCCTCCCTCTCTTCCTTAACAAGAGAGCGTGGGCATGACCCCTCCTCTCAGACAGCTCTCACTATTACTTCATCACAATCAGCTCTGATCAAAGTTTGGGAGCACGAGATCGTCGTGGCTCCTGCCAAAATCAATGGTGGACTGCTGTATCTTCATCATGTTGTGCTACAGCGGTGCTAACTATCAAGCAGCCACAGGTGGAGGGAGGAGAGCAGGAAGAGGAGCAGGAGGAGACAGGTGTGATTATCCGTGTGTGTCTGAAAAGCCAAGGGACAGAATGCGCATGAAAGAAACAAACTTTTTTTCCACTTAACGTGTTTTTCTAAGATTTGAGAGTTCTTGAGTCTTACAGAAGTTTGAAGTTGTTTGAAGATGGATAATAACTTTGATATATATTAGGGCTGGGCGATAAATCGAAAATTTAGTGAAATTTACGACAATAACAGACATAATTTTGCCCATGTCAGTATATTTGGGGACGAAAAAATAAAAGTTGGTTTTGGATGTGTGTAGGTAGGCTATGGTCTCATGTACCTTTTAAGATGCTGTCCTACGTCGGAGACGAGACTCCACCCCATCCATACCTTAACAAAGAGGGAAAAACAGGTGATGAGATGGAGGATGTTCAAAAGTTGTAGCGGCTGGAGCGGCGGCTGAAGGAGAGGAAGTTAATGTGGGAGGAGTAGTTATTGTCCGTTTATCATTATCGAGGTGAACTGCTCAGTATATCGTGATATTAATTTGAGGCCATACCGCTCAGCTCTAATATATATCAATCACAATTACAATGATGTTTTTTGTCACTATTAAGCAACCCTTTCTAGAGTGATACATTTTGTAGTTGTTAAAATGGAAATAAAAGACTCAACTAATCATTTAAAGCTTTGGAAAAATCTCAGAAAAGTCCAATTTGAGCACAATTGTAGTAGTAGTTGTAGTTGCTTTATAAAAGCTTTATAAAGGGGTTAAGTTATCTGTCTGTTTTGTGAGTCTTCCTCATCCAGTTTGAGTATCTCTCTTCTCATTCCGACACAGATACCTCCATCTGAGCTTGATATCAGTGTGCTGAGGAGGTGTTGTTGGGCTCAAGTTTCAAACTTCTGACTCAGCCCAACAGCTCTTAGCAGAGTGCTGGGCAGGAGCCATGTGGTTTTCAGTGGAGATTTGGAGTGTTAAACCAAACTCTTCTTGAGCTGTTAATACCTCTTGTCCTTCCCGTCCTGCAAACAGTGGCAGCCAGATCCTTGACAAGCCAGGTCGAAAACTGCTGCCCTGTTCCAACCTGCTGTGGAGGTTGTAGAGCAGAGAACAAGTTTGGCAGACGTAAAGTGCGCCATGGGCTGTTTCCCACAAATGTATTAACGCTTTTCAGACAGCCAGAGATCTCTGCCCAACCATGCTGAGTCCGACCATCCTGCCCTCAGGCCTCGGCTCTGTCTGACACATCCCGAGGAATGCTGATGCTGCTGTCTCTGGGTCAACAATTCCAGCTTGGACCCCTGTTGTTTGTTTGTCAAAAGTTTCTCCTTTTACGTCTTTTGTTCCGCACCCCCCATGGAAAGGGAACTCATTTTGAGGTCTGGCTGAGTGCTGATTAAAATATTATTAGTCTTTCTCGGAGTGAAAATGAGGGTCAGGCCGACTTCAAGTTCAAAGCCAGAAAGTGCGAGGCTTTCACTTGATAAACAGACCATTTTAAAGAAAGCAACCCCAGGGCTTTGTGGCCAATACAAGCTATGATTCTTGAGAATGTCTCGTACGCAGTTTGACTCGACTGTCCCGAAACAACCTCCCCACATTAAAACCTTCTTGTGCAATTTTAGGACTTTCATCAGATGGAAAGACATTCGATTTTGGAAAAAGGGAATGAAAGCAGACAGGAGTCACGATGGTAATACATTCAAAGAGAACTGGCGGTAAATCTTATGAATACACAACTTTGTTTTTTTTCTGGAGAAGCCTTTTATGTTTGTTTTCCTTGGTCCGTATCGGTTTGGATAACATTGTTTTTGCTGCAATCTTGGCCTCAGCTTGAGATTTTGATCTCAGAAGATCCTATAAATCAAACGAAAATCCTACAGATGCTTCCGAAGAGCAGAACAAACTTGAGTTTTCTCAATGCAAAAGAAAGTTAGGAAGTTTTGAGTATCACTCTGAATGTTTTCCTCACAATCCGTCTTTTATGACAGCGACATGCTGTTATACTTGCAGAATATGGTTTAGCATCGACTTGCTGAAAAAGGCATTATCTGGGAATCAGCATGTCAAAACCGGTTTGTATTTTCCAGCATTAACGGTGCCTCCTCAGATGTGTAAGCTAGCTCTGCTCAAGCATGTATTTATCCTCTTATTGACATGGATGCTGACTATTGAACCTTGTGCTGACAACAAACTGGATGGTTTAGAGCAAAAGGATGCTACAGACCACTAGACAGATTTCCACTTCGCCTTAGTTTATCTTCAAAGGGCTTGAGTCAGGAGAAGGTGTTTCTGGATCATGTTTATAAACAGTCTGGTGTCACAGAAAGTTGTCTTTGGAAGTGCAGTGATTTCAACTACAGAGTCCAGTCTGTTTTCAATTCAGTGCTGCCTGAAGACCTACAGATCACAGCCACCCAGAGCAGATTTTCAGCATTGTTGTTTCTCCAGTATCTCGGAATTTTTAAGGTATTATGTCCTGTAGATGATGTCTTACAGTTATTCTGAACTATTTGGTCACAAACCTCTCACTATTTTCAATGAAATGTAGGGTTCAAATGTTCACCAACTAGCAAAATCCCTTTTTTAATCAACATTTAATTAATGCAACATTTTAGGCTCAGATCAGTGAAGGTCTTGCTGCACCTTTTTGAGGCTTTTTAATCATGTTTCACTCCACCTTTCCTGGACCCAACCATGACACTGGCAGTCTGAAGTGTTCCATTAATCAGCTCCGCAGATCCGGGGTGGATGTCCTCACTTTGATCTGTGCCATACCTGAGCCCGGCACTGTCATGTATCTGTCTCTGGACTGTCTGAGCTGACTGGTTACTCTGGTTAAAAGACAATGGGCACCTGTGTCCCCTTTTCTCCAATAGATCATCTTAATGAAGTCGCAGTGTTGTGGCATGTGGCGGGTGATTAATACACACAAGTCATTAAGCCTGCTGTATGAGAGTTTGCCTCGAGTGAGGCTGCCCTTACTTGTTTAGAGATAAATCTGAGGGCTAAGTGGACAGGGCGCTGGCAGGGTGACAAGGCAGCATGGATGTTCATATTGAGGCTTAATCAAGATCACCGAGAAGAGGAAGAGGGGCATTAAAGGTTAGACTGGACTCAACCAAATTACAGGCTCTCCTTAAAAAAAACACTTTCTTATAAAAGAAAAACAAACAAGAGATACAACCGGATGTTTATATTGAGCTCTTAAGTATCAAGTCTCCTCCTCCTCCTCTTATGAAACAAAAATTGCTGACATCTTGTGCATTTGGAGGAAGGGTCTGCACAGCTGGGATCAGCTCTTAAGGTCCTTACACACCGGGCGAGAATTCGCCAGGCGAATTGTTCGCCTTTTTTTAAAACAGCATAAAGTCAATGCAAGCTTCCACACCGGCGGCGATTTTTCTGCGGGATGGATTTTCTTTCCATTTCTGATTATTGCTGCTCCTTAAAATGCTGCATTCTGTACAAAAAACTGTAAAGTGGATGGATTTTTGCTTGTCAGAGCCACTTCCAGACTCCCAAGGAGCCAGACTCCTTTCTAACTAAGTGCATTACAGGCTTACCTGCAGTGATCTTTCATTCAATAAGGATAATTTCATTTCCAAACATTGTCCTACACTTTGAGCTTAACTTACATCTAAAACGGATCTATGGAGAAGCTTTATTATCTGTGGACATCTTATCAATGGACAGAAATGACGCATCTTCATCAGGCGCTCATGCTCTCATTGATCATTCATCTTCAGTGTAGTGCTTTCAGGTTTCATTGTGATCTCACCCTATATGTTTGTGTTGATGCTTAAGTGGTTGCCATGAATCCCAATGTAGCTATGACTGCCTGCATTGTGCAAGTGCTGCTGAACAGTTTTTTTTTTTTTTTTATGATCGAGGTTTGACGTCATTTGGAGTCATTAGCTAACAACTGTCTTTGTTAAGCATGCATGCAATGACAGAATGCACAAGGCCCCACTCAGTGATTTGAGTTTCCTATACCCTGTCACAGCATACCGTGAAAGAAATCACCTCTAATTAATGCCTCTTTGTATTAATTCACATGTCTGTGTCAAATTTGCACCTAAAAAGGTGCACACTATAGGCAGAATTCTTCAGCACAGACCCTTTTGTCTACAGCTACACGCTGCTGAATATTAGGGTGACATAAGCCTCTGGCAGCTTATCAGTTCTTACCTTTCATATTATCCTTAATGCTGCAGGTCTACTACCACACAATGCTCCCTCTCACTCAAATTAACCATAAGCAGCTTCACTTTGACAGTCACTTAAATGCCAAAGTTGAGAAGTGGAACATGCCGCCTGCTGTTGTGCAGACAAAGAACCGAATACATCCAGATATTTGCAGTCTGGGACAGACTGAAGTTTAGAAAAGAGGCCTGATCATTTTTCCTCCCCTAAGAGCAAGTTTCCAACCACAACAGACTTTCCAATAGAGCGTGAAGCTCGGCTCCAGATGGAGCTTCTTTAATTCTTCATGTGAAGAGTGATGGACATGATAACCCAGGCTGGAGCAGACCAGGGATACGTGCTTTACTCGTTTCCCTAAAGTAAACACCCTTGTGAGGCCCTGACACTTGGTCCGGCTGTAAACAGAGGGCAGAGAGGATTCTGGGAATCTGGCCCACAGTTGTGTCTTGATTTGGCATTTAGCATCAGCAGCAGTGTCAGTCAAGTTTTGTGTGTCACAAGCAGCAGAGTTGTGCTGAGAGGGACAAAAATGGCATTGAATTAATCATTGAATAGATAATTTAAGACCTTTAAAGGGATATTCCGGCGTAAAATTAATTTGGGGTCAAACACACTGCAACACCAGAGTTAGACATCCCGTCAAAAGATGAATGTTGCAGACCGCTTGCTTCTCTAGTTATATCCACTTTAGTAACAACCGCAGATAGCAATACAGAGAGCTTTGCGCTCAGCCAAAACGCCACTCTATAGCCACAAATAACGCTCAGAGCAGCACCTAACTTCATCAACAGTACATATAGGGTCACAGCCATAGCACTAGCCACCAAACATCTTTTTAGCTTTGCCTAATTTCTTTAGCAAAGAGACTGAACACAACTCACTTACAACTCAGACCTCAGGCCAGTCCAAACTGACTGCTGCGGGGTGACGCAGCTCAAGGAAGAACATTTATGATAATTTTTTTTATAATTTCCTTGAAGTAATAATCATCATATTAATCATTTCGTACTGCAGACGTGGTAGTTCTTGTGCCTTAGCATCTCGGTCTGACTGCATTTCCATGAAGAAATGATCATAAATGTTCTTCCTTGAGCTGCGAAACTCCCCCCACAAACAAGCGGCTGCTGGAGGAGAGTGGGTTAGTTGTGTTTAGTCTCTTTGCTGTAGAAATCAGGCAAAGCTAAAAAGATGTTTGGTGGCTAGTGCTGTGGCTGGGACCCTATATGTACTATTGATGAAGTTAGGTGCTGTTCTGAGCATTACTTGTGGCTGTAGAGTGGCGTTTTGGTTGATGTTTGTTAATGTCTCCTCAGACCGCTGTGCATTGCTATCGTGCGGTCGTGACTTAAGTTGGTATAACTTGAGAAGCAAGCGGTCGGCAACATTTATCTCTCGACGGTGTGTCTAACTCGGTGTTACGGTGTGTTGGACCCTAAATGAATTTCATGACGGAATATCCCTTTAACTGTACTGAATTAAACTTTTTTTTAATTTAAAATAAATCTTACAGCGTGGTTTCCTATGGTATCAGAACATAGTCTGCTTTATCTCTATTCTTAGTGGATGTTGAATCTGCACATGTTGCTCAAAACATCATAAGTCCAGTCAGTACATCCCTCACTCATCCATCCAGAGCTTCTCCTCTTTTGTTTCCCTGCTCCAGTTGGCTAGAAAAATACACAGATTCATTTGATGATGTCAGGAGCTGAAACGCCCCTTATATGGTCGCACACTGTTCCCCCTTTTTTCCCTTTATTTGGAATAGAAGAAATGAGCAGCAATTTGAATTATTGGAGGGCAAAAACTGGCTGCAACTCTTTCCAAACTAAACATCTAGATTCCCAATTCCACATTTCAGGCAACTTTGTGCATAGCAGATCAGTTAGTCAGTGCACAATTCACTTTGATTCGACACGGACAAACTTCTGTTTAATCTCGTACTTTAAACTCTGAAAGCTCTACCCCTCTATTTCACATACACTGTTTGGTTTAGTGTTGAAATATTGCCTTTGCATGTTGGCAAATACAAATTGCTGCAAGAATGTGCAGCTTATGTGGGTTTACATACAATACGATCCAGTAAAAATAGAGAAATCTGATGCAAGAGCACAGACAAATGAGATTTAAAGTCACTTGTTGCAGGAATCAGTCTGGTTTTTGTTTGCAGTGAAAGAGAGAGAAAGGGGAACTAGTAAGTTTCATCAGGAGGAGACCGAGTGAAAAAGAAAAACAGCCCAGCAGTTTCCCGAAGGACAGCTGATAAACTGCTTGGCAGGAAAGGCCTTGCAAATGACTGCATTCCTTGTTAACCTTGTAAGGCTATTTTTACCGCTAAAGAGCCTTTTGAGCGGGCACCTTTTGTTCGCCCTGCAGCGTGAAACAGGAAAGACCAGTTTGCATTGTGATCCTGTGGGAGTTTGGCTGCAATCTCTCCGTCTCTCATCACCGTCCAGCCATCCATCCTAATGTCGAGCTCTGTTTATGCGATGCATCTTCACAGCTCCTGACAGCTGAAGCCAGAAACTCCGCTTCACAGGTCACTGTAAAGTAATGCGAAAAGGAAGCTGAGGCCATGCACATAATTCACGATAACGCAAAGATTGCAGGGAGTAAAATTGGAGGTTTTCCCAAGTCATATACAAAACGTTCCCCTAAATAATGAAAGCAGACTCTGCACTCTGCTGTCGAAGATGTTGACTCTGTATGTTTGTCTTTTATTGTGTTTTTAAAAGACATTCCTCTGCTGAAAAATCCCTCAAAGGGCCTCAAACAGACCATCTTCCTGTTGCTCGATGGAAACAGTCCCTTAAGTGTTCAGTTGTATTAAGTTGCAGCTCCTCAGGGATTCCTGGAAGTGAATGTGATCATGTCTTAAGAGGATTACGAGGAGACCCTGGTGGTGTTCAGCCACAGGTCAACATCGCTGATATGGTGGGAATGACCTCTCTTGTCACTGCACATCTGTCAGCGTATTTGCTGCTGTCAGCTTTCTGAATTCTCTCATTTCAGAGAGAATGAGATACCAGAGCGTGTGGTTGAAGGAGCGTGACTCATAAAACACGGTTCCTGTGGGGTAAAGAGCTGATTTCTTGGCCTTTACAAAGGGTAACCAACAAGTTTCTGATGGTCTGATTAGCACAGCGAAGATTCAAAGAGGGAAAATGTTCTTGAGGAGGAATTTTGGTGGGAATACAGGAAACATCAGCTCTCATGGTCAGGCATGGTATCAAAAAAAGAGACAGTAAAATTAGCACTGAGTGGGCAGTCTGGTTCAATTCTGTTGCTTTTAGTAAAGCTGTCACAGGACTCTGGATGAACTCAACAGTGGCTTACATGAAATTTTAAGATGAAGGAAGCTGCTTTTACGGCGGCCCAGAGGGTCAACTGCACACAAGTTTAATCAACACCAAAACATTTCATGAAACACAAACTGGAAAATATTTCAGAACCGCAGAAACTTTTCACAACAGACAAAAGATTCACAAAACAAAGACTTTCATGAAACCACAAAGATATTTTATAAAACGCTTATTTTGCAGACGGCATAATATTTTTTAGTTTATCTTAGAAAAAACACAAAAAACTTTAAACATTGGAACAGACCTTCCTCTACAGCGCTCTTGCATACTCCCAGGATTCGTTCTTATCAGTGCCATGTGTCAGAAGAGTCATTGAGGATTTGTTTTTGGCTGTAAACTAAAATGAACTTTCTTTCCTCCTTCTATCAGAGTCTGGACGAGCTGGACGACGATGACGCTGGAGAGAAGGAGCGGAGGGAGGAGGAGGAGCTGGTTCAGGCCAACACTTTCCAGAATGAGACCATGACAGCCGACCCTGCGACTGGACACTTAATGGTAAGAAGTGACAAGACAAGAGGGGAGTCCAGAATACAGTGGCTCATTTGTAACACCCTTTACATTATGAATAGTTTTGGATGTATATAAACAGTTTTTCAACCTCTGTCTTAAATGTAGAGATCATTTAAATTTCAGTGCTCAACGTTTGTTTCATAAAAAGGCTCCCAGTATTACAGAAAGGTGCACTTCTTTTCAAACTCCAATCTGCTTTGTCACAAACTTCTATGATATCCTCCTTCACACTCCCCTCCGGCAGAGGATTGCAGACTGATGCATCAGTGCTGCCAAACAGAGGCACTGTTGCTCAAGGAGACACCCAGAGAGCTCAGGATCTGAGTCTGTCTGACAATAACTCCACTGATTCAAAGATCCAAAGGTGTCTCTGTATTTCATCATCACTGTGAAATCAGTTAAAAGCAAAGAAGAAACAGCTTAAAATGCTCTTAAAGACGCTCAGAGAGGGGGTTTCTCACAAGTCTGGGGTCAGAGAGCTCTGCTGGTGTGATGCTGCTCAATCCTCAAGGATCACAAACATGAATATATTTCAACTGCAGGGGTAACTGTTAGAGAGATATCCTGGTGTACAATTAATTTAGGGTCAAATACACCATAACACCAAGTTAAACACCCCCTCGAGAGATGAATGTTGTCGACCACTTGCTTCTCTAGTTATACCAACTTTAGTATCGACCGCAGGATAGCAATACACAGCGGTCTGAGGAGCCATAAACAAACCTCAACCAAAATAGCCACAAGTACTAGCCACCAAACATCTTTTTAACTTTGCCTAATTTCTTTAGCAAAGAGACTAAACACAATTCACCCACTCTCTTCCAGCAGCTGCTTGTTTGTAGTGAGACCTCTGCCCAGTCCATTACAGACTGCTGCGGGGTGACACAGCTCAAGGAAGAACATTTATGATCATTACTTTATCATTTCCTTGAAGTAATAATCACCATATTCATCATTTTGCACTGCAGATGCAGTAGTTCTTCTGCCTTAGCTTCTCAGTCTGATTGAGTTTCCATGAAGAAATGATCATCTCTCGGTGTTACAATAAGTTTGACCCTAAATGAATTTTATGCTGGAATATCCCTTTCATGTGATGTCATAGATCAGTGAATATTTCCTCTAACTAAAGGAGGGCTAATTAGAAGTGTTACTATCAAAGTTTAACTTTTGCTGGTCTGGTTTGAAATACTGGCTAGATTGCTCAATACTGCCCCTCATGACTCCAGGTGGTACTGCAACACTTGGCCTGTACCTGTAAAAGCAACGTTGTTCACGAATCTGCGCTGTGGGTAATCGCTCTGTGCTTTTTAGCAGCATGAATCAAAGACTGATGATGAATCTTTTCAACTCTGCAAGTAACTTTGTGTTTATTTAAGAGAAGTGACGGCTGCTGTGCTGAGACAGCCTGCTGTTCCTCTAAGTAAGTGTGGAAGAAAATTGATTTTGGACTTAAAGGAATGAGTAAAATGAAGCCAAATTAAAAAAGAAGAGAGCAGCAGAGCAGTTAATTTGATGTCCAACACCACTGGAAATGCACACAGTGATTTTCAAAAGCAAATAGTTTCATCCTGCTGTTAAACACTGATCAAACTTTATCCCAATTTTTTTTAAATTTCATGTAAAGTTTCATCCAGCTGACTTAAAAACTGCATTTAAAAAGAAACCAAACAGATGTATCGCCTCCGCTGCTGAGTGAAGATCACTGACTGCAGCTCCAGATGGGTCCGCTGTTACACATCAGCAGGCTTATTTTGTTTTGGGGCTGGAACCGTCTGAGGCTGTTTACGAGCAGTGAGGGCTTGTGTACGATATATGTACACAAACAGCGCAAAAACAGGAAGACCGTGACAGCACCTGCTGAGTTGTGGAGGGGAAAAAATCCAAATCAAACGGTTTTGCTATTTACATGAGGTAGTCCACGGAGTAAACAAACACCCAGCAGCTCAGAGGAGTTTTTCTGCAGCTTCCATGCGATCCCGTCTGAAACAGTCCACTCATGCCTGCCGGATCTATTTTTGCCATCATCACATATGAAGACTAACCCAGTCCAGATGTAGCTATGCAGAAAGTAACCATTAGATGTCTCACTGTCACTCAAATCAAACAAATGAGTCATTCATACTCGGCCGGGGGGTCCGCTGCCCGCTCGCTCATAAGAGGGTGGGCTGGGAGGAAGAAAAGGGCAGACGGCATGGTCAGTGGATTTACAACAAAGCTGTCAGTTCGACATCTGTGGAGACAGAGCATCCCAAAAATGTGCCTCTGCTCCAGGGCCCCATTTATCAAGGGGAGACAAGCAATCGTCATGTCAGGCCCAGGTTGTGATTTACAGGCTCCAGTCAGACCTTGTAGCCGGTATCAAGATATCAGGACAAAGAGATCTTAAAGTAGCTCATGTCAGAGCTGCAGAACTGTTCAGAGTCTCCTCAGGTTTTTGGAGCATTTCCCAACCAAAACAAGCTGTAAGTCTTCTGTCTTAGCTGCTGAATACATAATGGAAACTCCACCGAGGATCTAGCAAATGAAATATTTTATCAGATGTTTTAAATTCTGTCCTTTTTCCATATGCGGGGCTGTGTTTTATTCACTTAGAGACGATGCATGTGTGTGTGTGAGTCCTTTCTGCGTGTAACAGGGCACATGTATCTGATATGAACAGGCTCAGAGAGGCCCTCTGCAGGCATGTGGTCCCTGTTATCAGGCCTTACCTCCTCCTGGTATGCATGTGCTACAAGAAAACCTGTTTCAGTGATCCGGGAGCCAGAACCATATGTAACATTCCTCGGGATCATCTGTATTTGTTGTGGCGCCAGGTCCAAAACACAGCCGTTCAAGTCCTCCTCTGCCCCTCTCTGCTCACGTGGAAAACACTCTTTCCCTTAACAATTTCCACCCCGGTCTCATTTGCATTTTTAATTATCACCCCCCGGTCCGAAAAGCGGTGCTGATGCGGAGTGTCTCGACTAATCTGTCACATGGCTTTTCCATCCAGGAGCTGCAGCCCCCTGTGCAACCAGGAAACGGAGTCTGGTCCTGTTGCCTGAAACAATATTTGTTCACATTCACACCTCTGTTGGTTCAAGATTGTGTGGATTACTGTTGTATAAGCCAACCAAACCATACAATATTTATCTTTGACAGGAGTGCTACCAAAAAAAAAAGAAAAAAAATGAAGGAAGTTGGTGGGAAATTAAAGAAAAGCAAGATGAATTTGACTGAATTCTTTTTAAACATCTTTATAAAAACGGAGTGAAGTTATCAAAACTCAGGGCTTGACACTAACTTTTTTCAAGGAGCCCATTTGCTCCTAAGTTGAAAAAGTAATGAGTAATGAGTAACACAAAGAAATTGAGGGGCACAAGGAAAATTAGTTTTTTTGCATTGATGCAGAAATGTTTTTATCAATATATTTAAATTAAAAAATTGCATTGGTATAAAAAGGCCAAAGTTTTCCCTCGCTGTCTCCGCAGGTGCAAAGTCCTGTTTTCATCCTGAGCCATTAATTTATTCTCCGGTTTGGCTTTTCCGCACTTTGACATTTATCCCCTCAGCCAGCATCAAAGCCCGAGACAGCCGGGTGAGGCCGGCATCTAAATTGAAATGATGCCTGACAGAACTGCAAAACATCTCTTTTTAAGCCGCCAAGCAGCAGGGAAACAATGAGATGAAGATTTCTGCAGACGGTTGTGTACAGTTCTTGTCAGGGATCTTCTTCGTCCATGATTTTCATTAAGAAAGTCAGATTTCGATCTTTAGGACCACAGGGCAGGTTTAATCTGGGTTCATGTTGAATGGACTCAGGCATTTCTCCATCACTAGCCACGTTTACATGGGCAATATTTCTTGATCCGAAAAAAAATTTGAGGGATCGGATAATCTGAATCCACTGTTTATATGGGTGCGAAATCAAATAATCCGATCATGATGTGCGTATACATGCACCAAACTTAATACGTGTTTACATGGACGCGTTTCAGAAAATATGATCGGCATAAACCACCCCTCTTGATCGGAATACAAATTCTTTCCGATTGAGCCAAATTGGATCAGAATCTTCTTATCGACATGCTTACGTGACACATTTTTATTCTGATCGTGCATTTATTCCGATTATTTGTGCCCGTGTAAACGCAGCTACTTACTGAATCATCACCTTTTTTGGAGCATTTCTCGTCTTCTTAAGTTGATTGAAAACCTTCAGCAGCTTTTAAAACCTTATCAGCTTTTTGCAGGAAAAAATCCCTGAACACTGCAGTGTTGGTTGGCTAATCAGATGGAAATGTCACCTTTTTATAGAACAAAGTGACACACTTTAAGATTTCTAAATGTAATTATGAGCTGTCAGGACATAAATCACTGATTAAATCAAGCCATAAACGTCCAAAAAAGATGAATGTGTTATTTGCAAACTTTCAAAATGACATTAGGCGCTCCAAGCAGGAGCACTCAATCCAAAAAAAAAAAAGATCATCTGTTTGAGCTCAGCGATAAAGTGCGAGTTTTATTGTTAATATTTGTCTCTCTGTATTCTCAGTAGCTCTGAGCTGCACAGCGGGGCTTATGGGAGCTGTCAGCGCTGCTCAAGCATGATAAATAAAGTTGCAGAGGCGTGAATAGTGTGCAGTGAAGAACATGAATTACGCTGACCTTGTCCCACAGATTCATATCCCAGATAGGAGGTGCACATGGGGGAACAATCTCAAATACGAAATAGTTTTGTGTAATGTAGTGAATAAACCCTAGGAGGTTTTCTATAAATATGATTTCATCTTCAGCTTTTTGGAGGCTTTATTAGTAGCAGAGGGACTTTGATGATCTTAATATTCTCAAACTGCAAGAGTTTAAGAAGAAATGATGGGGTACAGGATGCTGTTTATAACTCAAACCTGCCCCTTACTCTTTTGTTTGATGCATAAATATTGTTTTCCTTTATTTGGTTGGATCAGCTGCCTCACAGGGACTCATTTGAACCGTCAAATTATCCAGTTTGTTTATTATCTTTAAGTCTATTATCTCGTCGAGGTACTTAAAGTCAGGGTGATTTACAGATTTACAGATTTGATGCGGTGTTTCGGTCTGTGTAGCTTGTCACCGAGGAGGACTGACTGTTGTTTAAATCTCAATTATGCTTCGTCATTTCTTGTATCATTTAGAGTTGTTATTGTGTTGTCAACATCAGAGCTATTGGAAACCAGTTAACCACTCTAATATATCCTTCTCCTTTTTGTTGGCTGCACACATTGCAGTTGGGCAGTAATCCAAACCAACCAAAGAAACTCTTGGTCGACTAAAACCCTGAAATTTTCGACCAAAAATCTACTTAGGGGGCTTCAGCAAAGCACGGCTTGGCAGAGTGAACATATATACTGATATAACACAAGAGGGCAAACACAAAACACAAAAGGCTAAAATATATATGCAGCAAACCACCAGACACAATATTTTTTTTCGCAGGATGGTAGGGAAAAGTCCCTCCTCCTTCGCCTCTGATTGGCTGTGAAATGTTTCACAAGCCCAAGCCGAGCGCGAGCTGTTGACTCTGTACATCGAACAGAACATTATTGCAATTCTGAATCTCCCAACCCAATCCTAACCCGACAGACGATGATGTTTCACAGCCATAAGGAATACCCAATTGGAGCCCAGCAAGTCTACCATCCTACCATCCTACAAAAAACAAATTCCTGCCCACCGGATGTTGATTAACATGGACGCTCTTCAATCTTTCTGTCTCCAGTCTCCACCCAAATGGTGAAGACAAGGGGGTTGTTCTGAGACAGGTTGTTCCCTCTGAAATGGGGGTGCTCTAAAAACACCCCCATTAGCACTTGGTACGTTCCCCCTGATGAAATTAACCATAGACTGTAAATTGACGCTGAAAAAAATCGAGTCGACCAATCAGAATTTTGGTCGACTCAGCACGTATCGACCAATAAGTCGACTCGGACTTTACAGCCCTACGTCACAGTGTGCAAATGAAGACCGACACATCATCACAGGATCTCTGAACAGTAATGACTTCTCCCATATCACCTTTTTGACTCGTATTTCAAATCTTTTTCACCTCAGACCATCATCAGTCGAGCCCACTGACCCTGAGCAGTGAACCGTCTCACTTCAAACACCAAACAGGTTCAGGTTTGATCTCATAAAGCAGATTTATTTAAACTATCCCTGGATATCTCAAAGCAAACTGTTATTTCCTTCCTCAGAAAGCAGCAGCCTGATTTTCTAGGTCAACTGATTTTTTTCAAGAGGTCCTTATGGTTTATATAGGCTGCAGTAGACTGTGATAGGGCGAGTGCAAACACACATTTACATTTAGACAGCATTTCTTTATTCCCACGCTGCAGTCTGTGAAGAATGGAGTCTTCACCTGCCCTAAAAACTACAATGTGTGTCACATATCTCAGCTAAGAGTGGAACATGTACGGCCTCATGATTTTACTTTTTTGTGACTTTTAAGAGTACAACAGTGAGGAAACATCTTGTGTTTTAAATAAAAACCTTGTGAGAACACGACATGTACATAAAAAACAGACATTTTACAAAAAAAAAAATTTAAGATGTGGCAAACAAAAATCAACCCACTCAAACATAGTTTATGAAGTTGCAGGTCAACATGTCCAAACACGTTTTTGGCCTTTCTTTTATAAGAAGACTTTACCAGGTCAGACTCTAAGTAGAGTCTCTTCAAAGATCGCAGAGAGAGTCACCAACAGGCAGGGAGACATCTTCTTTCTCTTTTTTGTCTTCTTCTCTATGTTCTTCATCATCTTCCTCATTTTCTCCTCTTCTCTCCGTCTCATTTTGTTGTTGTCTTCTTGGTTCCTTCTTTGTAGTCTTCTCTGTCTTTATCTTATTCCTCCTCTTTTGTGTGTCCACATCTGTATTTTCTCTCTTCTTTTTTTTCAAGTTCTTCCTCATCTTCTTTGGCTTTTTGATTTTACTTCCTCATCTTCTTTGTCTTCATCTTTTTTCTTATTTCATTTTTGTCCCCCGTCTTGTTCTTCATCCTTGTCTTTGCATTCTTCCTTGTTTTCTTTCTTGTCTTCTTCTTCATCTTTATTTTTTCTTTAGCCTTTTTCTCTGTCTGTCTCCTTTCTTGTCCTTTTTGTTTTCTCTTCGTTGTCTTTCCCTTCCTTATCTTTATTTTTTGAGTCACTTTTCTCTGCTTGTATTTTTCTCCATTATCCTCTTCTTCACTCTCTTCATCATGGTTTTCTTCACTTCTTAACTGAATCATAACTGCATCTTCTTTTGCTTCTTTTTTTCCTCTCCTCATGCTTTTAGTCTCTCTGCTTCTTCCTATCAGGGCATTTTATTCCTAGGATGCTATAGCATTTCAAATATTCCAAGCACTCACAGTGGTCCTTATTTTCCCTCTGTCTCAGAGAAACTCTACAGTCAGAATCCCTCGCTGTGTAAAACTTGAAGGGTTCAGGCAGCGTCTGAAGTGACAGTGACACGTTTCAAGAGTAACTCCTTCATCCCGTCTTTGACTGAAATCCTGATAATACTGAGAAAGATACGACAGCGCGAGAAGTGGAATTTTAAGTGAGGCTGGATTTCACCCAATCTGTGGAAATGTCAGAACCGTCACATCCCTGTTTAGTCCAGGTGTGCTTGAGTTGAACTTGCGCGGATGAAGCATTACTGAGACCGCTCTCTGACTGTCCTCCATCTTAGTAAATCTATCCAGGCCTGAACCGGGGGAAGAGATGAAGGCCGGGTTTCATCCACCTCTAACAGATGATATGTCACTGAGATGGAGAGACTCCTGCATGCTAAGACCAAGGCAGTGTCTCCCTCACCCGCTATAGCCGAGTTCTGACTGATAGATCACAACAGAGCCAAGGCTGCTCCTTCAAACCCCGAGACCCCTCACTGCACAAGACCTTAGGAGAGAGAGGATGTGCATTCATCTCACAGCCTCTGTGAAAAAAAAACACTCATTTTTCTAGGGCAGCTATTCCACCGAAGGCGTCTTTGTTGGAGCATCACTGCTGTGCAGATCTAAACAACCTTTAGATCGTACAATAATGGAAGAAGAAGATAAACATTCACCTCCATGTTGCAAAACAAGATTGCCTGATACAACTTGAGGCTATGGTGCTCCTGCTGAGCTATTAAATGCAACAAAGCTCATCTATATATCAGCTCCGAAACGTTCATACACAACCTAAAGGCTTTCTATTAACGCCGTCCCTGATAAATTTCTCTTATCCAGTAGATGGGATTCTGTGATTTCTCCTCTTTTGAACCAACACGACCCAAGGCGCACGAACACAACAGATGATACCCCAATCCTCATATCTCTCTGCAGACTTTATTTTTGGACTGAATGTATCGCTCTCTCTTTTTTTTTCATTTCAGGAGACCCCCAGATCTGGGAGCGGCCGCCACAAGAGGTGAGAAATATTTTATTATCCTGACAGAGTTTCCCTGCTGTGGCGTCATGAGTAATGTGTTAAGAAAGGGAACGGAATATAAAACAGAAGTTTAAGTCATTAATTATTCAAGCAGAGAGACACTGAAATCTTTCAAAGGACCTTTTCCTCGTGCGTCACTGTTTATTTTTCCCCTCAGAGTTGCTTCCTTTTTTTTTTTTTACTTTCTCGCCTAAGACAGATGAGTGTTTTGAGCAGTAGCTGACAGGACACCATCTGGACCTCAGACTCTTCACAGTTGTCGCTGGCTTTGAGAGTTGAGGGTCAGTCTTTTCCTTTCAAAGGTTTTAGAGTTAAAAGCGTGGTGCCGTCCGGTGGAGATTGCTTTTGGAGTTTGATAACACGGTTTCAAACGTTTATTCTCCTCCTCAAACAACCTTCAGAAGAAAAAAAAAAAAGGAAAGATTGTGAAGGCATCTGTTTCAGATGGGATTTAATTATTGTCTTTGTTTCATGCAGTTTCCATAAAATGTCATCTAATGGTTTTGTTACTGCACCCAACCAAGACAGAAAGCAATGACATCATCATGAGTTTTAGATGTGTTCTAGATGGAAATGAAATGTGTGTCTAACATAGGTTTAATATAGAAATTAAAGAAAAAGATGTTTTTATATAGATTTCTATACATAGGAACCTTTTTGGGAGACCTCCAAAACAGACTTGGTCTCAGATTTTGGTCTTTGGATTTTGTGATTATCAGAGAAATTTCATAACAAAACACTCAAGTGTCATCTGAAGTCTCTTGTAGGGCTGCGCGATATGGCCTCAAATCAGTATCAGAATATATTGAGCAGTGCACCTAACGATAAATGGACGATAACTACTCCAAAAGCTGCTTACCCTCTCTCACATTAACTTCGTCTACTCCAGCCGCTCCAACTTTTGAACCGTCCTCCATCTCCTCACCTGTCTTTCCCTCTTTGTTACAGACTGGATGGGGTGGAGTCACGTCTCTGACGTAGGACAGCGTCTTAAAGTGACATGAGACTATAGCCTACCTACACACATCCAAAAACAACTTTGATTTATTTATTTTTATATATTGATATGGGCAAAATGACGTCGATTATTGTCGTGAATTTTGGTATTGGTAAATTTTCGTTTTATCGCCCAGCCCTAGTCTATTGGGTATTGTATCAGCTGATGTTTGCCCTCTTGACAGACTTTATCAGCATATAATGGGCCATGCACACTTGTCCGTAGCTGATGTTTATTTGTATCTTATTGCACTGTAAAGATTGATGACATGCAGCTGGTAAGATATGTTTCAGGGACGTTTTAAGGAGAGACAGCTGACTACCAACAGATATGAAGAACTCAAAGAAGTAATACCAACTAGGGCTGGGCAATAAACCAAAGTTTTACCAATACCAAAATTGACGACAATAACCAATGTCATTTTGCCCATGTCAGTATATTCAGTGTCAAATAAATAAATAAATAAAAGTTGGTTTTGGATGTGTGTAGGTAAGCAATGGTCCCATGTCCCTTTAAGACGCTGTCCTACGTCAGAGACTTGACTTCACCCACTCCAGTCTGTAACAAAGAGGAAAAGACAGGTGAAGAGATGGAGGACGGTTCAAAAGTTGTAGTGGCTGAAGTTGACAAAGTTAATGTGGGAGGGAGTGAGCAGCTTGTGGAGTAGTTATCGTCCATTTATCGTTATCAAGGTAACTGCTCAATACATCGTGATATTGATTTGAGGTCACATTGCCCAGCCCTACTACCGGCAATTGAAATTAGCCAAATTGTTATTAATCAACATTGTTATCATTATCAACACTAAAATTCTTATTCAGTTCCTCTCTAACTAGTTTTTAAAGGGGCCTTTATAGAAATATTAGACCTGTAAATGCCCTTTACTGACAAAACTTACTTTTTCAGTTTTGTGAGGCTAAACTTTTGACAATCCAGAACTCACAGACACCATCATGACGGACCATTTTGAGAACCTGGGTGCATGTCCAGGGTATTTTTACTCTGCCATATTTGTAACCGCACTGAGAAGAGAAGTTCTCAGCGACAACAAGAGCCAAGTTCGCCAGCTGACATCCGGTCTGGCTGTGTCAGTGTGGCTGCTGCTCCCATCAACTGGCCTGTCAACGCTTGTGCGCTCCAGTTTGTCTGGAGCAGCACAAAGATGGCTGACAGATCATTTCGGTTGTTGCTGCCTTTTTTTTTGTTTAGATTCAAGCTTTTTCTCTGGACATGTTTCCCCCTAGTTTCTGTGTCTTACAGATAATAAGCAATTTTCCCTCAAAATATCGTGTAAAATATTGTCCGGCTTTTGGACAGTGAAAAATATCCGATAGATTTTTACATTTCCTGCTGAAGCTACAAGACTTTATTCATGAATATGACTATTTTGTATCAAAAAAAGATCAAATATTATGAATGACATTTATGAAGCTGTGCTATAAAGATGATTATTGATCATTTATTGTTTTTGTTTTTTTACCCATTTTGAGGGAACAGCTGTTATCAGGGTCATTTAAAGCCGAAATAAGATGGCTGTTCATTGTGTGTATTTTGGGTTTTTTTGTGCAGTCTTCATTTCATTCCATTCAAACACTCAAGCTCATATGAGACATTGTCATGTCTGTCTGCTGCTGCTGTCTCTGCTTTCCCTCCCCACCTGCTGAGGCTCCCAAGGGGGAGTGATTGGCTCAGCCTCCTTCTCCCCCAGACCTCCCCCTGGGGTGCTAATGGGCCATGGTGTGATATTTAGTATCCAGGCCATGGTTGTTTAGGCTGTGCTTCGACACCTGCTATGTACCTGTCTGTGTGTGGATTGTTTGTGTGTGTCACATTCAAGATATTTCTTGAAGAACAGAGACGACAAATAAGGACGTAAACATTCACGTTATGGCTTCTCAGGTGAGGGGATGTATGTGTTGTCATGCTTTGTTACGTATACGTCTATAGGTGCGCGTTTTCACAAACATTTTGCATCGTGTGCTTTGTGTGTGCGCTCATGCTGATAAAGGACAAGTGGCTGTGAAGAGCCACAATGAGGGAGACAAATGAATTCACTCTATCTTGGCGTGGGCGAGTGCCAAGGAGAGCATTTCAAGGACTCCCTCTTGATCAAAAGCGATGGCCGCTGTTTGGCTCTTTGTGAGAGTGAGCGGGAACAAACTGTTGGTCCTGTAAATGTCGCGGTACAGAAATAAAACGCCTCTGCTTTTGTTTAAGGAACTGAGCTTCGATAGGTGAAAGGAGGCAGGCTGAGTTGAGTGAATAAAAATATATAGGAGAAAAGTTGGGAAGAGGAGTGAGAAGTTTAACACAAGGCTCATGTTTCTTTTTATGGAGACTTTTATCTTCTAAAACTAAAACTGTTTAACTCTTGCAAGTTTATAAAGAGTTCAGACATCCACCGGATCCTTCAACATGAGCCACCCTTTCAGTTTAAAGTACTGAACCATTACAAAATTTCTAATAAGAAAAATGCTGCCCAAAAATTTCTTTACCTTTTGACACTACAGTGTTTAGGATTGGAAAAAAAAACAGTCACATTGAGCAGTCAGATGCCCCTGACAATCTCACTAGACGGTAAAACCATGGTAGCCTTGAACAACAAGAAGCACCTGGAATATGCACCACTCCGTACTTCTCAAAGAATTTGAATAATTCTATTTCTCAAAAACCAGTGGTTTCTTTTACCTCTAAGTCATGGTTTCAGACCACACTGCTGTAGCAGTACAGCATTTATTTAAATAATTTAGCACACTGTGTTGAGTTCATTTGATTCCTAAATCAATGCTGCATTACAGTTACCTCGGAATTTAGATGTCGGAGCTGGGAATGATGTTACACGGGAGTTGACAGCATTCCAGTTAACAAGTTGGAAAACCAAGATGGACGCCTACAGTTAGCCGTTGTTACCTGTTGTTTACAATTGTCAGATGTTGTTAGCCGTCGTCAGTTCTTGTTAGTTGTTGTTAGCTATACCAGTTGTAAACTACACAAAGGTTTAGTATCATGACATTGTCGTGAGTCAGGGTCGGGGAGGATCGTCCGACTTTCCGAGTCGGAAATCCAACTTCAGGGGTGCATTCCAGATGAATTTCCGACTTGGAAATTCGGACTTCCGAGTACAACTGGAACGCAACACAGGACCCTGGAAGGATTGCTAATATGGACTTTAGAACTGTTTAAAATACAAAATAATAGAACATGTAATTGAAAATGCAATAAATCCCAGTTTTAACGGTAATCGTTTGACACTCCTTATATAAACATAGACTTTGTAACACGACCGTCCAAGTTTGATTTTCATCTGAATCTCCACTGTCCCACATTTTCACTCTTTGTCTGCATCGTCTTTGCCAAGCACAGACTAAAAATGACATCAAACCTCTGTTATGACAGTTTTAAGCATTCAGCTCACTGCTGCCTCCAATCCCGCAGTCAGAAGCGCTCTGTAAAGTTGTCTAATAACGGGAACATCAGCATTGGCAGATCCTGAAAAGAGTCCAGATGGTACAAAGGAGTAATGTTTGTTCTTTGTCTTGCCAGCAGCTTCCATGTTTGTTTCAGCCGTAGAAAGATTCAGACAGCCTCCTACAGAAGATCCTGCGATGTCTACAGACTCCACAATAATTTGATTTCCAGGGAGATTTTTTAAACCTGGCACCATCTGATGTGTTTTTTGAGGGGGCGGTTATAAAACCAGCAGCTGATTCCAAGTTTCCAGATCGATAATTATTGAAATAAGGTCTCTGCTCATGACTATGCTTACCTAGCTGCCCCAGAATGTGTCCCACAGATGTTAGGAGGAGATACCTTAATGTTTAGCTGGAGCTGCTTATGAAAACCTTTAAAACTGCATTTTTTTTCCTCCACCACCCTCGGACCAGCTTCTCCTTTCTTGAGCTTGTTGAAGTTGTTACAGGTAAATGTTAAATTGCCTCTAAATCAGAATCCTTTTTGCAAACTCTTGTCAGGCTTTTTCTCCATTAATGAAGTAAAAGACAGAGGGCTGTTAATAATGCATGCCTAATTGAAAGGGCAGAGACACAGAAGATATTCCCACCTGCTCTTTTGATGATGGATGTGTCATCCTATTGAAGTTTAATAAAGACGCTATGATTCATACCTTCAAACAGCCTCGGTGAAAGTACGCTCCTGGAAACGGCCACATAATTCACAGCTTTTACAGCTCTATCTTTAAAAAAAAAATGTTCATGTTATGTTTGCTTCTGGTTTAATTGTGTGTCTCTTTGCGTTTGTTACAGCTCTGCAGGCCCGGGGTATGAAGAAGAGGTAGTCGGCAACAGCAGACAAAGACACAACCGTCACGGCAGAGATGGAGGAGCTGCAGCTGCAGGAAGTTTGGAGAAAAGGATCGAGGAGCTGGAGAAAGTAGGTCCTCTCACCCTGCAGTACATATCACTAAATAAAGCCTGCCCATAGTTTCCTCTCTTGGCGTGTTTCCCTGCAGCTGTGGCGTCTGTGGATACACCTGGCAATAAAAGCCAGGTGTGGTTGGAGCCAGAGGAGGTTTGAAGCATAGCAACCTCCACAAAGTTAGGCAATACTTTTTGTACCAAGGGCCAGTCGATGTAGCGTAAATGTGATAAAAATAGGACAAAAAATATGGCTTCTTCCCTCTGAGCCACTAACAGAGTACTGCAACTTTTCCATCTTGAGACAGAACATTAAATTATGAAACCACCGTCTAAGCAAGATTGCACCTCTGGCCGAGAGTCAACTAAACAGTTCTGAGCAACATCTCAAGAGAAAAGGTGACTGAACCCGTCAGCTGTTGTCATGTGACAGCAAAGCCTTGCAGAGTTTTGGCAATGCTTTGGAAAGAGCTTTGCTTCCAGTTAATCCAGGCTGGGGTCGCAGCGACATCAAGCTGGGCGAGTCGACCTAGACATTCCTCTCCTGTGCGACCTTTTCCAGCTCTCCCTGGTAAATATGAAGACATTTTTTGGACCAGATGGGTTATAATCCCCACAACAAGGGTCCCCAAACTCCTGCATAACTGCTGATGCTGTATCAGTCGAGCGGTAGAGGATTCTATGCAGTTGCTTTTGTTTGCTGTTTAAGTAATGAGACTTCAGTGGAGAGGATTTTTCGCTTGCACTTCTACAAATCCGTCTGTATACAAGGATTGATGAAAGGCTAAATCTTTGCCTTTGTCTGTTTCGCTCCCCACACAAACTGTTTCCCTCATGAAAGCGGTTCTGGCAGAAACACAAGGAAATGGTAGTTCTTGGACGACAAACCAGAACACTTTGAACGGCTCCTGCCAACACATTCTGCATCGGTGTAAGATCTATTAATAAGAGAAGACGAGCGAACATTCTTAGGACGTTATGAAAACCGGTGCACGTCTGAGGCAAACTTTTCGATGTTTTTCTGTCCTCTGCCATTCTGTGTGTAACCATAGAGGAGGTTTTTTCCTTTTGTGCAGAATGAAACATGCTGTCACTATCCAATCCCATCAGCTTTTAAATCCACCTTGAGTTTTCAAAAGATCCATCCTGAATTCTTCCGACTGAAAAACCTCGACAGACGGCGAATTGTTCGGATGAATCTCCACTTTGAGAAGTTTGAGCGGCTGCCCCAGTTTTGATTCCCGCGGCTCTGCGCCGGCTGAAATTCTCCTCGGTTTTGTCAAAGACGTGACCTTTTTTTTTTTCAGCGCAGATATGTCTTTTCCTCCCACGCTGTTCCCATCAAACTCTCAACGTCTCAAAGAAGAAATTCAACTCTGAACAAATGTCACCAGTGCGGCTTTCTAAAAGGGTTTTAAAGTGTGAACTGTTATGACCTCAGCGACTGTCTGTCCGAGGTGTTTGAGTCAAACGGGCAGAGAGGTTTTAAAGATCACATTTCACACTCTTATTTTGACACATTGTTTCCCTCACTCTCCCTCAGTGACAGATGTGTTTATATGAGATTACCTTCTCCTCAGTGCGACTTCAGGTATCGCTGAAAAACCCTCACTAGAATCTTTGTCATGAATATAAATCTCTCGGGAACATTTGTTATTCAAAGCCTAGTTATATTTTATCTCAACTGAGTTTGAAGCACTACCTGCTCATTTAGTTTCTATGGCAACACTTTCATGCATTCCCAGCGATGGAAAGTGAAAGTAGAAATCCCGGTCTTCTCTTTTCCATTACACACCCAGACAGCAGTTTAAACACTGATGCATGTGGATTTATTGACAAAGAGTCTGTTACGGGGACGGCAGACAGTCCCACACTGTCTTTAAACCAGGAGTAATTTCAAAGAAACACAAAGACTGTTCCAGAAAGAAGCTTTTAATACATTGTTCCCTGACAGTTTGTATTGTGGTAATCAATTTTTTGAAGATTAGGGCGAGTGAGGAAATAAGAGAGTAACTATTTTAACTGTCACACAACAAAAGTTTAATGCTCAGTATAGACCGGGTCCAAACAGCTTTTAACAAAGGATGCTTTTAGGAGTTGGATATGTCTTCAACCAAGAGGGAGGGAAATTACTTCATTTTCAGTTCATTTCAGAAAACTTAATTTTCCTCTAAGGGGCGAAACAACAAAAGACACAAAAAACACGAACATTATATTTCAGGGTCAACAGGGATACAGTTTTGAAAAAGAATATGAGGCTGAGTTACAACAAAAATTAAAAAGTTTCTGACATATTTTAGAGTTTGGAAAAGTTTAAATTCTAACCCAAGACTTTGTTAAAATGCTTCGACCACATTAAATCAAATAGACACTTTCAAAACTAAAAATGAGAGTTTTAAGTTAACAGTTTACAGTTACGACTAGGGCTATGGCCTTAAATCAATATTACGATATATTGAGCAGTTCACCTCGGTAACGGCAAATGGGCGATAACTACTCCACAAGCTGCTCACATCCTCCCTTGAATCGTCCTCCATCTCCTCACCTGTCTTTCCCTCTTTGTCATGGACTGCATGGGGTGGAGTCACGTCTATAACGTAGGACAGCATCTTAAAGGGACATGAGAACATAGCCTACCTACACACATCCAAAACCAACTTTTATTTATTTATTTATTTGACACCAAATATACCAATATGGGCAAAATGACATTGGTTATTGTCGTAAATTTCAGTATCGGTAAATTTTCGGTTTATCGCCCAGCCCTAGTAACACGACTAAAACGTGATCAGGAGTAGACACAAGCGTGTGGTTCTTTGGGGGACAGGATATCAGGAGGTGCTGCAGTTAGAGCTGCCATAAGTAATGATAGCACAGCTTCAAGGTCAAGATTCCATTATCATCCATCAGTCATCAAAAATTATTTCATGTTAAAAATTTGTGTTTCTTTGTCTTTGGCAGCCCATCAGAAGCTGTGAGCTGAGCTGCCAATAACTCAAGCTTATCTTGCTTCCCTCTTTAATTTTGAGTTGCTCTACAACCAAAATTCATTGTTATGGGATAGAGCTGAGCCATATGGCCTTAAATTAATATCACGATATATTGAGCAGTTCACCTTGATAACGATAAATGAACAATAACTACTCCACAAGCTGCTCACTCCCTCCCACATGAATTTTGTCTACTTCAGCCGCCGCTCCACCCACTACAACTTTTGAACTGTCCTCCATCTCACCTACACACATCCAAAACCAACTTTTTAAAATTTATTTGACATCAAATATACCAATATGGGCAAAATGACGTTGGTTATTGCAGTAAACTTCGTTATCAGTAAATTTCCGGTTTATCACCCAGCTCTAGTTACTACCTATGACAGTTATTGTTGTGTCACACAGTAGTGATGCCTAGCCAATCAGATAGTGTTATGGGCGAGACAACACACCAGAAGCAGAGCCAAAGTATCATTCGCTGTTTTAATCGGTCAGTTTCAGAGTCCGAGTTACAACTGTGATTCAGATCTGCTGTTGTTTAAAGCTCCTGATAGGAATTTTTGATTGGTTATGAAACAGACTGAAGTGAACAGGGATTCTTCTCTTTGACGTTCAAAAGCAAATGAGACCATCAACAACAAGACAGACAGTTTCTGAATGGTGATTATTGATGCCTGTAGCTGCTGTGAGGGGGTTAGGTGTGCTGAAGAAACAGACTAATGCTCGCACTGAGTGACCACTTTCACAAGGACTCGACAAATTAACAACAATGAAAGTGTTGTTTATGATATATTTATGATTAATAATCGTGTCACTTTTTTGTTTTGTGTTTTTAGGAGCTGGCAAGAGAGCGTCAGGAGAGCGCCCGGATGCTGAAAGCTCACCAGGACAAAGACGACCTCATCGGGAAGCTGAAGGAGGAAATTGATTTGCTGAACAGAGTGAGTCCAGCCTACGTGATTTTCTGCGCTCATGTCTGATATCATTTATTATTCCTCTTGTGTTATCATGTGTGGGAGGCATGAGGGGGTTGTAAATCATGATCTCACGGGGTTTGTTTTTAATAGCTTTGTTTATTTACTTGAAGTCCATTAGGTTTCAAACATCAGAAAACATTTCTCTTTTTCGATCTACACATTTGTTGAATGATAGAAATTAAATATTTAACTCAGAGGCATTTGCACTATTCGTTTTTTAAATTAAACAGAATTTCACAAGTGCTTTGTTGACGATTGAGCAGAATACTTTGTCCTGTTGACATCAGTGTTCATTGTATTTTTCCAACAAAACGAATTCTTTGGGTGTCGCTCAGAAATTTTGAAAGACTTTCTTTGAGGTTTGTTGACTTAAATTCGAGGTTCTTTTCAGCCACAGTTGACAATCCCTATTGTTGTCCTCAGCCCAGAGAGCTTTGGGCAGATTGGTTTGTTGAAAAAGCCAAAAAGGAGAAATCAATAAGTTGGAAAATATTTGTTGGCTGCCGTGAGCAAAACAATCTTCAACTTTTCAACCCGGCTTCTGTCTGCTTTCATAGTTCAAGGGAACTTTTGCAATAATTTGACCAGTCGGCTAAGTTGGATTTGACAGAGTTATGCTTCCAGAGCTCAAAAACCCTCAAGTCATAATTGTCAAAGTGAATTTTAAGCACTTTTTTTTCCAGTGAAGTCGAACTTGATGATACCCCAAATTACACCCAGCTTGTTTTCATCCAACCAGTGAGTCAGTCTCCCTCTGGAGTAAGAAAAAGATCACAATCAGCCTCTGTGTTCAGAAGAAAAGCCTTAATTCAAACCTGGAAATGATTTTTCTTTGTACACTCTGGACTGCAGGGTGGAGTTTGCTGATTATAATTAGATAACTGTATTCACCATCACTATGACGGAGAGTCTATCACAGGTATGTATATCACCTGTTGCTCCGAGTAGGAAAGTAGTTATAGAGTCTGTTCTGAGGTAGTCTGTCTCAGTTTACAAAAGATTACAGGTAAACCTTCATTGTTCATTTTACACTCAGCTAATTATCAGAGTACCAGCTAGAGCCATAAACTTGATGACATAAAATACCGATGTTAAAGGGATATTCCGGCGTAAAATTAATTTAGGGTCAAACACACCGCAACACCAAGTTAGACACCCCCATATCAATCATTTTGCACTGCAGACGCTAAGGCAGAAGAACTACTGCGTCTGCAGTGCAAAATGATTGATATAGTGATTATTACTTCAAGGAAATGATAAAGTAATTATCATAAATGTTCTTCCTTGAGCTGCTTCACCCCGCAGCAGTCCGTAATGGACTTGCCCGAGGTCCTGGAGCAAGCATCATAAAAACAGATCTTTCAGTCAAACTACATACATAGATGATTTACAAATACTGTGCAGGAGTTTAAGCCTTTTTTCTCTGTTGTAGCTATCACACTCTGGAGTTCTTCAAACAGAAATCAGAGGTTATGTGTCTTTTTCGAGTTTGGTTTGTGCTCCCGGGTCACGGCTCAGTTTCCTCTTCACTGCGTGGTCAGGGTTCACAGTTCAGAGGATTCTCATGTAAGACTGTATTTTGTATTCAGCCCACAGCTCCTGAACCCTCTGAACTGTCTTCACCTTTTTTTATCCCCAGACTGTCAACAATCTTTTCTCAGCTCCCAACCTCTGCCCGTGTTTTCTGGGTCACCGAGGCCGGGCGTAAACACATTTCTGTTTTTTGGCAACTCAGGGGGGAAACCCAGCAGGGGGGGAGAGATCAGAACGACTTTCATGTCCCCAAAAGTGGGAGAAAAGAGATCTCAGCTCTCCCCCGTGGAGTCAATCAAATCTAAAGGAGAGATCGAGCTCTGCCAACAAACACAGCACTTAAAGATGAGCAAACAAATGAAGGTTGCTTTCTGATTATCTTGAGACTGAAGTCACAACGAGACACCATGAATCCGCAAAAAAGTGACGGTGCAATATTGCAAGAGACAACTTGTTGATAGCATCACATGGACAGGAAGCTGGTCATAAGAGAAAGCCTTTATAGAAGGGCGGCTGACAGCGTGATAGCCATCAGAAATGTCCCAGAGAGAGGCTCCTGCAAGGCCTGATGGGAAAGCGGGAGATAAAGGCTGATCCAGTGTGCCGTCTCTGCAGATTGAACCCGCGGTCAGTGCCGAAGTTTATTTAGGAGAGAAAGGAAAGATAAAGCTCAGCTGCTGGATCCTCAGCTCCCTCTTGATGTGATTTAAAGAGAGAAATAGTGTTTAGTAGAGAGGCAGAAGACCTTAATAAAACACAATTACACATGCTATGATCTGAGGTGATGACAACCTCCATCTAATGAAAGAGACTGATGGAGATTTCCATTTGTTTTGCATTGAGATGTAAACAAACAGGGTTAGTGGTATCCACATCTAACAGGGGGAAGGTAATCACTAAATCACTTAAAGGGATATTCCGGCGTAAAATTAGCTTAGGGTCAAACACACCGTAAAACCAAGTTAGACACCCTGTCGAGAGATGAATGTTGCAGACCGCTTGCTTCTCTAGTTATACCAACTTAAGTATCGACCGCTAGTAACTAAACACAACTCACCCACTTTCTTTCAGCAGCTGCTTGTTTGTATGGAGACCTCCGGGCGAGTCCATCAACTGCAGCGGGGTTACGCAGCTCAAGGAAGAACATTTATGATCATTAATTTCCTTGAAGTAATAATCACAATATTAATCATTTTGCACTGCGGACGCGGTAGTTTTTCTGCCATAGCGTCTCGGTCTGATTGCATTTCCATGAGGAAATTATCATAAATGTTCTTCCTTGAGCTGCGTCACCCCACTGCAGTCGATTGACCCGCCTGAAGGTCTCCGTACAAACAAGCGGCTGCTGGAAGAGAGTGGGTGAGTTGTGTTTAGTCTCTTTGCTAAAAAAATTATGCAAAGTTAAAAAGATGTTTGGTGGGTAGTGCTGTGACTGGGACCCTATATGTACTGTTGATGAAGTTAGGTGCTGTTCTGAGCATTATTTGTGGCTATAGAGTCGGGTTTTGGTTGAGCGCGTGGCTCTCTTTATTACTATCGTGCGGTCGTTACTAAAGTTGGTATAACTAGAGAAGCACGCAGTCGGCAACATGCATCTCTCGTCAGAGTGTCTAACTCAGTGTTACGGTGTGTTTGACCCTAACTCAATTTTATGCCAAAATATCCCTTAAACAAAACAAGAAAAATCTCTTTGACCATGCCTACCATCGTGGAGCTTATCAGTCTGTGCAGATCTGTGTTTATATATAAATCTGGGTGTGGCCCTCGTCTTCAAAAAGCAATCTCTTGATGAAGAGCAGCAGGTAGAAACTATGATTTGATAGACTCCTTGCAGCAGCAAGTGTACAGGCTTATCTTTGCTACCCTGTCAGTTCCTATATGAGATCATAACATAACAACTGATCACAGTGTTAGTCCAGGCAAGCTACAAAGTCAAACTCAGCCTACATTTCATCAGCTGATCTTAAAGCCAGCCCATATCATTTAAAAGCCCAACCAATTACCTTTGATACCGCCAATCGGCAGATGGCAAAATCACGTTCTGTGTAAACTCCTTCAGCCTACCTTCTCTTGTTGCTTCTTCCACAAACCACTTTGCAACCCTCCATCCCACTTCTTCCTTTTTATGCAGTCCGGTTTTACCAGTAAAATTGCTTACTTGAAATGCTAAGTGCTCCATTTTCCTCACAAGCTAGTCTCAGTGGTTTGCTTTTAGGCGCGTACCAGTGGAGGCAAACATTTAGAGAGAAGTTAAAACAGTAAATTTGGGACCGGGCAGAAGAGAGCAGCTGATTGAGGTGTTAGTTTGCTGCAGGTTCATCTCTATCAGTGAGTCCTTCCTCATTGGCACCTTTTTCAACATTTTTTGGCTTGTGTAACTCATGCATGAAAGTTGGCTATGCAAACAGAAGAAGTTTAGTTTCATCTTAAACTTGTCTTTTTAGCACTCTCCCCCTGAAGTAGACACAAAGTGCTCATTAGAACCTCACGTCTCCTTACTTTCACTTTTTCAATTCCTTTAAGTGCAGTCCAGTTCAATCTCAGGAGCCGTGCCATCATGACCAGTAATGGAGGAAACTGCGAATGAGGCGATACTCTGATGAGACAGCATGTAGCAACTGAGAGCCTCTCTCATTTGCAGCTAATTGAAGCTGTTAACGTCTAATTTGTTGCCATCGAGGCCGTCTGGCTGGAGGGGAAACCTGGCAGCATGTAATGCCACGCTTAAACTCTCAGACTAACACTCCAACCTAAGCGAGCCCTCACAGGTACACAGGCAGGGCCCTGAATATTCATGCTGTCTCTGCTGTTTGTGTCTCGCCCTCCTCCGCAGGACCTGGATGACATCGAAGACGAGAACGAGCAACTCAAACAGGAGAACAAGACTCTGCTGAAAGTGGTCGGTCAGCTGACGAGGTAGAACTGCACCCGCCTGGACCCTACACAGACAACGCAGATGAATGGAGCATCTCTATTCTGTCCTCTCTCCTGACCTCCTGCCCTGGGTCACAGCCCTTTTTCTGTTTGATTCTGTCTGTTTAACTAGTTTCCCTCAGCCTCACAGCCTTTAAAACACATCCCCCGAGGAGGATTTCTTCCACTTGTTGTGAAAGCTGAGGGACCTAGCGGCTATGGTTGTCCTGTCTAAACAGTCTCACAGGGACTCTCTGTCATCGTCTCCATATTTAATGTAAATGTATTGTACATAGGCCATTAAGATTGTTAATTTTTAGATTTTTGATAAGGTCTTTAAAGCAGAAGTCAAATGAATGTATGTGCAGCACAAATGAGCACACAAAGTCTGCAGAGGTTAAAAACTGTCCTGTGGTTGGAGGAAAGAAAAATTTGACAGTCTTTATTTTTTTGGAAATCATGGATCCTCTGCTCTAAAAAAGTGGAGGGACCACTAAGCTTGTTGTCAGCAAACAGTTAAATTTATAAAAGATTTCCAGAGAAACACTTTATAATAACTATCCATTATAACTAGTTAATAGATCATTAGTAAACTGTTAATTAATGAGTTATTAATGACTCGTTAAGTGTTTGTTAATAGTTTGTTAAGGATTTATAATCATGCCTTCTAGATAGTTAATATATCGTATCATATTATATATATCATAAACTGTTAGTTAATGAGTTACAAATGACTTGTTAACTGTTAATGATTTATTACTATACCTTATAAATTAGTAATAGATCATGAACAAGCCATTAGTAAATTACTCACTTGGGTAATTTGGTCATAATAATTGGAACGTTATTCTTAAGTTGGAACTATTCCTCATGAGGAATAGTTGCAACTTTAGAGTACCATCCAAATGATTAATAAACTATTAACTGATACTCAACAAGTCATTTGTAAGTAATTTACTAATGGCTTGTTCATGATGTATTACTTATTTATAAGGTATAGTTATAAATCATTAACATACAGTTAACAAGTCATTTGTAACTCATTAACTAACAGTTTATATGATATATTCACTATCTATAAGGCGTCATTGTAAGTCTTTAAACTGTTAACAAACACTTAAGAAGTCATAAATAACTAATTATTTACAGTTAACTCATGATCAATTAACTAGTTATAACGGATACTTATTATAAAGTGTTACCGATTTCCAGTGTTGTGATGTTAGACCTTTTGATAGAGAGTGGTGGAGTTTCTGTTTCAAGAACATTGGACCAAATTTAACATAGTTTCTTCTTCATGACCATCAGCCAAAGTGGGCGATACATGTGCAATTTTTATTTGTCAAACCTTTAAAAAAAGTAGTTAAAGCCTGGTGCTTTAATAAGAAACAGTAGAACCTGATTAACTGTTTTTTTTTTTAACACTTTGGTACAGCCGAACGGGGCATCTACAAACCCTAAAAAGTAAAAAATCTAATCTCATTATTTCAGATGTAAGATGAACAAAACTTGCAGCAAACTACATCCTTCACGCATTTCAAAGTGAACATCTGAGTGTGAAAGTTGTCCCTCATGAAACGTTTCAGGGTTAAACCCTTTCCCTAGTTAAATATATATATGTGGATTCTTTTTAAGAGCATTTTCCTTCCTGTAATTTGTTTACAAGTTATCTCTTTGTGATATTTCATAGACGTTTTAGCTGCTCTGTTTATGGCATCTAAGATGTGTGGAGTGAGCTACAGTGCATTTTTTTTGTATGATAACCAAAATGAACTGAAGGAAGATACTTTATGAAATGCATCTCTCTTGTTTACTGAAGGGAACAGGCTTAGCTGCTTAGTTTCTGTTTTTAAATCCTTTTTTATCCCACTGAGAGGCTGCACACTGAGCTCCTCTGTGGTGATTAATCAATAGAACGTAGACAGTCAATAGATAGTCCTGCTTTCTTATACATGCTCACATTTTTGGGGGTAAAGATCATCCACTCTCCGACAGACACCACAAACCCATCTCTCTTACCATTACATTATGCATGTACAGAAGATTAAGACATTTAATAAAAGTTTGATTATCTCTCTCCTCAGTCGACTCGCTCATGTTCATTAGGACTAATTTGCTGTGATGATGCCGTGCCACCGAGGCAGTAATGCAATGTGACGGTGGCGGGGGGTTCACTTCCTCCGCCAAGCTGTGGAAACACAAACACACACTCGCAGTCGTGATGATTCAACATGTCACTCAGCAACCTGACTATTTACAGCCAACACCCTGGGATGTGAAAACCTCCATCCACCCCACAGCTTTGTCTGATTAGCACCTTTCATACTCAACTCCTAGTCTTGCTTCCTTTGTTTCCTTCTGTTGAATATGTGGCTCCAGTGTTTTGCAAATAATCCCTAGCTTTCCATTTTCATTCACTTCATTTCAGAGACTCCTGAAACTGTTCAAATGTAATCAAGATGTCATAATACGTCAAGCATTTGCTGCCAAGTTTGATGTGCCAGACAAAAATTGGCAACATCCAGATTTATAACAAGGTTTGTCATGCCAAATCAGAGCGAAATATTTTCCTCTTTTCTCCGTCGGAACAAACTCGTCCTCTCTAAATCAATTCAATCAGTGTTTTTGACATTAATGCACCCACCAAATGCTGAATATAGCTTGTAATGAAGCTCTTGTGTCCTATCTGCTTTGTTTGTTTGCCTCTACAAAAGTCCATTAGATCCTGAGAGGCTGATAGTCCAGACAGAGATGAGAGGCAGGCCTTATCTTGTCCTTGTAGAAACTCGGCCATATTTCATTATCGGCTGGTTTAATGCTCACGGTTCTACGGCCAATCTCTTCAATCTCCAGGGTCTCTGGTGCGCGGAAGCACTCATCCACACCGGGGAAGGCAGGGGTCAGGATGCCAGGGAGAGCCGGAGCGAATGGTTGGGGTGATACTGGACATGTTTGTGTAATTTCCTCTGCCTATAACTCTTGCGCCACTGTATCACAGCAGCCTGAAAATGACTTGTCCCTACCTCTGGACCTTTTATACCTCATTATCTTAAAACTAAGTGATATCTGAGGTGGAATTCAAATTGAATCGTCCGTGGTGTTTGGAAATGATTGCGTCTAGACCTTCGATCTCACTCTAATGTCACACTTACTTCCAGCAGAAAGAACAATCTCTCACCACCGCTTTCAAGTCAGAGAGGATTTTCACCACCGCGTCTCACTGAAAGTGCTTTTTGAAGTCACGCTGTGTGACCAGGCATTCTCTGAAGGCAAACAGCAACATGTTGGAGCTGGAACTGAAATAACAAGATTTCAGATGCACCTCTTTCAATACCTGGACCACATGCCGGGCTGCCCTTTGATGAAATGTCCTGTAAAAGTCAATGGGATTCTGATACAGTTCACAAATAGAGAGGAATCAGCAAATGGCTGTCCAAAAGCATGACATTTAAAAAAGGGCATAATTTAACCTGTTTGCTTCAGAATAATGGAAAAGTATTGTCCTTTTTAAGAACCACCTCAAAGCAAGAAAATTCAACTCTTGCCCCAAGATTAACATCGATTAGACAGACACATCCAACTTTTGTAAAAAATCCTGTGAAAGTCACCCGAAAAATCTTTATATCCAACAATAATTGTAGTAAATGGAAAGTGTAATGATATGCTGATGATGCTATGTTATTACCAAAAAGCACTGTCATTTATAACCCACTTCGATGACATTTATTACATTAGGGCAAGCCATTACTGTTTCCTGGGTCTTTTTTGAACTATCACCTGCTGTAAAGTACATTCAGGTCCTGGATACCTATCCAATATGGCCCATTTTATCACCAAGCAGTCACCTAATCGCCCCCAGCAAAATGACTTCCATCTACCTCTTTACCCTCCATAACCCATTATCCTAAATGAAGGAGAGACCTCTTTCAAAGGCACTCCAAACCCATACTCCGCACCCTCTTCTAGCTTTCAAACTTAGAACCCAGCACTGTCCTGTGGGCTAAAACGTAATAATTGGTTGTCATATTTAGAGTAAAGTGGGACTCTTTAGCTGCAGCCTTCTGAATCAGCTGCAGCTCTCTCACTGAGTGTTTACAGAGACTATGTTACAATAATTACATTGACTTAAGATAAATGCATGGAATGGTTTTTCCAGGTGCTGCTGGGACATAAGTCTTTTACTACTAGAAATGTTCTTCAGGTGGTAGCAAGGCCACTTTTGTAATCATCTAAATGTGGCTTTCAAAACTCAGGTCTAATGCTGCGTTCGAGTTACCTCGGAAGTCAGATGTCGGGGCTGATAATGACGTCACACCTGAGTTCCCAGCGTTTCACTTACAAAGTCAGAAAAAAGCCATCCGAAACAAAATGGCTACATCTACGAAAGTTATTTTAGCACTTGCCTCATATTCGGACAAGCCAAATGCTAAAATAACTTTCATAGATGTAGCCATCTTGTTTCCACCTCCGATTTAGCTTTTTTCTGACTTGGTAACTAAAACGCAGGTAACTTGGGTGTGACTTCATTTTCAGCTCAAACTTCTGACTTCTGAGGTAACTTGAATGCAGCATAAGTCCATGACCACACTCGGGTTTCTGGCTTGGTCATTTTAAACTGTAATGTCTGACTCCAAAACCAACTTTTGTTCCACTGCAGAAAAAGGTTGGCTCATCCACTGGAGAATTTGCTCAAGGCATTTCCTCAGGGCCTGTTTGATACCACTGTCACCTGATGAAATTCATTTGTACAACTGTGTGTCATCTGCGTAGTTTTGTTAACTTATTTAGTAGTTTTCTAGAATCTGAGCCAGTGGGAACATGTAGATGTTAAACAGAAGAGGTCCCAAAATGGAGCTTTGAGGAACTCCACATGTACATCTCTGATTCCAAAAAAGTTAGGATGCAGTGTTAAATGTTAATAAAACAGAATTTGATGATTTGCAAATTATTTAGAGTTGAACTGACGATATTGCAAAGACAGCACCTACAGGAGCTAAAAAATTGTATTGTTTCAGAAAGTGCACATTTTAGATTTAATGCCTACAACATATTTTAAAACAGGTTGTGTACACTGACTAAAATATTATGGCTCAGTAGTGAAAATCTAGATGTTTTTTTCAGACTCATCGGTGCCCAGTGTGTGAGTCCTGGTGCTTGGAGGTAAATTTTGCACAGTTTACATAATTATATATCTTCTTGCTGTTGTCTTAAATCTCTGCGTCCTGTGGAGGCAAACAAATCTGCATTCATAGCTATCGGCGTGATGGAGCAGGGTTGTTCTATTGACTTTGAGGCATGGCGAGCGAACCACAACAGCATGACAAACCGTTTCATTTAAATACAATACACATGCACACAGTTCTCTACACACACACTACACTGGAAGTATTGAGCTTCCTGTGCCCGGCAAAGGCAGAGGATGACAGACTTGACTTGCTCATGTCTCCGCTGGGAATTAAGTCATCTGTTCTGAGGATCTCTTCTTGTGGCCCCCAGGGGGTTTCCATGGTAACGGGTTACAACATGTGTATCCCAATCAATGTTGTCAGAAAAAAAAAAAAAGAATCATGTCTGGATGTCTAGTCACATCCATCTAAGAGGTATGACACACACACACACAGATCCACATAAACAGCACACATATAGAAGTGTCATACTGTGCTCAAAATGCCAAAGTATTGGCTGCCAGATAAATGACTCACACTTACTATAACTGTGATGACAAAGTGCTGCTCTACATCTGCCACCCGCAGGCCCTTAATGGTTTTCAGCAGCATTATTGATGCTTTATATTTTCTATGCATCACTGCCGTCATCTAATTGGACTGCAAGCTGATAAAAATCATTTCTGCAGCAGGGAAGAAGAGACGGAGAGATTCCCCATCAACACTGTCTCTTTACGTCACTTCCTGTCCTCCTCCAGTGGGTGGCAGTGCTGGAACCCATTGGTGTGGAACCAGCTGACAGTCTATCATGTGTGATGTTTTTGTTTTTACACACTTATATGCTCAGTGATCCTTGGTGAATGCTTCTCTCATGCAGCAGCCTAATTCCATTACATACACAGTGTTTCCACTCCCCCCTCACTTAAACTGTTCATATAATGTTTTTGTCCTTAATTGGTTTTTCCGTCAATTATTGCGTTTTATTTCTTTTGACTTTTCCTGTTTAATTTCTTTTTTTTAATCTTTCCTCTTTGCCGGGAGTGCTGTATTACTTGAATACTGTCTATGCCGTGTAAGGGCTGGCAATGGGATTAGCAAATGTACTGCTCTGGGGACTGAGCTTGACTTTAATTGCCGGCCCGAACTAACACTATTCAGGAAATACACACACACAAACACATTGATACACATATATCTGCTCACACACCGGCATCCCACAACACAAGATGCACTCATTAACCCTGATTTGTTGTTGTTAGTTGGCCTGCAGTCTGTGAAATGGTCTTCCCTAACTCTGTTTTCTTCAATTTGGTTGATGTCTCTTTCTCTAAGTTCTCTGTATGTTTAACATCCCTAAGTAGTTTCAGCCCATTTTTACCCCCTCAAATCTTTCTTTCTCTGCTGTTGACTAGCTAGTGATCAACCATGTTTATGGAGTTTTGACCAATCAGAGCCACAGCTGGGTGATTAGCAACAAGAATCAATAACCTGCTTGAGTTTCAGGTTGTTACAATATAAAAATAGGAAAATAATGAACATTTCGTAAAGGCATCAGGAAGAGGCATTTACAGGAGCTCAATTCCAGTTGAAAAGCCCTACTTCTTATTCCAATTGCTGTTTTTAGTGTTGTAAACTCAGTTATAACATCATGGTGTGCTCTTTGTTTAAAACTTTGAACTGCTGTAGCATAACAGCTGACGTGCCATTGTATGTAAACACTGCTATAAACTGCCCCAAATGCTGCACCTGCCCTCGTTATCATCTGATGGATCTTGTTACTGATAGATCTTGTATTGATGATTCCAATCAGGTTGCACAAGCCAATGAAAAAAAACCCACTGCTAGCTCATTTCAGTTGTTGCTATTTGCATCATTTTCCCCATTTGCTCATCCATTTTAATAAGCCCCAACCTCTAGA